ACAATAATACGAAAAGAGTCGTTTAATTTAATGGCAATTTAATACGATTTCGCGTCATTCATTTATGATTTTCGCATTCAAAAATTTTCGTGCTCTTGCTCAAACTCGATTTGCACCAATTTATTCGCTAGTTATATGTACTACAGATGAGATGCACATCGTGCATTATTCTGCAAACACTCGCATTTACAGGGTGTCATTTAAGTTCCCGCACAAAAGTTAGACGCCATGAAAAGCTTGGCTGCCGCACTTTTCGTGCACCAATACAATTTATTTTTGTTAAATAAGGTGTATTTTACTTACTTTTCAAGTTTCACTTCATTCGGATGTGTTTCCGAGAAATGGCGAAGGCTAACATCCATTGCGCTTCCATTATCGAACTTCATAAGCGAAATGAGCGCCCGACAGAGATCATTCAACGCCTCGGTGTGCCTCGTAGAACGGTTTAAGACACCAACAAACGTTTCAAGGAGCTAAATACGACCAGTGACCTTCCCAGACAAGGAAGACTCGTCTAAGTAACCACTCCTCAGAAGATCAACGCCGTCAAAACGAGGATCAGGCGAAAACCGCACAGGAGCATAAGAAAGATGGCGTCAGACATGGGAATGAGCATCTTCGCTATGGAACAAATGGTCAAAACGAAGCTTGGACTGACCCCATATCGCGTCCAAAAAGCGGCAATTCTATCGGCCGTCAACTAGCAGAGACGCTTCGAAAAAGCAAAACGACTTTTTGCTCGCACGCGGTCTGGAGAACACCTCGCCACTGTCTTCTCCGACGAGAAGCTGTTCACTGTGGAGGCGGCATTCAACTCACAAAACCATTGAGTACTTGCCCAGACATCCCAGAAAGCTTCTGAGAAAGGAAGAACAATTCATCCAGCCTCACATCCTGCCAGTGTGATGGTTTTCGGTGCCATCTGCTCAACCGGGAAGTGCCCCTGGTTTTCGTGGATCAGGTGGTGAAAGTGAACAAAGAAGTCTACGTTCGGGACATTTTGGGGAAGCATATGATGCCCTGGGCCCAAACGCATTTCGGTGGGATGATATGGGTCTTTCAACAGGACGGAGCACCCGCCCCTACTGCCAAAACTACTCAGGAGTGGTGCCAGACCCATTTTCCCGACTTCATCAAGTCATCCGAATAGCCTGCTTGCTCCCCAGACCTGAACCCGCTTGACTTCTCCGTGATGGGGTCTTGCAGGAGAAGGTCAACGCAAAACCCCACTCAAGTGTAGAGGCTCTGAAGAAGACATTACTGGCGGAATGGGACAATCTTTCCATCGAATACCTGCGTACCACAGTCACATCCTACCCGAAGCGTCTCCGCGAAGTCATAGCTGCGAAAAGAGGCCGAATCGAAAAGAGTTAATAGATAATTATTTGTTGTACTATAGATAAAAAATATTTCGAGTCTCGTTTGATTTGGACTTTTAGTTTCAGAAATATACGTCTTCAAAGTTGTGCGGGAACTTAAATGACACCCTGTATAATACGACGAAAACGGACCACCACGCCACGAAATTATTCCATTATTTTTGCGCCTGACACGAAGAAGAAGAAGAAGAAGCAGCTTCCTTCCGAGCCTCATTTTCACGTTGCTTCGTCCCGAATTTCAATCCACTCGGTTACGTCGAGACTTCTTCTTCTTCTTCTTCTTCTTCTTCTTTGTTTTATTCATTCTTGCACAACACAATAACAGCCAACAAAAAAGGCGTAGAATGAAGAAGAAAGAGTAATCATTGAATGGGGGGGGGCAAAATTTCCGCTTTCTTTGGGTTCAAAAAAAAATAATGTGCCACACACACACAATTTCTTTATTCACTCGTTTTTTCTTGGGACTAAAGAATTTCTAGCGGACAAGAAATTGACCAATTCGATTCTTTTCTAATTTGACACATTGGGCGGTATAAAAATTGGATTTGAAATTTTATCAAAAAAAATTAGTTTCTCGATTATGATTTTCCCACATTTTGTACCTTATTTTTGCAGTATTGATTCCGCATTTTTAATTTTTCAAATGAATCTCAGACTACCGTAATCGTATGGGGTCTTGAAACGGGAAATTCAAAGCTATGTAATGTTTTTAGATTGGTTCGCTTCAAGACCAATAACAATTCCAATTTCCAATATTTTGTTATAGAGAGCTGTATCGAAATTTTCAGTTCGCACCTACATTTCTCAAGGTTCAATAAAATTTGAAGTCCATCATCCGCCCATTTATTCCTAATACAATCTTGTTGTGGATTCAGATTCATATCTCAAATAATTTTTCGCATTTGAGAATTCCAAACTAATTATTTTCAATTATACTGCCTCTCAGATTAATCGAATTTTCAAACTTCAATTTCCATTTTAAAGGCGCAATCCACCAATTTTCTTAGAAATTCATTTTGTGTCTAATATTTGACTATGACAAATTGGAAAAATCTAGTAAAGACCTCGAGGTGAAGTGGTGCGTCTGTGTACTCCACACGGACAATGCAACACCTAACAACGCCTCGTAAATAAAAAAATCAACACGCTTTCTTTTCGAGATTTTATTTTTTTTTATCAAAGCACTTCTTCATCATACTGTGGCAATTGTTTATGTGTCCGCCAAACCCATTTTGGGATATCCCTAGCTACAGTACCCCGAAATGGGCGTGGCTGCACTAATTTCCATAAAAGACCATTCGTCATTGCGTTGTTTTTGTTATTCGCCTCAAACATTCTGTGGAATTGATAGATCCCATCGAATTTCATTCCACAAAACGCGAATTCAGTTTTCATTCGAAAAGGATTATGGTGGTGCTTTGGTGCGTTGGTGGGGGATCTCGGCATCGAATTTCGCCCATTCGTTCGACGCCTCACTCGTTGAGCCATTTTGATGCGTTCTGAGCCATTCGGTTTTGAATTCGATGGTTGCGGAGCAACTCACCGAATATTTCGCGCTTCTCCCCTTCGAACTCCTTTCTGTTGGTTGCTTTCTCGGCTTCTTCTCCCCCCCCCTAGTAGTGCCGCCAAGTATCTTCTTTTCGAATCTGACGACTTCTTGTTATTAATATAGTCAAATTCAACGAAATTCTCCCCCCCCCCCCAACAAAATTCGATGAGCCGTTGAAAATTTCTAATACGCCATTAATTATATGTCTAATAGTGGTGTGAAACTAGACAAAAACAAAAAAAAATCAACCGAAAAAAAAAAAGATTGAAATAAGAATTTTGTGGTTTCTTCTGTGATATTTGCGTGTTTTTCGCGCAACCATTAATTGCAATTTTTTTTGATTTTTTAAACCTCAAATATTAATAATCAAGATCAAAGATCACAAGACCATTTAATTAAAAAAATTTTCTCGAATTTTTCCGCAGTTTTATCAAGAAAGATTTCGGGAGCTTTCTCAAATGATTTCTATATACAACACGCAAAAAAAAATATGAATTTGCGAGAAAATGATAAATTAAAATCAATGACCAAAAATAGAAAAAAAATATTTGCGAGAAAATCCAAAAAGAATCTTTTTGGCGGAAATTCAAACCATTGAAAATTTCCGAGTTTTGTTGATGGGAACACTAAATTACGAGAGGTTTTCCATACAAGACCGAAGTGCAAAATTCAAAAAAAATTTTCGAAATCTTCATGTGGCCGTCGTCAAAAGCTCACGGCTCTCAAAAAGAACTGCCCTATTTTTGTTCGCGACTCTGTATTTCAAAATCTCACAAAAAAATTAAAAATAGATTTTTTCAATCAAAAATAGACGAATATTTGAAATTCATAATTGTCATAGACTTTCGAGAAGAAGAAAGAAAACATTTGTAGTCTTATCCACCTGTCAAGCAGTTGAAAACATTTTAGCTCATTTTTCAGAAAATTTTGTTTCTAAATCCGTAATATTTCACAAATTTTAAAATCGAAGAATAAAAACAAAAATAAAATTTTGATTTTTGGCAAGGTAAGAATAAAAATTAAGACCTTCTCGTATCACCATCCCCAAAAAAGAGCCACCCATAAAAAATTGTGATGGTGTACAATTTCAATTCCATTCCAAAAAAAATTGAAGATTCAAAAATTATATATGTAGAGAAACAAATGACATGCCGTTGAGACTTGTTTGAATCCGCCGAAAATAAATTTAATATGCATTTTTGATGCTTAAAAAATATTTAAAGCATTCTCATTTCGAAATCGGATTAGTTAAACTTAAAATATTCTCGACCTTTTCTCCATGCAAATAAGGCAACAAGTGAGAAATAGAAGAGATTTCAGCTTAATCGTCGGGACTTTGTCATTCGGTTAATCGAAAATGCTCATGATGCTCATCTTTCGCAACTTTGCTTTAATTCGTCATGTGAACTTCTTAGCAAATTTCGGGCAACTCGTCCGGGGCGGATTGTCCGCAGCTGGGCTCTTTTATCCCGGGAGCAAACTGCCCTCCAAAATTGGTTGAGTAGAAATTTATAAGTTCTTTGAAACCGACACGCCACGGGTTTAATGAACAAATTTTATTATTTCCAATAAATTTCAAATCTTCAAAATATTTCTTTTCACAGCCCGAAAATTGGTCAAACATTTCAGATGAGGTGTGTGCGCCTTTAACAAATCCATTCAATTAGGCTATAAATTTGCATATCTTGATTTTTCCCAAGAATTTCCCATAGTTTTTTGGCATCTAAATTTTCAGAATTTTTTTTCGAAAAATCGCCGATGGTGTCTGTGCAAGTCATTCATGTATATAAATAATTATACGTGCTCTTATTTGGTATTGTTTTCCATTCATGATCTCCTTCTTCTGCTTCTACATCTTTTCGTGTACTCTCGAAGCGACCCTTCTCTTCTTATGTGCATTTTGTTCTTTCAATTCCCATTTTTTACGCATCAATCGTTTTGATGGCGCGATTGCAACGAAAAAAAAAAGTTATTTTTTGATTTCATTTCCTTTTTTGGTGTACAAAAAAAATAGAAAATCACTCACGCTTTTCAATCTTCCCCCAATAAGGCAATCATTGTTTTAGGCTTCTATGCAATCCAACGGAATTTCGAGACACAGCGGCGACAGCCGTCGCAGCAGTATGGTGAGTGGAAAAAAAAAAGAATATTTGAGACGTCTATTTGATGATTCATTTTAAGGTGGACGCCACTGGCCGATTTTGCAGTCAGCCGATCACCGGATCGCCGGAGATTCTCGTCGGCCTCTGCTACGACGACAAACACGAGGTCGTCACGGTGACGATTGACAAAGCATCGGGACTCTGCGCCGAATCGTCGACGCCTCCCGACACGTTCATTCGCATCGTCGCCTGCGATGAATTCGCCGCCGAGCTGTTTCGAAATAAGACGGAAACGTTCAAGCACAACACCCAACCTGTCTATAATCATCACAGTACTATGAAGGTAGAAAAGCTTTTCTTTCTTACTAGGACATCAAGTATAATTATTTCAAATCTAGCAATTTATAATTTTTTTATTTTACCATCAAAACTGAGTGCGGAAATTTTTTCTTCAAATTCAGATTTCAAAAAACTCAAAAAAAAAAACAATTTTAAATAAAAATTGACCAGTTTTATGATCGGAAAAATGAAAAAAAATAACCATTTTGGCCAGATATTAATTATGGAAAAAATCGCCAATGGATCAGTTTTGATAAAAGCTAAAACCACTAACGTTGGTGTGTTGCAGATTCCGAAAGACAAAATCGAGTCATCGACGGTGCGCATCGAAATCTGGACAGTGTCGGGAATCCTGAAACGGAAGCATATGATCGGCACACTGAGCATCGGATACGCTTCATCAACACCGGATGCGAACGAGCATTGGGAGCAGATGATGCAGGTTTCGAATGCACTTCTTCGTTTGACCTTCGCATTTCCCTCTTTTCCATTCTGTCGTTTTCCTTTATCAGTGCATGTGTACTCGGAGGGCAGCGATTGATATCGCGATTTATCGCCACTTTTGAAAACCGTTTCATCTTGATTCGTCTTCTTCTTCTTCTTCTCATATCGCATGAATTGCGTGAAGATCAAAAAAGGGATGCGAAATCAATTGCGGCGGTCCGAAATTATAGATTCAGCTCGTTTGATAAGCTGGAATCGGAAACCAATATCGAATTCAACAAATTTTTTCACGTGAAAATCAACGGGCGATTTCATAAATCTATCTCGTGACAAATTTGTTTATTTTTCAGTTGAATATTTCGAAGGTTCGAGAATCGAAATTTTTCTGTAAAAATTTCGAATTAGTGACCCCAAATAATAATACAAAGGTAGTGCAAAATTCTCGGGTCTTACCACGACACAACACACACACACACCGAATCGACCACTAATTATTCTGTGAAATACCTCAGAATCCCCAAAACTCAATGTGCAATTATTACATTGCATATGGATTTTGAATGCCCAATATTTATATAGAAGAAAATTTCAGAGAAAAATCTCACTTGGGTGTGAAAAAAAATTATATCAACGAAAAGAACCATTCTAATGAAATGGTTATTTTTTTAGTTTTTTTTTTATTTGTAATATTTGCGTCAATTTAATTTTTTTAATCCTCAAATATTAAAAATTATATTGACGCTTTCAAAAAGCTGATCGAAATTTGCAAAAAAACTATGCAATGTGCCAAAGTTGCACTTGAAGCATTTAATATTCAGTCAACGTAAAATTTCAAAATTTCGAAACCAATTCCACTAAACTGACTTCCGATCAGTTGTTTGAAATGGGGTTTCTTTAAAGGCGCATGCCGCCTCGTAAATTTACCTTTGAAACGAACTTCGGAACTTGCCATTGATAAAGAACAAGAAAAATTGTCGTAATTTCTTTTCAATGTCACATAGCGGAAATAATTTTGAGAAAACGTTGAACATTCGAGTTGTGAATCAAACAAGAAATATTTGAAAACAAAACGAAACAGTCTTCACCGAATCAGCATCATTCAGAAATCGTCGCGACTTCTCATTCCTTCTTCATCCGATTTTCTCGATCAAGAAGACAATTTGGTGTTTTTTCTTCCTTCATTTATCATCATCTTTGGTTTCAAGAAAAAAAAAAAACGGTTGATCAAACGTCTCCTGCGGTCTAGACAAATTGGCGTAACCGAATGGAATGTTTTTGCAAGAAAAAAATTGGCGAGGAATCGAGTGTCGTCCGGCCACGCTGCAATCAATCAACGAATCGCATTCAGAGAACACGCTGCACCCAATTCTATCGTATCATTCACTTTTGAAGACTTTGACCCAGCCACGTGATATTCAGAACGTTGTGACGTCGCCCTGAAGAGGCATCGGCGGCGGCGGCGGCGGTGTCGCCACCCAGCGCCGGGTCCATTGACGAACAAGAATGTGTGTGTTGCGATAAACAAAAGATGAATGATCACAAGGTTTTATGTTGGCAGTTATGCAGCAGAAAACATTTGAAGAAATTGCCGGAACATCAGAGAACACTTCATGAAAACATGAAGGCGTCAAAATACATATGATCGAAACTGTTTTGGTTCAATTCGGTGTGGACGTTCAACGAATTCGGGCATTCGCGATTTGAGTCCATTGAATGCGCCTTTAAAACGAATTGATTCGATGGTTATTCTTCTGCTCCTTTTCTCTCTTCTAAAATCCATTACAAAATGGAAGCTGTATCGGAATATCGAGTTTCTTTACTTTCAAATAATTCCCCTAAATCGATTTTTCAAAAAAAAACAAAACAAGAATAAATAATTTGATCGACATTTTTTCAATTTGATCGATCGATGGCGGAAAATTCAAATTCAAATTCGCAAAATCTGTGTAGATCAAACCACGCTGCAGGCTGAAATGAAGAGTGCGCAGACGTCTCACTGCCACGAGACACTTGGCGCGAAGCCAATATTTTTTCATTCAGTCGTTTGACCCAAACAATAATTTTAAAAAATAAATTTTTTTTCTGCTTCTTTATACATTCCTCATGAGCGCTTCTTATTTCTTATTTTGTCATCTGACATCCCTGATTCGAATTCTTCGCCTAATTAAAACATCGCTTAAGACACCAATTTCGATGGCCCCCCGGCGCCCATCATCACGAGATCCCAATTATCTGTCAATAGCCCGATTTCCTCGTCTCACCCACAAAATCTGACTAATTTGATAATCAAAAATCACCTTTCATATCGATTTGATCTACCATTCGTTTCAATTTTTTTCAGAGCGCCGGCATCACCGTCTCGAAATGGCACGCGGTTCAATCGCCGGACATCTAACGCTTCCCAACATTTTCATTCGTATTTATTATCGCTTCTGTGAGATTTTGTGATGAATATAACCCCCCCCGACACATAGAAATCAATCGATATTCATCATCGACAACGAAGACCGACGCCGTCTGAATGATATAAAACATTTTCGCGTGTCAAGACGGTATCGCAAAAACTGTTCTCTCGTCAAATCGCGATGCGTTTAATTCGAACAGACATTCATCACCCCCTCTTCGCTGGTTGTAAATGTTGCCAAAAAGCTATCTCGATTGTTTCATTCAGCGGCTAGTAGATCAAAGATTGATGAAAGAGAAGAATGAATTACAGCAGCGCCGAAATTTTTGGGGGAATACCACCCGTCGTTCTTCTATTCACATTCTGCAACACACAACCACGAGGTTCGACGAGAAGCGATGATGGTTTCGCCCAACGGGTCCGAAGGTCGACCATCGTAAAATTGTTTAACGACGAGGTTACGGTAGCGAAACCATTAATAATTGTTTATTGGGCCTTTTTTGGATGTCCGCCTGCAAAGTTCAATTCGAATGATGCCTGAGGATGTTGGAAGAAAATTTTTCTTAAAAAAAAACAAGAAAGGAAGTGAAACCATGATTAATATAAATACCCCAATCTTTTGGGAACTTCCGAAAGTGATTTTTTTCTCGAAATGACCTTTTCTAAACAACTATTGGATGTAGATTTAGAGTGTGAACTTTAAAATGAAATATTCAAAAAATGGGCTTTTAACTCAATTTCGTCTTTAAAATCGTATTTTGTGTTGAAGAGCAAAGCTTTAATGAAATTGTTTGAAACTAAAACTGTTATTTAAAGGCGCATACCTGGCAGATTTCTGCAAGACAATTCATTTTCGTACTTTGTGAGACCTTACTTAAAGGCACATTCACCATGAATCAATGGAACGTTGGTGTGCCAAATCATATATATCATAAATTTCTTAAGTGTTACCATTGAAAACGCTTTTCCAATTTTCGTCAAGCTAATACAAAATTTGTGGATCAACCTATACACGTTTCACAATTTTTTGAGGTCAGATTTATAGCAACTGAAACTGTCGTTTTGATTCCAATGGATTTTTGTTGGCTCCAAAAAAAACGTGTGGTTGGCTGGAAAATTCGCATGATCGAACGAGATGCTCCACACTATTTCATATTAGCATCAGGTTCAAATGATCATCATAAAAGGATTGGACCTTTATGAATAACGGGGTCCAAAAAGAAAAAGTGTTCAATTGATCTGAAACTAATCAATTCGAAGAACAAAATGGAAGTTGTTCAATATTCTTTAAAAAAAAACTATTTACACTTTAAAAATTATTTTTTATTTCGTCAAAAAAAAAATACACGCTTTGAATAATAATAATAATAATATGGCAACATGAGAATTGAATTGTGTGGCACTTGAAATGAAAACACGAGGAAGAAGCCACATACCGGTATACAAAAGATGGAGGTTGTCTACTTCTGTATGAAATTGGGGAAAAAATGTGGATAGGTCGCAAAAAATAAGATGTTTAGAAGAAGTAGAACGATGACTAGAATTGCGGGGACCGTAAATGTTGGCAATATTTACAGAAACGAAATGAAGAAGCACACAAGTGGTTGTTGGTGTAAAGCAGCAAACTAGAGCGATTTGTCCTAATATGGTAGTAATATGATGTGATAATATTCAGTTGGATGGAAGAAGAATTTTCGCGTGTGTGATGTACTCGGCGGTCACAAAGTCGGGCTTCTCCGATTCGGGAAGGGTGCCGATTTTGAATTTGTTGAGCGCCATTCGGGCGCACACCGAATGTCCCACCGATTCGAACGATTCTGTGGCATCACCGCCAGCCTGAACAACAACGGACCATCATCATTGATGTGTTTGATTCGAGACTTACGAATTCGAGAAGAATCTCGGGTCCCGCTGGATGCAAATCCAAAAATTTGGTGATATCGTAGACGTGGTTGCCGACAATGATCCAACAGTCGTCTTCAGTGCAGTGCTCGGAGACCTCGGCGCGTGTGAAGACGGACATATTGGACATTGATGGGCCGGCGGTTTCTGAAATTCGCGGCATTTCATTAATCGAACGGATTTGTTATTGACGAAGCAAACATCGAACTCGGAAACTGTCCCATTTGGGGATTGCCCAACCACGCCTTATATAGTTGGTTGGGTTGTGTTTGAAGGGCGGGCGGGCGGGCGCCGGGGATGCACCCCCCGGGCGCGTCCGCTCCGCCCATTCCGCGCTGCGTACACGTGAACCATGCCGCTTACCACGTGTGTTTCCGACCACCTTTGCAGAGAAAGCCAGACGCGATGCAGACCGTCGCTAGCAGTATTCGTTTCGAGATTTATGGCCACAACGGACCATGTCGAGATTGACACCGCGTGATTTTGTTTATTTACATACAAGGAAGGAAACTGCATGAGAGAATGATGGCTCAGTTTGTGCAGACAACGAAGTGCGAAAAAAATAGTTTTGATTCTAATCTTTGAAAATATGCAAAATATTTGAGGGAAATAGAAATGCCGAGAAGATGGAGCCAAATTTATGGCTTTCAAATTTTCCCGAACATTTGGAGCAGCATAAAATCGATTTTTCCTCGATTTTTTTACTTGGACTTTTCATTTATTTGACATTTTACATTTTTCGTGGTGGGACCCGTAAATCTATCAATGACTCAAGGCACAGATAATAGAATAATGAAAAATTAATTCTGGATTAAAAATGTACTTTAGAAATTTTGGTAGGTATGGTTCATTCATGAAAAGCTCTCGACTAGTTCTATTAAATTTTTGGGAAAATTTTTCTTCCGAATCGATTAGATCCTCTCTCTCTCTCTCTCTCTCTCTCTCTCTCTCTCTCTCTCTCTCTCTCTCTCTCTCTATCTCTCTCTCTCTCTATCTCTCTCTCTCTCTAGAGAAAAACTTCAATAATCTCCAAAAAGGTCCCATATTTTTCCATCTTTTGATCGACACGAAGCTTGAATCAATTGTTTCGAATTGTTCAATAACGTGCTTGTTCTATGTGACTGACGTTTTGTGTATGTGAATTGAAAATTGTGTTGAGATGGGGGGATTCCCCCAACGTCGTATCAAGTTTTCGCGGGTGGCGACGTCCTCCTTCTTCGTCTTCGTCTTCTTCTTCTTCTTCTTCTTCTTCTTCGAGTACTTCAAAATACTTCCTAGACGTTCCCAACTTCGAAAAGCCGTTCAATTTCACGTGTTCTCTCCATACATGTCTCCAATCTCTCGTTCATAATTTATGATGATCATTTTCATATTCAGTTTCTCATCTCGATTCTCTTTCTCTATCATCAATTTTTTCGCGCAAATTTTTGACCGTTGTTTTAGGCCTTCGAGAGATGCAATCGTCGATGACGACGCGGTTTTATGGTTCGTTGGGCATTCATTGAAGAATGTGCGACGAGGAGAATAAATGAGTGATATGGATAGTATTCGGTTCGTCTGCGAACTTTCATCTTCTCGATTTTCAATTCTCGCAGCAGCAAAAACTCATTAGTCCAATGATAATTATCAGAGAGTTCACAACCTTGATCTCTCTCTCCCTCTTTCTCTTTTTCTCTCTCTCTCTCTTTCTCTCTCTCTCTCTCTCTCTCTCTCTCTCTCTCTCTTTTCCATTTCACACCTAAAAGTCCTCATAACTATGAAAGAAATAAATTTCAAAAGACATTCGATTAGCTTAGAAGATAATTCGAACAGAGATTACAGCATGATAATTTCGGAACGTGGAACGGAAGTCCTTGTGTCAATGGAAAAAAAGCGTTCCGATGGATGTTATTGATGTTATCAAAAATCACTTCCTCTTCCAAAATTGGCTTCGATGGCAAAGGGGGATTAAAGAGGGCTCGTGTTGACACTGGGATTACGGATTTTGGTAAATTTACATTTTTTTTTGTTTGGAAAAATCTTAAATTCAGCTCAAAAAAATTTAACTGAACTTGACTATTGTAGTTTCCAGTTACCATAATTTTCTAACCACCTGATAACGTTTTCAAAAAAAAATATTTTCAAGAATATTTCCAGTCATTTAACATCTGAAAGAGCTGCTTCTGCCGAAGCCATTTTGATAAAGTTTCGAAAGTTTCTAAAGGCATTATTTTCCCCGAAAATAATCTGAACAAGGCTTACTTAAATATTCTCAAACACAAATTTCAGATGAAACATTTTCAGTATTTTTGAAAAAATGCAGCTTTGGCTTATTTGATTTGGAATTTTAAAGCTATGTATAAATGATCCAATTTTTTAAATTCTTGAACTAAATCTAAACACCTCACTTATAAGAGAAGGACCTTTGAATATGGGGCTCGAATTTGCTTCAAAACCCCTAAAGCAAAATTTTGTGGAAATAATTAAACTTCAAAAAATGACAATTCTCATTTCAACAATCTCGAGCTTTTCCGAACCGCTCGCAATCTCAAATCGTTTTCCGATGACCGCTACCGTACCCTCGAATTTCACTTTCATTCCTCTTCGCCATTTCCTTCTCAATTTTTTTTCGTCTTGCTTCTTTGCTTCACTTCACAAGTTGTTTGATCGTTCTCCACTGTTCGTATCGACAAGCATCGAGTACTTTCAAGGTTACAAATCTCAAAATTCGAAAATTTGAAGGGAAATTTGCAAAATTTGACTAATGTTCATCTTCAAAATCATAATTATTTTCATGTTTGTTGATTGAAAAAAAGAACTGCTGAAAAATTGCAATCTGGCAGTGTCAGTCAACAGGAAGGAACAGTTGTGTAATGTGAAAAAAAGCTACCGTAACCGCTTGAAAAGATAGGTCAAACAACTGGATTTTGACCTACTTTTAAGCATTTATCGTGTTCTTTTTTGTTTGGCAATAACAAGCCTTATATGGGAATGTTCCGTTTCGCGTGATCGGATACTGTAGAATTGATTTCTCTTAAAGGGTTCCTCTGGTCTCGCTTTTATGAATAAAGCATTCATTTGGGTTTTAACTTTTTTTTTATTGATTTTTCTATTCTTCTCATTCTTCAAACAAATCTACCGAAAGATCAGGAAACTTAGAATGTCCTTAAAAAAAAATAAAAAGCAAACTACAATTACAGTAGTCATCCTAATTAGTACAAATCACACAAAGTGCCAATCACCTTTCGAAATGGAGAACTTTGTGGAACAAACTTAATGATTTCATAGTACTTAAAGATCAACTGATTTCACTACCAAAAAAGAACAAAACTATTCAATATTTCTCACATGATAATCATTCTTCATTTTTCGAAACTAGTTGAAAAAAAAGAAAAGAAATTTCATTTATGATATTAGGAGAGACAAAGGTCAAAGTGCACGCGAGGGGATACCCCAAAGAATTCGCGACATGTTCAATTTTTTAGTCGGACCAACACTCTCAACCCACCTCAATCAATTCCATGATTTCGAGAGTTGCGAGAAGTACACACGAGCTTCTTCTTCTGCCTGAAAACGATGAACTATTCATTTTCAAGGCAATTTTTTGGCATTCTTGCACGCCTGTTTTTCGATGGCCAAAAATGAATTGAATCTTTAGCCAAATTTTGTTGATTAGAGAAAAAAATACATTCCGAATTCACATGCCCAAAAAAGGAAATTGGGGATCAAGAAGAAGGAGAAGGAAAATAAATAAACAAGGCAATTAATCACACGAAACGATTTCGGTTCGGTTGCCGAGATTTATTGGGGGACGAAATCGAGATTGAATGCCATTCGGCACGTGGTTTTCCAACGGAAATCCCTCACGTCTCCAAGGATAATAAACATCTATTTTTTTTGTTGCAATACCGCGAATATTTGGTGAATCAAACGCAAACGCAAACTGGGGGAGCTGTCTGATTGTGTCTGTCGGTCATTCGACGAAATCAAAATCACATGACCATGTCATTTTTTTTTTCTGGGCATTGATTGTTGGAAAATCGACAAAAAAAAGATGAAAGGGATGCCAAAAAAAAAGAGGAAGACGGAAGGAAATTTCTGGAATTAAATTCTCATTTTAAAAATTCAATTCATTTTGCTATTTAATATATTTAAAATATTTGAAACGCTAAAAAAGTTTGTTAGCTTCAAATACTTTATATTTGTTCCAAAATTATCTAAAATCAAATTATTTAATTTAGGTTTGAAATAATAATAAAAGAAAATTGCCAAAAAATTTCCTAGTAATTTTCATTTAATTCTGAGAAATTATACGTTTAGGGTAATTAAACAAATTAATTAATGATAATATTGAAATATAGTAGATATTGAAGATTAGAATATTCTAGTTTCGAAAAAATGCAAATTTCAATTTGTTCCAAATTAAAAGTATTTTTCGAAAAAAAAATGTGGCTACCACAAATTTTGAAAGAATAAATGGGAGCGCACGCGAACCGCAACGCTTCTGACGACATAGAATAATTACTGTAGCAGCTTTTTGGGGACTGTAACTTCATGGTTCCAGTTTTATTCAGTAAAAACTACAATAATGAAATTTAAAAAAAACCTTTTTTCGAACTGACTAGTAAGGGGAAATTTTGTGAAAAAAAAAACGAACCGACACTCCAACTTCGACATTGATCCCATTAATATTCTTAAAAGACAATCGCTTATCGTTTGGTGCAACTCCGTGATTGGTGCTAGTACAAGGGCAATCTGAAAGAAGTCATGAACATTTTCATTGAATCGAGCTTCATCCTACTCAGCGCTCGATTAATCCTCTGCATTGTATCGTCAGGAATCATATAATGCAAAAAAACAAATGATCCGATAGTAGTTCCCGTAGACACTAGAATATCATACAAGAATCCATTGGTAATCGTCTCCCAATCTCGATTCGGATCATTGAGAGTCGCGGAGAATCGGAGAACGAAGAAGCTGCCGAGGCCAAGGAACACCAATCCAATGAGAAACGCATTGAGGAGCAGCCTCGACGTTCGAATATTCTCTCGAATCTAAACGATTATTTTCATTGTGTTTGAAGCATTTCCAAACAATACACATTCTTCTCAGAAGTCGACGGGGGGGGAGTTGTTTGTGTCTGTTGGGGGTATTCCCCAAAGAATTCACGTGTGCCCCTCCCTATCTTATATCAAAAGCGCAACGATGCATTGTAATTTATGTGGTGATTGTTGTGTTACACACACGAACCCGTATGCGTACAGATTCTCATTGATTATTTTGCAGAAGACCCCCCCTGTTTGAGGGAGAGGGGCCGCGTATCGATTAGATAACAATTTTCGGTTCGATTGATCGTTTCCATTGTGTCGATCCGGTTTCACATGTGAATTTTTAAAGAATTCTTTTTTACAACACAACGCTTGTGGCTTTTTCGTTGTGAAATTGGTGCAGACGAAATTGGGTCTCATGAGTTATTGTGGCAAATAAGTACAAAGTAAATCAATGTCATATGGCAAGATTTTGAACAAACAATTGGTAGATCAAAAACGTGACGGGAAAATTTTCAAAAATGGAATTTCGAAACAATTTTCACACAAATTTTCACAGGTTCCAGAAATCTTGTTGTAATTTCAAAATGGAATAGAATTCCACTTCAAAACCCCTTATTTTATTCTTAAAATAAATGCGGCCTAAAAAGGTTGGGACTATAGCAAAAATAATCAAGGAAACCCTTAAAAGTGATTCAATTATAGAACAAATCTATGTAATTCTATAATCTAGGCTGACTTTCAAACAGTTAACTTGAAAAATTTTGTCGGATTCAAAATAATTAAAATTAATGCAAGAGAAGAATAGAACATTTGATTTTTGTTGGTTTTAAGGGTTATAAAAAACGCAAATTTAATAAAAATATTTACATTTTGGGTTTAAAAATATATATTTTATGAATTGGTCCGTTATAGAACTCTCACGGATATTGAGATTTTGATTTGCAATGAAAAAATTTTATCTTAAAGTCAAATAACTGAGCACAAAAAAAAATATGGAGCAAGAATATTTTCGAAATGAATTGAGATCCAATTAAAATAATTTCTAAACATAGAGAACCGAACCTGATAAGCTTCGCTGATCTTCGACATGAACCTCCTCTCCTTCAATCGTTTTTTATTAATGTAAAGTACAACCAGCATGACGGAAAAAGCGCCGAGCGAGCAGATCGCAGTCATCGCCACATTCAATTCTCGACCCTTCTCGAAGTGATATTTCGAGTAAAGCAATAATAAGGCAAACGGATACTGTAACTAGACAATGATGTGGGTCTCAAAGGGAAATCGAACCGTTAGGAAACAGCAGAAAATGATGAAAATATGGCACGAGTTTCGCTCGTATCGTTTCGAGGTGATCGTCGCAGTCACTCGTTCGGCGGTCAACGCGAATAGATGAGCCGATACTGAAAATTAGTAGAAATCATCGAATGCCTCCATTTTCGGGAAAAATACATGAGCTTTGAAACACGAATCTCAAATACATGAATATTTCCATAATCTCGATTGGAGTCCACAATAACTCGAGGACAAGCCATGCGAGTCGCGAGGTGCTCAGGCAAAATGCACCCAGCAGATAGCTGATAATCAAAAGCTGCAAAAAATCGAATAATTTAGTTTATTTGAAAATGAATGGCAATTCTTACCTTCAAATTTTTATGGATGAGTGCACGATTTGAAAAAAGGAAACGCGGTGTGGCGAGAATAATAAGCAGATTGATGATATGAATCGGACATTCGGAAATCAGAAAAATCTCATACGTCGACCGAATATCGCCGGTTTTTCGCATATAGAACGAACCTGAACAACGAAAAAAATCCATTAGTAATGGAAATTATTATTATTATAATGGAATGACGAAACATTTGATTGATTGAACGATAATTTGATTTAGGTGCCGATTCGCTAAAAGATTTCATTTATTTCACTGCGAAAATTCCCAATTTTTAATTTTATTACTTGCTTCGATGTATATCAGCAAGTTTGTTCAATTGGATTCTTAATAGCACTTTCAGGAACACGATAATTATAATAGACACATTGAAAGAAGATTTAAGGAATATTTGGAACAATAAAATAGATTATCACATTTCATGGAAATTGAATTTTTATTTTTTGAATAACTTGAAAATGTCAAACAACGACATTATTTTTAAAGAAAAATCACGAAAATTCAGCTAAAATGCCTAGATTTGAATTCCACAAACCGACAAAAAAGATCTGCAAATTTTGAATCCAAGCTATTTGAAGAGAACTCCCTCATTCGTTTCTCGTTCACCTGCCTCTATGATTCGATGATGTTAAACCCATTAATCATGTCGAAATCACACATAAATATGAACCTAAATATGGCAAAACATTCATTTTTCTTCAATACACAATTCCGGTCTACTAAGTAAATGATTGATTGAATAGAAAAAAATAATTTTGCAGTTGGTAGTTAATAAACATAAACACCAAAAAATCATTCAAAACGTATTTTTAAAAATGCGGATTCTCAGAAAATATGAACAAATTTGATTTACTTGTTGACGTGTTTTTTTAAAAAACAAGTTGAGGATAAAAATGTGCATTTTGAGCAAGCTACAAGATTAATGGTAGAACGACATTTAATTCCCCCACATAATCTCGGTGAATAATTATGAGTCTTAATTATACGGTAATTGTTTTGAGAAAGGAAGTGAAAGAAAAAATCGCATTTCCGCGAAATGTCGACTTTTATCAAAAGATCGAAAAAATACGATGGCGATTGGGAAATGTCAAGATTTTGGCGAAATAGCTTCAAGTTCAATGTGGAGAATTTCGAACTACAAAAAAAAGAATCAAACTGAAAATGATTGTTCAAATTATTCGAGCAGAATCCCAAAATAGGATAGGACAAACAATTCAATTGATATTTCAAGTTTTATTCTAAAGAAATGATTTTCCGAAAAATTGCCAGAGAAAACGCTCGAGTTGTTTTTTGTGGAAGTATTTTTGCAGTGAAAAAAAAAACAGAAAACGGAATTAAAAAATACAAATAATTGATACGATCTATCGTAATTCTCGCTATTTATTTTTAAAATAGCCATCGAAAATGGTCATGTCGCAATTTCGCAACTGTGATTTTTTTAATTCGTAAGGAAAACGAATGACCCTCCGCCGTTCTCGTTTTTAGTGCGATGGTAACAAAAAAATTTTAATTGGAATACATTTGCCATTGGTCTCTAAATGAATGAGAATCGCTATATATTGTGTAACTATTTTTGCAATTTTTAAATGGGGTAAGAAATTTAAATAAAACAGTTAATTTTTTTTTTCATCATTTTGAATAGGCCTATCGCTTTATTAAGATTAACTAATTTATGATTCAATAGATCATATTCATATTATTCAAGATAAGATTAGAACAGCGTCAGGAGAGCATTGAACCATACGATTTTCGAAAAAAAAAATCGAACCTGGACTATTTTCTAATTTAAGAGCAGAAAATCAAATTGAAAGCCACAAATAAATTCGGTGAAAACGAAGGTTTAAATAAACAGAAATCTACAGGAAACCCTCAAAACCATGATTTCATTTCTTTTTTTGCACTATAACGCGTTAACCCTGAACTGGCAGGCTCTCATTTCTGGTCGCTTTTAGGCAATCTCATTTCAATATTAGAAATAATGGGTTTTTTGAAGTTAAGTACGTCACGAACCAAACCGACCATTCATCTTTCCTTCATTTTTAAACTAGGCAAATAATCATAGTTTATGTATGTACCTTTAATTAATTACCTGATAATGATACTGTGGCGTTAGACATTATTATAATAGTAATACTAATAATATTATAAGGGGTGGGTGGGGTCGGCGGTTAACAACAACCAGTTGGACGCGAGTAAATATGCGTATTTAAATGGCAGGCCAAGAAATGAATTGAATTCGCAGGTGTAAGAATTGTTATACGACACAAACGCACATGCACAGACGGCCACAGAATGAAATTGGCAATATTTCATCAAGCCCCGCCCCCCTCTTTTTTTTTTAACGGCTTTTCTCATTCATTTTGTTTGCGGATTTAATGGTCGAATGGAAATCGAAGCCTACCTAATTGCAGCTTCTTGTGTGTCGACATTTTAAGCCAATCGATCAAATCTGAAAATGTGCACTTTAGCTGGATGGTTGGAAAAAAAGGAAAGGAAAAATAGTCTTTGAATACTGTTACGGTTAACAAGGCTGTCGAAAGCGGGACTTCGTACCTCGACAATTGGGCCCTATGAAAAGAGCATCAAAGTCTGGCATCTCAAAAAGTCGTAATATCAATCTGATTGTCAAAAATCAAAATTTGCCGAAATTTTTAATAAATCGCGTATTTTAAATAAATTTGTGTTTGTTATTGAAAAAATAAAAAATAATTTCGATGAATCCTATTCTGAAATAAGCAAGAATGTTGAGAAAGATATGAATTCTGAGAAGCTATATTTTCATCACGGGTCTCCGCGACCCTTTTAATCATGCCTGACTAGATTATATTCTGTAGCCGATGATCTACGGAAAACTGAAGTGACTACAATCCCAACAAGAATCGGAAGAATAGCTTTTCACAAAACCAACAATCTTGTTGCATTTGAATAATCATTAAAATTATAGCCTTCGTTTATTTCATCTCGTAGGCAGCAGGCTACTATTATTACTAGTATACATATAGTTACGATCGAGTTAACTATACTGTTTTAATTAAGAAAATACCTATAAATTAAACATCACTTTAGGAATTTTTTTAAATGGTCAGTCGAAATTTTTCGCCTACAATGGCATTCTCGAAACCAAAATTTACCAAGTTTATTTTAGCCCCATATTCGGTTTGATTCTAAATTTGATAGCATCAATAATCGATATAAAGTATAAGGAAAGAGTTTTTATAAATTTAAGGAAGGTTATTCCCAAAAGCATGTCCAAATATGTGTATTGACTTGTTTTCGAATACATTTTTGAAAAGCCCCCTCTAATGGACCGATTCATGCAATAAACAGATGTTTAAAAAAAAAACATTTTTTCCAATGCAGGGTTGTAAAAATGCAAATTTGATGTAATTTTTTACATTTTTTTGTAAAAAGTTTGAAAATTCACCAAAATTGTGACTACAAAGAACTGTCGATGTTTTGGGATTTAAAAAAGTCGTCTGAAATTGAAACGGGGCTTCCATTTGATCCGAGAGTGAACTCGAGACCAGCTGAATTTCCCACATGACTTCTTTGAAAATCATATAACAAAAAAATTCACAAAACTGTCATCTAACCAGCCAAAAATATTTACGCAAATATTGAATTATTTGATAATGGATTATATTAACAAAAATAATATATCAGATTATGTAATTCTCTGAAAAAAAAAATATTCGTTCGGCAAAATATGGATGGCGAATTTTATTCGGTAAAACTGTCTTCTTTGTAACGAAAAATGAATGAATAAAATAAGAGGAATAAAGAAAACCAAAAAAGGAAACGCATTTGAATATTATTATTATAAATTACGTAAATCCATAAAACATGCGGTTGCCAAATTTTTTGGATATTTTTAGAAATCCGAGAAAATTGCAAATAATTTCACTTTTTGGCGGTTTCAAACGCAAAAATTTTCTATTTCATTGATTCAAATGTCAAATTCTGAGAAGAAATATTGAAAAAATCACGAAATGAGAATACGAATCCAGTTATTAAGAGGGTTTGTTCAATGAACACTCATAACCAATATTTAAATAAATATTGGCCTTTTTATACACATTAACTGATTGAGTCTCAAAAAAAGGTATAGCTGAAAACATAGAAATATTGGGAAAGTCGGACAACCATTGGTCGACGATTTACTGTACGACATCTCAAAGGCGGAGGACCCGATCGAATCAAGACCCGCGAGGGAGGACTCGGTCGAATAAAGACTCGCAAGAGTGGACCAGATCGAATCAAGACCCTCAAGGGAGGACCCGGTCGAATAAAGACTCGCAAGAGAGGACCAGATCGAATCAAGACCCACAAGGGAGGACCCGGTCGAATAAAGACTCGCAAGAGAGGACCAGATCGAATCAAGACCCGCGAGGGAGGACTCGGTCGAATCAAGACACTCAAGGGAGGACTCGGTCGAATCAAGACCCTCAAGGGAGGACCCGGTCGAATCAAGACTCGCAAGAGAGGACCAGATCGAATCAAGACCCTCAAGGGAGGACCCGGTCGAATAAAGACTCGCAAGAGAGGACCAGATCGAATCAAGACCCGCGAGGGAGGACTTGGTCGAATCAAGACACTCAAGGGAGGACTCGGTCGAATCAAGACCCTCAAGGGAGGACCCGGTCGAATCAAGACTCGCAAGGGAGAACCCGGTCGAATCAAGACCCGCAAGGGAGGACCCGATCAAATCAAAACCCGCGAGGCAAAAATGGAATCAAGTTTTGTAAGTAGAAAAAATGGGTTCTTTAAGGATATTTTTAAGAGAAATTGTTTCCGGGGAAGATGAAATGTGTACAAGTTTTCATAAAGATTTAACGGGGGTAGACAGTGAACTTCGAGATTCAAATGAAGTAGAAAGATGCAAATTATTCGAATTTAACTCAATTTATTAACATATCAGCGAGATGGAAGGGAATTTTCTCTAAAATCGCGAAGAAAATGCAAATACAAGGAGGGCTGACGAATTTTTTTTCGATCGCCTCGCGAATTCTTTCGTTGACACATTTATTTCAATTATGAATTCTTAGTGCTCCATTTCATCACCAATTGGTGTTTGGGGTCTCTAAAGTTTTACAAAATATTATTCCAAGTACTGACCACAAATAATATTAACTGCTTGTCTCAATAACAATTATTATTAGAGAAAAGTCGATTCAAATAACTGATTTCTTGAATTTCAAAGGTAACGAAAAAAATGTTGATTTCATATCATTTTAACAATGAAATTTATAATTGCAATTTGTTTCTAATTGAGCATTTATGGAATTTTCAGCGAATTTTAATTAGAGATAAGAAAAATTAACAATATTTGTAACAAGTTTTTTGGAATTTGAAAACGACTTAAAATAATAATGTTTAAAATGGTTTCAGTAAACTAAAATAAACAATCATTGGCTTTAAAAGACTACAAAAATTATTTGCAAATGTCAGAATAACAAATTAGATTTTCCAGATGTATATAAGTGACTATGGATGGTCGCTGAGTCGATCGAAACCAAAACGAAAACACAACCGACCGAATCCAATTTCCGAAAAATTTCCGTTTACGCAAAACGATCGCATTTTTTAGGAAGTTTTTTTTAATCAAAAATGCAAACTACACAATGGAAATTTATGTAGATTTTGGGATTTTCAAAATCTGCAAAATTCCATCATCCGGATCATAAAGAGCACAGAATTTCTCTAATTGTTAATTAATTGGAAGACATTGCAAAATTTGTGTTTTAATAACAGATGTTTATTGATACTGAACATGATGTTTAAAAGATTTGCAGAATCACATTACTTTTTGCGAATGGATTTTATGCTGCCTACATGAAAATTTTACGTCACATTAGTTTTCCAATAACAATGCCTTATAAGCGGAAGTAGCGCAAATTAATTACAGGCAAAAATCCAGTGCACCTCATGATGATACGCCGCTCTATGAACTTTGTGGTTTTAAGAGAACTACAAGAATTGATGACAAAAAAATTTGCATTTTCGAATTCCGGACCATTGAAAACCTATAAGCGGTAATTAGTCCAAAATGAAATCGTAGAGTCGATTGCATCCGCTCTTCTGGAATTCGTTGTTTCCGTTCTTCTTTGGAGTCGTCTTCAAACAGCACTTGTAGATCGGATCGGTTCTGCACGTTCCGCCGAGAGTGAGGCAATTCATGACGCACTTGTTGAAGCACGTTCTGTTCGTCTCGGCGGCGAAGCTCTTGAATGGAGAACAGTAGTTGTTCGATGGTCCGCCGTTGACGTACGAGCAGAACGTCTCACAAGCGGTCACAGTGACTGTGCTGACGCCAGCGACGAGGCACAACAAGGCGAAGATGCGGAGAAGCTGGAATTATTCGGACCATTTCGAATTTATATAGAAAATTACCATATTTGGGATGATGATTCGATGAGAAATGGTGAGGATTCTGAGAACCAGACTCTATTTTATACAAAAAATCCTAGACAATTATTCTTCTGTGAAATCTGGCATCCAACTGGCATATTAAAAAAGTTTCATATAATTTTATTGGAATCATTGAATAGAACTCCCTTGGAACACTGTTTCACTGATCGAGTATACATAAAAAACGAGATGCTCAATGTTACTGCAAAGAAGAAGAGGAACAACGAATTCCAGAAAAGAATCTACGATTTCATTTTGGACTAATTAGTTCAAGACAGTTTGATGACAAAAAATAGTTTTATTTGAAAACAAGTGATAAAATTTATCAAAATCTCCAAAAAATGTCGTTCCCACACAATATTCATCCTAAAACCTGTAAGCAAATGAATAGAATTCAGAAAAAAAAACCGCAAATAATACAATTTAAAATTGGAATTTCGAATTCCAATGGAACGATTCTTCGACAAAAAATGTAGTGATTTCACAGGAAAAATTGATATTTTTCTTCTCTTCGTTTTTTTACAAAGAAACGAAAAAACTGACAAGAAAGAACTGAAAAACTATCAGAAATGAACATGTTTTTTATGAATTCCTTATAAATTTTTAGAATTTCTCTTTAAATGACAGTTTTATATTTCGAATATTAATTTACTATTGTTTTTTGTATTCGTCGAATCATAAATTCAAAATTCGCAAGCAAAAACATTATTTTCTCAATGGCTGCAATCTGAACAATACTTCTCTCCATTTCCATGTTTAAAAAATAACTTGAGTCATAATTTTGAACCACAATAAAAAAATGTTAGGTGGTCAAATGTTGAAAATCGAAACTTATTTGCTATAAAAACTCGAATATAATTTTTCACTGCGATGATTACATCTAGAAATAATTGTTTCACTGAGTTTCATACATCATCCTGCATTTTATTAACAATGATTAAGTAAATTCTGTTGCAAAAAAGAGCAATATATCATAAGAAGAAAGAAAAAATGCGAGATACGGTAAGCATGTAAATGGTGCAAAAATGGGTATCCGTGCATACACACATTTAATTTTTGAAATTTTTTTCAATCAATATCGGTTTCGATAAATTCCTTGATGTTTCCGTATTTTCTGCAAAGTATTCAAAAATTTTATAAAGTATGCGATACTATTTAATAATTTATCAATTACGTTGTTTGCTTTCATGTTTTTTTTCCATCATATTTATGCTTGACCTGTTTGTTTTTTGCTCTTTGTTTGGATTAAATTTCTATAAAAAACATATTTAAAAAAACGAAATTTTGTTAAAAATTTTATCTTTATTGCAAAATAGAGTGTAAATTCTTCTAGTAATTGTTTAAAATCGTGGAATACTCTCTTCATGGTTTTTTTTACATACGTAAATATGTTATGATAACGATTCCTCAGAACATTTTTTGTTCTATAGAATAATAGTAGTGCAAATATTCAATATCACTAGCTAAATATCAGGTATTGAAGCGTAAATACGAACTTTTTCATTTCCAAACTATAAATTATAGAAAGCGAGAGACCGCATTTGTCTTATTTGTTCTTTTCATCAATGTTTATTAATTCATTTGCATAGCTCTCGCTAAATACAAATAGTTCTATAATATGCTTAATCCTGAATAATTCCCCCGTGTGAGGGCAGTCTGCCAAAAAGTATAAAATTGAGCGTGTTACCAAATCACTTATATTGAAAAGAATTCGATCACTTTTATCGCCAACAACATCAATTATCTAGTCAGTGTGGGAATATTCGCTTTCATCCCACGGTTTCTTTCTTTTTTTCGTGGTGGCTGTTATCCTTTCGTCGCCGTCTCATTTTTATCCCCGTTGATTGATTCATGATTGCCGAAATTTCTGCAGATGGATTTAAAAGAATATTTTCCCGAGAGTATCTCCGTCATTCATCCCGATGATTCGCACCATGAATTATGTCCCAATCATATCGAACAGGTACTTCCCATCATTATTCCTATTTCTCTATAAATGAATAATTACAGATGCCTGAAAGAATGCGATTTGTGGGGAGAAAATTGCGCGGAAGAGATCCTCCACTACTTCCGACAATTGTCGAAGCAACTTCATCAGTAAGTCGAAAATCTTTGAGGAGTTCAAACAGAATTTTAGCTTTAATATTTTTCTCTTTAAAATGTCATCTTTTGAACATTCGACGTTCCGTTCTAATATAGAACTTTTTCTCCGCATGAACAGATTATGAAGCCTTTAAAAGAAGAATTTGTGCGTAAAAATGCAGATCATTGTGAATTTCTGATGATTGAAAATGTGCCGAATACCGTTATATCATTATTTGTTTATTTTCGTTTTCAGACCGACTTGCATAATGTTAATCGATTCCCAATCAATTGTATGATTTGCTACAAGACCATAATTCCAGCAATGAATGGCGCAATGGAAGATTATTTCAAACCGTGTGCTTGCCCTTTGTGAGTCAGTTTTCCATTTTTTTTTTGTCGTCGTGTTTGCCATTTAAATAAATATAAATAATATTTTGCAAGGAGAACACAATAGAAGGCATCCATCGGCTGACTGAGATTATTATCAAACCAGTTCTGTAAAAACGATTTTAGGCTGTATGCCCACAATTCGTGTGCGCTGAGAACTGAAAACTTCATAGGAAGTAGATGTGGACGGTGTCACGAGGCGAATTTGCCAAAATTGGTAAAATTTTAATTTAAATTTGTTTTTTTTTTCTTGCTAATTTATTTCGAGTTATTTCAGAGCAGGAGAACCTCGGCGAGCAGCAGAATGAACTTCTCGCCGTCCCGACAACTCGCGGGTTCTGATAAACGTTTAATTTTTGATTCGTATTTCACATCAGCTGGAATATGTGCGTTGTGCCAGAATTCAAAATTTCGAGTGGGCGATATTTGAAGGAAACACTTTAAAAAATCTATTCAGAATCCTCAAATAGGAGAGAAATTTGATGCAAAATTCGTCCGGCCGTGCTTTTGCGGGTTTTCCCCCGAAAAAAAAAACAAATTGTTCAATTTATTCACTATTTTCAGCTATCTCGCTCATCATGGATGTCTTGTTGAACAGCTTAAAACAGAAACCAGCTGTGGTGAATGCGGTGTGAAATTTCGGTTTCTTAAAGTTTCTATAATCGCCTCTTTCCTCTAAAAAATTCAAGTTTTTAGTATGGTTCTATAATCGACTTCTTCAAGCGTTATTACTTCCAGTATTTTGCGCTTATAGTATTTTTCGCGGTTTTGACTGTATTTTTCTACATGGCTCTCTCAAGATCAATTCTTTTCACAAACCGCATCTCTTTTAACGATATACGTAAGTTTCTTTTTTAATCAAGAAATCTCCAATCGGTATATTTTGCAGTATTATTCGTGATATCGATGCTCTTTTTTGTTGTTATCATCTCTATAGTCATTTGTTTGGTCCGTTATACCATCAATACAAGAATCCCACGATTCCAAGCGAGATACGGCCGAGTCACCGTATTGTCATATGATCCTGACGCATCATCCAAGAAAGATTTAAAAAAGATGATTGTAAGAGTTTAGCAGAAAAATTAAAAAATGTTACTGCAATTTAGAAAACTTCGAGAATATTGGCCGGAATTGATACAAGCATCCATATGGAGGATGTACGAATGGCTGACGATTTTGATGTGAGTCTCAATTGTTTTTTTTTTCGGTTTTGATTTTTAAGATATCTCAAGACTTGAAACCAATATGTAATATCGGCTGATCGATTCTATTATGCAATATCTTAATATTTGAATTGCCTCTAATGAAAAATATGTTAGGAAATCCGAACAACAATCGAAAACGCATTTTTATTAATGAATTTCAAGACATTTTGTCATTAGAAATTAAAGAAGTGATTAATACTACGAATTCGATGATTCGATATTTACAAGAATCTTTCCAGAACTCGATTGATGTCCGAACAGACGATCTCACACTCGGCCAATGCATGTTTGGCGTCTACGCCACTCACCATTCATCTTCTACCCCAATAAAGGATATCCAAGATAAATTCATCTTCGAAGCTTCTTCGGCTGCTGAATCGCCGAAAACCGACGAGCAGAAAGAAGGAGTCGATGAAAAAACGGAATTAGTGAAAGATCAACAAGAACAACAAGCTTAATTGTATGCGTTTGCTGTGAAATGCGCTGATTTCTTGTGTTCTGTACTTATTTTATATTTTCTTTTTCGTTCGTTAATTTTTTCCAAAACTGCGGAAAAATCTCTAAATATTTCATGCATGTGCCTAGAAATCGTATTATTTTATATTATCTCCAAACCATTCCAAAAAAACAGTCGAAAATCTCGGGCCCAACTTACCGGTACTAATGAAAAATGATGAATTCGTGTGAATATAAATTGATATGATATTTGTGAAATGTGTTTTCAATCGAATGGCCGTGACCGCGTCGCTAGAAAAAAAAACGCTGAAAATATTTTTTACACGGCCACGGCCACATGGTGCACCGCGAAATTTGAATTGTTGTCGATTTTTCGTAATGACCTCCTGTCTATGAGGTCATGAATAGTTACGAGGAATTGCCGTGTTCAGTATATTTACCGAATCGAATTGGTATTATTGGTTTTATTTATAATTTGGTGCATAATTGTAGTATTTTTTAGATTTTTCTCGACCAACTGCGCCAGATCAGATTTCAGAAAAAGAAGTTGTCGTTGAAGAACCGCCTCCAGAAACTACAAAGAGGTACTTTTGTTCAAAGGAAATTTTTTTAATGAATCTGAAGACATTCAATTTATTAAGTTTCTGGAAAAGAAATGGTTTTCTCATTCGTCATAGAGAAAATATGTTTTTTTTTGGAAAACAGATCTTATTAAAATTTTTCTGAAAATTGAAAATTTCGAAATGTTCAGACGAGTCAATTAATTCCTTTGCGTTCGTAAAAATTTTATTGCCAACTGTTGTTTTTTTTTTTAATTCGCCAATATTCAGAGTTGAACCACAACCTGAAAAATCGGTTCCAAAATCTACGCAAAAGAAGTCCTGCTTATCAAATACAATTAAAAAACCGAATATTGTTCATCCTGCTCTCCGGAAAAAGACTGTCGCTTTCGGAAAAACAGTGAACGTTTCCCAAACCATCGAGGTTCGATTTTCCGTTTTCTCAATTATTACGAACATTTAGGGAACATCGAGAGCTGCTAAAAAAATGGCCGCAAAATCACCTACGGTTGCTTCCAAAGAGGAATATATGGCGAATCTGGAAAAGATTGAGCAGAAATTTGAAGAAAAACATCAAGAATTGCTTCAAAAGTTCCAGGAGAGCGCACAATTCCAAGAAGAATGCAAAAACGAAATTATAAATGTGGTAAAAGAGCAAAATAGAGATATTGGCGACACCAAAAGACTAACTTCTGGCAAAATTTCGGTTGGAAATGTTGGAATCAATTTATATTTAATTTTTTTTTCTTCCAGGTTTCTGAAATGAGGCGGATTGTCAAAACGGAGAGGAGAATTCCGGTAGAAGCACTGGCTGTTTTAGAAGATCGACTGAGAATGAATCCCATATTCCGACAGACAATTGACGATGCACTCGCGGAGGTAATTTTAAGTTTTTTATATTCAATGCAGCTTTTATCATGTCAAGGCCGAAGACGAAGAGAATCGATATGGTCGTCGATCACCATATCGCGAGGAATATATGCCATCTCGCCCACTTGAGCCGTCTACTACTCAAAATGCTCTGATGCGTGAGACATTGACTGTCGAAAGAAGCATTCGGTTGGATAATGCAATGTCGATCGACTCGAGACAATGGCTGAATGGATCAAGAGCCCCTGAAAAGGCTTCTAGCATTTGTGAGTTCTCAACATTTATTTTTTAAAAGAATTTTCATTGACTCCTTGAAAAAATAAAACTACGGTTTAAATGCAACTAAGTAAAGTAAATCCTGTTTTTCCCGATAATTATAGATCGAGATAGAAGTAGAGACCGCTGGCAAGCTGGGGGTAACGCAGAGATTCTTCATTCAACGTATCAGCCGGGGAACAGTATTAGCTACTATCCTTCAGCCTCAGATTCAAGACTTCGACGCAATCAAGATGAGTGCGTATTTAAAATATTATTCCATTGGTTTTATTTTTATTATATTCAGTTACTATGTCGAGCACGTTTCCGATCACGACGATCATCACGACGGCATCGATCGACACGCCGAATCGCGCGCGGAAAAAGAGCGACGAATTCGTGAAAAATATGCGAGGAAAAAATGAAAACTAATGTAGTTTTATTTGTTGTGCAATGAAAATATTATCAATGAGCGATTTTGTTGGTGCAAAGTCCGGCGGTAAGAGGCGGAATGATATTCGGCACAGTTTCGAGCACATACGGCGGGGAGTCGTTAACTCGTCGGAGAGCCATAACGCTTCCTGGTGGATAGCGCACTCCGAGATCAAGCTTCTGACTGCGATTATTCACATCGCAGCTATATATGGGATCCTAGAGAAATAAGAGAATTCCGATAAAACAAAAGAATGCATACCTCATAGGAAGTGTATTCATCCTTACGATCTTCTTCGATATTGTCTCCGTGTTGTCCTATAAAATGTTATTTTAAAATTTGCCAGACTTCTTGCAAAACTTACCAATTCTCGAAGCGATGTCCATTGTGATGGCGTGTCCGATGATAATTGCAGGATGATCTCGTTGCTGTCCGCATATACTGAATATTGTTTTGTAGACAATTTTCTCAGCGCCTTCGCTGAATTACTTTCGAAGCACAAACATGATTCTTTGAATACACTGCTCCTGTGTTTTCGTAGCAAATCCCAACTCAATTTCTTCAAGAGCGAAAATTGGTTTGCTAAATTCGGAAATCATATTTAAATCTCTCTCTCTCTTAAAAATTTCCAGACTATGACTGATCAATTGCATGTGAGAGACCATAGGAACCCCGAAAATCCGGCATATACTGGGCGCCACCGAATCGATACCACTCAACCGGCTCAACAAGTCCGGGCTCAATCTAGAAATTTCTAGTCAATTTATATATTTTTTTTCGAATTTTTACACAAATTTTCGCTTCATTCGTTTTCGCAATGCACATCGCCGTCTGCACAGTCCTCAATGTTGGACTACAATAAATCGTTGGAGCATCGACACCTCGATTACGGAGGGCTCGATAGACGAGTTGCGTCGAATATTTCCCTTAAAATGAATTTAAAAGAGGAATTGGAAGAAAAGTCGAAGAAACCTATGTTTGTAATCGGTGGATTGAATAAATACTCCATCGGATGCAATGTGATATCTTTAGGCACATTTAGGTCAGTTGGATGAACCTGACGAACTTGGATTGGGATAGGAAATGCAAAGTTTGCTTTTTTTGAGAATTAGGCGCCAATATTCGAAAAATGACATTTGAAAATTGCAAATCACATGAATTGTTTATTTTCTTCGGAAAAAGAAATTGACAAAATCCATTTTTGGAAGAGGAACGATGAAATTTGTTTAATTTTGGACATCCTCTTGTGGGAGTATAATTCAAAACCAATTGACACATTTTACAAACAGATATGGAAATAGTTTTTCGTATCGGGTCTTGAAGTGAAAATTCTGGAAGCGGCTATTTTGAGAAACGCACTAAATAAAAATTTTCATTCGATTCGTAAATATGGTTTCAATTCAAAAATTCTCGTATTCTTCTAAAATATTTAATGACATTGTTTTTTTTTCGAAAACTCAATACTTCTTAAGACCGATTGATAGAATTACCAGAATTCTTACTTTCCAACATCTCTGGTTACTAAAAACCAATCGAATCCGACCAAATTGGGCTCCGGAATTCACCTTATCCTACTGGTAATTCTACGGATAAGATTGTAATATTGTCGGATCCCATTGGACATTTTTCTGATACCATTGATAATTTGTCGGATCCGATTCGAATTGAAAAATTAAAACAAAACGGATTCGAAGAAAATGCAATCGGATCCGACAAGCTACCAATCGGATAAGATCGATTTCGGAACCGAATTTTGTCGCATCCAATTGGTTTTGAGTTACCAGAGTCCCAATTTTTCCAACCTTTGTCCACCATTTCTCGGTGCTTATCCAAGTGTTTCCAAAAACTCGATCCATTCTCTCGGCGCTTCTCATTACAACGGTTATCCTTTTCATATTCTTTCGCGATTTCAAACACAATGTCCAACTCGAACGCACATACTCAGCATCATCTTTATAACCAACGTGTTCGTCCTTTTCGGAACTACCGTGAACATATGTCGAACTACTCATTTTTGCTTTTTCTGGAAATTCGCCACCATTTTGCCGAATGTGCAAATTTGACACTAACCAGACAGATAAATCGATACGATAGAAAAATTATTTGGTAATACCGGTTTATTTCTATTTTTAACGGAAAAATGAAAAACAGAGCAACACGCACGTAATACAAATTAGTTTTTGAAATGCACTTCACGTTGGCGAACACGATAAAGTAACCCGAGTAAGTCGTCATGATGCGCAATCTTCTCATTATGCAAATACAGTAATGGAAATTTGTCCATCAGCTTTGGTCGATGATAAATGATCGGATTGACCAGACAAGCAACAAGAAGATCCAACCAAGTCATCTGGAATTTTAATGTTGATATGCAGATTACAAAACAAACTCGTGAAATAATGTTATTTTTAAAGACGAACGTCACAAATACTTCATGATTCTAAAATTTTACAGCGACCGAAGTTTTCGGAGTGTTTTTTCGCAATCTGCATAGTAACATAAAAAAAATGAAATAACTGAGCTCAGAGATCCTGTTGGAATCACTGCGGCACGGAAATTACCGCTAACATAAGAGGTGTCAGAAGCATATAGCGTGCATTCATCACCGCTCGAGACGCGGCATCGAACCCGCAATGACAGCCAGCAAATCGCGCCGTCTACCCGACTGGGCCACAAGTGCGCTACTCACCGTATGTCCAACTAGCCATGATGTGTTTGTGGCCTGCAGACGTCTCTCAAGCGCTGGGAAAAGTCGGGCGGTGAGTGGCAAATGAGCGTCGTTGCGAGTGCAAACCTCCTAAATATACCCATATATTTAGATATTTTAAAGAAAAATGGTCTCTCTTACATCACAGGCGTGTTCTGGAGCATGCTCAATATGGTCTATCCAGTTTTTGACTTGCATTCGAATCTCGAAAACGCTTTCGGCGATATCATCAACAAGCGCGTCATCATAGGCGGTTTTACCAGATAAATCTATAGTAAACCTTTTTGAAAAGAAAAATTGTATGAATTGCGTTTTCTCACTATATCTCCATGCAAGATGCCGGCAAATTGACACCACACTTCCATATTTGCGATCGTTCATTTCTAGCATTGGAAGTGCGAAATATGGATAATCTGAAATTAGAAATGCAAAATTTACATTCAATTTTTAAAAAATGAAACCTTCAAGGATGTAATCATCTCTCTGAACGTGCTTAAAATCAAAAGGCACTTTCGACAATCTGAATATCATGCGAATCACTTTGCTTTCTTCTCCGTCATCGAAGTCGTGTAGAGTGTACTTTGGCACAAGGAATCCGTGCATCGAATCAAGTTTCGACATCTGAAATCAATTTTCCGTTCATTGACGACTTTGTTTATAATTGAATTCAATCGTGAAAATGAGAAAAATTCGAAAATGATGTGTGAGGTGGCAAAGAAATCGCCTAAACACTTTCAGTTTATAACAATCGCGATACTTTCAACATTTTTGGGTAAATTTTATACCTTGATTGGAATATTCCTGCTAGATGTGCACTTGACCGAAACACTCAAATGTCGTCCGCTTCCAGAAACTTTCTGAAAAAAAAAAAGAAATTAATAGGAACCATCGAAATAAATATGTAAATAATGGGAATGTCTCACCACGAATTTCGGAATTTCGACGAAATGAATAGCGAATTTCAATGAAACATTTGGCGGTATTTTTTCATGCATTTCTAGGTCATTGAGCAGCACATATAAAAAAAAGTGAGAAGCACGATGAACGGGCTCAGTGTATCAGATAGATAAATGCTTACAATTTATCATTCGCCGACTCGATTTTTCTCAAAATCTTTTCTTTTTCATCTTCTTTTTTTTTAAATCTCACACTGCAGCCCTATCGAATGACCATGTTTTTCGAGAAAATTATTTTTTATTGGTTTTTTGAGCAAAAAGTGTAACTGAGTACATGATAAAGTGAAGAACATTGTTACAACACCAGATCAGTGGTTTTTGTTGATGAGCGAAAGCTCCTCGAAAAGTTTTAAACGTTTCGACTTGTTTCACTGAAGGAAAAGAGAAAAATGAGCGATTGTGAAAATTTGATATCAGCAATGTTTTTTTTTGACACCCAACTTGCCAAAAATGGGCAAGTACACACCTATTTGATTTTAAACTTGTGATTCGATTAGTTCAGCTGATCATTCGAAACAAATATCAACAAAGAGACGCAATTTTGAAGTAAATTTGATCGTTATTAATCAGAGAATTAATTTATGGAAAAAGGAAATACAAACCTGATAATTCCATTTCATGAAGAAAAAATTTATTTCATTTTTAAAATAATAATTTTTATGCATTGTTGCAAAATGTGCAAAATGGCGTATGGTGTTTGCAGAACAATTGCAAAAATAATCGAAACAAACTTTTTTTAAAATAAATTCTATAATAGGAAAAGGAACAAAAGTAGTTGTTGCAAGTGTAGTGTTGCAATATAAATGAAGAAACGAAACGCGGAATATTATTGATAAAACCAATTGATAACACGGGTCTAAACAATGTTTCGTGGGCACGAATCGACGAGTAGCGCACGTAAAATAGCCGTTCTTTTTTTAAATGTTTTGCGAACATCAAAACCGCAGCCGCGTTCGGCATCAATCACTTCCATTTTTTGCAGTCCAAAAAATATTACGAGTGTAAATGAACGAGAAATAAGAGAAGGAAGAGAGCGACAGGTATAAAAACGTTGTATGCATTTATATTGATCGTTTGGCATGAGAGCGACGCACACAAAAAAAAACAGAAAGTGAACAGATGAACCAATCGTTTAAAGTACGTATTGATCGGTTTTTAATTGACAGCTGCAAATATGCATACACTTTCACTTCACGCCGATTGCGACCGTAGATGGAGTGATATCAACAGGTTCCATCGTTCTCCAAATATTGTTTTTTTTCAAGTGCAAACCCATCAGTGTAACATTGTCAATTGTGAGAACGATCGAATCAAAGACCTTGACAGGCGTGCACGATGCATATAGTCTTTTTTGAAACAAAGTTCAAACCAACTAAGCATTTTGCAGTTTGAATAAATTGTCGTTTTCAATTTTTTTATACGTCTCAAAGAGGAAAATTGGTTGTATGGAAAATCAGTGGTAAAAAAATCACTTGATGTGAAAAAAGTATCTTGTGGTTATCGTCATAGATTTTTGAAAATTAACCATTGCTTTTTCACCTGCATGTTCAAATGTTTTGGAACATTTTTTTGCAAAAATTTATAATAAGAATTGAAAGTTAGCGATTGAAGCGATAACGTCTTCCGTCTCTCGAATATCCGCATTCCATATTCTGAATCTCGAACATATCAGCGTAATGAGTTGGAGCAATCAGAGCTCCCCATCCGATATCGCAGGTGACAACGGTTGCCAATGGCGCTTTTCGGTTCTATATATAATATAATAATTGCGGGGGTTATGAGGCACATACGCTCATCTTGAGAACATTGTTGTGTCCCCAAGCTTCTTGGTCCCTTCCTTGGCTCATGTCAACTTTATAGAGAATCGCGACGTACTCTCCATCTCTGAGAGGAGGTGGGCATTGCATGAGGCTCCAAGTTGTGTTCGAGCACATTGCGTTCTGATCCGCATTGCTATTTCTTGCCAAGATTCCATTGCTGTCGATATACGGCAGCTTGCAGCAGACTGTTATAGAAACCCGCGATCAAATTCGAAACTTGCAAAAACACTTACTTGCCGACACAGCAACAATGAGCGCTGCGAGGATGCACACCTTTTGGAAGACCATGTTTGATCCAAGTCGCTTCAACCCTTTCCTTTTATACGTATTCGGATTTATATTTATCCCATAGTTTATTACGAAATACCTATAAGACTGTGCGAATTAAAATAAAACGAGAGAAAATGCAAAAGTATAAAATGGTGTTGGAAAAGACAACCAAAACCAAACGCAATGCTCCAGAAAGTGTGCATCCTATCGGTATTGATTGCCGCCGTGTCTGCAAGTAAGTCACATCTCATTTCCTAATCAGTAGTCGGTTTTGAGTCTGCTGCAAAGTTCCATGGGTGAACCCCAACGGACAAATTCGAAAGTTGAATTGGGAGAGCAAGGACTTGTGCACTAACCAAACATGGCATGCCGTCTACTGCTTGGCTTCTCGCAAGCATTATACCGCCCTTCTGAAGGATGTCGACATGAGCAGAGGAGTTACTGAGACAGTTTATCCATTAAAGCAATATTCATTCTTTGTTGCGGTAACATTTTGCCCATTGTGACAGCGTTAGCGAAGCAAACAAATTTAGCTGCGAAATGCTGGAACTGCTGTGACATGTGACACGAACACCGGAAAATGGATGGCGTCGAGCAGCAAGTACGACTACGTCTATATGGACAAATTCGAGTGCGGATTTGCTGATTTCGACGGATATAAGGCCAAATTCAGACTTCAACTTTAAGCCTATCGTTTCAACATCCATAAACTCATTATTACAACAGTTATTGTGTAATTCGAACTCCGGGTTTTGAGGAAAAGGAGAAATGATTCTTTAAAAATTTCGATATGTATAGCAAATTTTTCTATAGCTATCCAAAACTACGAGTACTTCGCTGACAATTTCATCATCTCTATGATTGTAATATTTGTTTTACAATCTTTGACCCTTTTTAAAAATATTCATTTTAAATATATGTGGACATTTCCCGGGATTCCCAACAAACGTCTTTTTGTAATTTCGTGAAAGTGAGGTGGCGGAAATTCAAAAATGGTCCCAGTTTTTTTTAGTTAACGCTGATTTCAATTTCCTTTTTTTGTATATACCAAAAAATATGCATGTTGATTTACGTGAAAGTTGCACGTTTAAATTTCATCGTCGAATAAAATCCATTGGGTGTAAACACGCGAAATGCTTATTTATGGAAATTCACAACCTGTGCATTTTATTTGCCAATATACGCATGTTGTCAAAACTGTGATATAGTATTTCTTCGCAACAAATTAATTTGCTTTACTTTTTTTCAATTTCTTATCTATTTTTCTTCATATTTTTATTCTTTGAAAGATAAATCCTCCTCCCTTTAAATTCAAATTTGAATTATCTCCTTGAAAAAAAATACGATGGTCCACAATTATATAAAAGTACACGCTTTATGCGATGGTATTCTCGGTGTCAAACGACTAAATCAATTCGGGGCCTTCAAATTCGCGAAATTAGTGATCATTTAATTTTTTCGCTGACTGAATATAATGCAATGTACGCAGTTTCGCGTAATTCTCGCTGTCTCGCTGTCTCGAGACGCATTGACGCATAGCCAATAATTTTTTAAATTTCGTCTAGTCGTTTGACTCCAAAAATAATAACTTGTAATAATACACATTTCGCTTTGCGACAACAACCGTTGGATTGGCATTTACCCTATCTTCCGCAGTCGTTCGACGCAGACAATAATTCAATTTAAAGCACTTTAAAGGATTTTAATAATGAGTTTATGGATGTTGAAACGATAGGCTTAAAGTTGAAGTCTGAATTTGGCCTTATATCCGTCGAAATCAGCAAATCCGCACTCGAATTTGTCCATATAGACGTAGTCGTACTTGCTGCTCGACGCCATCCATTTTCCGGTGTTCGTGTCACATGTCACAGCAGTTCCAGCATTTCGCAGCTAAATTTGTTTGCTTCGCTAACGCTGTCACAATGGGCAAAATGTTACCGCAACAAAGAATGAATATTGCTTTAATGGATAAACTGTCTCAGTAACTCCTCTGCTCATGTCGACATCCTTCAGAAGGGCGGTATAATGCTTGCGAGAAGCCAAGCAGTAGACGGCATGCCATGTTTGGTTAGTGCACAAGTCCTTGCTCTCCCAATTCAACTTTCGAATTTGTCCGTTGGGGTTCACCCATGGAACTTTGCAGCAGACTCAAAACCGACTACTGATTAGGAAATGAGATGTGACTTACTTGCAGACACGGCGGCAATCAATACCGATAGGATGCACACTTTCTGGAGCATTGCGTTTGGTTTTGGTTGTCTTTTCCAACACCATTTTATACTTTTGCATTTTCTCTCGTTTTATTTTAATTCGCACAGTCTATAAATCCGAATACGTATAAAAGGAAAGGGTTGAAGCGACTTGGATCAAACATGGTCTTCCAAAAGGTGTGCATCCTCGCAGCGCTCATTGTTGCTGTGTCGGCAAGTAAGTGTTTTTGCAAGTTTCGAATTTGATCGCGGGTTTCTATAACAGTCTGCTGCAAGCTGCCGTATATCGACAGCAATGGAATCTTGGCAAGAAATAGCAATGCGGATCAGAACGCAATGTGCTCGAACACAACTTGGAGTCTCATGCAATGCCCACCTCCTCTCAGAGATGGAGAGTACGTCGCGATTCTCTATAAAGTTGACATGAGCCAAGGAAGGGACCAAGAAGCTTGGGGACACAACAATGTTCTCAAGATGAGTGTATGTTCCTCATAATACTTTACCCCGCAATTATTATATTATATATAGAACCGAAAAGCGCCATTGGCAACCGTTGTCACCTGCGATATCGGATGGGGAGCTCTGATTGCTCCAACTCATTACGCTGATATGTTCGAGATTCAGAATATGGAATGCGGATATTCGAGAGACGGAAGACGTTATCGCTTCAATCGCTAACTTTCAATTCTTATTATAAACATTATTTTCGAAACTGATTCAAGCTTTAAGGAATATGTTAGTCTGTGGGGTGGACGCGAAAGTTTCCTCGTGTTCGCGTCCTTCTAGATTGTCGGAAGGGGCAACCTAAAGGCGACGGGCAAAAATAGATATTTTTTCGACGCTGCCCATCTTCAGTTAGTCGGCCAGGAATTTTTCCTTTTTTTTTTGAGCTTGGGAATCACCCATTTCGATTTTTTGGTGCAATTTTGAGAGGAAAACCATAAACTTCAAATGAAATTCTATCGATATGTTTGAAAAAAACCCAAGCTCGCGCCGGCTTCTTCTCGGATTCGACAAGGCCTATATACAAACTGAGATATTGCTATGTAGTGTAATGTTTGTAGTGCAGAAATAAACCAAAAAATTGATATTGCAAGAAAAAAAAAGAAGCTTTAAAATTGGTGAATCAGCGACAATAAATGAGGAATCGATAGAAAAGTTGTGTGGAAAAAAAAATAAATATCCAAATAAAACCGTCCAAACCCGGGCAAACATTGTGCAAACAAAAACCCAACGTGAAGAAAAAATGGGAGTTCAAGTCGGAATTCACAACGAAAATATTTTTCGACACAACGAGTGTTCAAAACCGACAAAATGGCTGCTGCCAGTGTGATTGAGATTTCATCAGGTGACCCGATTTTGAAGAAAAAAAAACAAGAGGGGTTGATTTGTGGATAGTAAACAATAATTGTGTCGCTTTACAAAAAATACTCACCTCGTGTATCGTTGGAAGAGAGACGGATTTCGTCGCCAACTTTGACTTCTTTTTGAAAAACATCTGAAAAATCCATTTCAGCATTTTCCATTTTAACTTTTTTGGTTAATAAGAATCGGTAAACACAAAAAAGAAAATAAAAATTAATTTCATTGTGGCATTATTCGAAAAAGCATTTCGGTGCGAGACCAATTTTCAAGAAGCATGAATTAATTAATCACAAAAGTGCTCGAAAAATAATGTTTTTTATATTTTCTAAAATCTCTATTTCACAACGAGGCCTAGAGTTTTTTTATTCGGAACAGATTTTCGTTTCGAAAATATTTTTTTGTCTCAACAGTCAGTTCGAAAACATAAAATAGAAAACTATATTTCTAGGTTATTAATTAAACTACATACAGTTCAATTAAAAGAAAATTCGAATATAAGTTTATTCTTAAAACTTCAAAAAGTTTTCAAGGAATATAAATAAATTTTGTTCAGTCGAATGAAGAATAATGGCTGTTACGTTATTAGTTTGATTGATTATAATTATTAAATTCAATATTTGTTTTAATCTTTATTCTCATTAGTCAAAAATCGGTGAATTAAAAAAAAAGAGCTACTACATATTGTGTATTAATATTGAGGATACGAACAGTACTCGACAAATGCGCCGCGCGTTTTCCGTTATTTCTCTATTGACTCACAAATTGTCGAAATATTTTTAAAACAAAAAATTTCGCACAGATATTTGAAAGCTGTGAAATGAGATTAATCATATTTGAGAACAAAGTTTCATTTGAATTTAGAAAGAAAAATCATGAACGCATTTTTTTAGGAATTTCAAGTCCAATATATTTTTGACAATATTTTCCGACTGATTATGTCGAAGAAAAAATTCCCAGAAAATTGACAGTGATGATATAATCACTCACCACCTGCAACTTACTATATTTACATAACCTCTTCAATTATTTTTCCAAACAGTATTGTCCCTTCGGGTATTATTGATAATCAACCAACATTTGTAGCCCATTTGATGTGAGTTTTCAATAAATCACTTTGCAATGATATACTTTGCCCCCTCCAACAACATTGTAGGCAACGAACTATAGCGGGCCAATACATTTCGCCTTGATCTTAAGTTCCTCGATTGCAAGCGTACCTGATAATATCATTTTGAATTGTGCGCTTCTTTCGTCGCCAAAAATGGCTGGTCAAAGTAAACCGCAATCGCCGTACGAGTTGGTCGAATATGTTCCAGGAACACTCGAAAGGCTCTGGTATCGAACATATGTAATAACCAAATACACAATTATTTAAAAATCAATGTTTTCAGAATTGGTTCGAAAACCGGCTTTGGCCAATTCGACCACTTCCATTCCTTACATTAAGCGTTGCTGGAACCGCCATTCAAACATCGTACTATGATAAAATCGATTTCTCAGAACTTCAATTTGATTCAATCGATGATACCCACTTGAAGGTACGTGTAGGCAACCTTGAAATCTAAACAATTTTCAGATCGTTCGTTCTTTACTGATTTCCATTGGCATCGGCTACACCACCACATTCATTCTTCGCCAGATTCTCAAACATTTCTATTTTTCCTATAAAGGATACCTATTCGAGAATCCGAAAAACCCGTCAATTCGAACCAAACTTTGGGGTGTATGTACGCATTTTGATTGAACAAAATCTGACTCGACATTCCAGGCGACTCGAGCGTTTTTGTCGAAATTCGCACCTCCAAAACTCTCGTCATGCGATTCGATTCTTCCGAATTTGCCGCTTCCAAATTTGGCCGACTCAGTTCGCGGCTACATTGAGTCCATGAAGCATCTTATCAGCGATGTAAAATAATTTTATATGATTTTTTGTTGTGATGCAAAAATATTTAGGAGGAATACGAATCGCTGAAAAAATACGGCGATGAGTTTCTGAATAATGAGGGTTGGAAATTGCAATTGATGACGTGGTTTTGGCATAAATGCGCTGAGAATTATGTGACACCTTTATGGCAGAAATTCGTCTACAATTCCGGAAGGTGCACAAAATGTTTTTGAAACAAAAAAAAACGCATAATTCCAATTCTAGATATCCCCTTTTGATCAATTCAAGTGTTGGCCAAATTACCACATATGGAAACAGTGGCAACCTTCCGGCTTACCATGTCACCAGATTGATCTACATCGAGACTCTGGCGAATATCGCTATCGACAAGCAGCAATATAACACAGTAGATTTAAAGTGAAAAACAAAAATCGCTCTTATTTAGCCTGGAGGTGGTTTGGTCTCAACGCGACACTACCGTAATTTGTACAATGGTTGTCGAATTCCTGGCGAGAAATATGACTATTTCCAATGGAACCGACCAGCAACACATGTCATCGTTTTTCGTAGAGGAATCATGTATAAAATGAATGTTTGTGATAACAACTCGAGAATTTATACGATTGACGAAATGACCAAGTAAGCTAAATGGGGAAAAAAATTGGCCCGGAAGTCGTCGTTCAGAATCATCGCTGAAATGATGCAAAGAGACGATGAGACATCGGATGTTCTTTCGAAGATCTGCAGTTTGACACATGATAATCGAACGGAATGGCATCGAAATCGGAAGCGCTTCTTTTTGAAGAATAAGAAAAACAAGAAGCTTCTTGATGTCATTGAGACGGCAGCATTTGACGTTTCGGTGGATGATGATACCGAATGGCACGTGGAAACAACGGAGAAATTGTCGATATACATGAAGGATATGCTCGCGGGCAACGGAAAAAATCGATGGGCGGACAAGACGATGAATTATGCGGTTGATTCGACGGGAAGGGTTTGATTCCGACACCTATCGATATTAGTGGCGATCGATTGCAGGGTGGAGCAACTGGCGAACATTCGCCATGCGACGCTTCCGAGCTTGATCATCTCTGCGAAAATGAGCTGAAAATGGACAAGGAGGTTCTACCAATTGCACCGATTGAAGAGCAACGAAAAATGATACAAGTGTCGTCAGATGATAAGAAAAATCTGAAGCTTGTTGAAAAGCTTGACTTTGAACTCGTCGATGGAATGGCAGAGGAGATTGAGAGGTGCTTTACAACATATCAGCATTCCTTAAATAATCTCGATCTCTATTCAATGGCGATTTTGGATTTTGGAAAGGGACGAATCAAACAATGCGGAATCTAGCCGGATGGATTCATGCAAATGTCGATCCAATTGGCTAATTATAAAGTAATTAAGGTGATTCAAATTGCAAGGAGTATAATTAGCTTTAGGATCAAGGAAAATTTGTGTTGACCTACGAGCCGGGAGCTATTCGATCTTTCGCAAACAGCCGAACTGAAACCGTTCGTCCGGTAACCGAAGCATCATGCAAATTTGTCAAGGCGATGCTCGATGAAGATACCACGGTAACCACCGGATTCTCGTTTTGCGAACCATGTGAAAAATCCTGAAAGCTCAACGCTGCCAATTGCTTCGTGAAGCCTGCGAGACGCACGTGAGAAACTGCAAAAACGTGCTAATCGGTCGCGGTTTCGATCGTCATTTGTTCGTCTTGTGTGCAATGGCGAAAGGATTTGGGTTCGAGAGCAAGTTCTTGGACCATTTCGCGAATCAGAAATGGCTGTTGAGCACTAGCAATGTAATATTTTCGATTTTAAGCAAGGCGTAGTATGTCGGCGTCCGGCGGCTGCTGAAAAACATTTTATTTTTTCATTGGGTTTAATATTCATAATTTTCGAAATGAGTCATCTAACACACACAATAATCAGTAAGTTTGCGCGAGAAGCACGTGCTTGTAAATCGACACCGCGTACAACCCATTCAACGACTATGCAGCATGTCGTTGATCTTCCAGATTCCAAACATGACCAATTCTATTGACGAGGACAAATCAATTGAATCGATCTGTCTTGGAGGAGCGTTTGGAGCAGTCGCTGAAAACGGATACGGTTTGAAATTCCTTACCAAATAATGAATCAATTCACTTATATTACAGGAGTCTGCTATCGATTCGCGGGCAATAAAGCAATTATGGTACATACAACTTCGTACCATTCCGCAGAGAATACCTCATCTCGACGATTCGCCGAAACATTGAGGGAATCTATGAACGAACTGGCCAATCTTTTCGATAGTTAAACATTTTGCTGGAAATCTATCAAAATAGATCTTGAAACCGACTTAAAAAACATTTATCAAATATATTTAATTAACTAATTAAAAAGGAAAGGAAACAGAGAAAAAAATGAATACTAATTCAACAAAAAGAGGAAAAACGGGTTGAACTTTTCGGGAAAAACACTCGTTCGCAGCCGAAAATCAAAATGACATCGAGACCAGCCTGAATACGTGATTGAAAAAAATAATTTACCCGATTTCGATTAAAACCGACTCTCTTCATTTGCTGTGTCTTAACACAACAAAAGAAAAAACAGGAAAAAAAACGGGAAAAAAGATAAACTATTGAAGGAAAAGAGACTAGAAAACAACAAAGAAATATTAATAAAATGGCGCGAAGGGACCACAACGAAAAACGGAAGCATAAAATCAAGAATTTGCTACAGAATTTTGCCATTTCGATATCACGAACTTGTCGATTCCACCGTAAACACAATTGAGAATTATCGAAGCGATTAACGAATAAAAATAGCCAATCTGAAAAAAAATGAATTACCATAACAAGATTTCGGATCAGTGGTAAACAGTTTCAAACGAAAAACTCCAATGTTTTTAAAATCTCGTGTAATTTCAATGTTAGCAGGTTTCAATTTCGTACGGCCTCGCGACAAAATATTTTGATAACTTTACAAATAAATTTTTTTAAAAAGACTAGGTTTTCACATTTGAATGCTAACAACCATATTTTCTTACCTGCAGTGTTTTCACAAAAGTGACATGATATAAGCAAGCCGAAATTACAATGAACCAGAAAAGCAGCGAAAATAATTTAACATAATGATGAAGTCGAGGCTCTTTCCACTGAAAATTAGGCAATTTTCAAAACAAAAATATTCCACGCAATTCATACACTTTTCCAAAGTCCATCACCGCGTTCGATAGGAAATTGACGATTGATTGGCTGCTCTTCAGAATAAAATTGATGTAAAATATTTTCTTTAATAAACCACCGCCTGAAATATTCGTTCAACGCAATAAAACATATTGAATTCGAAAAATTACTCATTCAGCCAATTTGTCACATCTACTTCGTTAAGTGGGACTTGAGATATTGGAATTTTTCTAATAAGAAAATGGACCTCTCTAGGAGAAGCGCCTTTAACAACCAAATCTACCTATAATTCCCAAGATTAATGGATAAAAATTGATTAAAAACGACATACTTCAGATTGCACAATATTATAAGGATAAGCTATCGTTATGTCATAAATATAGTCAATGTACCTTTCTGAAAAAATTATTATTTAAAACCTTCAACTTTCTTTCGCGATAAAACCTTTGCGCATTTTATTAACCAAATGCAAAAACCCTGTAACTCTTGGATAAAGGACATATTCCAAATTTCGAAGACCATTCTTTTTCGCAAATTCTCGACTTTTAAGCGTTGTCCATTCGGATTTGTCGGTTCCTTCAGGAAACAATAAAATCTGAATATCATATTTTCTTTAAAAAGCACGACGAAATTAATCAAATCTACCTGATAATCTTTACCGACCCCTTTAAAATAATCAATGGCATCATCAAACGATTTTCGATCCACTTCGGCGTTTCTCTCGAGAAAAACAAATTGCGCAGCGGCCATGCCAAAACCTATAGAAATCGATATAAACGGAATTAATCAAAAGAATTGTAAAAGGCTTTAGAAATTGCAAATTCAAAATAATTCTATTATTGTCTGAAAATTTGAACAGACGCTTTAAATTCAACTCACCGGCTCCTGGCAATTTCTTAAGTTGCGCTTTCAGTGAAATCTTATTCGATGTGATTAGCCACGGATTGATTTGATACAAAGCACACCACATATACATCCAATCGAGTCTAAAAATTTTCAGTTTTTTTCCAATTAAGGATTAAATATATAAAAAAAAACGAAATTTCCTAACTTCATAAAATTACAAAAACTCATGTCTACGAGCACAATAAGACAAATATGTTCCTAAAATTCCAGCCAGCATTTCGAAGTCTAAAATTGCAATAGCAGAACCCGAAATGAAAATCACAATTCAAAAAAAAAGAAAAACTAATCAGTTTTCCTCTCGATCTGTTTCAATTTTCCAATCCAATGAAAAACCTCACCTAGTCCGATGATTCATAATAAATAGTGCAGGATGTCCGTATTCAATCTCGTCGCCGCTGACGCGCACGCGAACACCCATAAAATATTCAAGAAGTCCCTGAAATTCACCGTCTTACAGTTTCCGCATTTCGATCCCTTTTTGGCCCTATGACATCACCACCACATTCATTCTGATGTCTCTCACTCGCTCTCTTTTGCATAGTAATGTGCGGCAACCGTGTGAAAAAAAAAGAAAGAAAATAGAAATGAGTAAAACGTGTGATTCACAAGGGCCCAAATTAGGCCATCAACTACTACTGTAATGTGTTCACATGAGTATTAAGGTGAGAAATACCGTCGGCACCTTTCTTTTATGTCTCAAATATTGTGATGAATTTAAAGTAAAAGTGTAAAAGTATGAAAGAATACCACTGGTATCATCATCCAATAGGAAATCGCTCGATCCATCATGTGCCTCCACATTTTGTGTTTTCCAAACAGCAAAATGAACAGAAATAGACAAATGACATAGTTGCCAAATAGGGACGTGAGCAGTATGGAGATGCCGAAGAACCATCCGAACAACGGCCGCAGAATCCGAAAATTCCGCATCCTTGTGTGGGCCGCGCGGCCTTCACCGGGTCGCTTCTTGTTTCGTTCTCCTCACCACGAGTTTTGCGTCGGCGGTCGATCGCGCCGAATGTCGTGGCCTATTTTGAATGGCTAGACGTCTCGGCGAATCACTCGATCTCTTCGCCATTATACACAACGACATACCGCGTACACACATACACATATCGCCTAGAGGAATTGAGACACAATACGAGACTTCACGCCACACAATAACACTGATTCGCGCCACTTCCCCGCCCCGTGTAGTTTGAACGCCAGACATAATAAAAATCCAGATGCATCCTTGTTTCAAACCTTGCTATCAAAACACAAACAATTATAATAAAGCGTTCTATAATCTCAAATGAGCTGGCTGGAAGATTTTTTTGCATGCTTCTTATCTATGAACATCATTTACATTCTTCCCAGACGGAGGCTTTTGGAAATCAAAAAGAAAGCGAAATGTTCAATAAACTTGATTTTTGGGTATTTTTTAAAAATCAATCTTCAGCTAAACCTTTAAGCAACTAACCATTTTAACACATGCTGACGCCTAGCGATGTACGAACTTTCTCATAAACTACATAACTAATACTGACAGCGGGGATGACCTGAAATTAAGGAAATGGTGATCTAACGGATTTGATGATTTGAAAACCTTCATGAAATTGGGAGTTATTCCCCGATAGAATCCGAGAGGCCCTTCATTCTTCATTATGTACTTGAATTGACCGACCATGGTGACTGGTTGGGACGAGAAACGAGAAACAGCTGAAAAAAAGAATACGGACGATTCATAAGTGCACACTTACGCATGGCCTGCAGTCTTGTCTTAATTAGGGCAAACGGATAACTCGCGAGTTGTCCGCAGGTTGAGCTGCACGTTCCACAAGCCAACAGCGCCAGAACCCCAGGCTCATTGGCGGTCTTCTCATAGTATATCATGTACATTCGTTTCAACGACTCATAAATCGCTAAATCGATTCCAGCGTAAGGAATAATTCCAAGAAGGTTGGGAACGTAGCCCTAGAAAAAAATTAAAAGTTGAAGCAATTTTTTTCAACCTTGTAGAAGCACTGAATCCCTTCTTTCGAGTACATTTTCTGAGCAAAATGAATAATTCCTCGATCCATTTGACCAGTTCGACGCAATGCGAGCCTCGTTTTCATCACTTCCATTGGATATATCACGGTTTGAGAAATTGCACCAGCTAAAAACGACATTTCAGTTAAAAATCGCGACATTTCTTAAAGCCTGCAGATCCAGCAAGTAATCGTTCAACTGTTGTGAGCTCTCCGCTACCTTTGCACTTTTGAATGAGTCGTTTGATCTAAACACAAAAATAATGTATTTTAAGCACAAATACATTTTATAGAACCTGATCATAACACATAAACTTTATAGCAGATTCTGGAGCGATTTTGATCACATTGATGCCATTTCCCCTCCAAAATGATTTGAATCCACCTTCAGCGTGCAACAGTTTCATACAATTCACAACACGTAGTTGATTTGCTCGTGTGGAATTAACCTAATAGCGATTAAGATTAAAATTTTCAAGAAAAAAATTTCGCTTTTGAACCTGTAAATAAACTTTGATTCTGTCGAACGGCGCTGTGCATGTCCTTGACACTGCTCCAGCAGCTCCACCAGCCACCAAATGTCTCCACCAAACGCCTGTCTGCATTTCTTGCGGTGTGAATTCTTCAGGGACTTGGCTGTCTTCTCCAATGTCGATGACTAAATTATGACGCCAGAAATCCACAATATCGTGAAGACTTGACGACGGATAAAGGATCATGAAATCTCGAAACTCTTTTAAATCCACAGATGATGAGCCGGTTTGATCCATTCTAAAAAAAATATAAACACATTATTCAATATTTTTATTATTGATATTCATTCTCACTTTCCAATAATTGACTTTGCTTTTTGGCCATCGAGAGGCACACCGAGATCTGTGCAATAATCGCGAACTTTCTCGGAATCGATGAAACCTTCGCGATTCTTATCGATATCAGCGAACATTTCGGCTAATCGCTGCTCGGTTGCCAAAAAATAGTTGGCAAAATCCGCAAATCCGACTTTTTCGTCATCTTCGCTCGACATTCTTGCCATTAGAGCTGGCGCAAGCTCAAGAGGGATATGTGGAACTTCGTGCTTCAACGCCATCGTAAGATCTCTTATATCAATTGTTCCATCGTGATCAATGTCAAGTCGATCGTAGAATTCGCGAATTCTAATTAGAAAATTTGAAAATTCACATTTTTGGTCTCTAACAAACTGTTGTTCTTTTTCCGGCGGAATGCCTCCTTGCAAGGCTGAATGTGTCGCAATCGCAGCTTCTTTCGTGACTTTTCCCCGGATTAACGGCTCATAATGAGGGGACAAAAACGATGTAACCTCAGTCGCGAATTCGCCGAGATCTTGACATTGCAGAAACTCTGAAATAGTTCGGATTTCTTGAAATACAACGCCACTTATGCAATTCACTTACTTTCCTCGTCGAACTCATCTCCCTCCTCTTTCTCATTTTCTTCGTCTTTTTTGACATCTCTTGATGTACTTGCTCCGTTTTCTGTCATTTGCCGAACAACTTTAAGAACATATGGTTTTCGCGGTCTTCGTTAAAAGACAAAGGTAATAAATCTTGACGTCGCGCGATCTTCATACCAAACAAACGTAAAATCTTTTTTCTCGCGGAAAAAACGAAATTCGAAGGTTTTTCAAAATACTAAATGAAACCAAGCCAGTGAAAACAAGAATTCTATATTTCTCTCGACCCATCATATATGTAAAGATTCTTCCAAACGTTATATTTAAAAAAAGGAAAAGCGCATCTTCAAAATTTTCAAAAATAAACGTCGGCACGGAGTATTGCGGACTTTATACAAATAACTTTCTACCGTAATATCTATAAAAAAATGCGAAAAAAAAAGTTTGCTGAAAAATATTTTTGAAGTAAGCCAGTTCAAAACTAAACCACTTGAATAGCGTCACCGTATGAAAAATAATGAAATGATTACATCGGAAAGGTAAAATCACAATTTTTTCGAAATAAAGATTCGAAAATAATTAAATATTTCAAACCACGTGAAATCGTTTCTTAACCAATGCATCTTCACACTATTCTTTTCAAACTTTAAAATTGAACTGCCCAGAGAGAGTTTTACTTCGAAAGTAGCTGGTTTCCAGGAATCTCAGCATTTTGTAAGGATAAGCTCCGTTTTCTCCGTAAAAACTAATTCCTAGGCGATTAAGACCAATAATTTTAATTCCAATCTATTTTCTAATTATTCCATTAATGAATCCATTTGAAATTCCTTGAAATTTCATCTTTTCGAAAAATTTGCAAATGGAAATTCAAAATTTTGAAACTCGCGCCTAACGAAAGTGGGCGGAGTTTCCCACAGGTCGATCCGCGCGCGTACGCTCGTCGTCTAACACCTCTTTCAAATCGCACGTGTTACAACAATCTCTCGCGTTTCGCGCGCGTATTCAAACTTTCGGGCGCTATAAAAGACGGTCAAATTCGCCATTTCTCCACTGATTCGTGTTGTGATTCACTTTGTTCGACTCTCCGCCTGCCTCTCGTCATCCTTCATCAACATATTCGAATTCTCGTGCTACCGTTACTCCGTCCTTTCGTTGTTCGCTGTTGCTGCGCTTATTCTCCAATCGGCTCTCGCGTTATGGGTGCACGGCGAATAGTCCATTCCGCGAAGTGAGAAGGCAATGACTAGAACCGTCACTCATAACGCGTCTTGCCGTACCATTTTCGTCCCACCAATTACTGGACCATCTACCGGTCCTTCAGTTGTCTAGTGATACGCCGCATAGTGAAATGGTCGAATCACAGTCAACTGTTGGCCCGGTTCGGCCCAGGCATTTTCGAAAGTCAAACAAATTCCATAGAAATTGCATCTTTATAAATGGATATACCACACATAGTTTCTTTTCAGGATTTACAACCAAAAAATGACAAGAATTCGTAATTAATTTGATAGTTGGTTCGTTGAAGCTTCCAAATACACGTTTCACACCCAAAAGCGAACAAAAGTTGGGAAAAAAAGGTTGACAGGAAAGAGAGGCATATATTTTTGAGGGATTTTTTTCGTTTATAAAATAAATTATCCTTTTTACAATTTGGCCGGTTTATTGCGGCGTTGGTGATCCCCCGTTTTGACTTTGCCGCTCAAATCTGAAAAATACCAAACGATGTACAGCTTCGATTTCGAATTCTGAAAACCTCGCTAATCGTCTTTGTCTCAATTCTTCGGCGTCAGGAGTTCGAGAATTCGAAAGAATGCCGCTTGTCGACGGCGAGTCCGTTGGAGACGACGTCGTTCCAAGGGTGTTCGACGAAGAAGAGGAATTGCGGAACAGTGACTTCGGAGTCGGTGTTGTTGATCGTTCAGCACCAAGTTCAGTGGAACTGGTCGGTGCTGTAGAAGGCGTTGGGGAAACTGATGGCGCTGTCGTTGGAACAACTACAGGTGATGTCGATGGAGCCGAAGAGGTGGATGACGTAGGAATTTCTGGCGCTGCGCGAGTTCCTGAACTAACCGATGGTTGATCAGTAGAAGCTCCGTTCGATTCCGGTTGCGCAGGTTCAGGCCTAAATGTAAAATATATAACACATCTTCCGAAATTTCCCAAAAAAACATACCTTGGAGGAATTGGTGGTGCTCGTGAATTGAGCTGCGCCATCTGAATTTGCGCAGCTTCAATCAAAGTCATAATATCATCCAAAGCACGAAGTCGTGCAACAACCGCTTCACGTCTCGTTCCCTCCAAAGCCGTCAGCTCTTCATCGGTCATTCCACCATAATCAGGAAGGGTTGGCATAACAAACGGCGGAGGTGGTGGCATAAATCCCGGGAACATGGGGAATCCTGGTGGTGGAGGAGGTGGTGGTGGCATATTCTGAAAACAAACGTCTCGAATTAACGTCCAAATCGAAGCTTAAAAGTACATCTGGTCGATTTCCTGGCGGTGCAATATAGACAATATTGTGAGGGAATGGTCCTTGTGCACCTCCTTGCTGTGGCACCTGTTGAACGAAATTCGCGGCGAACGCGAATTGATGTCCGTTGAATGGAAAAACATGAGGTTGAGCCGCCGGTTGAGCATTTGGATCGCCAGCTTGTGCGTTTGGAGCACCAGCAGCAGCGTTGTTGGCCACTGATGCAGCAGTAGCTCCAAGACGAGACCAAATATCGGTTCGACACGTCGGACACGTCTGTTGCCTCTGGAACCAACTGCGAAGGCAATGGGTGTGGAAGACGTGCGAGCATGGAAGACGTTTGGGTCGCGATTCAGCTGTCATCTCTTCACGACAAATTATACACGTGGCATCCATCGCGGTCAATTCTTCCGCGGTAACAACAGGGAATTGGCTGAAACAGTTTGAATTTATCCTTCCGTCTCTAGTCTTTCATTTCATAAAAAATTTCTTCCTTTTTTTGCCAGCCATAATAATTTAAAGCTCGGCTTGTTATAAATATTATTTTAGGAAAGGAAGCAAAAAAGGATTTAACGTCATCAGTAAAATTAAGAGGATTTCATTATGACAAATAGTTAGAAGAATTGATGTGCTCATTGCATTTCTACTACTCGAATTTAACGGGATAAAGTCGCCGGGGATTGCCGGCAGGTTTTTCAATTACAAACATTAAACAACCAATCCGTGTAGATTTACGATGGTTTGATTTGCAGGTTATCCGTAGAACGGTACCCAAATTCTGGCTGTTTAAATATAAATTTGAATTGACGCCACAAAAAAGTGGGATTTTCCACAATGCGCTCGTTTTTTTGTGATGGTAGTAATGTTTAATTAATTCGTGATATAAACTAATTTTGATTATAGTCAGCGTCAGGTGACTGTTGAACGCGGGTAGATTGACGGGTCTTTTTTTTCTCCACAGTCTCACCAGACGCTGCGAAAAGCGCATGTCCGTAAATCTACCCGCGTAGGGCAACTACACAAAGATTTAGTTTTTATAAGAACTATTTAAAATCTCAAAACTCACTTGTTCATCGCGTTAATGGCTCTTCTCGACAAAATCACGTCACTGAATGCCTTGTGAAGAGTTCTCAGCGATTGGTAGAACGGTCGAACCGAGAACAATGGGAACGTGTGAACCCGGAGCATGATCACAGCGAATGCTCCATACAAGCAACAACGGATTAGATCTAAATTCTCAGTTCGTCAATTTTTAACAAAAATAAATCAACATACTTATTAATAGTTCAGCAAATAGCAAGTAGAAGGCCTTGTTCTCCCAAGATTGAGCAGTACGCAAATCATGCATATGTATCAAGTATTTGGTGGTAACATGAATCACCATTGTCAATAAAATAGCATATCTTAAACCATCAAGATTCGTGGCGAGATTCAATTTACAAAAAAAACTTACTCGAAACCAAAAACAATTTGCGAGCTTGGCCCTTTATTGACCGTTGTGAAATAGGCGTGTGAAACAAGAAATGAATCCAAAAATCCGAGAAATGATAGAACAGCTGGAATGAAGAACATGCCAATTTTCGTTTCGGAAAAATTGCTTACATAGCATTCTCAAATGAAATTTGAGAGTGATTACAGGGGATCGTTCCATCATATCAACTCGATCATCGGCAAGCCAATGGAAACATTTGACAAATAATAATCCGACGAATTGCATGACGAACACCGATGAGAAGTCATCTCGGAAAACGGTGAACGCTAGACAAGTTTCGAGAATCGCGTGCCACGTTCGTTCGGACAAATGCTGAAAACAATGAAAAATTTCGGCGAGTTTTTCATTTTATTATTGCTTTATGGAGAAAAAAAGAACACTTTAAAAACTCTATGCAGATGACAGATAAATCTAGTTTTAACCAGTTATTTTGTTTGCTAAATCTGCATTAGATAATTATTTCATAATAGTAATGAACATTTTAAAAAATCAAAGTAATCTTGTATACATTTTAAACTTTCTAGAAAAGCCCTTCTTGTCTTTAAATTTTTCTCAAATAAAATTTGAATAAAATTAAAGAAAAATCTCAGAAAATATATAAACACAAAAATTTTATCGTTTGTGCTGAGCTTCTTCGAACGTTTCAACAGCGACACGGCATAAATATTAGCTCGAAATAAGGACGAATACAAACCTCAGATTCGGCGGCACGTAAATCGCCAAAGAATATTGTTCTGACGAGTTGAAACAATAAATAAACTAAGACGAGACCTTGAAAATACAATACCTAAACATTTTTTTTAATTTCAATGTTCCTTAAATCTCAAAATTGTTACCGCCATACTGGCATTGCTCTTCGTCAGATACACAATCGATGGATAAAACTGCTTATTGATGAGGAATGCATTCAGAACAGTCCCCGCCGTCGCAACACAGGATCCGCCGATCATTAAGCCGGCAGAGATCCTCATTATCTCTAAAAAGGATTGAATAAAAGATAATTAAAGAGAAAAATTAATTTAAAAATATTTAAATGATATTGATATCATATTGAAACAAACTGCGAAATTAAGTTTAAAAATATAAATTATTCATTCGACATTAATATCTAGCCAGAAAGAATCGATCACAGGACGAAGACGATTGTTGGGCAACTGGATGTGCTATAATATTCAAAAAAACAACCAGCAAGTTCGATACTACATAAATAAAAGGTCGCGTTTTTACAAGGAATCATAAATGAATAATATCATTTGAATAAAAATGAAAAAAAAAAATGAATTTGTTAAGATGATGAAGAAGTTTGATGGAATGCATATGCGAAACAAAGTCTTATGTGAGAAACAGGACAAATACAATGAAAAACACCATAAGTACACCGAACACCTGGATCATCAACCACCGGTTCTTGCTGATGTTTTGCAGATATCTCACTAATTCCGAATGCGCCATATCAATGTTAAGCGCCGTCTCCTCGACATTCGAATCGATTCGTGTGATCATCTCACCCTGCTCGCTAACAAGAGTCGCCAATTGCGAGAAAATCTGTCCGAGCTCTGAAATTGAACCCTCAATCGTTGCCATTGTGTTGCTACGCGCCTGTGCATAGTCCAACGATTGGTCGTTCATTTGCTGAAAAATATATTCAATCTTTTTGTTACAACCAACAAAACAACTTTTTTATGTCTTGATTAGACAAAGGAGATTAAATTCTATTGGTTTTGAAATTAAATAGAATCTGAATCTTAAAATAAAAACGAGCGGAACGTTCAAATTATTTTTTAAAGTTATTTTCGAAGACTGGCAATCGTCGCAAATTTCAGAAATATTGTCGGAGTCTGTGGAAAATTGCTTAACTGCCAAAAACCTTTAATGAATTGGTGCGCCTTTAACGTATATTAGTTTTGCGCCCAGAACACTGCCATTAAGCATTTAGCCAATTTTCCACAGTAGTAACAAATTTTTACATACGCCCTTATTATATGTGTAATTTTGCTGTAATTTTATACGCACCCAAAACGTAAATTGTTGCGATAACAAAACGCATAAGTTAAAATTTTACGTTCCGTGTCCGGAAAACGTCTGTCATCGATAATAAGTTTCCCGAGATCAATCAAATATCCAACTAACCATGGTTTGTTGAGCTCGCAAATTCTCTAATGTGCCCATATCTAATGCGATACTACTTGAACCATGTTGTTCATCGTCTTGCAGTAATCGAGAGCGTACTAAAAATAAAAAATACTCTAATATTCCCTTCTCATACATTTAATTACCATTAGCCCCGGATGAAGACGAAGGAAGGCCCATTGGAACAGGACCACCGCTTGAAAACTTGTCTCGTCGATTTTTTTCAGCTTTCATGTTCTAAAATTTTATTGTTAAACCACAATAAAATATTAATGCAGTTCAAACCTCTGTGCTGATTTCAATAACACTTTGGAAGTCTTTACTGACATTTGCTAGCTTCGATTGTAGGCCAACGACAACCAATTGACTGAAAATAAAGATTGAAAATAGAAAAAAATATCGACGAATTTTGAAACCTGTGACCCGTGTTTTGATTTTTTAATTTTCCAGATCGTCTCCGCGAAAAATCTTGAAGAGATGCAATTTGTTTATTCAGACCCGTTATGTCTTCTTTGATTATGGCTGATAGATGTTCAATATGCGATTTTTCTTCATAAAGACTTTTCTTTTTCGCCAACTCGGCGAGCTTCTCCATTTTCGCGCAAGTTTGGCTTAAATCACGTCCAATTCGCTTTGCTAACTGATTAAACTGCACAGAATCTTGCAGAACCTCATGTTTTGGATGAGGACGGAATCCATTTGCGTGAACTTTCATCTGAGATATTTCATTTTAATGAAAATATCATAAATTAAAATATTACCTCAATTGACTTTGCAGTCATTTTGAATTCAGAAGTTCGGTCTCTTGAAGGCATCGTGATAATAATTTGATCGTACCGACTACCGTTGATACTTAAACACTCAAGCGCTTCAGTTGTATTTGAGAAATTGTCGAGTGTTTCAACCGTTGGATTTTCCTCAAATGTCGGCGAAAGGGCTTCCTGCAAGGCAATTCGTCGATCAGATAAGAGAAAAACGTCAAAAAAACCGACAAACCTGCGCTGAATTCCAAAGCTGCGAAGCTGACGCGTTGAATACAGCTGAGAAAGAGCTGTAAGCTATTCCTTTGTTTTTCTGATCGGGGTCCGAGTCAAAGTCGATTGCCGAATGCTGCGAATTATCTGGTATCCGGCGTCTCGATCTAATATTGTACAAGTCCGACATCCGACATTGAACTTAAATCAACTATAATCAACTGTTCCAATGGATACGAAAGCTGAAGAATGTCGAAAATCGGCAAAGCAAACAAAAGTTGCACCAGCGAATAAAAAAGACAACACGTTCAATCAATGGAAAAAGTGGTGCGCACTGGAGCGTGTTTGGTGCGTCGTAAACACGCTGCGCCTAGGTTTCATAATGCGTTTTTAGCCGTAATTTCTTTAATTTTTGGCATAATAGGTCTTAAAACTCGCTAAATTCGTGAATCAATTTGAACTCTTTGATTAATTCGCACACAGGATTTAATTTCATCGCTTTTCCTCTTTAATTACCGTACTTTCTGGACCACGTATCTCATGAATTACCGTAGTTTCTCCGTAAATCTACACCGGAATTATTGCGGCTTCCACTTCACACTTTTATAATTTCGCAGTTGATTAAAGATTTTCAACCATTTTTCGAATAATTGAGTGATGGCTTTTCAGGAAATGATTATTAGGGCTCTAGTCGTAATATGTGTCATTATTGGAGCGTTGGCGCACCAGCCTCAGCAATTCCCTGGATCAAATCAGCCTGGACAAGTACGTTTTTGAAGAGATTAGAATTTGAAATAACTAGAAATTAAAAAAAACACAAAAGTTCATGTTTCATTTTTTTATTAAGCAAAAGTTTTAATTTTAGCAACAACCACCTGTTCCAAATCAACAAGGAGCTCAAGCACAACAGTTTGGTGGTGAACAAGCCAAGGATGAACAGTATAATAATATCCCGGCGAATCATAACTAAATCAATGATTTCTAGCCATATTAAAGAGCATTTGGATGGAAAAGTGGATCCTACTGCCAATATGACCCCAGAACAGCTTCAGTTCCACTATTTCAACATGCATGACTTGGATAAAAATGGAAAATTGGACGGTGTTGAGCTTATTAAAGCTATTACGCATTTTCATTCAGGTGAGTAAACGAAAAACGAAAGAGGTAGTTCTTGTTGAATATATTAAATCATTTTTAATATAAGCAATAATATGGATGTCGAAATTGAGTAATATAGTTATTTTGTTTCAAGTTAGTGTTTTGATAAATAAATGAAGTAGTTGTATCATGTCAAGAGTTTACGTTGTTGAATTTTTAAGAGAATTAGTATTTTCGGTGTCACGCGGTGAGCACCTTAAAGCGATCCCTTTGTTTAGCCTGAAAAAATCTACACATTTTCATAAAATCCATTCATCTTACACTACACAATTCAAGAAGAATTTTGAAATGTGTTTTTTTAAATATAAGAAACACATGATTTTTCTATGTTTTAAATATTTCTTTTTGATGTAGATTTCAGCTAATTCAATACATTTTTTCTAGAAAACCCTGGACCTCAACACCAAGCAAATGGTCATCAAGCTCCACCTCTTCCTACTGAGGTTGAACTTGAAACTATGATTGACAGTATTCTCAGGTAAGAATTCCTTACAAAATGTCTGTCAAGACACAATTTTTGAAGAGATGATGACTTCAATTCGGATGGTTTCATTGATTACGCAGAATTTTTGAAAGCTCAAAAAATTCGCGAAGACCAAGCGCGATCGCATCAGGAGCACATGGCTAAAGCTGGCCAATAAAAACTCCGAAATAATGAGCATATCCCTAATAATTTATTTCGTTGCATTTAACATCCGAACTGGTATCGAACCTATAGTCTTAAACAACCATTTCTTTTCATAAATTCTCCAAACCCTAGTGTGATAGTCTTCGCATTTTGTGATAAATTATGGATAACCTGTCTGTTTGTATCTATTGGCATAATTTTATTGGGTTTTTAATTGCATTCTTTCTTTCTTTCGAATTGTCATTTTAAATTATTACATTCTTATAAAATTATTTGTGCTAAAACGTGGAAAATGAGAGCAAAAAAAATGATGAAACGAACCAGTAATAGGAAATGAAGCGAGAAACACATACTTTGTTTGCACAGTCAAGAATTGATTTTGCATGTGACGACGTGTCCGAAATGGACTGATAATAAAAGAGAAACACTCATTGTGTGCATGCTCGTCTTTTCCGTTTTCGCCGTGTTCCTTTTGCTGGGTAAAGACGACAAAATTCTTATACAGTTTTATAGGTATTTGAATATTTATTCTAGGAACCGAAGGAGCCATTCATCAGTTCGCCGATGAGAAGGAGGTTCACAATGAAGAGTAGGTTTCTATTGAAATCCTGAGGATGAACGAATTTATGAGATCGTTGATTATGAATAACATTTTTGAGAGATTCTACAGTTTTCGATTTAATCTTGTTTTGAAATGCATTGAAATTTATTCCTGAATTAAAGGTGCATGTAACAATATGCCCAAAAATGGTAAACGAGTTTGACCGTTGAAATTTCTCAAATTCGTCATTTTCGGCATTATGAGTTTTTTAATAGACAACTCTTAGGTTGTAATTTTAAAGGATGTCTCTCAGCGACTTTATTAAAGTGAATCCTTAATTTATTCCAAACCTTTTAGTCCTTGGATATTTGCTTAAATTTTTTGTCAAAAAAATTCCAGGCACATCAAAATGCACCTTGAGAACAAAATCGAAGTTGAAAAGTTGACTGAAGACCAACAGCGATTCCACTACTTCTCGCTGCACGACTTGAACAAAGACAATTTGATCGATGGAATCGAGATTCTGAAAGCTTTGATGCATGATCACGAGAATGATCGTAAGCGAATTGCTCGTAGCTCTTCAAATTCTCTTTCCTGATTTTTCAGAGGGACCTGGGCATCCAGTTAGCGATGAGGTGGAAACCGAGCGGCTCGTTGATTCCGTATTGGATGATCTTGACAAAAATGGAGACGGGTTTATCGACTACGCCGAATATAATAGAAATCGAAAGATTTAATGGAAATTATAGGATTCATTTTGTTGATTACGTTCTAGTCATCGTTTAGATTCTTTTTGTTCATTCTTTCTTCCAATTCTATAAATATTCAATTTGACGAAATATTAAACAGCTGCGCAATTGCATTTCCCTCCTCAGCCGTGGGAATTTCATCTAAAACATGCCAAAACATGCCTATTTCAAAAACCAAAAAAAAAAATACTTTGCGAAAAATCTCACCTAATCCTAGGAATCTTTTTGCAATCTCATACATTTTCCACTCTTTTCCCGATTTTTTTATAGGCGCGTCTTTTTGGACACCAACGAATGGATCGGAAGACTGGAAGTTTATTGAATTTTTGTTTCTCGTTTATTATTATTACCTTGACGATAGGAAATCCTGACACTTTTCGTAGATCATACACATTTTCCGATTGAATTTTCTTCAAGTTTCCGTTGCTCATCAAATCGCCGATTCGGTACACAACACTCGGCACATTTTCAGCTTAAACAAAAAAAAATGTAAATGTTTATTGATTTTGAAACGATCAAAGAACCATTGATGTCAACCCCCAAGCCCGATTTCCACCCTCTGTTTGGAAATATAAAAATTATGGTGCAAAAGTAAGGGTGAAAAGGAGTGGGGGCATAAAAAGTGGGGAATGATGGCAATGGACCCATGTGCCTTTTGCTATGGGACTTCCTTGTTATTTTGCATTTTAGGGGTAATTTTAATAATTTTTAATTCCAATAACTTCAGAAACTGAAGGAAATAATAAACTAAAAATTAGAAAAAAATTTAAATAGTTTCACACGAGGCCATTCTCTGGTAATTCAAAACCAAACGGATCCGGCAAATGTCAGGCCAGAAATCAACCTGATCCAACTGGTTTTTTAGATATTACAATTTTTTCTACTCACTTGGAATCGAATTAACAATTCTTGATGGACTCGATTTTATCTCTTGTGTGTATGGTATGAGGCTAAATGGTGATTGCTGTCCAAAATGTGGTCTCGAACGGATTTCAGACATCTCATTATCTCCAATATGATGGTCCTCTTCGTGTTTCTCCTTACTTCGTTGATGCATTTCTAATAAATGGGCCACAGAGGATACAATTTGGGTAATTGGTGAGTACTCCTAGTAATTATATTGATCCAAATACAAATGAATTTGACAAGCTACCAGTTCCAATTCCTGATCAAACGGATTTTGAACCATTGGAAATGGCGCCATTATCGCATTCGGCATAATCATTTCCATCTGAAAATTATTCAAACTGATGTTTTAAGACTTATAGATGAACAAACCGGTACTGGCTGGAATATTTGTGCGTTCACACAACAAATCAATCCTAGATATTTAAGCAGCATGTCGCAATGCAGATGATTTTTGGGTCTCGTGTATGACCTACAGATAGACCACTTGACGAGAATCGGGTCAATTGAAAAGTGGACGGACAACAATTCGACAAAAAATGAAACAATTTTTCATTGAAACCGAAAATCGAGTCGAATCAAAAAGTTGTTCGCTATTCGTTGGCTCCGACGATGTAATTTGTGAGATCCACATCGTAAAGCATTTCTTTCGGCACCAATTTCGAGCGAAGCGCAAATTCAAGCATCGACATTGATAGGAAGATGAATTGCTCGGCTCTCTGCGAAAATGTCTGCTTATCGACATCGAATTGAATTCAGTTCATACTGGACAAGCAGCAGCTCGCAACATTCGAAGGCGTGCAATTGTGTCAAGAACATCTACATAAGGAGTGCCGAATGCCGATGAGTACTCGAGGCGACGACATAAAATGTCCAACGCGGCGACGGTGCAGCTCCGACCAATTCCGTCCATGCAAATCAGAGTCACGGGAAACCTAGAAAGTTACTCATTCATTGACCATCATAATTGATTATGTATTTATATGAAAACGATTACTAGACAAATATTGAAAATTGATGAGTTGGTGCAAAAAAATACAGACCCTTTATTTTAAATGGACGCGTTTGGAATCGTTTTGATTTTTGAAACAAAAAAATTCTCTAGAAAATAGGTGTCCAGATGCTCAAAAAAGAATGATAATCGGTGGTTGGCAGTGCTATCACTAGTATAAGATTTTATTACTTAAAGTGAAATTAAATATTGTGAGGTTTTGTCGGAATAAAGATTTAAATTCAAAACCCTGCATTTTTTGCACCGTGCTAATTCTAATAAATTCATACTGCGACTTTGGATCCACATTCTTTTCTTCAATTTCCTTTTTCTTCATCAAATCCCTCATGTGATTAATATCAGTTAGAAGAGCAAGAACATCTGATGGTCGACATGGATATGACTATGAAATTGTTCAATCTCAATCCAGCCAAACTTGGTCTTTAATACCGTTGGACCCCATCCATGATATGTGATAACAATTATGTCGTGAGAATGCTCATTCTCTTTCGTGAGCTTCACAACTGCAGAGTCATAGGATAAGTTGACGTTTCTCACGTGCACCAATTCAATTGTCATCAAGCCAAATTTCAACACATCGCCAACTTTTCTGGGCACAATGTATTCCTTCTAATTTCAGTTTCAACAAATGTTTTCTTGAACATTCTACCTGCTCATCGACAATTCTTGAGAGGAACACGACAACAAACGACTTTCGATCGTAAATCATTTGCCAAAATTGGCAGTTGGTGGTGCTAAGAGGTGTCTTCAAGCGGTACCTTATGCACAATTTCTGGTAAGAATCTCACAAACCTGAGTGACAATGAACTTGCGATGCTCTCGAAATCCATCAACCCAGCTTGCATTAATATAATTATGATTTTCAGTAGATTGCGGTGCCTAATGAATGATGATCAAATGAAATTTGAAGTGCTTATTCCTACTCTAACGCGCGTCTTCTCATAAACGACCACATCGTTATAGCGATTTAATTTTGGATATTCGTAGAACATATCGACCACATTTGGTCGCGTTAGTTCCACCTGAAAGCCATTGATATTCAAATTTGAAAATGCTCTTCGAATTCTACTGAAGTAAAGGAGCTGAATTCACGAGGAACAGTGGTACGCGAAACCAATTTGATAAAGTTTTCCAATGGACGAGTGCATGAGTTTTTCGTCATCACATCGAATAAAAATTCGTTTTTGTCAAGAACAAATCTGAGCGAATTGAGAAAATCTCACGAAAAAAATATAAAGAGCACAAACGTTTCAAGTGGTGTCAAATCGGCGGCACTGTTGAATGACTGAAGAGAGTAATTTGAGACTGAACTAGCTGAAAATCAGAAAAATCTCTCATTCTCTCTACAATTATCCAAAATTAAAAAAAAAACTTCTCCTCACATGTGGTACTTTCGGTTTCATTTCTTGTGTCCGATGTGTCTATCGTTTCTTTACTACTGCCCATGATACTCGAACGAAATAATGTAGGAATGAGATGAAACGCGTGATTACGAAAATTATTTTGTTTATTAGTGCAATTCAATTAATTAATTCATTAATTACGCAATGAAGAGAAAGACAAATAAATTAATTTGGTGCTTCTTCCAAAAATATACATGGCTATCCCGTATTCAATATTATTAGCTTCTTGTTTTGTTTTGTTTTTGTCTATTCCGGACGAAGAACATAAAGGAATGGGTTGAGTTGCTCTTGTCGCTTGGCAGCTACTAAATTTACTTCTAAAAATATGAAAATATTAATAGGCTATTTAAATGTCGACGAACCTTGAACTATACATTTCCGCCATTCATCGAATGTCAACCGGCGGTTTTTATCAGTGTCACATGTTTTAAACAAGCTTCTGGAAGAGAATATTCTTTGGCAATTTTGAAAAAAAAAAATGAAATTGATACCTGGAGCAATGTCGTGCATTTTTCCATTGTAATAATATTGATTTATAGGGCTTCCATTCAGACCTCTCGAGTACCTAAACATTTCGCATTTCAAAAATTGCATTTTGCCGTCTCAACTACCGAATTTTTATTCGCATCGAGCTGCGTAAATTTCCATCGAAGGGCCGTATCTCGACTCACTTTCGTGGCATTCACACCTGAAATCCCATACAATTCGCATTCGACTCAATTTTCCGAGTCTCGAAAATAACAGAACTCCCACTAAAGAAACTCAATTTCAATGTTTATCAGACGACTCGAAATAGACGGATTCTCATGGGATTTGCTCCCCCGCAAATGTATGCTCAAAACGAATAAATAAATCATGAATTATTACGTACACATATAGGATTTAGGGCAAATTGCTCCGATAAAACATCAAAACTTACCGCTCATGATCATTTCAGACTTCAAGCTGGCAACAAGTCTTCTTAAAAATCGGGTCCTCCGATTCCCTTTGCATCCTAAGAAAATAACAAAAGAATATAATTAAGCAAGTTTTGATGATCCTACGATTTTTGCGCTTTTTCTTTGGCGCTGAAGTCGTGACTTCTTGACAATTTGGTTTTCCATGTAATGTCGATGTGCCAATCCGTGGCTCACCAGTCTGCTCATTAACACACCAGCAATAAGCGGGTGTCTCAAAGCACTGCACCCGCTCATACTGTCTAAAAATATTTTCTAAATTTCTTGAATTCATATTTCAGCTTACAGAGAATTTGATTTGGAGCACACTGGGACATAGATTTTCGAATCGCCTGCATTCTTTTTTATCAACGCTTTTCGACGCTGCGACGCGCAATCAAGACGAGCTTAATTATGGATGATTAATTAGCGACGATAATTATTGCAACTTACTCTCGGTAATTTTGTTAGTACTCAGCGAATCGCTAATATCCAGAACACCAAGACCGTGCTCAATTGCGCTAATTGGTAGGCATTGGGTGAGCTCGAGAAGAACAGAGAATGCGAAGAATCGTAGCATGTCTCAGTCAAAAAGAAAGAACTGCAACTGAACGCTTTTCTTTTCTCGTTTGCTCACAATGGTTTTATACGGAAGAGAGGGCGGCGAAATAATTGAGTTTTGGTTAGACTTTCAATAAATGTGTGGGCTTTTGAAAATAAGTGACGTATCTATTTTTTGCTTGAATTTTTCTTGCACGAAAAAAATAGAAACGCGACAGGAAATGACAGAATTGGCGCGTATAATTAAATATAGACAAAATTGTTTATGGAAGAGCTGTTGGGTTTCAAAACGAGAAATGCCGGTGGTGCCTCTGAATTACTCATCGAATGTTCAAATTTGTTGAGTATTGAACAAAAAAAAACGAGGGGAAAATGATAACACGACATAGAGATAATTGATGGAGGAGAGATTTAGAGAAATATTCGCGAAATCAAGGAGCCGCTATTAATGCCAGTTTTATAGTGATGAGGTCCTAATAAACACCATCTTATTCGAGGTCTGATAATCACAGGAATCAACTTTTCGACTAGACAGAACTGGGCTAAAATTCACACCACAAATATCGGAGTCGACTTGGATGCATTAAATATTCTTGAAGAACATTTGAGCACTCACCTGCTCTCTCGTTTCCATTTATAGAAAATGGAATTTAACTGAAAACCATATGCAGGTGGTGTTGTCGCGTTTGAAATGGACACAAAAAAGGGAAGCAATAAAATCAGCAAAAGACAACAAAACAATTGGCCGAAAAAGAGTGACTAGTTTCGAATTAAAAAGCGGAGAATCTCATAAAAATGAAGCGGCCCGCCGACTGGCAGAGGTCACCTGAACAGAAGGAAGATGGGGAGGGCGCGAACTCGTAAAAATCGATCCCTCCTCGCTCGATCTAAATGTCGTCTCCACAAGAACATCTACAATATACGGTGAATACAAACATATTAATGTTGACCATTAAAAAAGAAGAAATTGATTTTCTATTTCGGTTAGCGTCGTCGTCGACGGTGGGTGTCTCGAGTTCTGTGTTCACAATGGTAAATAATGTAATCTTTTGCGCAAACGAAACCGTCTCAAAAAATTGAGAAGAGAGTCGAATTGAACCGAGCCCGTTTTTATCCTTTAAAGTTCTGAATGTCACAATTCGATTAAGTTATGAATGACGATTGAGGCGCGATTTCAGTTTTTCATTATTTTGGGCCAATATTGTATTATTATTTTACGGCCAAAACAGACTTGTAACATTATTGAACCCTTACGAATACAGAACAATCTAAATGATTAATTCGGGAGGTTTAGTCAAAGACCTCAATCTTGTAAAACAGTGGTGATTCAAAAATTCGTTTTGAGAGAATCCTTATGAACCTCTCCATATAATTACATTAAAAAAATGCGAAAATTTTCATTAAATATGCATTTTTTACATTTGGAAATTTTTTTATTGCATGAAAAAGTTCATTATTTTGAAGATCATTTACCGAAATTGGGTGACATCAAAGGTCGATCTACAAAATGGAAATCAGCTGCGAATTGAAGGACGTGATATGACTTGGATCTCAATTGCAAAATCGCAGACACAAATTTGTAGAAAGATTAAAAAAATAACTATGGATTATATGAAATAGATTCTAGCTCTGTCCACATGAGTTTTATAAATAAAACTGTGAACCATTTGAAATCGGCTACCGATTATCCGCTTAATACCTCACAAATCCTAACACCTTCTACGCTGTTTCTTGAGAATAATCACGAATTCCGTTATTTGTCTTGATCGTAGTGTTTGCAAGTTTTTTTTTTAAATGATTAATAGCAACAAAAAAAGTTTTTATAATTTCCGGAGTACGCGGGAAATTGAAAAATGGTCGTAAAATCTTGTAGAAGAAAGGTGTTTTGAAATTGTAAAGAACGGAATTAATGGCGCATGTCTAGGCTGTTAGGGGTTTAATTTATATTCGACCTATTTTAACTTGAAGGAATCATTCGAACAAAATTCAGAGTACAAATCAAAGAATTATTTTATAATTGGCGAAAAAATCCAAAATAATGTTTTTGGAACAATGCTTTCAAAACGTGCCAATTGGAAATTAACTTGACCCCAATTTTATTTCTACACATCAGCGAAAATCAAATGACCGCTATTCACCTGAATTACTCATTCAAGGATTAAAAAGTTAATATTAATAAAAGTTCTTAATAAAAAATTACATTATTAATGTTGCAGGGTTTCGTAAAAAAAAATGGAGACTTCGAGCTGTCACGCAATTTTCCTGACATCCCGTAAGTCGCGAAAATACCAACTAGTTTGTACTTTGTCGAATATTACCATGCGTGGTCGTCCATATGTTCACTTTATTACACATTTCGATTGAAACGTATCGAAAATTGCATACGCTATAGAAGCTTTACATATAAAATATCAAGTTATAATTGTGAATTTCAATATTTAAAAGGATCCAATGGTTCTAGTGGGCTTCCGAGCAGTTGATAGAGGCGGCGAATTCCTGAAAGACAACTTTGATTCTTTGAAGGCAAACTTTTTTTTCGTCATGACCAAAGACGAAGTCGTTTATCAAAAAATGTTTGGCACAAGCGTAGTTCATCTTTTTTGCGCGGGCCATAAATTTCTAGACCAACCTTCAATGAGCTCCGTGAGACTGCAGGCGTATACCAGTCGGTACCATCCGAATGCGTGGCATTTCTGATGAACGCCCGGCGTCAGCATGACACCGCCTTCGGCAAACCGATTCCAGAGCTCGAGCTCGCATTCTTCACGTAGGCTTGACAAATGCTAAACAATGTGGAATGAAGTTTGAATTCAAATGAACGATATTTTGTAAACTCAAAATCGACATACCTTGGACAAATCCGCAAAGACGAAAATTCCAGCTTCCGCTTTAACGAATGGAATTTCGAGTCTATCAAGATTTGCAGCAGTATATTCATAGTGCAATCGAATTCTACGATTGACTTCCGTGTGGAATGAGTGCAGCCAATCTAAATAATAATTATATCAATGTCTTCTAAAACGACTACCAAAATCTGATAAAAGCTTGACAGCAAAATCTGACGCGAACGGCGAGCATGGGTGATACATTTGAAGTTTGGTGGCAGCTCTTCGAAGAGATTCATTAGTTGTATGAATCACTGCGAATTTCAATCCAGGAAGACCGAAATCCTAAATATTGAACATAAAGCTTCGAGAAAATCGACATTGTAAAAGTTTACTTTGCTAACACTCCACAAATATGCGACATTGTCAGATTTAAGTAATTTGTGTCGATATGAAAGGTATGACTTGAATCGAGATTGTTTTTCGAATACGCAGTTCGCGAACACTTCATCGATGATCACATGAAGCCCGGTTCTGAACAGTTTTAATGAAAATTAGAATGATAAAAACTATTTTACCTTGCAGCCCAATTACACAATTCGATGACCTGCTCTGGTGGGAAAACGACTCCAAGTGGATTATGTGGGTTCACAATCACGACACCTTTAACAGCGCAATCTTTTTTCGAAAAATCTTCGAACGCCTTTTGGTAGGCGGAGACATCGAGTTTTGGGTTTTCCAAATCAACAGGAACCGATTCGACAACGCAATGAGCACGTTCGTTGCAGTTAGATACTGTTCCTGAGTACACTGGTCCGGTGGTTAGAAGAATATCTGAAATTTAACGCGCATGCGCTTTTTCTTCTTTGTAATCATCAAATACCATCAGCTTCGAAAAGGCAATAACTGACGACATCGTATCCTGTACGCGTTGAAGCGGTGAGCACGAGGTCTCCTTCATCAACATCGGCTTTCATGAATTCAGCAAAATACTTTTTCAAAGCAAGTTTCGGCCTAAAACTGTGTTTTTCGAAATTTTAAAATTTTAAAATATACTCTGGCCATCCTCCACTTGGTGGGTATCTGACAAGATGTTCGGTATTTGGAATAAACAACTCCAAGTGTTTGAATTGTTCCTGAAGGAGTGGTGTGCAGATGTTGTTTTCAGCAGTGCAGAAATTAACTATTCCCTAAAAATAAATATGACATGACGATATTCATAATGGCAAAAAACCTCCGGATTTCTTTTCGCGTCATATTTATTCGCATTCATTTTATGGAATGTGCTGGATGCATAATCATCAGAACTAATGAGATATTGTCCTCGATATGAGACTCCTTCAACTCCTCGCATATTCAACGCTTTCTCTCGAATACAGCTCATAATAAGTCTTTTAAGCTTGCGTGTCAATGAGAAATCCAATGTCGCCAAGTTTCCGTCTTTTTCTTGTATTTTCTAAAAAAAAACATATATACACATTTTAATGCCACGTGCATTAGTATTTTTCTCAAACAAAAATTAAAAAGCATAATGCTTTTAAATGGCCGAGAAATCATGTTAGGCCACAAAGTCCACAGAATTGTTTTGATCCAAATGCGGCGGAAATTGATATTTTTATAAACATAGTCTAACCTGCAATAGTAATCCAAGTGGATCATTTTTGTTGATCACGAGATAATAAGACCCTTGTACAATATAGAACGATGGCCGAACGACAATTTCCAAATACTGAAAATATGTTTAAATATTCGGCTTCGAAAACTAAAATACCTCTTCATTGTTGAGTTTTTCATTAATCTCAATAAACTTTGTAGTTGTAACGTTGGTAACAATTTCGTATGAACTGGAAGCAACTTCTTCATCGTCATTAATTTCCTCGACAGTTTCTTGCGAATTTTTGTCAAAAATTAATTTGATGATTTCGTCATCACTGCTGGTTGTGGCAAAATTGTTCACCTGAAAAAAATAATTTGATAATATAAACTTTTTGGAAAAGCAGATAAATTTAATACTCGGAAAAATAATCCGAAGAAGAGCGACACAGTAACAGTTAAATGCAAGACCAAATATTAAAACATCATGAACCTTTAAAATTACGGTGTTTCAGGCAAATGACAAAATTTTTAATTTACAAGGTGGAAACGCAATGCCTAATTTTTTTTTTCATGCAAACTTTTAATTCTAACCTCATCTGTTCGGATTTCTTCGATAACAATTGGCTTGCTTCTCTTATCAATGCTGGTATCCGTTTGTTTTCGATAATAAGGATGATGCTCGAAATCATGCCCTAAATTTTATAAAAATTATTCCATTTTCCAAAAAATTTTTACTTTTTTGACTAGCAAGGAAAGCCGCTTCATCAAGACTTTTGCCCAGTATGTCATCAACGAACTGGGAAACATCCAAAGGCCCATCAGAATTTGTTTCTTCGTTGAGCGATGTGATGTAATAATCATCGTATGGCAAGTCAGATTTTGAATTTTGCTCGAATATATCATTGAAAGCTTCGTCAACAACTTTATCAGAGTGTTTCGTAGACCATCTTCTACCGGCAGATGCCACACCGCTATCCTCGCTTCTTACCGTTTCCCAACCTGACCGATCTTCGTAGTACGTTGAGAATCTTCGTGATTCGTCGGATAACGGAGACATGGTATATATCTTATCCAGATTTATTTCCGATTTATCCAAATTCTCGTTCGTATTTTTCCAGCGGTGCTCTCTCGTCACAGTTTCAACCACTTTCGGTGAAATTGCGTAGCTTATTGTGTTATTGATCGGCGGTGAAGATGTCGATGGTATTGGAATGTCATCCGTGGCAATATGAAGGTTCTCATCAATGGGAACTTGGTAGACGGTTTCGACGCACAGTGTTGATGGCTCCGATTTGTTTCCAATGATTTCCGCTAAAACATTCGTTCGGTTTTTATATTAGCCATCATGTTCACCTTTGATTTCTTTTGTGAATTCTGCATCGATTGATGCTGACATTTGTGGATTAAAAATTTGATCAAGAGGAATATCGATTGCATTTTGTGTTGGTCTTGTGAAATATTCTGAAGAAGACGTCGCATTTTTTGCTGGCTCGATCTAAATAATTAAAATGAGAAATTAAGAAAATTTATCGAAATTTGCCATTTTGCCATTTTGACAGTTAAAATTTTATTAAAAATTGAAACGCGTAATTAAGTTATGAAGCTAATTAATTAATTACGTTGCATTTATTATTATTATTATTATTATTATTGACTAAAATAACACAACCCCCCATGTTACAAACTAATTTATTGACGTTATACCCTGTTAATTAACTAAAATTAATGTAAGCAACACTTTTGTTAGGTAGTTTTAATTATTGGAATTAAATTATAGAATTAATTTAACATTTTTTCGTTTAATTCGTATATATGATTACTGAAATTATAAGTACCCCAATAACTAAATGTTATTTGACGTATGCCGAAGCGCACCAATTTTATTTTTCGTTAGATAACCCCGTGCGTGTTTTGTTGAAAAATATTTTCAAACCTCAAAACTCACCTTATTCTGCGTCTTCCAACGCATTTTCAGCATTTGTAGTTCGTCGTCAGATAGCATCGCCAATCTGCACGCCGAACAATTGCATTTCTCGCCATCAACTGAAACGCATTCGAAACTTCGAAAAACTTCGTCGAGGTCAATGCTATTCCCGCTGTGTCGCTTCTCCGCATCGTCAACTGCTTTCATTTCTACCAGAAGATCTTCCAACCAGCTACTAGTCGATGGCATGACTAGTGATTCAGGCTCTACCCGGCTATTGCGAATTGTATAAGAGTATGGCGAACTTGGGGGACGATAAACGACACTCGAGACGAAAGAAATATCGGAAATGACTTTGTCATCCGGCTGGATCGCATCGCTCACCCATTCGTACTTTATTTCGGATGATACACGTGTTGGTGAAGGACTATACCCGCATTCATTGGTGATTTGCTGATGAGGAGTTTTCGGCGTCTCTTCAACAACTTTACTAATAAAGTCGTCCGAAGGTTGATCAATCTTTCTTTCAGTTTGTGGTGCTCCCAAATCGGTTGTTGGTGGTGATGAGAAGATTTCGTTGAGATCAATCTCGACATTCATCTGCTTGCGATACTTTGGCACATTTTCCGAGTCGGACTCCGAGTTCGGCGGAGTTTCGATTGGCTTGGCATCTTGAGTGCGCCCATGATAAAATGAGTTTTCTAAGCCTAGTTTTGAAGCAGGCATGATTGACTCATGCCATTGAGAAGTTGAATGGTGATCAATATTGCGCAATTCAGTTGAAGCAATTATATTTGAAGGCGTTGAAGCTGATTTCTGATGAAGAATATCAATGGAATTTGACGGCGTTGATTGCACATTTGTTTTGGGTTCTTCATTAAATGCATTTTCACCATTGCCAACTAGTTTCTCAACAAATGACAAAGAATTGTTGTCGTCAGACGAAACGTTTATTTCGGGAACAGAAGAAGATTTAACGTCACGAATTGTGAAATTCAGACCTAGAGAGTTCTCATGCTCGCGATCTGCAGGATTCTCCACGCTGGACTCAGATGCATGAAGAAGACCTTTTGTATGTGTTGCGAATCCGTTTGCGCCATCATCATTTGAAGCCAGTTGATTGGCGATATTCTCTCTGATGTCATCATTCGATTCGATATTTTTAAGATCATTATTACTTGGAAATATCAGATCAAAATTGATCGGAACGACAGTTGGTGCGTGTTCTACTTTTCGAATTTCTGGAATAGCCTGAAGTGGGTCGAGAGGCTTCTTGGACGATGATGGTTCTTCGGTGATCTGCCTCTTCTTGGTGTCAAAGACATCATCCAAGGAGACAGTGGTTTCGACGGTTTGACGTGTCGTGGTAGTCGAATCCGATTCGACGGTTCTTCTGGCCTTGTCCCGAAGGGTGTCTTCAAACTCCTTGAGTCGTTGAGCGATCTTGTCCTCATCCTCATCGGACTTTGGTCTTGGCGTTCCTTCGACGAAGATGTCATCAAGACTGATAGTCGTCTCTGAGACATGAGGCTTCTTGGACGATGATGGTTCTTCGGTGATCTGCCTCTTCTTGGTGTCAAAGACATCATCCAAGGAGACAGTGGTTTCGACGGTTTGACGTGTCGTGGTAGTCGAATCCGATTCGACGGTTCTTCTGGCCTTGTCCCGAAGGGTGTCTTCAAACTCCTTGAGTCGTTGAGCGATCTTGTCCTCATCCTCATCAGACTTTGGTCTTGGCGTTCCTTCGACGAAGATGTCATCAAGACTGATAGTCGTCTCTGAGACATGAGGCTTCTTGGACGATGATGGTTCTTCGGTGATCTGCCTCTTCTTGGTGTCAAAGACATCATCCAAGGAGACAGTGGTTTCGACGGTTTGACGTGTCGTGGTAGTCGAATCCGATTCGACGGTTCTTCTGGCCTTGTCCCGAAGGGTGTCTTCAAACTCCTTGAGTCGTTGAGCGATCTTGCTGTCCTCATCCTCATCAGACTTTGGTCTTGGCGTTCCTTCGACGAAGATGTCATCAAGACTGATAGTCGTCTCTGAGACATGAGGCTTCTTGGACGATGATGGTTCTTCGGTGATCTGCTTCTTCTTGGTGTCAAAGACATCATCCAAGGAGACAGTGGTTTCGACGGTTTGACGTGTCGTGGTAGTCGAATCCGATTCGACGGTTCTTCTGGCCTTGTCCCGAAGGGTGTCTTCAAACTCCTTGAGTCGTTGAGCGATCTTGTCCTCATCCTCATCAGACTTTGGTCTTGGCGTTCCTTCGACGAAGATGTCATCAAGACTGATAGTCGTCTCTGAGACATGAGGCTTCTTGGACGATGATGGTTCTTCGGTGATCTGCCTCTTCTTGGTGTCAAAGACATCATCCAAGGAGACAGTGGTTTCGACGGTTTGACGTGTCGTGGTAGTCGAATCCGATTCGACGGTTCTTCTGGCCTTGTCCCGAAGGGTGTCTTCAAACTCCTTGAGTCGTTGAGCGATCTTGTCCTCATCCTCATCAGACTTTGGTCTTGGCGTTCCTTCGACGAAGATGTCATCAAGACTGATAGTCGTCTCTGAGACATGAGGCTTCTCGGACGATGATGGTTCTTCGGTGATCTGCTTCTTCTTGGTGTCAAAGACATCATCCAAGGAGACAGTGGTTTCGACGGTTTGACGTGTCGTGGTAGTCGAATCCGATTCGACGGTTCTTCTGGCCTTGTCCCGAAGGGTGTCTTCAAACTCCTTGAGTCGTTGAGCGATCTTGTCCTCATCCTCATCAGACTTTGGTCCTGGCGTTCCTTCGACGAAGATGTCATCAAGACTGATAGTCGTCTCTGAGACATGAGGCTTCTCGGACGATGATGGTTCTTCGGTGATCTTCTTCTTCATGGTGTCAAAGACATCATCCAAGGAGACAGTGGTTTCGACGGTTTGACGTGTCGTGGTAGTCGAATCCGATTCGACGGTTCTTCTGGCCTTGTCCCGAAGGGTGTCTTCAAACTCCTTGAGTCGTTGAGCGATCTTGTCCTCATCCTCATCAGACATCGGTCTTGGCGTTCCTTCGACGAAGATGTCATCAAGACTGATAGTCGTCTCTGAGACATGAGGCTTCTTGGACGATGATGGTTCTTCGGTGATCTGCCTCTTCTTGGTGTCAAAGACATCATCCAAGGAGACAGTGGTTTCGACGGTTTGACGTGTCGTGGTAGTCGAATCCGATTCGACGGTTCTTCTGGCCTTGTCCCGAAGGGTGTCTTCAAACTCCTTGAGTCGTTGAGCGATCTTGTCCTCATCCTCATCAGACTTTGGTCTTGGCGTTCCTTCGACGAAGATGTCATCAAGACTGATAGTCGTCTCTGAGACATGAGGCTTCTTGGACGATGATGGTTCTTCGGTGATCTGCCTCTTCTTGGTGTCAAAGACATCATCCAAGGAGACAGTGGTTTCGACGGTTTGACGTGTCGTGGTAGTCGAATCCGATTCGACGGTTCTTCTGGCCTTGTCCCGAAGGGTGTCTTCAAACTCCTTGAGTCGTTGAGCGATCTTGTCCTCATCCTCATCAGACTTTGGTCTTGGCGTTCCTTCGACGAAGATGTCATCAAGACTGATAGTCGTCTCTGAGACATGAGGCTTCTCGGACGATGATGGTTCTTCGGTGATCTGCTTCTTCTTGGTGTCAAAGACATCATCCAAGGAGACAGTGGTTTCGACGGTTTGACGTGTCGTGGTAGTCGAATCCGATTCGACGGTTCTTCTGGCCTTGTCCCGAAGGGTGTCTTCAAACTCCTTGAGTCGTTGAGCGATCTTGTCCTCATCCTCATCAGACTTTGGTCCTGGCGTTCCTTCGACGAAGATGTCATCAAGACTGATAGTCGTCTCTGAGACATGAGGCTTCTCGGACGATGATGGTTCTTCGGTGATCTTCTTCTTCATGGTGTCAAAGACATCATCCAAGGAGACAGTGGTTTCGACGGTTTGACGTGTCGTGGTAGTCGAATCCGATTCGACGGTTCTTCTGGCCTTGTCCCGAAGGGTGTCTTCAAACTCCTTGAGTCGTTGAGCGATCTTGTCCTCATCCTCATCAGACATCGGTCTTGGCGTTCCTTCGACGAAGATGTCATCAAGACTGATAGTCGTCTCTGAGACATGAGGCTTCTTGGACGATGATGGTTCTTCGGTGATCTGCCTCTTCTTGGTGTCAAAGACATCATCCAAGGAGACAGTGGTTTCGACGGTTTGACGTGTCGTGGTAGTCGAATCCGATTCGACGGTTCTTCTGGCCTTGTCCCGAAGGGTGTCTTCAAACTCCTTGAGTCGTTGAGCGATCTTGTCCTCATCCTCATCAGACTTTGGTCTTGGCGTTCCTTCGACGAAGATGTCATCAAGACTGATAGTCGTCTCTGAGACATGAGGCTTCTCGGACGATGATGGTTCTTCGGTGATCTGCTTCTTCTTGGTGTCAAAGACATCATCCAAGGAGACAGTGGTTTCGACGGTTTGACGTGTCGTGGTAGTCGAATCCGATTCGACGGTTCTTCTGGCCTTGTCCCGAAGGGTGTCTTCAAACTCCTTGAGTCGTTGAGCGATCTTGTCCTCATCCTCATCAGACTTTGGTCTTGGCGTTCCTTCGACGAAGATGTCATCAAGACTGATAGTCGTCTCTGAGACATGAGGTTTCTTGGACGATGATGGTTCTTCGGTGATCTGCCTCTTCTTGGTGTCAAAGACATCATCCAAGGAGACAGTGGTTTCGACGGTTTGACGTGTCGTGGTAGTCGAATCCGATTCGACGGTTCTTCTGGCCTTGTCCCGAAGGGTGTCTTCAAACTCCTTGAGTCGTTGAGCGATCTTGTCCTCATCCTCATCAGACTTCGGTCTTGGCGTTCCTTCGACGAAGATGTCATCAAGACTGATAGTCGTCTCTGAGACATGAGGCTTCTCGGACGATGATGGTTCTTCGGTGATCTTCTTCTTCTTGGTGTCAAAGACATCATCCAAGGAGACAGTGGTTTCGACGGTTTGACGTGTCGTGGTAGTCGAATCCGATTCGACGGTTCTTCTGGCCTTGTCCCGAAGGGTGTCTTCAAACTCCTTGAGTCGTTGAGCGATCTTGTCCTCATCCTCATCAGACTTTGGTCTTGGCGTTCCTTCGACGAAGATGTCATCAAGACTGATAGTCGTCTCTGAGACATGAGGCTTCTTGGACGATGATGGTTCTTCGGTGATCTGCCTCTTCTTGGTGTCAAAGACATCATCCAAGGAGACAGTGGTTTCGACGGTTTGACGTGTCGTGGTAGTCGAATCCGATTCGACGGTTCTTCTGGCCTTGTCCCGAAGGGTGTCTTCAAACTCCTTGAGTCGTTGAGCGATCTTGTCCTCATCCTCATCAGACTTCGGTCTTGGCGTTCCTTCGACGAAGATGTCATCAAGACTGATAGTCGTCTCTGAGACATGAGGCTTCTCGGACGATGATGGTTCTTCGGTGATCTTCTTCTTCTTGGTGTCAAAGACATCATCCAAGGAGACAGTGGTTTCGACGGTTTGACGTGTCGTGGTAGTCGAATCCGATTCGACGGTTCTTCTGGCCTTGTCCCGAAGGGTGTCTTCAAACTCCTTGAGTCGTTGAGCGATCTTGTCCTCATCCTCATCAGACTTTGGTCCTGGCGTTCCTTCGACGAAGATGTCATCAAGACTGATAGTCGTCTCTGAGACATGAGGCTTCTCGGACGATGATGGTTCTTCGGTGATCTTCTTCTTCATGGTGTCAAAGACATCATCCAAGGAGACAGTGGTTTCGACGGTTTGACGTGTCGTGGTAGTCGAATCCGATTCGACGGTTCTTCTGGCCTTGTCCCGAAGGGTGTCTTCAAACTCCTTGAGTCGTTGAGCGATCTTGTCCTCATCCTCATCAGACTTTGGTCTTGGCGTTCCTTCGACGAAGATGTCATCAAGACTGATAGTCGTCTCTGAGACATGAGGCTTCTTGGACGATGATGGTTCTTCGGTGATCTGCCTCTTCTTGGTGTCAAAGACATCATCCAAGGAGACAGTGGTTTCGACGGTTTGACGTGTCGTGGTAGTCGAATCCGATTCGACGGTTCTTCTGGCCTTGTTCCGAAGGGTGTCTTCAAACTCCTTGAGTCGTTGAGCGATCTTGTCCTCATCCTCATCAGACTTTGGTCTTGGCGTTCCTTCGACGAAGATGTCATCAAGACTGATAGTCGTCTCTGAGACATGAGGCTTCTTGGACGATGATGGTTCTTCGGTGATCTGCCTCTTCTTGGTGTCAAAGACATCATCCAAGGAGACAGTGGTTTCGACGGTTTGACGTGTCGTGGTAGTCGAATCCGATTCGACGGTTCTTCTGGCCTTGTCCCGAAGGGTGTCTTCAAACTCCTTGAGTCGTTGAGCGATCTTGTCCTCATCCTCATCGGACTTTGGTCTTGGCGTTCCTTCGACGAAGATGTCATCAAGACTGATGGTCGTCTTTGAGACATGAGGCTTCTCGGACGATGATGGTTCTTCGGTAATCTGCTTCCTCTCAGTTCTTTCGATGGTTCGATGTTTAGCAATTTCATCATTAACTGCACTTGGTATTGGTGTTCCTTTGTTGTTATCGAGACCAATGGTGGTTCCAAAGAGGTTGATGGTAGCTTCAGAAGCATATTTGCATGTGTTCTCTTCAGTGGCATTCTTTCCTGCGTCATCGTTCTGAGAAATAAGTATGTCATAATCAGATTCCTGCTCGTGTTTCTCAAATGCTATTTCAATTTCAACATTTTTCAACGACTCATGATCACTGTGTTGATTAGTATTGGCTTTTTGCGCGTCAATTTCTAAATTTTGCCGAGAAATTTCATCAAGGGACACTTTCAGATGAAGTGGATGTTGAATACTGTGTAGAGATTCTCGTGAATGCTTCTTGGAAACTTCTCCGTTCTGTTTGTTCAAATCAACATCTTTTGCGTCATTTCCATTTTTGTTTGTAACTTTATTGATTGTGATCGTTTCAGTGGAAGTTTCCATCGTCTCTGCCTCTCGTTGTAAATGTTTCTTCGCTGATCGCGGTGGCGGAGTCGGAGTCTCAGAATCAAACGCAAGGATGTTTTCTGTGGCGGTTTTCTTCGTGATAATAAATTGTTTTTCCGATGGTGGTGTCAATGCCTCAAAGATGTCGTCAATCGTGATGTTGATAGGTGGCGATTTGCTGTCTTTTCTACTCGTATTCTTCACATCGTTTTTCAGCTCTTCCATACTAATACGACGAGTTACAGAAAGTTTCCTGGGAACCTTCTGTATATCACGAGGTTTTTCTGTAGTCTCTTTCTCAGCAACTCCCAAATCACTCTCCATTTTATTTGTAGTGACCGTCATCGTGGTTAGTGTCGACATTTGAGCGTCTTGCTGTACAACACCAAGCAACTGATCAGCCTCATGCGGTTTTTTGTCAACATAATACGATTCCCCAGCGTTCCTGTTAGTTAGCGATTCATTCACCTGGTACTCATCGATAATCTCAGCAGTTGGTGAAGATTTTTCAATGGCTGAAAAATCTTCGACGATCTGTTGCGAGCGCTTCCTCGTCGTATTGATGTTGAATATCTCGTCAAGAGAGATATTGACAGGCGATGTTCTTAGCCGTGATGGGAGTGTTGCATAATTATTTTGCTAGAATACACCTGCTAACTTTTTCAAAACCTTCAGAAAACATACGTGATTACTAATATCGTTCAAAAGAAGCTTTCCTGGTGATCTTTGTTCGGCTCTTCGTCTTTCCAATTCCGCAGCACTCAATTTTGTCAACTGACAAGCATTGCATTGGCATTTTTCATCGTCATTTTTGATGGTTGAAGTGCATGGAAAGATCTGTAATTATTATGTATCATCATAGTTTTTTTTTGAATACCTGATTCAAGTCGATATCAGCATCTGCGATTGATGTTGTTCTGCTTGGCACGGAAGATCTGAAATTGGCAGCTTTCTATTAATAATTGATATATTATTTCAAATACATGTTTCAATTCAAAATATACTTCGGAAAATTGGCAAAATTCCAGAAGCCAGAACAATTTAGAGAAGGGTGCGCGGTGTTCCCCTTTAACTTATGGATTATGCTTTATCCGTAAATCTACACTATTATTTTTGCGTCAAGGCCCCCGCAATTGGTGTTTTTGGCATTCAGCCAATTTTCCGAAGTCGCGCGATGTCGACAATTAAAGAATCGAACCTTCTTTTATTCTCAGTGGACGGTTTTCGTTCGGTCTCATATGGCGATTTGGGCGGTTTCGCTGGTGACGATGGATCCTATAACATGAATATTAAACAATAAATATCGCAAAACGGATAATATCATTGTGAACAACCTTTCGCTTTTTGCGTTTTTTGCGGAAAACCGATGCTATACGAGTGAAATCGAACATGTTGGAATGTGTCGAAACGCTTTAGACTAACTCACAAACAACATCATAATCCAGTAAATCCTTTTTCAAAAAAAAAAAACACAAACCTTCATGTTAAATGCAGCATACCAATCGATGTCAGTTACGGTACTCTTTCGTCGTCGTTGCCCATTTTGATCAGAGAGAAGATCCTGCGAGCTTCTTCGAGAGGTTGGTGTCTGATTGACAACAACTATTGGAGTTGCTGGAGTTCTTGCCGGCGATCGAGCGTCATCACAGGAAATGATATTAATATCTGGTGGCCTTGAGCTCTTCCTGCTTGCTGGCTCTGAATCAGTGCTGGTTCTTGCTTCTTTGCGATCCATTGTTGTGAATGGTGTGGATGTTGCGAGTGGCACACCAATAGCGTCGTCGTATTTAGTTCTTCGTGGTGGTTTCGGCGGTGCAGAACTCAATTCCTCATATTGTTCCATTTGTTCTGATGATGATCTTCTCCTCTTGATGATTATGTTCATTGTCAAATCTTCGCCAGTGTGACCAATGATGGTAGGCTCTCCAGGAATGTCATCTGTTGGTCCGATCACATTGACCTGGATGTGGTTCACTCGCGATGGTGGCGACGACCGAGCTCGTGGTATCGTCGAGTATCTCGACTCAAATGATGTGTCCTAATTAGATAAATTGAGCACAAAATCTATGAATTACCAATTTACCGTGCAAGAATTGTTCATTGAGACACTTGTGATACCAGCTGTCAAGTTTTCATACCCATCCATATTGTTCATGGAAACCGAGGTGACGCCAGGTAAAGGGGACTTCAGATGAGCGCGACTTCTTTCGATTGTGGCCTCGTCATATTCGGAAATGTGTTGCTCTTCATAATTTTCGTCTTCACGATAATAGTGGAGAGATTCTTCACGTCCAAGCCGTTTCCTCGGTGGTGCCACTGGTTGTGATTCGATGCTGTAATTCGTATTGCCTTCCCATTGAAATAAAAGAAAATCGAAAAAAATGTTCATCGATTCGAACCTATTTTCACTTTTTTTTTCAATTCTAAAAGGTTTAGTTTCAAAAAAAAAAAACGATTCATGAAATTCAAACTCGTTTTTAATCTATGATCGTCGAAATTGTTTGAAATACGCACCGCGTGTCGGCCGACTTTGACCTATATGATCTGGTACTGTGCTCGACGTCATCATGGATGACAACACTATCGGAATCTGATTCTTGTTGTTCGTCGTCACCGTTTGAAGTCTCCTCATATTTCCTATAGTACAATTGTTGAACTTCCGGGTTTCTGGAAACCGCGAAAGCCTCAAATTCAATAAACTTGAAGATGATTGGTCTACCTGGTTCCTACACTGCTACTCCTCCGCGTCGTTGTGATCTTTTCAGTTTCGGTCACCGACGTTCTTGTCGTCACGTTTTTGCGCAGATCGGCGAACTTTCGACGACCGGTTGAATTACCGCTTTGGTTTGAGTTGAGTCGTTTCGATTCACTATCGACGGGTATTGTGAATTCAAGATCAATAATGTTATCGCTTCTTCTGTCAAATCGAGGCACATCATCTGGTAGATCTGAACGCTCCAGGCATTCTTGTTCAACCTGAAATATGAAAAATAATGTCTTTTTTTGGAAGCTAATTCGCTTCTCACAATATTTCTAATGACTTCCTCATAGGAGTTCTTTTCAAGTTCCGGTCCTTCATATGGCTGATGTGTTTCCTGGATTCGAATAACGGTTCCTTTACCCTTCTTATCATCCATTTTTCCGTCGAGTTCTTCACACGAATGATATTTCTCGTGCAACCTCTGAATTTGTCAAAAATTATTAGCAGATGAATGGCGGGGATACCTTGATCGAGACGTTCACTGGATGCGGCCCAGCAGAAGCAATGTTGGTGACTTTGACTTCACAAGATGACGGATGTTTGTCGGCTGCGCCGTTCACCACCTGCAGTTTTCAAATTGAAACTGTTTGGATTTTGGAAGTGAAATTCCATAAAAAGTAATTTTATTATTGTTTTTGATGTGGAATGTTCACTAGTTCTCTCGCCCTTCTCTCGCTCTCTCTCTCTCTATTTATAATAATTCAATTATTTTTTGTTTTTTGAACCGGAAATTTCATATTTCATTCAAAATTGATCAATATTCAAGGCTTCTGCGCAATTCGGCTAATTTGACATATCCAATGTGACATTGAATTGATCGTTTTTCATTTTATCAGTTCGTTTTGATAGGGCAATCTCAATCGCAAAGGAAGTTGCAAGCGAGAATAAACCGCAATCTTGATCTTAACGATGTTTCATTCTTAGAAATAAGAAATGACGATGGCGTGAGAAACAATAACAAAAACACAATGATGGTGTCGGTTCTGCAAATATCATCAATCAATTGTTGGAAACGACAGGATGCGCAGAGAAAATATGTTGTTGGTTATTCATACTTTAATTCAATTAGTAATATTGGTCTTTTGGTTTTTGAAGAATGAAAACAACAATTTCTTATTGATTTTAGCGTTGAGTATTTAATTTTTAAGCGAAATCCCTCAAATTAATTAAGAAATTAGAAAAACGGACGGAAAAAATAAATAAGATGTCGTCGGAATGGTAATGAAAAGTGAAAGAACTGGCAAATAGTGGCCATTTGATAAGATCACTTTCATTTTTTTTCTTCTGTGTGAAATTGATGACCGTTTTTGGAAATTGACGTGACACCCACTTTTTTTTTACAAAAAAAAAAGAAATTGCAGTAAAAGTTTACGGAACTATGCAGATTTAGCAAAAAAAAACTCAAAAAAGCCAATGCAGAAAAAAAAGATTTTTGAGATTTTCGAACTTTTTCCTCAAAATTTGCATATCGCTATTAATAACAACCTCGGTGACGGTCACCGTTTTGGTGATTTCGACGAATTTCTCGCGGCGACGTGGCATTAGACTCAGATAATCGTGCGTCAGAATATTCCGTAAAAACTTCTGAAATGAAAGTTTCAATGCGAGGATTATATAATGTATGTGAGAAATGCAACAATGGCATTCGACACACAATTGAAAAAAATCGATTCAAGGTTGTCATACTGACCTCAGAAAAGGATTCTTGCTCGTCGTCGAGCTGATGGCTGACGAATGGCGCGTCGTCGAGTTGCTCGGCGTCGGAAATGTTCGATCGACTCGAATTCCGTGAGAAATTGCCTTTGCTCACACCCCGGTCGTTCACTTCGTCGTTGTCGTCCTCGTTGTTGGTTGGCGGTGCTGGCGCGGCTCCAGGAGCACCAAGTGTGCAAATGCTATACGAACTCATTCAGATAAACGACAATCGGTGGCGTGTTTTGACGAGGCGGCCGGCGAATTTGGGAAGCGAGACGACTGCGACGCGAAAAGGCCGCGAGACGAAGAATGAATTGAAGAGAAAGGCTATCATCAACATCTTTTTTTGGCAGAGATTTATCAATCTTTGAATATGTCACACCTATTTTGAGAACGCACGCATCGAATGGGGTTTGATTCGACATTGAATCGAAAAAAGTTTAGAATCCGACGTATTGTGATGCGATCGGTTTCGACAGAACTATTCAGCTACACGTTCGGTATTGTTTGGCGCAAAATTTGCAACAATTGAAGGACGAGGAAATATCGAAATAAACAATGGAACAAATCGAGTTCGTTTACCGTTTTTTGGTGTAGTCTAGTCGGAGATAGGCTACTTCTCTAACCATATAAATAATTTTTTCAATAAACTATTACATTCGCAAAAATCGAGCAAATCTGAGCCGATTTATGGTGAGCTAGCTTATCCAGAGTACGGCACCCGAATTTTTATATTCAAATTTGAATTACCGCCTCGAAAAGTGCGATAGTCCACAATTTTGCAAGGCGCTCGTTTATTTGCGATGGTAACAGTTTTTATTGAATTTTTCTCCGAAACCTGCTCAGTGCCATAAATGGCACGAATTTGCCTACGTGGATTTTCTTCAAACGTTTTTCATCATTAAATTGCTTCCTAACTTTTTCTCATTAACGATCCTAACGGGCATCAGAAATTCGATAAGCTAATTTAAATGTAAAATGGAAATTTATTTTTGGCGCAAGTTTGCAAATATTCTTCAAAATTTCTTTTTGGGATAATAAAAATTAATAATGGCATTTAGGATTTTTAAAAATTGGCATTTGGGTGAATGGGAATCCAAAAAAGTGGAAAATGTGGTTCAATTGGTTGGAAAATCATTTGGAAGCAGACATCAGAGTTTCAAGAAATCAATCAGAGATCGTTGATCAAACTTTTGAATTGACTCCGTTTTTGTGTTTGAACACGGACTGCAAATATGCAAGAATTGAATCAATATTGCCATTGTTGTCTCAATTTTTTCCTGACAAGAATGTGATGAGCTGAAAAGGAAAAACGAATAAAAAGTTGAACGCTTCCGATTTCAAATATCTCTAAAATTTTGCCTCTAAATTTATTAAACATTCATTTCTCCCAATTAATTTTATTTTTTAGAATATTTTATAAAATCTATAATGAGTATGATTCCGGGGGCCTAAAAATTTGAAATACGCAATTTAGTCTCACAATAATTATCTGGCTGACAGTCAAACATGTAGAAAAAAAAAAGAATTTTTTTTTCATTATTTTGTGAAAACGATGGAAATGGGGAACATCTGGAAACATTTCGATTCATTCTATATTTTTTTATTCATTGATTTTTAAACATCTAAAAATTCTAATCGATTTTCAGTTTCATTCTACTAAAAAGGCATTGAAGCCATTCATTGATGTACTTTACAGTAAAGTGAGGCCCAGCGATAAGAATCAGAACAAAAAAAAATTATTCTTGGCAAAGAAAAACACAATAGTTGCAAATGAAGAGGAAATCAAAAGGCTTTTCACCTTGAACTTGAACCAGGCCGTATGAATCAAATAGAATTCATATAAGGGGAACACCTGATACATGTTGCAATTGGGTGGAATTCGATTAGAATACCAGCGAGGCGAATGTCGTCTGTTGGGCGATTGAGAAGAAAAAAGGTGCTTAAAACGAATTTTACGATCAGACAACGCGCACTAAAATTCTTGACACCGATTTCAATTTTTTCTTTTTTTTTTTAATTTTTTAAAACTTTTTGATAAGAATTTCTATTTTTGATTGAAAATCAAATGGCTTTTCTCGAATTCTTGACTAAAAAGGAAGGCTGGCAATGAGAAAATAATAATTTGATTCAAGGCTATTTAAGATAATTAGGCTAATATGAAGAATAGAAATTGATCGAATTATATGTATTGAAATGAATCGGGCAGTTAATAGAAAAAATCAGATTTAAACTGACACTTTTCTATACATATTGTCGACGTCGCGCGAATATTGGCTAAATGCCAAAAATTAAAAAAAAGGTCTTGGTACGCGGTGTGCGCCTTTAACTTATCCTTATGCATAGCCTTGTAAATCTACACTTTTAGTTCGGCGCCAGGACCAATGCCATTGCTTTTTGGCATTTAGCCAATTTGGCGAAGTCGCGCGACGTCGACAATTGGTACATATATACATATACACAAAAGATTGAGAAGAATATGAACATTTGATGGTTTATATACAACTATTTTTTTGGGAAATAATAATTTTATGATTTATTTGATGATAATGGCCATATATGGAATGGTCTGTGTACAACTTCATGCTATATTTTATTGTTTTATCGACAAGAGACTGGTTTCGGTGGGCAATTTTTTATAATTAAAGTATCTTCAAAAAAATTGAGAATTTGTGAAATTACCTTCTTTGAATTCCAGCTTCTACTTGTATCTGAATTTATTTTTGTAAATTTGAGTCAGGTGCCTTGAAATTTATTTTCAAGAATTTCAAGCACAATTTAAACATCTTTTCAAATACTGAATTGATCCATCGAATTTTTTAGATTTATCAGCTTTACTTAGAAAGCGAAATTTTGGGGGATTTACAACCAGAAAACCGGAAAAGATTTAAGCATATATCTAAGCGTCTTTTTTGTGGAAATAAAAAGTATCATCAAAGAAAGATTTTCGAGAAGTCGCTAATTGTGGGGAGATTATTTGAAATTTATTACACAGCTCTCTTAAAACGGAAAATCATTGATTCTCGAGTTTTTTGTTGTTGTTAAATAACTTGTTTTCTCAAAAAGAACAAATATTTACAAAAAAAAACAATACAGAGGAGTTGAAACAAAAAAAATTTGAAAATAATGGAGAGAGCGAGCGAATAGGAGAGAGAACAATCGATGGATTGGCGTGTCGAAAATATTGATGCGCAACGAAAAAAAATGGCTGACTGTGTCGCATTATATGGTCGAATATCCGCCGAAATAGTACGGTAATCGGTGGAAACACAAACAATGCCCATAATTATCTGTTGCTTCCTTCTTTTTTACGCAGTCGGTGTGTGATCATTCAGATCTTGCTGATTTTGGATGCTGGAACCAGTTTCGATGGGAACGGCGAGAAAAAAAAACAACATATGTATATAGACCATCTACTGGGAACAAAAAAATTGGAAATGATTTGTTAAAGGAATTATTTGTGTTTCGTCGGAAGAGGCGGAAGAAGCCTCGTCGTGACTCATCTAAACGGAATGACGATGAGCAATCATCACAACAATAGATGAACATAATGACAAAAATGGCGCACAAAAAGAAACTGTATAGTTTTTTTCTGTGACGATTATCAGCTGGAAGCTCGAGATCCGAGGAATTGACCCATTTCAATTTCCCTTCTGACAAAGACAAAGAACGAAACCAGTCGAAGCATTTGGTTGAAGAGCTTGATTGAATCTCTCTCCCCTCAATGAAATTGCGTCTTCGAACAGATATTCGATGGAATGTTTGAAAGCCTTTTAAAATAAAGCGAATCGAGTTTCATTTTAAAATTGCGAGAAAGTTTTTTAGAATTTCCTATATGGACTTTTTTGGGCGGAAAATGTGGTAGCGATATTCGGCTAATATTTATACATAGTAAATTTTCTGTTAGTTCTTATGAACATAAAGCATAGTTAATCAAAAATAAATCTTTTTCGACCTCAAAGTCAAGCTGTAAAGAATTTGAGCTGACAAAAAATGCATAAGATAATTTAATGATTTGTTTTCCCTAATAGATATTTTCTACCACGTGGCACCTACCAACTTTTTTCGAAATAAAATTGACTAGCCTGTTTTTTTTGTGTGAGAAGAAAAAAAAAATTCTAAAACAGAAATAATAAATATGTTCATAAGCCAATAATTCTTAATTTTTCATGTTTAATTTGTGTGAAAATTTTTGAGAATTTGTTCATTTCTCATAAAATGGTTCACCGTTTTTCTAGTTTTTTGTTGTTGTTCTCCCACTCACCCTCTCGCGATTCCAATCTTCAGTTTTTATAGTCCTAATCGTAAAATTTGGTTTCATTGTTCTAAATTGAATATAAACCCAACAAATTGGAAGTCACGCACAACGCGATCGATTTCGAATTGAAATCTCATTTTTTAAAAATGGATTTGTACAAATTATGGAAAGTAAAGCGAAATGCGCAAAACGCGGTTAACAAATTTGAATTTGTTGTTAATAACATTAAAAGGTATCGCGATTATTGAAAAAAAAAACACATACACACAAAAATGAAACTGAAAAAATTCTAGAGAAAGAGCCGGTCAAAAACGAATTCTGACATTCGGTGAGAAGGTCAAAAAAAAGTTGTCGTGCATTTATCCGCCTTGGAAAAAAGAAACACCGAAGAGCAGATATGAACGGATGTTTGTCAATGGCACTGTGTAAATTTCATTATCATTATTTTTTTTCGATTAACTCAAAGGAAATCAAAAGGGAAATGAATTGAATTGAGCAAATATAGCAAAAAGTGGAAAAGGGTTTTTTTAGTTTTGAGATATTGAGTCGTCGTAGCCCAAATTCTATCAATTGCAATACATAGAAACCAAGATGTCGGGGTGAGATCATGCTTAAAGTCACCATGTTCCTTTAATCGATTGTTTAATCCGACTTCTTCGTTTTTATGAAAAAAATTGCAATATTATTTCTTTGAGATTTTGAAACTTAAATGTTGGTATAAATTTCAATATGTAATAGAAGAAAATAGAATGTTTCATGATCTAATCCGAGAAATTTATATTTTTAAACAATGCATTTTATAAACTACTTTGATTAGATTCAAAATTAATTAAAAACTGAAAATGTTCCAATAGGAGTCAAGGTTTAATCATATCCTTAGTTAGGCATGAGATTTCGAATACGTAATTCCTCCGAAAAACGGAACTAAATTCGAAAGGTCATTTATACATAACTTTTTGATTGGATCCACATTGATCACAAAAATAAGTGATCGAAGAATGACATTCATTTATAATCGAGGTGGGCGTTGCTTATGATTGAAATTTTTCTGTCGTGGTCTCGTGAACATTTTCTATTTGATCTCGTATGAAATACATTAAAAACTAGTAAGAATTAAAAGCGCATGCAAAAATATACTCAATTGGCGCTAAAATCAAAGATGGCCATTCAAATTTAAAAAATCACTCGTTTCCGACAATTAAAAAAAGAGGCTTGGAAAAGAAATGAAGAATTTCAGAGAGCACACGATGTTCCTTCTACTTCGAAATATTTTCCTTGTTGAATCTTTCGGACTTGTGATGTACTTTTTAATGTCATTCAAATATTCCTACTACCCAGAATTGTAAGTAAATCATTGAAAATCTACGAATATATTTCTAAAATTCAGCATTGGCACCCTAATATCGATTATAATCCATTTCTTTTTGATACTAACATTGATTTTTCCTAAAATGATGAGCTATTTCATAATTGCAATTCATATGATGCTCTCGACAAAAGTCAAAAATATTATATTGATTTTGATAGTGGCAATTTCGTTTGAGGTTTGATTTCTCCACTAGATATCCGATGCTTCCGATCGTTCACATCTAGGGTCCCGCGATGAATGTAGTTCGCAATATTCACCAAGTCGCGTCGGGAGTCGCTTGTATTCAAGCGAATGTGATGGCGTCGAAGAACGACGTCGAAGGGAATATCGCCGACAAGGGCCAATTGCTGGTTTCGAGACTTCGCGCGGTTTTGAGAAATGTTGCGGGACCAATGAACAAGGTGAAACGAATGCTTCTGACACTGGATGAAAAAGCGACAAAGTTGGTCAAATTTGTACATATTGTGGGAAAATGAGGAATGTGAAAAACTGCGTTGTGTGCGTACACCGAGCCGCACATCTCGATCTTAGCTACAGTAATCGTAACTGAAAATTATTTAATTAATTATCGATCATTTCTTTTTATATAAAACAATTAACTTTGAATAATATACAAAAATGATTACTATTTTTCAACACAACAATATACATTAAACCATAAATTCACCAAGAAAACACAGAAAAAATATTTTTAAAAAATTTTTTGATTAAATGATTTTCAGTTGAGATTACTGTAACTAAAATCGAGATGTGCGGCTCGATGTACGCACAAATGCACAGAAGGGCTGTGCGGCAATGGAATTGCCGATTGCCGAAATTGCCGAAATTGCCGATTTTTCAAATTGCCGGATTGCCGAAATTTTGATTTTCGGCAATTTGCCGAATTGCCGAATTGCAATTGCCGAAATTTCCGATTGCCGCACAGCCCTGATCAGTGTGTCTACCCGGGACGAAGTTTCCCGGGAATTTCCGGGTTCCCGGGAAATTCCCGGGAAAATTTTCCCGGGACCCGGGACTCATTGAAACTTAATTTCCCGGGATCCCGGGATCCCGGGAAATTCGTTTCCCGGGAAACGCGGGATCCCGGGATCCCGGGAAATTCATTTCCCGGGTTTCCCGGGAAATTCCCGGGACACCCGGGACAATCCCGGGACAATCCCGGGAAAGTCTGCAAACACCGCGCGCGCAAACGCACACTCTTCGAATATTGCGTATTGTCGTTTTTTTTTTCGAAATTTTATGAGTTTTCTTATTTTCTTTGTCATTCTGATTCGCGACATATTCAAATCGAATCTTTTCAGTCAGTCTTTTCAGATCGAATCAGCGATATTATTTATTATTATAATTTATTGTTTACTTGATCGATCTTCAATAAGTTTTTTCGTTGAAAAAAGTATATTGAAAAAAGTTTAAAACCATTATTTCGTATAAAATTCTTGCTAATTTGGAAAAATCGTTATTTGCACATTTCAATTGTACTCATTTTTCTGCCAAATTTTAAAAATTCCAAATAGGGACTTCCTACGCCATTTTCTAAGCATTGGAATCTTTTTAAAATAAGAAAATTCATTAAAATGAAACGAGAATACGCAATATTCGAAGAGTGTGCGTTTGCGCGCGCGGTGTTTGCAGACTTTCCCGGGATTGTCCCGGGATTGTCCCGGGTTTCCCGGGAATTTCCCGGGAAACCCGGGAATTTCCCGGATTTCCCGGGAACCCGCTCATCCCGGGAAATGAATTTCCCGGGATCCCGGGATCCCGAGATACCGGGATCCCGGGTAGTTGCGGGACGAAACCGGGACGAGACCCGGGATTGGAGTCCCGGGATTTCCCGGATAAACCCGGGAAACGAAATTCCCGGGATCCCGGGAAATCCTGTCCCGGGTAGATACACTGGCCCTGATGCACAGGATATCGCTGCAGTTTTTCACATTCCTCATTTTTCCACAATAAAATTAATCGATATAATTTTGTCAGATTCGTGGATATTATGAGAAAACATTTTTATACAATATCTGAATTGACAGCTGAGTGCAAGAATTTGCTTAAAACACCTTATGTGAAGGTAGATAGATAGAGAGAAAGAGAGCAAATTTCAGAATTCTTCCAACATTTTCTTCAGTGCCTCGATGTTTTCGATGACGCCTACACATATTGTAAAGTGAAGGCTCGATTTTTCGGCTTACACGAGAAAGCGTGCACGGCGATTCCGAAAACGGCTGCGGTATCGCCCGTTATTTTCAATGTTCAAAATTTTAAAAATTAGATTTGCCATCAAGCTCAAGGGTTTTCGAGTCAAGTGTGTTCACTTCCAAATATTTTTGCAAAAGGTATTAACGAAATTCCGAACAAAAATTGAAATTATCAAATATTCAGGTGTAAAAGGAGCAGCTGTGCCGTTCTACTCGGCTTATTTTGGAGCAATTGAATTCGCTATCAAAAAGATTTTTTATATTCATATTGAGGCTACTAAATGGGTGAAAAACAACTGATGGATGGAATTTTTAAAACAATTGTATGTTTAAGGCAATCGAAAAAGTGAAACCGGCTTACGAAGAAATCAAGAAGGCTAGTCGAATAACTGTTCAATACGAGACATCCGCTGAGGGAAAACCGAATGCTGCCGATGATTCAACTGCAAATTTGCGAGCTGTACATCTTGTTTCCCCAATTTCTCGCTGAAATTCTTCTCCTTTTCACAGAGCGTCAAAAACAGCCTGATGGGTATCGTCAACTTTTACACTGGTATCATAAGCTTCATCTCGCTCATCTTGCGCTACGGCATAATGCCAATCATCATTTTGTGGCCATTTATAACGGTAGCTTATTTTTTCTTTTTTTTTCTTCTTAACATTTGTTTTTAAGGCCTTGAAATTCATTTACAATTTCAATTATGAAGATGATTATAAAAATAATTTCATAACTGACGAATTTGTGAAAATTGATGAAAGTTGCTCAATGAAAGGTGTAAAAAAAGTGCTTCCTTTAATTGGAGATGAGACAAAAAAGGTTTGAAACGATTAACCAATATTTAATAATGCCTTTTCAGTATATTTGGCGAACCGAATGGAAAATGAAAGAAGAGGAGGTCGGATCGTACCATTTGCAAATTTTTATCACAATTATTTCTTGTGTTACCCCATTTTTCCTGAGCTTTTTAGATATTGGAGTTTATACGGTAGAAGAATTTCACATTTCGAACTCTGAATCTGAACTATTCTAGTCAATATACAAGGTTTATCAGTTTATGAATCGAACCAATGTCGAAGTTCCGGCTCATTATGAGGTTAAAGTCGCCGGCGACAGCTATATGTCGCAGATAATGAATGAGTTTATGGATGTCTTTTCTCCGTTCACCCAGAATGTTAGGGAAAGAGAGAATAAGTAGAATATTTCCTTTTTTTTTATTCGACAATCCATCTAAGCTTGTTTCAGATGGCGGACGTGCTTTCAAGAACCAGCTCCACCAAATTATTACGAAGATTTGCTGATGTTTCTCTTATTTGTTTTCGCTCTTTTTCTCTGCCGATTGAAGGTTTTCTTGGAGCTTAAGGGCTCTGTAAAGGGCAATGAGGAAAAATAAAATGGAAAAAAATAGAAGAAATTTTAATGCAGCAAAAAATTTTATTGAAAATTTCTCAATTGTTTCTCATTTTTTATTTCTCCGCATTGTCCTATAAATCTTCTCTATTAAAATAATTCATATTTCATTTATCAGGTATTTCTTGGCCGACAAAGCTTAACACTTGCTGACCACTTCTATCCGCATCGCGTTCGAATTCGTGCCTTAACCCTTTATAGCAAAATCATGCAGGAACGGCATCATTTACTCGCTGAAATGATGCATTTGGCGGAAGTTTGTTTGAAAATTGTCGAAGCGTTGAATAAAATATTGTAGGGTGATACACAAGGCGCCGATGATCTTGTGTTTCGGAGATCAATCCAAAGTCGAGGGCATTTACGCGTAAATTGCTCAAAATGTGATAGATGTGATATTCGAGTTGCGGATCAAGCGTAAGTATTGCGAAAATAATGCCTGAATTTGCAAATCCATAGGAATTTTTTCAAGGAATTTACGCATTTGCATTCATTGCTCCGCGTTTTATTGCATCGACTGTTTTTCGCTATCGCTTCACTGTTCAACGTGTGATTTGAAAATGCAAAATGTCAATGGTATAGAACTTTACTACGAAGACGATTCCGAAGCCGATGATGCAGAATCTGGTAACTAAAATAGTTTTGTTAATAATATATAACTTTTAAATTTCTGATTCTGAATCAATTGATGATGAACAAGCTGAATCTGAAAATGTGAATGTTGAAGGAACAGAGAAGAGCGCAGACGTAGTTAATCCCACAGCTTAGTTAATTGTTTAGTAAATTGATTTGTTTTCCGTTATTCTTTCGAACTAATGCTGAACATAATCAGATTTTTAAAATAAAAAAAAATGTTCCACAAAATCTATTTTCAAAACTTATTTTCGTTTTCAATTGAACGAAGAAGAAATTGAAGGGCCGGTCAATGAATGGTCATTTAAAACTAACAATAATACTTTATAAAATTGAATATATTTATTCTAATTTTAATATTTATCAAATATCTGCAAAGATGGCATTTTCGGATTTTTCAACGGTAAAAAAATGATGTTCATTCCGTAATGCAAACGTGCTCTAGTGGACGGCCGTGGCCGAAGTTTCCCGGTAATTTCATGTAGTCCACACGGAAAAATTTAAATTAAATTTGAATTTTCTTTCGAAAAGCTTCGAAATGTTGCTTAATTTCTCAGTTTCATATTATTATAGTTCAATTCTTAAAGGGAAACCATGATTGGGGATGGGCCCTCGACGTCGATATTCAATGAACAACCACTATTCAATCGAGCATCTCCGGCGAGACAGTGGGATTTCGAAAAATTAAATTAGATTCATTGACAAGCTTGTTTCAGAAAAGTTGATGATCCTGTATTTCTGTCATCTCGTTTGAGTACTCCGAATGTGATTCCAGTGGCCCAGCGTGCCATCAGCTCACCGAAGAGCACCCAAAAAATTGTCACAATTTTCGACCATATCCTGCAATGGTTTTCGGAAGAAATTTCGACAAGAAAGCGAAAAGCTGCCGGGGTATGTGCGATATTCGCTATTATCACGTATATCGCCACCGTCTCCATGTTAATCCTGTCGCTTTGGGCTCCATTTTCATCACTTCAAGGTATTCTAGAATGTTCTATCACATAAAATTCGCTCTTAATCAATTCCAGAAGCAACGACATGGTTCTTCTCGCCATACAATTGGACTTTCATTCTTCTACACGCTTCTATAACATTCGTAGTTTCGTTAACTGTTATTTCTTATCTATGCAAAAGTTAGAGTTTCTCCAAAATTTTGACAACATTTGAAATTTGAATATGTTCAGTTGACCAGTCACCAAGAATCCCGCTAACCGATTGGACTGTTTGGCTCATTGTCGGATTTGAAGCTGTCGCTCGCATCATCGCCATCTTCTCGATCTTCTACGTCTCCAGATCTCGTTTCTTGGAAGGATTCTCCCCTGTTGTCATTGGATTTGGAACATTCATCTCATCCGCATTAGTGTGTTTTAAAAATGATTTCAATTTGACGTTTATGTCAGTATATGTGGTAAATTGAGAGATTCGATTAATTCTGTAGTTTTTTTTTCAGAATTCTGTGAAGACCCTTATCGATCTCCTAAAATCGACGAATTACTCAAATTTGGTCGAAATTTGTGGAATTGACGCAGCAATTGCCTACACATCATCTCTGTCTTTTCTGATAATTTTCGGTGAAAAATTTATTTGATTCCATTTTTAACGAGAATTTCAACATTCAGGTCCAATATTTTCGGGATTCCATTCGTGGTGGCTTCTTGTGAATATTCCCTTCCATTTTTCTCTTGCTGTCTTATACTTCTCCCATCAGTTTTACTATAAGACTTTTATGAAAATCGTGAATCAAGTTGTTATGAAGGTGAATAATTAATAATGTATTGATTCCAACACGTTGTTTCAGCCGTTCAAATTCTCATTCCCTCCACCGTATGCCATTCATTCGCCTACTCCCGAACAAATTCGCACTATCACAAACATTCTGGAAGTTGAGGATCCGTTTTTGAAGGTTAGAATTTATATTTATTCTGTTTTAATTTAAATATTTATAACACTAAAAAATATAAGTTTTCGAAGCATTGTATCTATGGTAGAGTTTCGAATAGAACGTCTTTAGTTTTACGATATGTATTTCAACCAACAAGTTCTCCGATTTCAGATTTTTGCATTTTACGATCTTCGCGAAATTGCTTGGTCGGATCAAGAGCGTCGCCGCTTCGTCTTCTCCCTTTCGCAACCCGGAGGTCATGCTCGCAACTGGAAATCGGTTTCATCCGCTTGCGTTCATATTCTTGACGATATGTGCTCAAAGATGACGTCCTCATCAGCCAAGTCACAATTTAAATGTGCATTTTTAATCATTCGAAAATATCAATTTTTAGACTCGTTGGATATTCTTGGGGAGATCATAACGACGAAGACGAAATGCCGAAAGAGGCAATAATGATGCCGCGCAAAATGCGCGAGATGAATTACGCTGGAGCCCATCGAAGTATGCACGCAATTCGGGCGATGAACACCCAGAATAATTCCATTATCAACAAATATCTTGGAAAATTATTTACGCAACCGAAACTGATTGTTTCGCGATACGAGGCCCAGATAACTTCGTACGCAGCGGAAGGTTGGTCAATTGATTATCGAGACTCATCAATTATAAGTGTTGCAGCGGTTTATATGCTTGCGATCACATCTCTATGCGAAGATCGATTCGGTGTTGTTCAGAAGGATCTTAAGGATTTGATCACACTTTTGTGCAAATTGATCGCCAGTATTGACACGTATCAACGAGCGAGAGCTGTAAGACGCATATTCTAAAAAGGGAATTTATTAAGAAGTTTATTCGATTTTTTCAGTCGGTTGCCGATAAGACAGATATCACGTATCTCAAAATTGTGCTCATTTCGCTTCAAGGATCTCTTCAACGAGTCATCAGCGCGTTCGCGGTTCATTTGAAGTAAGACCAAACTGATTAAATCTGGCACAATTAGAAAGTCTATTTTCGTTTCAAACAAGAAGATTTTTTTGAATGCCGGGCCCGAACTCAAAAATATAAATTTATATATTAGAGCCTTCTTCTCATTAGTGCTGAAAAATTGAGGTTTTGTATTTACTCCAGCTTTAAGAGTTTCAGATTTCTAGCGGTTAGCTTTAGGAAAAAAAATTTCTAACTAAATCGATTCAACCAGAAAATAACGTAGTGATCTGGTGTTCCTTCAGAAAAAGGACCTATTACATAATTAATCACTCAATGACCAAGCAGAACCCATGGAAAACGGGATTATGCTATAAAAATGCCCTAGCATGAATATCAATGCGAATATAATTATCCTTTTATGGGTAAATAATAATAAAAATACTTTAATTAATTATTGTGAACACGCGGCAAATCATTTCTATTCGCTTCAACTAGTATTATTAACTAATTGTCATTCAAAAAGGGCGCCGATGTCAATTCTCGTGAAAAATATCATTTGTCAAATCGCACTCGACGATAAAATTTGAAATTTTTCAGATCTTTGAACCTTCCGGAAGAGGCAAAACGAACTATTCGACTCGTCTGCGAGATCGACGAATTGTAACATGATATTTCATTTTTAAAATTTAGTTTGGCCACCCGGTCTTTCGATTCTAATTTATTGATTTTTGATTTTGACCCGTGTTGTTCCTTCTTGATCCCGTTCATCGATTTTCCTCTTATTTTTTAACGCAAAATAAATTGAGATGTTACCGATTCAATGTACATCCAATAATGGGTTTCACGGTGATGTTTTGTGTGTTCGCGAAGAAACTAAAAAAAACGGAAAGAAAAAGAGGAGCGACGATATGATACGGTTGATGAGTGATGGGGGGTAGGTCGAACACACCGCATGTACAATTGACTATTGATTCGCGTGATGTCGACGGTGCTGCAACGGCGACAGTTTGGCCTCATCGCCGGATTCCTGCAGATTCTCTTCATATTCCTATTCGCCAAATTTGTCAAATATATCGATCCGTTGGATGATTCGAGAAGAGTCTTTTCCGGCACTGATTATCCGTGTAAGCTTCCTTTTTTCTCAACCAGATTTCTCAAAACGTGGACAAAAAATGGGAAAGTTAAAAAATGTTTAAGATTTTGCTCACTATTAAAACATTTTTCAAATGTTTCCATATTTTTAATCGGACAAAAATATAAATAATTAAAAAATGGTAAGAATTTTTTTGAAAATAATGCAAAATGTATATTTTCGTAGCTATTTCGGTTATTCATTTTTTTTCACCCTGATTCAGTTCAAAATTTTTTTCAAACCCTAATTCAGTTCAATAACCAAAAATATTCTGATATCCAAAATATCTATAGTATAGGCGAATCGATTAAAGGCGCACAGTAAAGCGATTAGGCAGTTTTCAAACGCCGGTAATAAGCGAACCCAATCCAATAATTAAAATTGAGTTGAAATCCTCTTCAATAAAATCAACCGAACCATTCCAATATTTTTTGTGCAATAATACTTTTTGTTCTCCTTCAATAAATCATTGTCGTCTCGATATCAATCTTCAGTTCTCAATGTTTCCTTTCTTCATCAATGAACATCACCAATCAACGTGCTGTCAGTTTACGAGAAACGGAAGCGGTTGATGTGTATACTTGTTGCGTAATTTGAGGGACGCGCACCGTTTTTGCGAAATAGTACACGGAAGACATAATTCACTGCGGATTTCTTTTTTTTTTTCGAATTTGCTAAAAAAAAAATCACTTACTCTATCCGATCCGATGAAATTGAAGATTTGCAAAATTAATTTCTTCTCACAATAGAGGTTATTTATTGTCCAAGGCTTCTCTTAATTGTCTCATATAATCTTCGGAAAATTCTCTGTCAATTAGTGCATAATTGCTACTTATAGAAATTCTTTAGAAGTCTGAATATTTTCGGTCTGAAATTTTGGTTTTATTTTCAATAGAAAACTAACTTTTTATTCACACTCTCGTCCATTTATTTTGAATTTTTTTTTTCCGGATTTCTAGACATTTGTGCAGGAAACAGATAGCAGGAAATCTTTCGAAGATTATATGAGTCAATTTAGAGAAATATCGCGGCACCCGAAATAATTTCCTTGTCGATGATATTATTTTCAGAATGTTTGAGAATAGGGCTATTTTTGAGAATTTTTTTATTGACGTGCGGAAAATTGGTTAAATTCCAAAAAAAAAACAATGGTTTTGGTCTTGACTCAATACTAAATGTGTAGAATTACGGGCCTTAGTATAAGGATAAGTTAAAGGCGCATTCGGAGCACTAAGACCCCCCCCCCTCTCCCTTTTTGCTCATACATACACAGCATTTCGTCATTGAATTCTTCTAATCGAAGGCTGCAAAAGGGCGAAATTCGAATCATAAATTAGTACCCCTGACATCTTCAATAAAAAAAATTTTGTCGACATTTATCGATTCTAACTTGTGTGAAATTTTTCTTCAAGAAATAAGTAAAAATGGAAAATTTTTAAATATTTTATTTGGGATATGCCAATGACGTCACATTTAAAATTTGATTTTTTGGTTGTGTTTCAGTATTCCAAGATGTGCATCTTATGATATTCGTCGGTTTCGGCTTCCTGATGGCATTTCTAAAAGTAAATCTTGTAAATCGAATCGTCATTTTCAAACAATTCTTTCAGCGTTATGGATTCTCGGCGGTCTCTGTAAATCTTCTTCTTTCCGCATTTGTCATTCAATTCGCGATGCTTCTTCGCGGATTCCTCACCAAATCTTTCCACGATACCGGTTATTTTAATATTGGTATTCCAGAGTACTCTTCAACATTTGGGCTTCATCGATAAATCATTTCTCATTTTCACAGGATGATGTCCGCAGATAGTTCATGCGCGGCAATTCTCATCACCATGGGCGTCTTGCTAGGCAGACTCACACCCGTCCAATTTTTGCTGTTGGCATTTTTCGAAACCGCAATTTCGGTGATTGTAGATCACTACGTGACCAACATTCTTCACGTAAACCATTGATATTGTCTTCTAGAAGGGAATTCTCAAAAAATTTCAGGTGAATGATAGTGGTAGATCGCTCTCAGTCCACACGTTCGGCGCCTATTTTGGTCTCGCCGCGGGTCTCGTCGGAAATAAGAAGAATGTGATGGAGATGGACGAGCACGGCGGAATTCACCATTCCGATCTTTTCTCAATGATTGGTATTCCATGAATCTGATCGAATCGAATTGATTCGCTCTTTCAGGAACACTCTTCTTATGGGTCTTCTTCCCGTCATTCAACGCTGCTATCCAAGAGCCGGGTAATTAGTGAAACATGCCTATAATTAATGACAATTAAATTATGGAAAAACTAATGAGAAATGGGTCCAATTACTCATTTTTTTAGAGGATGCTCGTCATCGGGCCATTATGAACACCTATCTTGCAATGGCCTCCGGAACAGTGACCACATTCATTCTTTCTTCGTTCGTTGATCGACTCGGAAGGTTCAACATGATTCACATTCAAAGTTCAACACTCTCTGGAGGAGTTGCTATAGGTGTCAAAAAAAAAATCAAATGCAATATTCTTGAAATTGAATTCAGGTAGTGCTGCAAACGCCGTCTTGTATCCCTACCATGCCGTCTGTGTCGGTGTTCTCTCGGCTTGTCTTTCGGTCCTTGGACATGCTTGGCTAAGTGTGAGTTGACCTTTTTCAACCAGTCCCGATCGCAATAGGGTTCTGAAAAAACGACAATTTCAGCCACGTCTCGAAAAAAGGTTTCACATTTTCGACACATGCGGTGTTCATAATCTTCACGGTATTCCTGGAATTCTATCGGGAATTTTGAGCATCGGCTTCGCTTACTTCTATTCGCCGGAAAGCTATGGAAAGACGTAATCCATTTTTTGTTCTAATTTTCACTAGTTAATAGTCGAACCCAAACTGGACAAAATTACAGTGAATTGAGCATAAAAATCGATTTCAGCTTGAAAAAACAAGAAAAGTTTGAGCAAGTGGCATTTAGGCGTGTATTTTTTTTTAAATTCTCGCCATTCTTAATATTTTTTTTATTTTGCACAAATGATCGATTTTCAACAGGGTAGAAACGACACATAATACCTAATTAATTTTTTATTCGAGAAATTTTTTTAAATTCCTTGTTGAAAGACGAATTTATTAAAAAATTCAAACTTGTGGAATTTTTTCCAATTTTTTTTTAACTTTTCATATTTTGATATTCAACAAAAATGTTGTGTAAAAATAGATATTTTACTAATTTAATTTTTATTCGCGAAAATTTCGAATAAATTCATTAAAAAGAGTGGATGGCATTTAAAGAAATCAAATGCGTGCAATTTTGCGTTCGTGTGTATCACACTTTGTGGGTATACCGTTCTTTTTAAAATTTCTTTCTGAAAAAAAAAACCAAATTGTTTCTATTGTCGAATTTATGCCATCAACATCTTGTATTGCTTACGTATTATTTTTTAGTTCTTTAAAGGCGCATAAAATTTAGTTTCCATCCAAGACCTGTCCTCGGCAATAATCCTTAAATGTTCAAAATTTTCAGACTCTACCACATTTATCCGTATTGGAAAGGCGGCTCAATGAATGGAAACCGTGACAACCTTTCTCAGGCCAAGTACCAAGCGGCAGGTCTTGCGGTGATTCTCGTCACCGCAATTGTCGGCGGTCTCCTGACCGGCTTGATTCTGAAAATTCGCGTCTGGAATCAAGTCGACGATCCGAGATTCCCGCATGGCGAAATGAACTACTACGCGCAATCCGATGTCAATTTTTTAAGCAAGGTCTCATTTTTTCTTCTCAAAAATTCTGAATCACCAATTGCTTGATTGCAGTACAAACACGCACAAGAGCAGCAACAATTGCGCGAGCGCGAGATGCTCCACGAAATCTATTAATCCTGGTCTTTTCATAAAAAATCGTAATAAATAGACAATGATTATTGCTAATCTCATATTGAATAGAGTCTACGGTATAGGTGAATAGGTGGCTAATGATTAACCGGATTAGACATTCAATTGCTTCTCAATTGTTGGGAAGCGCATATCAGACGGGTATTTGCATTTTTTACTTGCCTAGGTGATTCACAAAATATTGCGGTCGAGTTTTTTTCTGACAAGGTAAGAATCAATTGTTTTTTTTTTTTTCAAATTAATAACGGTGAAGAATTTCATGCGTGTATGGATCGGTGCGGAGAATGTCCTTTAATGTTTGTTTCATTTCAAGAACTTGTCGTTTGCGTAGATGCGCCTTTAAATTGCTGTAAATGGCTATGCTTTTATTTCTGTATTGCATAGCTCCGAAATGACAATGCGTTTGTGTCAAGAGACTATATTTAAAGGCGCATACTCATCAGCACTAGACAACCAACAGGATAAACATAATAATGTAGTCCTCATAGTGTTCCTCTGTGGACTAATTCAAGAAATAAAAAAAAACATCACAATCGCAAAAAAGAGAGCACCCTACGCCGATTTGAAGTGAACTTGATTCTCAGGTCATCAGAGTACGATACTTTCCATTGATGCAAACTGAATTTTGAATTGCCGCCCGTAAAAAATTCAATGATCCCCCGATTGCTCAATGTGCTCGTTTTTTGGTAATTAAAAAATTAAATGAAATTAAACATTTTTTTTTGATATTTCATGAATAAGTCCATTAAGACCTAGGTTTTAATCAAAAGGCGGATTTGTGGAAAACGCACTTTTGAAAGTTCAATCTCGCCCCGCGTGCCATTCTCTCTCTTTCTATTTTATCCTTAGTATCTTATGCGCTTTCAAATGAGGCAAAAATGTTGTCTCTTATTATAATTCAAACGCGTTTCGTTATTATTCAAAATAAGCTCTAAATTTGACAATTGAAGTGCATTTCTTTGTCAAATCTGAGATGCGTTTAAGAGCGAATTGAAAATATTTGTTGAAGAACTTTTATTTTCTTTTCGCCTACACGCCAATGATTGCTTATAATTAATTGATTGGTAATTCAACATCAAAGATTGCGAATGAGGAATTGAAAGCGTGTGTTTAAATCTCGGAGTAAACAAATTATTGCACTTTCTGATTTCTTCCATGATTTCTTCTCATTTTCCTTTTAAAGGTTCCATCAATCTCTGACAAGATATTCTGAAGTCTCTCGATGTTAATCACATTTCCAATTGTTAATTGCCTTCTCAGAATAATAATTATTAATTGACATCAAAATGGCTGGTGATGTCGACTATTCAGAAACTTTTCAAATCACATTGATTTTCTTCTATTTAATCTCATTTATCATGTGATTTTTTTCAATATTTTGAAATTCCCTTGACAAAATATTTTGTCGAGTACAACCATCAATTATCGAAAGACATTTGGAAAAGGAATTGAACATTTCTTCGACGATAACCCAGCTTTTCGTTTCATTTTCACTCAGATAAACCTTATAATTTTCGAAATTATTTGAATTAATTCATGTTTCATCTTTAGTGCACACTACAAAGCATATTACTTGATATTTCGCATTTTTGAATTTCGAAGAATGTTTGATTCATCGAAAATTGTTGATGCATACTGTAGCAATTGTTTAAATGTGTCGAAATTTTGTTCTCAAAAAGAAAAGACATTGTTATTGACTAATTTTCTATCAATGATTCACACATAATTCATATCTCATTCTCTTTGTAAAATTGAGCACTTGGTGGGGTGGGGGGGGGTCTCCCCGCGAAAATATGTTTTTGAACCCAAATTGGGAATTCCTGGCGCCTAATTAGTGAGATGGAGAAATGGGGGTGGTGTGAGAAGTGCGAAGAACGCCTAATTATAATTGCACACGTGAAATACGCATAAAATGCATTATAGAATCGAGCCAGCAAAATTCACTTCGATTCTCATGGATTCCTCCGAATTCGGCAAAAAATTACATTTGTATGAATAAACAAAAAAAAAGAAGTAAAGAGAAGAAAAATTCTGATGATGATTGAAGAGCGAGGAAAATAATTAGTTGTGTTATTATCTCGCTTCACTCATTGTGTTGTTTTTCGCGTTTTTGATCACCAGCCCATATGCTGACAAAAATGTGCGCCTGTGTGCATTGCGTTGTTTGCAGGCAGCCGCCACCGCGCGCCCGTCATCGCCCCCTCACGCAAATCTCTTCTCTCCACCCTTCCATTCGTCCGCCAGTCGCTCGAATCCAAAAATTATACGCTACACCACCGTGTTGTCGTTTTTAATTATATGTACGCATTGTCATTTAACATATCACACCAAAATTTTGCAGTTGTCTGTGGCCAACCAACACTGCCGTCGAAACAGTCGGATCGATCCGACTCGACGGTCGGATCCGTTGCTGAATGCGTCGTCGGTGGCGCCGTCTGGAAATGCGTCGCCGTCATGCGCGCATATCTCATTCTTCGAATCGTTCTGCTTCTGATTCCGTTCTGCGATTCCGCCGATATCGGTGTGACAGTTCTTGCCGACGACAGTATCAGGAATGCGCAGAAGATACTGGATTCAGCGAAATCTGAAATTCAAAAAACCATGCCAAGCGTTAACATCGAGTAAGTGCACTTGAAATCATTATTTTCTATGTTTGTAGCAAAAGTTTGAAAAATGTACTACTGTAGTTCATTGAACACTTCGACAGAGAATTTCTAATTGCACCAACCAAATACTTCAATAATATCCAAAAATTTTTTGAAAATTTCAACTTTGAACATTTAATTATTGCTCATCGCGTATCATTTGATCCCAGTCATTCATTTTAAAATATGTTGCTCTTTAGAATATTTTGAAATTCAGGAATCCTTGGCGACTAGTATGTAGGTGTGGTTCGTCTCTGACGGATTCTAAGGGATCGTTTCAATATTTTAAACGCTAGAAATGAAAAACTCATCAAAATGAAATGAATAGTTTGCTTTGAATTAATGGTGCTATGCAGATTACGCGACAGACTTTGGAAACCAGTAAAAGCCCTAATTAGCGTTCACACGTGACGAGACCCTATTGCTCGCATGTCTAGCCGAATTTGAAGTCGTGCTTGAAAAATCCTGGCCATTCAACTAAACCACAATCTCAAAATTGAAAAAAGAAAATTGATGGTTTCAATATTAGTCACAATGCTATTATAATGGCATATGTCTAACAAGTTTTTTTTTAAATAAACAGCTTCACAACGAATTCCCATTAGAGGGGAAAAAATTCGAATAAGTTCAATTGAGTCAACAGAATTGTTTGATTTAGTTGCGAAATCGTCGCGACGAGCTGCGAAAATGCTGACGCGCAATATTCTTCAACATTTCTCCACAACTTCTATTCGAAATCGCATCGAATGATGATGGGAAGAACGTGCGATTTGGGTGACTCCTCTCAAGCATTCCCATTACAGTAGTCCCATTTCAGATGAAGCATTGTTGTATGAGTTGACTAAGCGGATTAACGTGATTCGCATGGATATATTCAACGATGAATATCGAGGATTTCCACCGACGCTCAAGGTTCGCACATGTAATTCTCGAAGTTTGATATTTGATTCGAATGTTCCAGATGATGTCTCGGTCGACGTTCAACATCGCTGAGAACATGCTTGGCTTGATTCGTGGTTTCAACTGGGACGAGGTATGTATGATTGTATTACATGCATCGACGATGATGCACATTGAACATCCAGATCGGAATTGTCGAATGCCGCGAATGCTACAATGACGATGTGACGGCCAGCGAGAAGAACATGACGCGAATCATCGAGATCCTCAAGGAAAACGACATTTCGGTCAAAACCAACATCAATTTGAGGAGAAATGAGAAGAGGGAGCGAATAATGGAAAGATTGTTGAAGCTGGAAAAAATTACAAGAGGTTGATTCATTTTTTTTTGTTTCTCTTCAGAAATCGAAAATGTCACAAAACATATGAATTCTTTTTGGTAAGCAAACGATTTTTATTATTTCCGTACTTTGGATATCATTTTTTTGCGGTATTAATTAAAAACAACTGGCAAAACCAAAGAGATGACAGATTTTTCTTTTGAGAAAAAAAAAATTCCATTTAAGGGCAACTTTTTTTTGTTTTCAGTATTATTCCTGTTCCTCGGCAACAACCTTAGTGATTATTTGGAGTTTTTTCAAACATTTTATTCGAATAATGTCTCGCCCGCCGATTTTAGATTGATTATAGTGCTATCAAAATATTCTGTAAGTTTGTCGGTATTTTAAGAGATTGTTCTTCTAACTTAATTTCAGAATATTGAACGCTCGTATCCATGGATGATCGATGGCTCTTTATTACCGGTATTTGAACACGCTCTATTGGTATTTTTATCCATAATTTTTTTCTTCATAAATTTTCAAATCTTATCATTTCAGCTAGTCAACGATTTGTATTCTTCGCCCGTTTTTGGAAATTTGAATTCGAAATTTTCGTTTTCTTCTGTAGACGTATGATCTTTTCGAAGAGAAAATTTCAAAAGAAATTTCCAGGAAGCCATTGTTTCACTTCAAATCTACGAGGCATTTTTTGTATTTGCCGTATATTCGTTGAACGATGAAATTAGGGACCCGATCGATTTCGAGATTGTCGTGCAGAAATTATCAAGTCTCAAAATTGATGGTAAATGGTTCAATTGTTTCGAAACTCTTTTGGATTTGCAGGTCCATATGGAGAAATTTATTTTAATAAAGAGGGATATCGGATAGCACGTAAGTTTGCGTACAAAAAGTCGACATTTAAAATATGACGGTTTTGAGAGTTTCCTATTTATTTTATTTTTCATTATTAGGCTTATTCTTGTTTTTTTTAATTCCCTTATATTTAAACAAGGTTTAAAGGCGCATACTTCTTGAAACTGAACAACTTAAAACCCTTAAATGCATAAAATTATTTTAGAAATTAAAATGAATCTATTTCAGCATTTAAACTATTAGTTGTAAATATCTCATATGCGAATAGCAACTATCTTCAAAAACTCGCCGATTTGACAATTGATCGGTCGTGCTCAATGAATGCATGTGTTGTGAGTTGCTATGTCTCGAGCGGAATTCGAATTCCATCCCATATTCCAATTTTAAGATGTTCAATGCTGATGGGTATGATTTTATAGCGATTGACAACGAGGAAGCTTGCATTTTAAATGAAGACAATTGCAAAAATTCCTGGTATTTCGCACACAAATATTATCAGCTTTTCATTTTTTTTCTAGGTTTTCCCATAAGAATATCATTTATGTGGCTATTGGAATATTGGCGATTATTGTGATTATAATAGTATATTGTTTTTGTCAAAAACTGGGAAATGAGAAGGGATCGGCGTTGCCTAGCTCGAATAGAAAAGATCAGAAGCTAAAGAAGCCGAAGAAGAAGGTGAATGAGAATCCATGGCTGATCAATCATGAGGATATTCGAAGATTGGATCTGAATGCTCTCGAAGGAGTGGGTTCCAAATGATTCAATATGATTGTGAATATTAATTTGGAAATTTAGAGCCAACACATGTCGCTGCAAAGTCTACAAAAGAAGCTGGAAGAATCGGTATATTTTCTTGCAAATTATTATTCTAAAAATTTTTCAAACAAACAATTCAGGCGAACAGTAAAACAATAAAATCCAAGCAAATCGCAACGATCGAAAATCGATTTGTGGTCATCGAGAAGTATTTGCTTCGAGAGAAAATGCGGATGGATCGAGCAGACACTGCGAAAGCTCTTCAGGTACAATTCAATTTGGACGAGATCGTCGAGAAATGGGTTTTCAGCTGAAAAGTGCCGTTCAACATGACAATATCAATCCGTTCTATGGATTTGCATTCGATAAGCCAACGAGTATGTATGTGATTTGGATTCAATGTTTTCGGTGAGCTCAAAAAAAAAACCTTAAATCTCATATATTGTTTGTGCCATTTAAGTGGAAGCCTTGCTGATGTTGTTCTCTCTTCGGATCGCACTGAGATCAATTTTCTTAGCAGTCAAATCCAAGGATCATTCCTTCGCGATATTCTCAAAGGTCTCGACTATCTTCACAATTCAGTCATCGGATTTCATGGCAGTCTCACCTCGTACAATTGCATGGTTGATGCCCACTGGATTCTGAAACTCAGCAACTTCGGCGTCAACAATCTATTGTACAAATGGAAGGCGGCGGACACGATCAGCACAATCGATAATCGGCCGCTGATTCCGAGTTCCGAACTCCATTATTACGCTCCAGAAGTGCGGAAGCATTTGAAGGATTTGATGATGAACCCGAAACTCAATCCATCAGTATCGCCGATGATCGGAAAAAAAGCGGACATGTACTCGTTTGGAATGGTCTTTTTCGATATTCTCTTTTATCAGAAAGCTGTTCATCTGGAAGATGCTCCGCTGCGTGAGCTGCAACATTTTATGCGTTCAGTCGATCTTTAATTTTCAGCCGAGTGTCAAATAATGAACATCGCCGATGAGGCGTTGATCCCCCTTCGTCCTGACATTCCCGATAAGGACTACCATCCGGAATTGATCACGATTCTACAAAGATGTTGGAGCACTACGGTAAGTTTGCTGAAATCTCTGGCACATCGCCAAATTTTGTGAATTCTCATTTTAGCCTCGCGAACGACCTGACACCTCGTTGGCTCGAAAAATCATCGACGCGGTTCTCAAATTGCCTGGATCGCTTGCGGATCAGATGATGAAGAACATGGACGCGTACACGGGCAACCTTGAGAAATTGGTTGAGGAAAGAACGGCGGATTTGAAGGTCGAACAGCAGAAAGCCGATGATTTGCTGATGGAATTGCTACCGAAAATGATTGCCGACCAATTGAAAATCGGAAAAACAATTCGCGCCGAGACCTACGAATCGGCGACAATTCTCTATTCGGATATCGTCGGATTTACATCGCTCTGCTCGGAATCGCAGCCAATGGAAGTTGTTGAATTGCTATCAGGAATGTATCAAAGATTCGATTTGATTATCAGTCAGCAGGGTGGATATAAGGTGGAATGAAATGGAAATCGATTATGTCTTGATATGTGATTAATTATTAGATGGAAACAATTGGAGACGCCTATTGTGTTGCCGCCGGACTCCCGTTGGCCAGTCGAACAGAGCACGTCAGAAGCATTGCAATGATCGCTCTACTTCAGAGAGATGTGAGTCGCATCATGGCATTTCGGAAAATATCGGTTGAAATCACCCTCTGAAAATAATCTGAGACCAAATTAATCTTTAAAATTATCTTAAATTAAACGAACCTTAATAAAATTGATTTTAAACTTGCAAAGAAAAAAACGTTTAAATTGTGCAAAAATGCGTCGTTGTGTTTACGACCGAATGAGAATCCACAAGTTTTTTTTTTAAATGATTGAGTCAAACAAAATTATACCCAAAAAATTGAATTGTACTTCAATTTTTTTGCAGTTGTTGCATCAATTCGAAATTCCGCACCGCAAAGGCCAATATTTGAATTGTCGATGGGGATTCAACACTGGCTCGGTGTTCTCTGGCGTCATCGGCATTCGTGCACCGCGTTATTCTTGCTTCGGCGAAACGGTAAGCGACACAAAAATGTGTAATGCAGGGGGGGGTCGAAGAATGAGCGCGGGAAAAGCATTGTGGAAGAAGCAGGATGGGACCATTATTCCTCCATTGATCTGTCAGAGGGAGGGATAACTTGAGTGAAGGCGACGTCGCCCCTAGGAAAATTGGTCGGCAATTTCTAAAATCAAAATTGAATATTTTCTGAAAATCAAAATTGAATATTTTCTCAAAATTGAATATTTTAAGAAAATTCTGAAAAAAAAAACTGCCATTCACGATTTTCTTTTATTCCCACAAAGTTGTGATTTTTTTTTAATTTTGATATTTTATTTTTCGAATTCCTAAACACACGTAATATATACGTATTTATTTAGTTTTATTTTATTAAATAATTATTCCTCAAGTGTGGCCGTGGTCTAACTTTATTTCGAAGACATTTTTCTAGGCCACACCAGCGCTGTGGCGAATCGTGATGAAGTACTTGCAACGATTTATCAGAATATAACAATATAATACAAAATAATTATACATGGGCTTTATTATACAGGGTATCGATGATTACTGGTAATGAAGCTTTTTTAACGGGGCCCATCGAGTTTCCCAGCTTCCAATAATGTTCCCCATTATACCTAGTCCGGGTTTTATTTTGCAAGGTCCCCGGGTTCGATCACCCGACTCTGCTCGCCATTCTTTTCGTCAATGTTCAATGTTGCACTTCAGGTTTCGGTTGCGGCCAAAATGGAAAGTTCGGGTGTTCCCGATAGAATTCAAATGACGTTGAAGAGCCAACAGATACTCGCCTCCAACTATCCCGAGTTTGCCTACTCGACCAGGGGCACAATGAAGGTCGAGGGACACGGCAACTTTCTGACCTATTGGCTCGAAGGATTCAAAGAGGAGAAGACCGGGTCGGGCAAGATCAAAGAGTTCCACACGCACATCAACGAGCAACTATCGCAGATCAAAAGGGATAGTTCGATGAGTCTTGATTCCACGATGGTAATTGCTTTTTTTTTTGAAAAATCGGAGCCGTTATGAGCGAGTTTCAGGAGAGACTGTCAGCGCCGACGGAGCGAAGCCGCGCTGAAGAAGAAGCCCGAAAAATAATGACAGAGATCCGAGAAAATGCGATCAAGTCTTCAACAATGGACACGCCGCCTTCGACGACGTCATCTGACGCAACTGAAACGAGTGTATCACCAATTATTCGTGCTGACAGTACATTATCGACTATTCCAGAACTCTAAGGTCACATGATTTTCACACGCGAATCGCTTCGCCTTTTTGTTATAATTTATTCACTTTCGATATTTGATATGTAAACAAAAGTGTCTATTTCGCAGAATCATCATCAAAAAAAAAAACATCAATATCAATTGCTCAAATCATTTCATTTTCTCCTTTAGTATTTTACCGAGTCTACGGGTGTCTTTAATTAGTATCATTCAAATTATTTATGAATCTTTCAATTTTCAGTTTGTATCCGCTAGAAATGCTCAAAATTTATATATTGGTCATTTGTTTTATTGCCTGAATAATAAATAAATATATTTATTTGGAAAAAAACTAAAATAAATCAAAATTTTATTATTTTTTGTTGGGAAAAAACTAGAAGTCGACACTAGACCTAACTCATTTTCAGCGTCTTACGCCTTTAAATAATCTCCCATTTATTAAGGGGCATTGCAGAAAAAAGAAAACATGAGAAAATTAAAATAGATTAATTTTTTTTTCTTTTTTCTCTGCATTAAAAATTTCTCAACTTTTTTTTGCAAAAAAAAATTCGGGAAAAATTCTTTCATGATCTACTAATATTTTTTAATGCTTAATTAAAAAAAATTTTTTATAAGCAAAAAAAAGTGATCAGAAACGAATTGTGAATATGCTTATTAAAGGCGCAGAAGACTGTTGGAGTTGGTCTCACAGCGAATGAAACAATTTCTCCTTTAAAAAAATAGTGATTTTCGCAGAAGAAAAGCGGCTACTAGAATTTTTCGCTGAAAGACCTTGCAGTTTAGACGCGTTTGAATAACGACATTCAAAATTGAAAACGCACGCGAACCGCAACGCGTCTGGCGACATAGAATATTTACTGCAGCCATGTTTTTTTCTTTTTTGGGAATCAAACTAGATATAATAGCAACATGGCTTTTTTGTGGAAAGAAAAAAAAAATAAAAACCGCCTTCGACGAAAATCGAATCAGCAGTTATTAATCTTCTATGAAGCCAAAAAAAAACACACAGAAAATGAGAAAAGTAGTTGTTAATCGTTGAAATTGTTCTCTAGCCGGTTCGTTGGGTCCATTCGAGTCTTTCATCTTTCCTCGTAATAACTTTGAGTTCGAACGATGAGCATGAGCGCCGAGCCGACATCTGTCTAGGAGGCGCAGTTCTCAAATACGTTCATTCCTCGGTTTTTTGCTCAAGCTTTTCGTTTCGAATTCGAAGAAGCCTCATAAGTTGGTGTCCACGTGAGTTCAATTCCCCCCAACGTCATCCGAATCGATTCTGAAATCAACTATTCTCTTTTTAGAGCGAAACATAATTATGTTTTTCTGCAATCTGTGTTTTTTGTTTCAAAAAAAATAAACAAAAAAAACCTTGCTCGTAATTTCATTTAGAAAACTTAATCATAAATTTATGCGTTTTTTTTTTCGCAGGTAATAACATAAAAAAGCACACGTACTCGGTGCACATAAACGCAAAACAACGACGAATCGCGGATTGGATTTCAAACAAATAATCACCGCTGCTGATTCATTCGTTTTTTGACGAGTAAGTTGAATTTTTCGTTTTAGATGCGATTAAAATAGGAAGTTCAAAAAAAGGAAAAATTGATAATATTAATTCGGAAAAGTTTCTCCTTTTATGGTTGGTCATGTGCAAAAATGTCGCGGCTTTCCATTTCAATGGTCCTTTAAAAAATGGACTCATTTCGTTAATCAATTACATACTTCAAATGTATATGTAAATTATTTCTCATAGCTAAAAAATGCAAATTTCGCAATCAAGAGTTTTATTTTTTATATGAGACCGTGAGAGACCAAATTGAGACCAAATTGTTTGATCTTCGTAGATCTGGACAATTTCTTTTCATTTTAATGCGAAATTTCCACAATTAGATTGAAGGGTCTAAAATGTTTTTTAGCCTTTCGACTAATATTAATCGATATAAATGAGTTTCTCGGTTATGAGAAAATTGCTAAGCAACTGAAAAAAATGTTTACCAAATTATTTTGTTTATTTTTTTATCAAGGAAAATGAGTTTAATAGTTTATCGTAAAATTGCGAATCCTTTTGACAATTTAAAAATAAAATATGTTTTAAAAATAATTTTCCATATTTTAAAGGTTTTTTTTTGAAAAGGAACATTTTCAAAATTGATAGAAATTATGAAAAAATTTCTAATCCCGATTTTTGAGGATTAAATTAAAGTAATTTATTTTTTTTATGAATGAGATTGTATTTTTATAGAAAAAATTCCCTCTATATTATGTTTTAAATTATGTTTCGAAAGGAAAAAATAAAGCAAATCAATTTCAAATTTACGCTACACATCTCGAAAAGATCGATTTGAAATTGAATGATTATCAAAAAAAAAGTTCAACATCAAACATCAAATTTTCAATGTACAGAAATCAGCTTGAGAATTTTGAAAGTTTATGTAAATTATAGGTCTGATCAGTTTGAAGGCAAATTTTCAGAAAATTCGATGCTTCACATCAGAAAATTGCCGCTTAATGAATTTCCGATTATACTAAAAATGTAGCTAAAAAATTCAGGTTTCGCAAATTATTTGAGTTATCAATGTGGGTTGGGCTTTATCGAAAGATTAAGTCGAATCGCAAACATTTTCACGCGTGTTGCACAATTCCGGACTACTTCTCAAATTCATAAAAGCAACAAAAAAATTATCGCATTCTCTTATCATTTTCCAGCTTTTTGCTGCCCGATCAGTTCAAATAGTTACTCATTTACTTAGGCCAATAATCACTCATCGTTTTTGTTTTTTTTTTTCTTTTCTTGTCGAGCAAATACAACCACCTACGTCGTATTTTTCAGGAATTGTTGCCGCTCAAAAAACACACTAATATTTGTCGGAGCCTCGCGAATGTATCGTGCCGTGTTGCTATTAATTCTCGCATATTCTACACATGGTTTACAACCATCTGTGAGGCACTTCGATCGCATTCCACATTTTATTTTATTTTTTTTTTGATTTGCAGATTGCTGCGTGCGATGAGACCAATTCGAACAACTCGTAAGTCGCTTCTAAATATCATATACTCAGCGTGCGGCGACTTCTGTATTTGGTGTAGATTTACGAGTATGCTCCTTTCGCAATGGTCTCGCGCGGACTTCACATTCTAGTGCTCATTTTGATAATATATTAACTGCAAACACGTTAGATATTCAAGGAAATAACAAAATTTGCAAAGAAAAATTGAGCAATGAAAGACGATTTCGAATCTCATCGTAGAGCAGTCGCCGTCAAAATGTTTCTGTGACAATTTCTAGTTTTCAGCTTCATTTATTGTACTGGACCCATATTGGAAGCTGTAAATTATCATAAATTGTACAATGATTCAAAAACTTTTGTAGATATGCCGATGAAAGAAGAGCCAAGTAAGATTTATAAATTAATTTTAAAAAATATTTCCCTGGTTATGCAAATTTACGTGATATTCAATTCTTGCATTTTTTTCCCATAATGGGAATTTTCAGAAGTCGTTCTCGAAGCGTTTAAAGCAAAATTCGGAGCTTCGAACTCGTCGGAGATCAATCGCGACGATCTGCAAAAGTTTATCGACCAATACTTCAGGTGATTTCTGATAACACTGCGGTGTTCTCGTCGCGAAACCCGATATCCAATATTCGTCGTTTTGTTTCAGTGCAGCGGGCACCGAACTCATTCAATGTGTACCGGCCGACTGGAAAGAGAAGCCGAAAAAATTGGAATCAATTCAAGATCCACAACTGCGAGCTTGGGCTTACAAGCTGAATGACATTTGGAAGCATTTGTGTCGTGAAATCGATCCAAATATTAAACAACACACATCCCGATATTCTCTTCTTTATGTACCCAATCAATTCATTGCGCCTGGCGGAAGATTCAGAGAATACTACTATTGGGATGCCTACTGGATTATCAAGGTTCAGCATTCATTCATTCGCGTATAGAAAATTGTTCAGGGACTTATTGCATGTGAAATGTATGACACCACGAGGAATATGATAAGAAATTTGGCGCTTATGGTTGATAAGTACGTAAATCCTTATTAAAGAGTGATCAAATGGGTGTCAATGAAATTGAAAACATTTGTATGAAGGGCAATTTTATTTTTAGATATGGATTTGTGCCAAATGGTGGCCGGGTTTACTACCTTCGAAGAAGCCAACCACCACTTTTGACGCCAATGGTTTACGAATTATACGAAGCGACGAATGATAAGAATTTTGTCATGGAAATGCTGCCGACACTTGCGAAGGAGTATCAATTCTGGAATACAATGCGAACTGTTAGATTTTCATCAAAATAGGGAGAGACATTTGGCTTTCAGACGACAGTTAATATGGACGGAAAACCGTATACGGTATATCTTTATCGTACCACTGCAAACCTTCCACGTCCAGAATCGTACAAAGAGGACGTCCAAAAGTCGGAATCTCTGAATGACGCGTCACGACAGCAATTCTGGCAGGATATTGGAAGCGCCGCCGAATCCGGATGGGATTTCTCATCGCGCTGGTTCTCTGATCGACGCACACTTCAGACCATTGAGACGACACGGGTTCTGCCGGTTGACTTGAACGGATTCATTTGCTGGAACATGGACATTCTCGAATATCTCTATGAGCAAATCGGGGATACGGCCAACTCGCAGAAGTTCCGAAACGAGCGCGCCAATTTCCGCGACACCGTCAACGCTGTCTTCTATAATCGTACCGACGGCACTTGGTACGATTTCAACATGAACACCGGAGCGCACAATCCCAACTTCTACACGTCCACAGCGGTTCCTTTGTTCACCAATTGCTATAACACGCTGAACACCGGAAAATCGCAAAAAGTTTATGACTATATGGATGTAAGCCGTCTAGAATTGATTTATAGCATTGGAATGATTTTCAGAGGCTTGGCGTGTTCAATTACCCTGGCGGAATTCCTACATCGATGATAAAGGAGACCCATGAGCAGTGGGACTTTCCGAATGGATGGAGTCCCAACAATCATATGATAATCGAGGGACTGAGGAAAAGCGCGAATCCCGAAATGCAGGATAAGGTAGACGTCTAAAGATTGTCTTAAATGGTCCGCAATTCGGTTCGCTATGATTTCCAACGAGGCTATAAACAAATATATAGGTATATCTATATAATTATGGGTTCCCCCTCTGTGTTGCTCTTCTCTCGATGCGAGCCACTTAGCGAATAGTATACTATTTAATACAAGTAGCACGCAATTAGGCCGAGCAACGAGTCTCGCTCTCCAAACTTTACCCCGGTGTTCCTCAAAACTATCTGCTGCTGCTCGCTGAGCAAACAATTGACACCATGGTGTGAACACACGTGGCCACGATTGCCACCAAACTGAAAAATGGTACATTAGTGAGGAAAATGAGCGAAATTGGGCTATGAATTATGTTGGCGGCTCGCCGACAAAGAAATAATTCGCGCTAATGTGTTTGTATATTTTTTTTCTTGCAGGGGTTCGAGATTGCGTCCAAATGGGTTCTTGGCAACTTCCGAGTGTTCTATGAAACGGGGCACATGTGGGAAAAGGTTTGATCTTATTTATTTTGGAAAACCTCTGGAATCTCAGATCCAATCGGATCCCACAAAATTCGGGTTTTGAATAATTAAAACAAAACGGATTCGAAGATAATCCAATCGGGATCCGACAATTTTCTTATCCGTAGAATTTCCCATCGGATAAGGTTGATTCTGGCGCCCAATTTTGTCGGATCCGATTGGTCTGCATTGACTTCGACTAGCAAGACCATATTATTTGGCAATTCATTCGAAAATTTCATTCTAAGACCATTGTTTGCTGGTTTCTTTTTTCATTTTTCAAGTTTTGTAACATAAAACTTGAGTAATTAGCGAAAAAAAGAAAATCAATTGTTTTCTTTTAATATTCCATCACTATTGTTGAGTTCATCACGACCAGCACGATCGTCAAAACTGGAAATTTCTAAAAAAAAATTCGAACTTCCAAAACCTTGAATATATATTATTTCTCAATTTTGATTTTTCTCTAAAAAATGTAGTTCCAATAAATTATGACGCTCGACTATTCTACACCACTTTTTTTTATTTCGTGTCGAAACCTCATACTGTAGAAAATTGGAAAATGTAATTCCAACGTCATCATCAAATCGGAGTTGAATGACCCATTGAAAAATCTTGTCAGGACCCTCTAGAACGCGTACCGCAGGATACTGTAGCTCGATTTACATGTATAAAATACATATAGGTTTAATGCATAAAAAATGAAATTTTTAAAAACTTTTTTTGAAGGACAAATGAATAAAAATGTTAAAAATAGTAGCAAAAAATAGAGAAAATTTTAATCTAGCAAAAAAAATTTAATTTTTCTTATTATTCCTTGGCTGAAAAAATTCAACTCAGAATATTTTTTTCTGAATTGAAATTTTCTTTTTTTTGCATTGGTTCCTTTAAATTCAATGTTATCATTCGAACGAGAAGTATTTTATTTAGCGAAAAATACGTTTATAAAATTTCGACTAAAATTAGCAAAAGAGATATCAGAAAATCTGGAATATAGAGAATGATGGTCCCTTGACACTCGTGTTTTTTTTAGCACGATGTTTATCGAAATGAGCTGCAAAAAGCTTCATCGAACGTCATAATTCGTTGGTTTCCCACATTGGAGCCCGCTCGACGCGCGCCCCGCTTCCAATCGTATGTAAATCCATTTTGCTCGGCGGCGGCGCACGAGAGAGCAGCTTCTTCCGATTATTATGGAAATGCGCGGAAATCCCTTTTTTCATACGGTATCTGGTACTCGTGCCGCCTGCGGGTATCGCGATTTGCATATCTCGATTGAATTTGCGCGGAGCGATTAGCATGAGCAGCTCGAACGAGTCAATTAGGTGGCAACAGGTGCAGCACGCCCGATAATCGTGTTGACCACGCGTGTTTGTTCGTCGATTACTCAATCGGCCGTTCGATCTTTTTTTGCTCATTGTTGGTTCGACGAGCTGCTGCGAGGATTATGATGATAATCGGGTTGGTGACACCGTGTTGCGATGTTATCTTGAATCAGATATGAACGAATTGCGATGATCGACAGGTGACATTCCGGAGCATCCCGGTGCGCTTCTCGCCAGATAATGAGCCCATCTATCGTAGTCATTGTTGGTGTTTGAAGAGCAAATTGATTGATTGATGTGTCGGCTTGATTTTCATTTTTGTGCTCCATCTGATGCTCCTCAAAAAAATAATCTAGGTTTTTCCTAGAAGTTCGAAATGACCATACAAATTTCTAGATCAGATTTTAGGAAATGAACAAACTTATAATTTTTTGCGGCTTTTCCAGTCATATACATTTTAATTTATGCATCGCCATTTTGTTTCAGTAGCATGATGTCTAAGAAAGGATATTACGAAATTTCAAATAATCCAGAATTCTAAAATTGTGAATGAATAGTTGCTGGATTTACTAGGGCTCCTGGATATAGATTCTAAAAATTCTAGAAAACCTAGAATCGGAAGCAAATAGGTTGAATTAAAAGATCTCAATATGATTTTGAAATCTTTTTGTCTAACCTTGCGCTTCTTTCCATTACGTCTGCGAGTTAAATAAATACATTATTTTTTTTCCAAAATCCCCCTGTCTGCTGAGATTTCGGGTTTCATCATCGTTCGCCGTCGTCGTCGGAACACCAAAGTAACCGTGATTAACTCGACAAATAGGTGGTAAGAAGGTCATGATGAGGATCGTCAGTCAACCGCTAAGTGGTGCCAATCAATGTTTTCTCGTCGCGCAATGCCGTTCTCGCGCATCGTAACATTGTTTGGGCGAAAAAAAATAGACGTATAGTACCGAAGGGCCGACCGTTTTATTCAAGTGATACTTATCCAATTGCCTTTTTCCGTTTCTCTTTTCGACTGCCTTCAATTTTCGAGTAGTTGGCCTTTGCCTTAAGGCCTGCATGCCGCCCCCCGATCTCGTCGCCGTCGCCCCGCATCTACAGTATGCCAAGCGAGAATCGCGGTGTTTCACGCACCGCACTAATTATTTAATCCGTCTGTCAGTAAATGAAGTAGTTGTGACCTTGTGCATTATGCTCCTTGCTTTACAAGTTGTGCTCGAGCATTGAATTAGCATAAATCTGTGGTGACAGCATGACAAGTAGTCGTAGTTGAGAGCGTGTGAGAGTGGCCTATGTTAGCATTTGGCGCAATTTGCAGCCTCTCGACTAATGTACATGTTTGGGATGAGACTCAAGTTACTTAATTGATGTGCTCGTCACTCACACGAAAATAACAAATATGTATGTAGGCGCTACGGTAGAAATTTATTGTTACAGTACGACGTGATTGGGACCTATCCGAGTCCGGGATCCGGCGGAGAATACGATGTACAGGTGCCTACCCAAGAATCATAGTATCATTTTCTAGAGAACTTGTTTTTAGGATGGATTCGGATGGACGAATGGGGCAATCCTGGACCTTCTTTTGACCTACAATGATCGCCTTGTGGCTCCAAAGAATTTCAGCTCAACTATATTGTCCTCGACGGCCTCGAATCTCATCATTCTCATTTTTAGCATGATTTTCGTTCATTTATAAATATGTATGACACATTTTGCAATCTTGATTTTGGCACCCCCTCGAAGATGAAGAAATGGGGGGATTTCGATTTACCACCTGCCATTGAATGCATGAGTTCCCCACCCCATTCCAACATGGTGGAGCACAATAGGGGTAACAATAACATATAAGTTCGATGGCTCGAGAAGATTATTACGTGGTTGAAAAGCCTTAAGAGCCGGCCGGCGTTTTGTTAATAATAGAACTTCCGGTGCTCAAGCAAGACCCGGCCGGGTCCCAAAACGCGGCGTGCGGTGCGCCCTATTGTGTTGGCCGCTCGCACATACATATATGGAGAAAAGGAAGTGGTTTGTGGTAGTCGAAGGTGGCGGCGAATCGACTTCTTTATTATTTTTTTGTTTCAAACAATGGTACGCCCGCATCATCATCATCATCAACGTATTCAATTTCTTTGTGACTCAACAAAAAAGTTTTTTTGCTTTGATGCTTTTTTCCTGTTGGTTTGCGCCGCTTTTTTTTCGATGGTATTGTTCGAATGGTTTTGGCGCGAAATTGCTTCGAACGGATGGAAGGTCTCGAAGCGATCGGGGGGATTGATTGATGAATTTGACGGGATGAGAATATCTGAGAAATTGTCAAATTTTTAAAATATCAGAAAATTTCTAAAAATTGTTTTTCTATCCAATTCTACTCAATTTGGAAGAGATTTTTCATCATATCATTAGAAATCAATTTAATTTAACTCACACCCACTTTTTTTATGTCCACAAACGATGCTCCGCGGTTTACGCCAGTTAATAGATCAAACCAATAAGAGCGACTATTTTTAGAAGAAAAAAGTGTCCCATTTGAAAAGTCAAACAAATTTTGGTTGGCAATGAGCCAAGAGCAACAAAAATATGTGATCAATTCGAGTGGTAGCGGCGTTTTTTCAAGTCGTCCTTCGTCCCTTCTAAATGAGCCTCTCTTTTTCGAGTGATACGGTAGCATTCGATGAACAAATACGACACATTGTGTAATATCACTTAACCTTCCTTGCCCCCCCCCCCATTTCTCATTTCGTTTGTCTTTTCAGCCGATGCAAAAATTGTGTTGAAAAGGCGAAAACGAGCAGCATTCAATTACCGTAGTCATTTGAGCATCGGATCGAGTTTCAACCCAACCCAACCGCCGACGACGACGAGCCAATAGCTATGATGAATTCGAGACAATATAACAAACACTGCAAACACACAGCGACCATCCAACACCGGGGGGGGGGACTCCAATTGCTTTTGACACCTTTTTTGAAACAATCAAAAAATTTTAGAAGGGGGGACTGCGCGTGTTTACACATTTCCGAGGCATGAATCTCGACGATCGACGACTGTATCGGTTTTCGCGAGTTGGTGCGAACCCTGGCCAGAGGCAAATTGCGTTTAGTCGAATATGATCTACACATCGTTTCTTCGATTGGCCTGAAATGACCCTTGACACGATCGGTGCTCATTAGGAGAGGAGAAGCAATCGGTGAAGAAAAGCAATGTATCAGAAACTCGACAAGTGTACCCAAGGTATTTGGGAATGCGCAAAACGACAGAAAGCGAGTGAGCACACATTCGATTGCCTACGCCTCTTATTATGGACATTAATCGATACATATATTATTATTTGACATCTACTAATCACCGTAGTACGACTTCCGGTTGAAATTGGCTTCGTGTGTTTGTCGATCGGATGATATATTATTGTTATTATGGGGTTCTTTGACTAATATAATGGTCACTATCACTGAGCAAGTCAGGCATTCATTGCCCACTGGAAAATGTCACATTTTTTATCGAAACTATCTAAAAATTGTGGTGCGAAAATATATTTTATCTTCGTCCTCATCATTTGGCACCAATGGAAATGGAATGTGTGGTATTATATTGCTAATATTGATGATCTGAAAATTTTAAATATCTGAAATGGAATTTCACGTGAAAATTTAGTATAAAAAATAAGGAAAAAACCAGTTTTGAAATGTGTGCAAGTATGCGTGCTGGTGTTCACAGGTCAATAGAAGATACAGTACCATTTCCATGAAATTTGACTATTTGCGACAAAAATGTTCATTTTCATGCCAAATATTGTTCAATCACATTCGTTTGCACACGTGTTACATTTTTTGACATTTAAAAGTTGTTACAATATTCGGCGCCGACAAAAAGACCCAATTATTTTAAACGATTATTAGTTTTTGATGGAATTGCATCTTTTCCTTACAACTTCCATATTTGTCGCCTCCTGTTCATCGTGTTTCTTCTTCTTAATATTATTATTATTTCTATTATTGTTTGTTTGAGCATTAGGCACCGTCAATCTCAAGATCTCCATTCACGATAAGCTACTAGAGAGAGAGAGCAAAGAGCTTGTAAGAAGCGATTACGCAATCATGCAGATGACCGACTTTTTCGCGTGCTGCTCCTAATTGAGCTGGCATCATGCCTTAATTGGTCATGTCGCGATATGTCGCACTGTTTTCAATAGTACTTAGCCCCATCGAATCGAAACCTTGACCGTGTCGCTCGCTCGCGCGCGCGCGGCGCAGCCACACGATCGCGTTAAGCCTATTTAGGCGCTGATATATCCTTCCCGAATTGATCACTATTGTCTCGGTGATGATCATGTTTCCATTCACAGTATCATTTTTGACTTCCTCCACATCATATTGACCCTACCGTAATCGTAGTAGGAAGAGGGGGGGGGGGCGAAAGGCAGTTTGCATGCATGCCGAAATTCGATACTCGAGCCAAACGATTAGCGACATGATGACACAACTGGAAATCGCCGTCCCGGATTAGGGCCGAAGGATTTAGGAAAAGGGACACCACCATCTGATAGTGTATGTATTCGGTTGCATCACTAATGATACAGTAGTGTAGAGTCAGTAGAGGATTGACATAGAGTGTAATCAATGGTTTTTCGAGTAGGTGCCAAAACTCGAGAATATTTGAAATTTCTTATCATTGGAGAACCCCCCCCCTTCGTGATGATTTTTTTCGTTTTAACCTTTTAACTTCAACCCCTTCGAGATAATCGGGTTTTAATTGAAATTTGGTTGTTTTCCATTTCATCTAAATTCTTTTTTTCCTTCTATTTCGATTGATTGATACCAGACCGAAAGAGGGGAGGGAGCCACTTAAACACACACACATAGTCTTTCGGCTGTCTTGTCCTCCAAAAAAAAAACACACACACAATTAGTGCCATTAACAAAAGATAGATACGGGCGGTAAACGAGTCGAAACCCGTTTTCCGATACTACGGTAATTCGACTGGTGTCGAACCCAATTTTTTTTTCGCGGTTTCAAATATGCGCCTTGAACTCCCTCGAGCCTTAATCAAGCCGAAATTGGCCTAATCACCACGCGCAATTAGAAGGGGGGGGGGTGGGCTCGCCCGTACACAGTATCCCATTTGATGTTTTCATTGGCAAGCCCGATATGGGTCGAAATTTTTTTTTGGCCACATAAGAAAAATGTTAGTGTTGTTTCGGTGGCGAGATACAAAACACAATTTCGCACCTTTTTGCGCATGGGCGCGATGGACCCATCCGCGCATGGGTGTTGACTAGGTGAAAAGTGGGCGGAGCGATTGCGCGCGCCATCCAATGAACGTCGCCCGCCACAGCCACGCCCATCTCCCCATATCATTAGTTGCCCGATTTGTTGAGGGGTTGGGCCGCACATTCAGTTTATCGGTGTCTTCTCACACACACACACACACATATTCAATGTTTACACCGGAACAATTACAAAAAATGTGGTCCCAATTGGGATCACAAATATTTCCCGGATCGCCGCTGTTCCAAGTTCTTCAATCGGCTGGTGGTGGCGGCGGCGGCAGTAATGGTCCGTCGCCGGCCGGCTTGTTCCCTGGAGGGCCGCCAGTGCTGCCAGCACTGAATCCATCATCGCCGACGACGTCGAATCTCAATTTTGAACAGGTACGTGTTTTACTATTCGATTTTCTAACGCGATTAACTCCTACCGTAATTTCTTGCTTCCCTTCTTTTAAACATAATGAACCATTCATCATCATCATCATCATTATTATTATTATTGTTATTATTTTGATAATAGTAACAACAAAAATGCCTTTGATTGAGAGACAATTTGACATTTTTACGCCTAAATATCGCGCGCACGCGGGCGCCCCAATTTTTTAGCGAAGTCGCACATGAGTCACGATGGCGAATTGGCGGCGAGTCGATTGATGATGATGATGATGATTGCTACAAAATGCTAACATTACACCACGTTTTGGCGCAATCGCTTTTAAGTGGGCGCTTCGCCACTTCTTACGGTGGACCGAATATAATACAAAGCCTTTTGGCTCGTCCGCTTTCGAATCCAATTATTTCCGTGCACTATTCGTTCGAATGGCGATGTATCAAGAGAGGAAAAAATTTGAAATCGAGACGAAACAAAGCAAAATTGAATTTTGAGGCGGCTTCTCCATCTCTTTCGATGGAGGGGGTATTGCTTGCAACAGCCATACTCATAATTTGATTCCTTTCTCTTCGAAACAGCAACCAATTGGTGAACAAAAAAAGAGAGGACTTCATTATAGATCACAAAGACATGCGAGCAGCTCGAAGAAGCCGGCGATGTCGATCGTCTCGCGAGATTCCTCTGGTCGATTCCGCCACCACAAGCACAAGAGGTAATAATTGAAATATATGAATTTGATGGGGGGGGGGGAATTTGGATCGTATAAATAATTCATTTTTTGTTCTCTGCAGGTGGCTTCGAATGAAGCGGTTCTCAGAGCTCGCGCGCTCGTCTGCTTCCACATGGGCAACTTTCGAGAGCTTTATTCGATTTTGGAGAACAACAAGTTCGCGCCGAAAAGCCATCCGAAACTACAGGAGATGTGGCACGAGGCGCATTATCGTGAGCAGGAGAAAAATCGCGGAAAGTACGTTCATCTTGATCCAATTGCTCTCGTTTCGTTTTTTTTGAATCCCCCTCTCGGCGGCCGCCGTTTGTAATGATCATGCGTATCTTGTTGTGTGCTCAATAAGCTTCGCCGCCGGGTTACGGTAGCTGTATGTGTATCGGGCTCATACACCCATACAATACACTATCAGTGATCATCTCGCTGATACCGTATGTACACAATGTTGTGAAGTGATCTCGCCGCGCGTTTTGTGAAGTGCTCTGCTTTTCGCGGCGAAACTAGAAAAGAAAACAAGCCGATTCGACAACCACCCGAGAAGCTCGATGGGAGAGAGTGGGAATGGCTAAGGGGATAGGGGAGTCGAATGGGTCCGTTTAGGGAAAGCAGCCCGTGCGCGCGCGAGCTAATCGGTGAGCAAAACGACACCTCCGTGCTCCGGGTCGCCTTCTGTTCGAATGCCGCCACCCTTTAATTAAAGCCGAGTTGGCTTTTTAGCCACGCATATGGTACATGCGAGAAGATTACCGTGTCTAATCGGGCGCATTGTTGTCCAAACAGGAGATTATTATATTAGCGCAATTTTCTTGCAGGCCCCTATGCGCTGTCGACAAGTATCGCGTTCGCAAGAAGTTCCCGATGCCACGAACCATTTGGGATGGCGAGCAGAAGACGCATTGTTTCAAGGTAAGCTCCAATATCCAATATCACACCTTCTCCGTTTTTTTTTCTTCTTTCTGCCAAAATGATAGCTTTAAAGTTTCCGAGTATCAAACGATCATATATAATTATAATTTGTGTGTGTGTTTTTTTTTCTCGCATTCCTGTTGATATCGTGGGTGTATGAACAGTTTTTTTTTTCCAGGAGCGCACACGAAGCCTACTCCGAGAATGGTACCTCAAAGATCCGTATCCGAATCCGGCGAAGAAGAAGGAGCTCGCGAGTGCGACTGGTTTGACGGCGATGCAGGTCGGCAATTGGTTCAAGAATCGCCGGCAACGAGATCGAGCAGCGGCGGCGAAGAACAAGTGAGTTTGACGCCCACGCTTTTCACCTTTTACGGCCAAAAAAGAATTTCGCGTTTTTTTTTTGCCATCGGCAATTATGTAATGCATACATTCGCGTGTTTCTTTCTTAATAATCCGCCGTGATTGCCATGCAATTTCGAAACCTTTCTCGTATTTCCCAAATTAGAGGGTTTAAGCGGGCACGGCGAGACCTATCATGACTTTCAGGGATTATATTCTTCACGTTGTTTTTTCTTCTTCTAGGCAAAACATCATTGGTGTCGAATTGAAGAAGGTCAACTCGTCCGACATGTCGGATTCCGATGATGATTTTGACGATTCGATGACCGATTCGCCGAGTCCCATCGACGAGCCGAAAGATTTGTCGAAGACGTCGCCGCCGAGTTTGCCGCTTCTTCGGCCGCCGCCGATGCCGCTGTTCCCGGCCTTCAAACCGCCGTTCGATCAGTTCTTCGCCACCAATCCGCTGCTCATGTTCAATCCGGCGTTCTTTCCCATCGCCAATCTGTTCAATGCGGCAATGAGCGGTGAGAATCAAGAGTCTGAGAATCAAGAGGAGCCTGAGAAGAAGCGCTCGAAGTTGTCGATCGACGAGATCCTCAACATCAAATCCGAGGTGTCCCATTCGCCGCAATGCTCGCCATGCTCGACAAACTCGCCGACCAAGTCCGAGCCACCGAGTGAGCCGAGCAGCTCGCCGTCTCTTCATCACACTTCAACGGATCAAGTGAGATCCGATGATCCTCCAGCGTCGCCAAAATCCACAACATCCCAATCCGAATAGTTTTTTTTTTCGCTCGTCTTTTCCTCAACTTTTAAAAATTATTCTGGCTAGAACTCATTGCCCATCTCTCAGTCCACTCTTCTTGAATCCGGTACTCATTTGTTGGCAAACGAAATAATCAATTTGCCGAGCCATAGTCGCCGCTTGCTCTCAGAATCTGTATTTTGACCTACCTTCCTACCTTGTTTATGTATTTGCTGTTGTAAATACCCAGCATCTGACTGCTCCACCGCTTCCACTCGTACACACACGCGCCATTCCCCCCAACATCAGTTTCCATGTTTGATTTTACACCTGGTCCGATACTCATCCACTCAATTTTATTGCATCCGTCCCCCGTCCAAAAGCACACACACATTTACTTAATTATTATTTTTGATGATTTATTTGCATAGCGGTGGCGTTCAGCAGTCATTTGTAGACCATTACACAATGTATTAATATTGATTTTTAATTGTCGTCGGCTTCCTCTTCCATACCATCTTTCTACTACACATAATAATAATAATAAAAACATAGACTCAAATGTGACGATTTGAATTACCACAGAGCATCTCTCTCTCGTTTACTTTTGATTAAAAAGATACCGGGGGCCGCTTTGAGTCGGTCTGTACGATTTTGAAGGAGGGGAGATTGTCAAAATTGTATACACAATTAGTTTCCATATTTGGAAATTCAAATGCCGTGCAAGGTTTATGACGACTTCGTCGTCTTATCCGCTACGCGATACGGATTAATCAGAAATTCGATCTGGAAAATTTTTGAATCGCCTTTTGATGATTAAATATTTTTTCCAAGGGTTTTGACCCAATTGGGCGACATTTTCGAAAATGACAACTCATTACCAGAAACACAAACAAAAACCCGCCTTCGATTCTTTATGAATCATTATATTGCCGCGCGTTCGTCGTCGTTGTTAAATGAGTCGGTTCGATGCACTATCTTCTTTGAACTAGCGATTATCTTGTTCGCGCAACCAACAATATTTGTTCAGATTACATTCTTCATCTTTTCGCCACCGGCTTCTTCTTCTTCATCATCGTCGTTTCTCTGATTTGTGTCGTCGCTAGCGAGAGCGCCTCACTCCCACCCGAAAATGGCGACAAATTGTCAAAGTTTCGAGTTACCGCCGAAGCGGAGAAGAGGGGGAGAGAGGGAGCGGGTTCAAGTGTCATTGAAGCGCGTATCGAATCATTGTCGATTGCGTAAGTCAAAGTCAATCACTTGAATCCGACCAATTGATTTATTTGCTGAACAAGAAAGACGAGACTGTATCAAATAATGTTTATCGTATTGAACCTAAACAAAATCTGGATGGACGTTCAGATTGTGGGAAGGGGGTCCCATCAAGACTTCTATTATACTGTTAAAAACTTTTTTTGGTTTTTCCACACAAAAAGGCGTTGCAAGGATAGCAATGAATTAAGACAAAGTTGGAAAGAAAAACTTTTTTTATATTAATCATTTTCCAAAAAATTTTGCGACAAAATCACATAGCAATTATTCGATTCAGAATTTTTTTCTCTATCAGAAATCTGGAGTTTCGTTTTTCTTTTCTTCAAATACCGTGATTTCATACAGTAATCCATATTTGCAAATTGAAATATGGCGCTCATAAGAAGTGTGGGATATGGCCGCGAGCAATTCGACTACCGTATCCCGATGCCATATTTGAGTGGTGGTGGTAGTGGGGGGGGGAGCTCTTTGATGCTCATCACGCGGACGAATGAGTCGACATGAATACACACTACTAACTATTCTATTCGAGTGTATGAAAATGGGCCCCATGCAATGGGGTAGAGTAGGCGAAAACGAGGCTCATGAGCTTTTAGCGGCTCCCTCTCCAGAATAAAAAAAAATTCCGCTCAAACAATAGCCATTTTTTGTTGTCTCATTTCATTTCAACGTATGCATATGTACACATATAAGAGAAATGTTTGGGTCGAATTGATGAGGCCTGATTATCACGATTATTTTCTAGATGAGCGCCGATGTGAGAATGACCTCAAATTGTGATACGGTAGCAGCAACAGTAGGAAATCCATGTCCATTAGCGATTTATCGACACCTACATGAATTAATCGCATTAGGCCATGACGACGACGACGACGACGACGAATACCGTATTAAGAAGTGATGTGTAATTGATTGCGGGATGGAATGGCGGGTTTTGTTCACGCATCATCGTATCGTCGCAGTGATACCGTTCGGAATTAGGCAATCGTTTGGAAAAGGATGTGGATTAATGGAAGCGTCGTTTGATCTACTAGATACCCTACTTTATGGTTCCCTAAACGCAGATTTTGGGAAAACATAAGAAACTGGCAATATGTAGATTTTTTCCGAAATTTGAATAGGATTTTTAAATTGATTTTTCATAAGAGTGATGATTATTTTTTTATTTTTTTAATTATATTTTTAATTATTTTTTTTGCCGCATTGAATTTTTTCATTTATTTTTTTTTAATTTTTACCTCACCTCCTTTTTTTTATTTTTAGTCAAAATGTAGTACATTCCAATATTTTTTGGATTCTTCGAATTAATCAATGCATCGCATTTTGGAAAGTTAGAAATTTTGAAAACCCAGTAAGAAAACTGGTTTTAAAAAATCGAAAAGAAGACAAATAATCATTTTTTTCGTTTCTTTTATTTTTCCTGCATTGAACCTTTGTGGATTCACCATATAAAAGAAAAATAATGAAAACAAAAAAATTAGATGTTAAAAAAAAAAACAAAAATTCAACGTCTTTATTCTTTCTAATTTTCTGCGTGATTCCATTGAAATGGCTGAAAATGGTGATCAATTCCAAAAAATTGTGGATTCCGACAGCCCCCGAGCAGTTCACCAAAACAATGCATGGATTAATTGGGCCTAAATAGACGTTGTGTGGTAATTTGCAACAATTATCAACGGGGGGAATCCGTGACATTGTTTCGGTTCCTATTCAAATCATCATCTCCTTCTTCATCGTCTTCGTCTTATATCGAATGCAAAAAGGTGTGATTGTGCGCGTGTGGATGCGAGTGTATTCGACTAATAGCAGTCAATTAGTCGACACCCGGGTCATACTGTAGGCGCACGAGCCACCAATTATCCTCAGATTTTTGGGGGACGAAAAGTGCGATTCATTGTACATACATACTATCTATGTGATGTACATATATGGTCAAAACGGTGTTTATAATTGTTTCGTGTTGATGATGACGATTGAAATTTGATAGGCGGCACCGAAACGGACCGGTCGGCTAGCAACCGACAATCCGCAGACAGGTGTCGCAGGGATCTGATATCGAGCTCAATTAGGCAGATGGAAGTAGAATGGAGAGTTCAGAATTTCTTTGATAAAGCTGGTCCAATTAAACCATATCAAATTGGTTCTTTAAAAAAATGAAAAAAAATTAATTCTGAAAGAAAGAAATCAAATAAACGGTTTTTCAGTTCTGCAATTCGAATTCTGGATGTACAACTTGCGGAACTTTTAAAAATTGTTCTCCCACTTATGGTATTGATATACGGCTTGCTTCTAAGGGAAATCTGCTATTCTGAAAATGACTGTAAAATCCAGCTTGATGTAAAAATATTATAGAATTTGATAAAAAAATTTTTTCGAAATACATATGCCCACCCCACCCAATTCTCATAGTTCCTATAAAATTTGAACTCCGAGAGCTCAATCGTGCTGCTCATTATAATTATTATGAATGTCTCGAGTGTCACCCAATCAATGGCACCACACCGTTTAGCACCATCGGCCTTGGCTGTTATATATCATGCTGTGAATCCACTCTATTGTTATCTACACGTGTCGTCGAGCGATCGCTAAACAAACTTCCAGCGATCCATTCCACCATCATCGAGGCAGCATTCAATTCGCGGAGCGATGCGAGTCGAGGCGTGAAATTGCCTGAATTGACACGATCCATTGACAAATGACTGAAATCGCGCCAATCCGCTCCAATTAGGCTGCTGCACACCATCTCTCACCTGTTCATTCTCATTCTTTTCTTCTTCTTTTTTTTTAAAGAAGATTCAAATCCTAATTAGTCATTTGAAGAGCATGTCGACATATGCTCAATGCTAATTGCAGGTGCCGACGATGAGAGCTAATAAAAGGGAGAAGTCGGTCACCGTATGCTACATGGGCATTGCGCCATACCGTAGTACATGTATCATGTAGGGGAAACACAATCTTTATTAATAAAGGGGGAAACAAATTCTTGAGAGAACTGGAACGCGATTTTGATTTTTTTCGAAAACTAAAAGTGATCAGCCCGGGACCCGTCAATTAATATGAACGAGGTGGTGAAGACACATGAGCTTATTGGATTCCAACTTTTTGCATTGTGTGCTGAATGACAACGTCGATAACTGAATCAATTACAACCTAGAAGGACAAGATTCGAGGTTCGGCAGCGACATTCGGAAATTTACCTGAATCTGTCCGGTGTCGGTGGCGCACGTCACATGCTCATAAATATTGCGCTTTTTGTTCTTGTTGAGGCTCACGAATCGCCGTCGAATGTAGTCGAGAGCTGGCTCTTTTTCTTGCGGACCTTTGTAGCTGGTCAGCGCCACATTGATATTGGTGTGTTGAATCTTGATTTCGAACAGATCGATCTTGTTGAGGAACAGAATCATGGCGGTGTTGTGGAAGTACTTGCCGTTGCAGATCTTCTCGAACAGATTCAGCGACTCCTTCATCCGATTCTACAAATTTTGCACGTCGTTTTTTAAGCTCTTTGATCCGTTTGCAAAATCATACCACACTATTGTCTTCCCTGAGGACCTGATCGTACTCGGAAAGTGATGTGATGAAGAGCACCGCGTGCACATCATCGAACACGTGCAGCCATTTTCGTCGCTGCGCGCGTTGACCGCCAACGTCGAAAATGCTGAAATTGGCGGATTGTGAAGAAGACTCAGATTCTATTGAAAATACCGAAAATTGAAATTTTTAAGAACTATTTTGTATTGGACGACGCCCGATGTGGGAACGCGACTTTTGAGAATATCCTCCTCTGTGGGAATGTAGTCAGGAGCGATGATTCTTTGAAAATTTTTGAGGAAGCTGCAAAACGGATTGAATGCGATGCCAGACTGACGATGGAATTACTAGATGGTCGAGTCGTCGATGTTGAACACAGTCTTTTCGCGGAGCATATGGGCAATCGTTTCATCCTTTATGTACCTTGAACATCAAAAATATGAGAATCGAGAAACATGAAGCTTTGGAAAAACTTTTTTTAAAATTATGGCATAATTATTCAAGCATTACTCATCGAACCCAATTTTTTTTTTCAAATCTATCATCAAAATAGCTTAATTTTGTTGTTATGAGCAGAAAATTAATTTTTGGCTGATTCAACGAAGCAGAAGCTAAAACTGACTCGAAATTTCTCGAAATTCACGTTTGACTCTGATAAAATTAAACGGTTGAGTTGATTGGATCTATTTCAAAAATAAACAGGAAGTGTTGGGAAGAAAAAACCAATTCTGAAAACTAAATTACTTTATAATTGCTTCTGAGACGTCTGGAGCAATCGCCTGCTCGCCATCCTCAGCCTTCTTGAACATCTCGATGAACTGCTTGACCTCTTGAACATGATCCTGAAACCTTTGAATATCATAATCTATAGCTTCGGTGCTGTCACTTACAAATGACAGTGGATTACTGTAGACCATATTCTCTCTGGTGGCGATGTGATGAAGCTCCTCGACACCTTCGAGAATATTCATGTAAATCCCGTATTTTCGAAGAATCTTCTCCTCGTGTGTGTAGCCCGCGTCGTGAATTATTCTGAAACAAAAAGGAGTATTCGGAATGAGATGACGAAACCAACTTGATCTGCTTGATGGTCGTACTCTTGCCGGACTCGCCAGGTCCCAAAATGAGAAGCTTGAGGATCTTCTGCTTTTTGTCGTTCTCCAACTCCATCTCGATCTTCCGATTCTTTTCGAGCTGCAAGAATCGAGAGGTTGAAGGCTTGAGCAACAATGCATCGTACCTGCAGCTTATACTCCTCCTTGTCGAGGAATTGGTTCTGCTGCGAACACATAGCACCCATTTTGCTGAAAAAAAAAAAGAAGTTCTGAGCGGAGGATGGTATAAAATGGACTTTGACCCAAGCGAATTACGTTAAAAAACAAAATAAGCAATTTTTGGAAAAAAAAAGAATCTGGTAATTCTAAATTCAAATTTGAATAAAATTGAAAAATCGAGTTCAATCGGATTGGAAGTTGAAAAAGAAAAATGCCTGAGAAAATATTCGACGAAATGAGCCTATCGGGCGCATTTTAATTACACGCCATGCCCGGCGAATGCTTGAAATTTTGTCTTTAGCCGCGATGTCATGACAACCTGCGAAGACAGCCGCCGCGATTAGCGGCGAATTCGAGATGTTTTCGAGATGGGCCTCTCATCTCGAGCTCCATCGAGCAGCGCGTTCAACTGGAAATGATTTTCCTGCTTCTCTCAACAATGAAACCTATTGCAGCTATGATTATTATTGGGTATGCGCCTTTAAACAAAGAAGACGCTTGCCATATGAAATCATCGGCTGAAATCATTCCAATTTTCGCCGAGCAGCTGGTTTTCAACGGACACATTACAATTTTTGAATTCGCATTTTTTTTTCTGGAGAAGAAAGGAAAAAAGAAAGCTGAAATAATGCAAAATAGAATTGCCAAAGATAAATATTATGATGAACTTTGAATAGTTAATTAGCGGCTCTCAAGTGGGTACGAGTCAAACATGAAAAATATGAGAGTTGCATGAAGGATAGCGGACTTCCGAAGTGGGTTAGGGAATCTTGTGCAGAAAAAAAAATACGCGAAATGTTAAAGCTTTAAATGTTTTGATTCCAGTGTGAAACTCGTGATTAGTTGGGAAAAAATTATTTATAAATGTTATTCGCTGATATTTAAAGAAGTGAGAATGACAAGAATGAGATGAAGATTCGAAGCTATTAAAATCAGCGAAGCGTGATGTAAGAAGGATTTCAAAGCAAATATGGATAATTATTTAAATAGTCAAATGAAAATTACAACGGTTTAGTGAGTGTTGAAAAAATGACTAGAATATAGGCGATACATATTAAAAATATAACGGAGCAAACTTCGCGAAGTGGTCAATTCAATTAGAATACTAAATTTGGAAATTTGAAATTGTAATTCACCTGTGAGACGAATCAGACATTGGAATTAAAAAGAAATGGAAGAAATATTTGAAAAACGAGTTGTTCGAAAACATTCCCCAACCCCAATATTTTTAATGATATGTTTGAGTTCTTGATTAATAGTTAAATTGTTAGGTTCGAAATACTCGATAATTCACGGAAAGATTGGAGTTCCTTTGATGTTCTAATCCTCAATTTTTTTAGTATTGGGATGATGCGCCTTTAAAATTTTGACACGATTTTTGTTTTTAAGTAGTAGTAAGTCTGGAATAAAAATTGTCTGGAATATTCTGAAAATAGCCGATGACAAAATGCAGGCGGCATTAAATATTCTAGGAAAAACAAAATCTTGATTTGTTTAGGACAATGTTCAATTAGTTCATTTCTGTGAATTGAATAAAAGTGTAGAAAGTAATTGAATGAAACCTAAAATCGAATGAAAAATCCGAAAAAAATTGAGGAAGGCCTTGAAAATGATTGAAGAATTAGCAGAAACATTGGAAATAAATGGAAAAAATTATTCTTAATGATGTTTCTCTATTTTTTTTTTTTGAAGAATCGTGAAAATTTGGGGAAATTTTCAGAAATATTATTAAAAAAAAAGATTCTTATAATGATACAAAGAAACAAGAAATGTGTGGTTGGAATATTCGGAATTTGGGAATCTCGAGGGACACCTTTTCATTGAATTTCTAATAGACTAATTAGAACAACAAGACCAAAAAAAATGAGAAAATAATTGGAATACGGTGTCTTAGATTGTGGGAAGTTATGAGAGAATTAAATACGGGGCGAATTAGCTAAAAAGAGTTATGTATACCGTGCGACTGCGGAAAATTGGCAAAATGCCAAAATATTTAAAAAGAGGTGCCGGATTGCTCCTTTATGCTATCCGTATACTTAGTAGGCCCGTAAAACTACACGTTTAATTTTGAAAGACCGCTATCACAGTTTTTTTTATTTGGAATTTAGCCAATTTTCATGAAGAGATCTCAGAAATTCGATCGGGACGAGCAAGGGGCACTTTTTGGTTTGCGACACCGGCGGAACATTTTAGTAGAAACAGAGGAAATTTTGGTACCTACAGAGGAAAAAATTGAGAGCGATGTCAAATTCTAGTGTCATACCGGTAGGGTAAAAAGGTATGGGACAAAGTTTTTGGGAACCCCGATGTTTCAACCAAAATCAACCACTTCCCGCTCTTTTCGAATTCGTTGGGATACTTAAACAAGAATCAATTACAAGAAGGAGCAAATTTTCGGTAATCTGGAACAACAATTCCGATGCTGAAAATTGTGAATTGACTGGCCTCAAAATATCACTATGGCCGGTAAACACAATCAATAATCTCAATTTCGCCATGTTAATAGTGGTGTGGCGTTTCACATGAGAAAATGCACTTTCGTGCGAAATTGAACTCGTTTGTATTAAAATTGCTGAGATAATCAACAAATAACTCGATCTGTTCGTTTAAAACACCAGAAAACAATGCATGAAAATGTTCGGGAAAAGGGATTTAAAGGGAACAAATTTGTCGGTCTTGACGCGAACGCAAATTTTTTTTTGATTGCAAGCGAATATTCGAAAAAAAAAACACAAATCAGTTGAGGGGCGTTGCTATTAATTATTTTCATAGTTATGGTATGGTAGCACTTTTTAATGATTGAAATAGATTCCACAGAGAATCGAAAACAACATTTTTTTAAAATACCAAATATAGAATGATGGGATAAAGTAGTGGCGGCGACGGGTCATTCAAGCTATCACGACACATTAATGCATAAATATGAAATTGAACCATTATTGGCATAATGTAAGTATGACGCGGTTGAATTTGTGTGAGCCGATTTGATTATTGCTTTCGTCGTCGCCACTTTCTCTTGCATAATAAATAAAAAGCGACAATAAGCCGTGGAAAAATAGAGAGGAAAATTGGGGTTTCGATGGATGTGCCTTTAAACGTGACCACTCAGATTGATCGGTTTAAAGGTGAAACACATACAAACAAAAATTGGTAATAATATCAAATAAGGAATGAATGAATAATGTTCGTTAATAAGCTCATTTTATTTGGCTAAAAATAGGAAAAATCTGAAAATTTAACAGGTGACAAAACATTTATTTTTGTTGAAAAAGACAAAAAGACTAGTCCATTTCTACAAAAGTGGCTAGCCGAAAGACCCAGCTGCGATTTTGAAATTTAAATTTCATTTAAAACCCCCCCTCCCCCGAAATTAGTGTTTTTTAAAGAAAATTTGAGATATTGGATACGGCAATTAAAGGCGCACACCGTTATTGCCTGGCTGAGTTTCGCCGCGATTCTCGTAGCCGCATTTTTCCAGAAACAAAACAATTATTGATGATGTCGATATTCCGCATGTCTGACGAACGAGTATTGCGTTTCTTTTCCGTTTTCCCACAAATTAAAATAGGGCGTGGCGCAATTTTGGTGTCATACGGATCTCATTAATTTTGTGCCGAAAAACGATGTGCTCAGAATTGCTCAATTGGAATCGATTTCAGAACATTTGAATTTTTTCTTCTGAAATTGAGAAATTCATTTCAAAAAGTCTATTTTGAAAAGAAAAAAAAGGAAAACGTCTATTCAACAAAAAAGTCTACGATGATTATAAATCAAGCAACAAATGCAACGTATGCAAATAATTAATTGAATTTTGCGCAAAATGTTGGCAAGATCAATCAAACAATTCTCTAATTGAGTAATCGAATACAAGCATGCTTTGAAATATGCATTGCGAAAACGATTTTCACCTGCTTGGCCGACGGAATCACGCGACGACGTGAGATATTGATTTCCGCTTCGGAAAAATGCGATAAAATTCCAGTTTGAAACAGGAAACTATTTGATTTTGGAGTTTTAAAAGGAAATTGAATATTCTTGTTGCAGGTGTGAAGAAGGAGTGGGCGGAAATTTCTAGAAATGATGACCAATTGTGGCCATAGTACTGTATTTAAAGAAGAGTCGAAATTCAATATGAGGGTATTCTAGAACATTAATCGCGATTTCTATTCCAGATCGCAAATTTCAAAGTATCCAATTAGACGCATTCTTTCTCTGTTTTTCTTCCTCTTCGACGTCACACAAATCATGGTTGAACACGCTTTTTCTGTTTTGAGACTAATTAGATTCCTCAGCGAATTCAGAAATTGCGAAGCGACAAAATTTGAATGTTTGATCGGAGCATCATCTGAGACGAAGAAAAAAGATATGAATCACGAAAACAATTTGGAAATTAGCAAGAAATCGAGATAATTTGAATTATTATTATTGGTCTAAATTAAACATGATTGTTTATCCAAATTTCTTCTGCAGGAAACCATATTAGCAGAACCCTTCTCGGAATCGTAGTCGACGTCCGACAACTGCTTCTGGACTCGGGTAGATTTACGGGTGCGAGTTTCGAAATGGTCTTGCCACGAGTGTATTTTGAAATTTTCACATCTACTGTTTAAATTTTTCTTGATGAGTTTGCCATTTCTTGGAATTTCTAACGTCGTTCGATTTAAAAATTATCGAATCGACCCATAAAATGCAAAATAATCAGTTAGTCCGTGCGAGACCATAGCAATGGAAGCATGCACGTAATAATGCTCGTGAAAAGTCGGACGCCAACTAAAAAAAATATAAAAAAAAATATTTTTTTTTCGGAAATTTAAAAGTTTTTATTTGACACGACGAAGTTAATTTTTTTGCAATAAAATCTATTGGTTCAATCTTCCAGTCATTATGTATTTTGTGATTTAAATGATGTCAAATTTTTTCTGAAACAGCTGATTGAAATAACGTTGCTTTGATTTCTAATTTTTGGCGAAACAATAAAAATTAGAATTGAAATTGAAAAGATAAATAAGAATGGCGGGTTTGGAATCAAAACAGAACTTCCTCGAAGACAAATTGCTGAATGATGCGTTTGAACTCTTCCGGAATGGTTTGATTCAAGGGTCTTACCGCGAAATGATCTTTAAGCTGTGAGATTAATCGCAAATTTAATTTTTAGTGAAAATCTCGTCATAAAGCATTCGATAGCCAAAATCTAAGCGAAGAACAAAGAATTGGTTGGACACACCATTGGATTGGTCTCGTAAAACCGATGTCACAGCGAGATTTTGATTGAAGACGTATGCCGCACTACAAGATTCACATATTTCGAGTCTGAAAGTTGGGATAAATGTTGGGACCATTGAAGAAGTTAACAAACTCAATAAATTTCGGAACTAGATTTGTAGAATCTATAGCTGAAAGTTAATGAGACAGTAATTTTGAGCTTCTTTAATGTTTCAGTTTTTGTACTTACGATTACAAGGCGCGGCAAAATTACGGGTGCATCACTTTGGCGCAAGCTCATAATGGACTGACGCATTTTTTGTGCAGTTTTATTTTTTTATTTTATTTTCTGTGATGCTATTGATGAAATTTTAACCATCGATTGAAGTTTCGAAATTTGTCCAAATGGCACAACAAAATGTTGGATAGAAAATTTGATGCAGTATTTTTTTATTTTCATTTTTTTATTCTAAAATTTGCTATAAAACTAATATTTTTCAATATTATGTTTGAGATATTCCAACACGATAAAATTAAGCAAATTGTCGAAATTCTGTTCAATCAAAATATATTGAGAATTTAATGGATGATCATTTCCACGGATTCAAGCATCAAAATAATTTGTGACCATTTTGGAATTAATTAGTAAATAAATCATTTTTCAAAAATCAATATTCTTCTTTTTAACACAGAATTTTAAATTTTCATAAAATTGTTAAGCCAAATATCAATTAACTTTAAGCTGAGTGCAAATTCCACAAGACACTTCGACCAAATCTTGATTTTTTGAGTCAATAGGGAAATCATGTTTTAGTTAACATCATAATTGGATAACCTTATATAGAAGTGCTATTTGAAAGAGATCAACATTCATTGAACTAAATTAGGTTTTATATAGTCCCGGATCAATTCTCCAATCCAAGATTCCATCTAATTGATTGATAATTTCATTACCCCCCAAATTAAGAAAAATTCAATATTCTCTATATTGATCAATTTCCAAACAATAATTTTGGCACAATAGTCGAACACCCTCATAAACTAGTGCTCGACGAATGCATCGATACGTATAAAACGAAATTGAGTCGCTCGGTCGGGTCCTCTTCTCTCGTCTTTGCCTTATTTGGGAGCGCACGCGCTCTCGTAGAGTTGTTCATCATCCTCATCATCATCCGAAGACACAACTTCGTCTCATCCTTTTTTTCCATTCTCCAAATAAACCATTTTCCACCTATTTTGGCATCGTCCTATGCTCTTGAGCTCTCGTCCATGAAAAGCAATCTCAGTGCCTCGTGCCTATTTTTTTTCTCGTCGGCCTTTCCTCCCATATTTGTTTTTTTTTTGTTGCGCCCATCTTGCTTCTTCATTTTTCATTTTTCCCTTTATTATTATTATTCAGATGATGATGATGATCATTTCAAATATTTGTTCGTCGTTGCTCATGGCGATTTTCGCTGCTCGATTCCATTTCTTTTTTTCTCATTGAATCCACCATATTCCACACTGTAGTCGTTGTCTGACAAGTTGTATTTCGATGATTCTTGATCGCCGGATCTGATTCCGCTCGCCATTCCATTCATTCGGCGTCCAACCACGACAACCTCACCTCTTCATTAAAAACGTACAGCAATAAAATAAATCCGTGTGCACCAAAAAAGGCCGACACATTTTTGGTGTTTGTATATCCATATCCATGTGTTTTATTTTCTCTCTCTCTCTCCCTTTCTCACTTTCTTGAATATTATAGAATCCAAAATTGGATTCCGTTTCAACTTCATTACAGTAGGTGGTTCTTCCTTTAAAATTTTCCAAACGAAACCATTTTCGCTCATTTTTCAAAAATCCTCAATTTTTTTGGTTTCTTCTATGTATGTAGGGAGTCTCTGAAAATGCCGCCTAGAATTCCTAGAAGCTGTCCGCAGCAGATATCAACGTTCTAGAGCTTCAGGCGTTCCTTGAACTCCAACACGTTTACAAAGAAATTGCTTGCAATCTTCATCTGCTGCAGATGCACACATTTATTCAATCATTCATCCCAACAATGTACATTGTAATATTCATTTCTCATCAGAATACGTGACATCCTTGCATTCCATATTCGTTTTTTTTTTCAAAACTACCTAATTAGGCATATTTCTTCACTCAAAAAAAAATATAACCCAGACGTTCAATTCGTCGTCGTTTTTCAGCTTCTGCGGGTTTCACAAAAATTTTTAAGCACCTTCCAATGTTTTCTTCTGTTTGAGTAATGAGGTTAAGAAAAAAAGGGCATCGTAGAACAAAAACACGAGTTGTTCGATGCTTCCCGTCGAGACCTTTTTGTTCCTCATTGAGAAAACAAATCAAGAAGAAGAAGAAGCTTGATTCTTGTGGTTGTGCGGAAATTCACAAGGAAATTGCATGAAGCATGAAGATCGTCTGTGGAACGATGACACGACACGCCATCGATGGTCCCTCGCACGGCCATAATTGGGTCCATCTATGTGTATCAACGTTTTTTTTTTCTCGCGTCTCAACACAAAAATCAATCAACGAATAATTGCATCGACATGTGCCAATTTTGAAACCCCCTATATTCCTTGAGGGCATCATGCATCACGAATGGAGAAGGATGTCAAAACCGCCGGATCCATTTTTAACATCTTTCGTTGTCGCGAGCATTTTTTTTTATATATTTGTTTTCTCATTCACACCTCTTATTTTTTTGTCATCATATAGATTTTCATATTATTTGAATTTTATTCCCAAGGAAGACAAAAAAAATTCCGATTTCCAAGTTCTATTTTAGGACACATCGTAAATACGCTATTTTTGATGTTGAAGAAGCTGAAGAAGTCAAGTGTATTCTTAGTTTTTTTTTGGCGGAAATCCAAACGATTTGATCTATTTAAAAACGTGAATTTCCGAAAAATCGAAAAAAAATATTATTTTCAACTTTTGACTTTTATTTTTTCTAAATTTGCAGTTATTTTTTTTTTCGGCTTCTGACAAAAAAAACCCGAATATCAAAAAAAAAAATGGTGTTAGTGAGAAATTTTCCACCTGCGAATTATCCAAAAAAATTCTTTCGAACATTTTGCCTCATAATCGACTCCAAATATCTCCCCTGGGATTCGCTTATATCACATTCTTCCATTTTACAGACTGCTTTTTCACAATCGCCAAATATGGAAACAAAGGCGAATACATGCGTCGATGTCAACGAAATACTCAAACAATTCAATGATTGGACAGTTCTTCTCGAAGTCCGAGTATGAATTGTCCCGTCGTCCGAGAGTCGTCCATTTTTGGATATTTTCAGTTCGCCTACTCATCTCTTTACGCATTCATTTTCGTCACCGGTGTTATTGGAAATGGCCTATTAATCTCATCAATATTGCTCAGAAAAAAGATGACCGTCGCCAATATTTTTCTAATCAATCTCGCTGTTTCCGATTTGGTGGGTTTCACTTTTTTTTGCTCGAAACAAAACTGCAGTATTTGAGCTTCTTTGCATCACAGCATTACCAATTACTCCAGTGTTGGCATTCATTAAACGATGGATGTTTGGAATATTCATGTGCAAATTGGTGCCTGCGTGTCAGGCATTTTCAGGTATGCAAAATCTGCAAATCATTTTTTCAGCTTGTTTCAGTCAATGCGTTTGGCCTTTAAATAATATAATCATTTTTAAACAAATTTGATCGTATTCAGCCTAATATTTGAATAGTTAATAGTAGATTTTTATAGATTAATGATTGATTCAAAAGTTAATTCACTACATTCAAACTAGACCTTATCCTTTTTTGGAGGAAAGCAACAATGTATAAATTTTATAGTTCTCATTTCATCATGGTCCCTTTGCTACATCGCTATCGATCGCTATCGAAGCATTGTGACCCCATTACGAGAACCATGGTCCGACAGGCATGCCAGGGTACTAATCAATTGTTATTCAACTTCAACGAACTCTCTATCTCTTCAGGGCCTTCTGACAGGCACTTGGGCTATTGCATTCTTCGCATCATATCCTTTATATTATTCGCAAAATCTAAAGACAATGGTGATAGAGAATGTGACACTTTGCGGAGACGTGAGTTGCTCCAATATTTTTTTTATTCATCTCATTCGTTTTTTCTTTCTAGTTTTGTGGTGAATTCAATTGGCAATCCGATCAGCCTTCAAAGCTCATCTACACCACAAGCCTACTCATTATTCAACTAATCATCCCAGCGATTATTATGTCGTTTTGCTATTGGAAAATATTGCAAAAGGTTTCAATTTTTGAAAGTTGCTCATAAATTGAACGATTTTTTCAGGTTCGAACGGACTGGCTTGTTGAAGAAGGATCGATGCTAACTGCAGCTCAACAGGTATCGATTTTTGATTATTTACTATCAGGAAAATAGTCGAGAATTTTGAAAAACTGCGGCCAAAACTCAAATTTTAAGGCTCAAACCGCTGTGCGAAAGCGTCGAGTAATGTATGTTCTGATTCTGATGGTCATCGTCTTCATGGCATGTTGGATCCCATTATCGGCCGTGAATTTTTTCAGAGACCTCGGAATGAAGTTCGGCTTATTTCAAAACGTGTACAAAGTGGTTGTAAGTTGCAAAAATCGGGTAGAAAGAAACCAAAAATTGCTCAATTTAGATGATGGATCAAATGTACTTCAAACTGTTGAATGTGCACGTCATCGCGATGACATCAATCGTATGGAATCCGGTTTTGTATTTCTGGATGAGCAAGGTAAAATTTCAACAAGAATTTCCTCAATTAGAAAGCGCTATTTTAGAGGCACAGAAGAGCTCTTAAGGATGACATGACATGGCTGACAAATGCTCGTCGTCACACCAATGTTGGTGTACTGTCACGCTTCACACCATCACCATCAGTGTCTGTGGTATATCGACGAAATTTAGAACGCCATTTGGGCGGAGGAAATCATTTCAGGCAACGATTTTTTTTCGATTATTTTAAATTAGAATTCGATTTCTGATCAATATAGTCGAAAACATTGCATTTCGAGTTTATAAATGTGATTTTTCTAAAATTTCGCCGGCTCACCTTCAAAGTAAAAAAAAAAGTTAGTGCTGTCTCTCGACATTTGGCCGGAGGGCAACAATTTTTTTTGTGTGTGTGCCACCTAATCGAATGAATTCAGACGCGGCACACTAGCCGATCCGACGTGCACTTCAAGGGAACGGGGAATTCCGCAGGAATTGCAGTCTAATTGTTTCCTATTGGTCCCGCTAATGCCACTGTGCCAATCGGTGACGAGAAAAAACAGCCATTTGGCGATTAACCGCGATGGGTCAGTCGTTTTATCATTCACATTTCCGAAATGTCCATCAAGAATATGTCAATTTCACACAAAGTTTCAAAATTTCAGAATTGTGATTCCACAGACGAATGGAAGCCGACGGCCAAGCAGCGCGAATACAAATTCAACAAAAGATTGGTAATTGGGTTGGACCCAATCGCTCATTTTATCGATGCGGGTTGTCGGTTTTTCTGTTTTCGTCCACCCTATTCTTCAATTTAAGGGTTTATTGTTATGCTGTATTAATAAATCAGTATGATTAAAAATCACTTCGAATCAAACGAAAGTGACGTTTTGTCACAAATGTCATCTCAAATTAAAATCGATCAGATCAAGGATACGTTTGTCGAAATACTGCATAGTTTTTGTTTGATTGGGTTGCAATTCGTTACAACGAGTATTTATCTAAATTGTAAATTAGACAACAATCTACGACGACTGCGAGAATGGATTAGTTAACAATAACAATCCTAATGGAAATTCCTGCAGAGAAGAGATAGGATGCTAAATTTAAGCACAAAACAAAGGGTTTTTGGCCTATGACAATCAACTGATCAACTGTTAGTGTAAATGCGCGTCAACTCTATTGTGTGTATGCACCGTGATTTGTACCGTAACCTCAAGAATCAAAATCCTTTTTGCTCCTCGCAACAAATTGGTTGATTCTCTTTTTATAAAAATCTGCTGAGAATAAATAAAAACGGTCATAGACATGCACCAGGTGAGAAATAGTAGAGAACAGAGACACGAGGGAACGTTCATTTTTTTGCACACATGCATTTTAATCGTTGAACATGCCGTTGATGACATTTTTTAAGAAAAAAACAAATTAAATTTGACTAAAATGGATATTTGTGCTCATTATTTTTTTATATTGATATTTAATTGTGTTTTTTGAAACCCTCAAAATTCCAAAATAAAATTAAAGCACAAATTCAAGAACAGGTTTAAAGGCGCAAGTGAGATTCTTCTTCAGTGATGTCCCAATCACTAAAAACTTGTACTAATACTAATTTTTTTCTTATTTTCCATCCCCCCATATTTGGAAACAATGCAATAATAATTCCATACTCATTTTTTCAGTTCAAGAAAATCCTCAAAGTCCCTCCATTCGCCCCATTTATTAGCAATTCGTGTCACCCATGCCGTTCGCCGGCAGCCAAAGATCAATAAAGCCCCCCCCTCTCAACGGGTTTCGCGTTGCTTCCATAAACGGCCGAGTGGTGTGTTGGTGGCGGACTCTGCGTCTCGACCACCAACGCGCACCCAAAAGCCCCACCAACACACCAAACCCAATATTCTTCCCAATTATTTCGCAACCGGCACGCCGCCTTCAAAATGAGCAAGTCGTTTGGTAGTACAACAGCGTCGGGGGCGCGCGCAGGCAGACTCTGCGCGCAGAACTCGAATGAATTCGAAAAGAGCACCAGACGTCCGCTTCTGCGCGCGAGCGCGTTGCCCTCGTACACGCACCCATTTCCTCGCATCCTCGCAATCGTGTTTTTGTTTTGTCGCATACTCATTCCCACTCCACTTGTTTCCTTTTTTTGCACTTTCCCTCAATGACCTTTCATGTATGTAAGCACATAATCGAATTTTTGCGACTCACAGAATTTCGAGTAATTCAATTCATACCGTAGTAAATTTACTAGGGAACGGAAAATGATTCGGTTCGAAAATCGTCACAACCCCAAACTCCTCCAATGGTTGTTCAGATTGATATCAAAGTAAATTTCGACATTTTATAAAATTAACACAATTACAAAAATTTTTAAGCCGCATCTCGAAATGCGCACGAATATCCATATTCGGAAATCAAAGCGAGAAGCCACACCCAGCTAGCAATCTTTTGATTTTCGCTCATCCCCGCCTTACTCTATTCAAATATTCTTATCAATATTGGTATTAAAAGTCAGTCAGCTGACCACATCGGGGACTCTTTTTGTTCAAGCAGTACAATTTTTATCAAAATATTGAAATAGACATGCCGATAAGCCACCAAATTGACCCATTATTTTTCAATGACCTCCGCCTCATTTTTTGGCGATTTCTACAGTTTATTGCTGAAAAAAAAGTGAAAATTCTAAAACAAAGAACATTTTATTGTATTTATTTTGCTGATGGCGCCTAATATACAAAAAAACCCTCGTGGCGAGCGCCCCGATTATTGTCACATGGCAAATTTCGACAATATCGGCGTCTCTCGACAGTCAACACTCGTTCTCTCGCTCAACTCTCACCGGTCGAACGTCATCGATATGAATTGACCGTTTTGGACTGTGACCATAGGCGCCCAAAAATTTTTAAGCGACGAAAACTGTTTTAGATAACATTTTTCGTTTTCAGCATCACTCCCACTAATTTTCCTTCAATTATTCTCGTTTCATCTCAACGCCCATTTTTTTTGGCTTCCCGCTGAGTTATGATGCTTGTGAACAACAGGCGTCAAAATTTGATGACGGCACAAACACATGAAGAAAATGAAATTTGAGCTTGCTGACCGGAAAATGAACAAAAAGTGAAAACAATTTTCTTCGATATCAATCGCCATGTGATTTTTTTCTTGCCCCGGTTTCAACTCAATTGACAGATTTCGGAAAGAAAAAATGAAATCTGTCACAGTTTTTTAAAAAAATATATTCATATGCCTCAAAAATAAGTAGCTCTGAAAGTTATCATACAGATTCCCACGCAAGATGTCAAACGAAAACCTCTTTTAATTTATTTTTCATCTCATCTCATTATTGCCGAGAACAACCTTGAAGTTAATTATTGTCAACTGAATTCATTTTCCCAGTGATCATTTTCCCATTGTGCGTTCTTTCCGGCACAGTTTTTTCCTTCTCGTTCGCGTTCAACTGAATTATTTATGGCGAAATTTGCAAGATCATTGCAAGCTCGCCTCTAACCGCAATTCAATTATTTAATCACATACACACCCGATCTATTAACACGAAAAGGCTACACTTAGTGCAATATTGGCCGGCGACAATTGTCGTGTGTGTGAGTGTGTGTGTGCAGGCTTCAAAAAAATCAAAAGAGACAAGTCGGATTCGAGAAAAGCAGGCATTCGAACAAAAGAGAATCACATGCGAACTGCTCAACCCCAAATAATTCTCGATAAGTTACTCGTCCAATAACACACACACAAAAAGTATGCCATTTTCCCCGCCGCCTTCCGATGATGATGAACAAGTATTCGTCGAATATGATTTTCAAATGGTCGAAGAAGAATCGATTCCGGATGAGATTGACGACGAGATCGAGCGTGTTTTCGCCGAGTTCGCTCAGGTACACATTTTTTTGCAAACGTTTTTTTTTGCTCATGTTTCAATGCATTGCTGATTTCTAGCCGGGAACTGAGAACAAACACGAAAAAGATCAAAGTCAACATGATGATGATGGCAATTCTCAAGTATTTATGCTTGCTATTTATCTGAGTAATTTTTTTACTCTTTTTCAGACTCAAATAACCACCTCTATCGATCTCGTTTTTCGGCAACCAACCAATGTAAATTATGAGCTTGTCTATTATTCTAGTGATCACCAACCAAAACCTATGGTAGAACAAGATAGCAGTGATCCAGAGCCATCGATTCATGAGAATTTCACCGCGTTATTACCGGACGTCGACGATTATTCAACCGATGACCAATTTGAGGCTATTGTGCTTCCACGGGTTACTTCTAAGCTTGCAAATGCAAAATTAGAAGATGAGGAGGAGTCAGAGGCGCAGACGGAGAGAAAGCTGCAACATTTGGAAGAAGCTTCTCAAGAGGAGAAGAGTAATCCTTCCGAAAGCTTCGAAGTAATGGATAGTCTAAAATTGGATGAAGATGCAAAACAACAAGAAGATGACGAGGAGAAAGAAGGGAATATCGCTGAAATTTTAAATGTTGACGCGCATAAGACGACTCAAGAGGATACTGGAGAAATTCAAGAAGAATTGTTGAAGAATGTTGCAGTAAAAGAAGAAACTGTTCTTAACAGACATTCAGCAGACATTTTGGATATGCCAAAGGAAACGAGTGGAGACGTCGAGACAGTTCAAGCATTCGAAAAAATTGAAGAAACCGATGGAGCTCAGACAGAACCGATCGTTGAGATTCAGAACGCCGCGAATGTTGAGGAATCAGCTCTTCAAGAGAATCAGGAAAATGATTCATTCGATAATAAACAACCTGCTGAACCACTAGCTTGCGCGGATTCCATTCAAAAACCTCCGAAAATTCTCCAGACTGTCGAAGATGCAGAATTTGTTGAATTCCCTCAAGAGAATCAACAAATTATTTTAGCTGGTGATGATCAAAACGATTCTATGAAGGAAAAACCAGAAATTATAGAACACTCTGACCAATCACCGATCATTGGAATTTCTAATGAACCATGGGAATGTGAAGCCAATTCAGAAAATAATGCGAGCATGGCTGCTGAAACGAGTAGCGAAGACTTCGATTCTTCAACAACGGTTATTCATCCTTCGGAAATTGGAAACCAACAAACAGAATCGGTCAAAGACAAAGCCGAAGTTCAAAAAGATATCGAATCCCCCCAAATTCCAGAGAGCAAAGAAGAATCGCAAAGCGAAAGTAAACCTCAATTTGAGCAAGAAAACACACCCAACACTCATTCGGTTCCCTCGATTGAAAATAGTGAAGCTGTTATTCCGGTGGAAAAAACAGAACTGATTTCACAACAAGATCAATCTTCACTCATAAATGATGAAGAAGCTAAAGACAGAGCACAAACAGCTGATGTTGAATCAGACGAGATCAAACATCAAGCGACAGCCGAAAATGAAACAGAAGCGAGCGAGAGTGCCGCCGAAGAAGCCGCGTTTGAGGAAGATTCGAAAGAAAATATTTTACTAAGAAATTCAGCTGATGAGGATATTCAGCAAACAATGGAGCCTAGACATTCTTATAGTATGAAAGAAAAGACACCTGGAGGTGAAGCTGAAAATTCATCAACTTTGGAGGAATCAGAAAATACAACAGCGGAAGAAAAGAAATCTTCAGACGATCGATTGGAAGAACCTCAAAAACTAGATGAAAACGTCCTACATGACGAAAATTCAACCAATGATGTGAACACTGATATCGAACTGACGATTTTGAATGAAAATACAGCGGATACGTGCCTTCGGAAGACTGACGATGCGCTAGATGAAGTAGAATCATCAGCTGAAATACAAAATAACCAGGAAATTAATAAGGAAAGTTGTGAGGAAAAAGTCGATGAAGAATCTCCAAATAAAGGCGACGATCAGACAGAACATGTTGATAAAATCGAACATACTGATTCAAAGAAGGAAGATCAAGAAGCCCCTGACGTTGAACATGAAGAGAAACAAAATTTGGAATCCGTCAAAGAAATGCCGAATATGTCGAATGCGGAACACAATAATCCAATTCTGGATCAGTGGCACAGCGAAGGTCTCACAGAAGATTCACAAGAAAAGAAATCAGCAATCGATGAACACGAGAACACAATAGATGTGACAGAAACACCAGTTATTCCGTCGTGTTCTGAAAATGACGAACAACTGATAACGGAAGAAAATGCTGCATCTTCATTATTGTCGAAAGATGACATTGATGGAGAATCTCATGTTGAAACGGAATCGAAACCTATTACTACAGAAAACCCAACAAATTCAGCTGATGTTGTAGACGAGCAAGATTCTGCTGCTTTGGAATCAGTAGTACAAAATGAACCCATTGGTGATACCAAAATAAGTGAAGATTTTGAAACAGCGACATCTCGAAAATCTTCGATTGCGATCTCTGAAACTGGTCATTATTTAAAGCAAAACGATCTTGAAGAGCAGCAAACAAAAGAAGTCGACATGCAGGAATTGACAGAGCAATTCAAACTTCACATCGATTCACAAGAACCACAGCCTGGTGTGCCCGAACAAATATCAACTGCAATAGATGAGCACATCGATGAAATCCAAAAAGGCGATTCCCGAAAATCTTCAATTGCGCTATCGGAAGTTGATTTGAAGCAGGAAAAAGAAGAAGAAGGAGAAGGTAAACTTGAAGTTGATCTTGAAAACCTGCAAGATCAATTCAAACTTCATCTTGAATCCCAGGAACCACAGCCAACGGAACCTCGACAGATTTCGACAGCCGCTGACGAGTTTGGTGTAGTCGCTGATTCCGACGAAATTGAAGATTCGGGATCTCGAAAATCCTCAATCACAATATCTGAAGTTGATTCGAAAAATGTGGAAGATAACAAAGAAGGCGAAGCTGATGAAGTAGACGTTGAACAACTCAATGACAAATTCAAACGTTACTTGGAAACGCAGGAGCCCCAACCTGACGAGCCTCAACAAATATCAACGGTGGCCGACGGAAATACAAATGATGAGGGTATGATTGGGTTCGATGATATTGAAAAATCTGTATCGAGAAAAGATTTGAAGCAAGATGATGCAGAAGGCAATTCAAAAGATATCGAAGAAACGAATGTTGAAGAATTGGAGAAAAAAATGAGCGATCCACTAGAATCACATGAGCTTAGAGAGATTTCAACACCAGCTGATGGATGCTCCGAAAAATGTTCTCTAGATTCTAACGAGACTAAAAAATCAGAATCAAGAAAATCTTCGATTGCTATATCTGAAGTTGGCTTGAAACAGAATGAAGCGGAAAAAGAAGGAAATACTGAAGTCGATAATGGGCAGTTGCAAAATGAATTCAAACTCTGTATGGAATCCCAAGAACCGCAATCGGATCAGCCACAACAGATTACCTCACCCGTGGATGAACAAGAAGGGAACGGAAACAACGACAAAGTTGATTCCGATGCAATTGACAGTACACATTCTAGAAAATCATCTATAGCTATATCTGAAACTGAAATCGAACCCAGTCTGAAACAAAATGATGTTGAGAATAAAGAAATCGAAGAAGAAAAGAAATCAGATAATCAAGAAATGGAGTATCAATTCAAACTTCATCTGGAATCACAAGAGCCTCGGCCAGATGAACCTCGACAGGTTTCGACAGCCGCTGATGAGGTTATCGAGAAACTTGGAATGAATAAGATTGATACCGATGAAGTCCGAAAAGAAGATTCCCGAAAATCTTCGATTGCGCTATCGGAGGTTGACTGGAAGCAGGAAGAAAAAGCAGAAGAAGAAGGAAAACTTGAAGTTGATCTTAAAAACTTGCAAGATCAATTCAAACTTCATCTAGAATCTCAAGAACCACAGCCAGCGGAACCTCGACAGGTTTCAACTACCGTGGACGATCATAATGAAAGAAATGTTGAACAAGATCGCGAAGATCAGAACTTGCAATCAATCATTCCATCTGAAACCACATCCAAATATAATATCGAACCTTTAATAGAGAATCAATTGGACGACTTCAAAGATTCATCGACTAGTTCGAATTTCTCAAGTGTGGTTCTGACCGAATCAATGTTTGACTTACAGTCAATTGGTAGACATTCTGAACACTCACTTCCTTCATTGGAACTAATTAATGAAGATGCGTCAGCTGAAAATGAGCCAGGAGAGGAGCTAGAATTGGAAAAAGGGACTAAAAAGCCTGAAATTTCGGGAACAATGCTCAAGAAAGAGGATGAATGCTCGGAAGTTTCTTTTACATTTTTATCTGTCGATTCAGTGAACATCGAAGTTTTAACCATCCGAAATTCAAAGGCTGATCTATCGAATCGACGAACATCATCAGAACAGTCTTCCGACGAAGACCATCAAGATCCAATTCAAGGAGTGAAATCTTGTATAGAAGAAGATGTTGTCCTTCGAGAAAAAGCGATTCCAACAGAATCAGCGGCCAATTCAGCAGTTAGCGACACCGATCTTGAATTTCGTAAGAAAAATGAATCGAATGAAACAATTCATGAGCTGAAAACGGTGGTAGAAGAATCAGTAAATGCTGAAGATTGCACAGAAAATAGTTCCGACGGCACTGAAATGGTTGGCGAGAAAATTGAAGAACCTGCCAACAAACCCCTCGAAGCCACTGAAAACATTTCAATTCCAGATCAGACGAATCCAACTTTTGTTGTTGAAGATGAGCCAGATGGAGGTGTTACAACAAATCTTGTTTTCCATAACGAAACACAAGAAACAATCACTTCAACGTTGACTCCAGAATTTGTGCCGACTGAAGAACTCACTGCTTCAGAAGTAGAACAAGACGAAGAAATAGCAGTTCTTGAGAAACCACAACCACTTAACGAAGCCCAAATTCCAGCTAAAACATTTATTGAAATGGAAACTGATATTAAAAAGCATGACCAAACCCCCGTCGATAGCGATGGCAGCAGGGCTTCGGAACCAGACACAATTATTGAGAATCTTCAAGACGACGAAGTAGTCGTTTCGAAACACATTGTGGAAAATTTCGAAGCCGAGAAGATACAAGACGATAAGGATTCAAAACAATTCGATCTTGAACAAAAAACGCCTAATGATGAGAGCAAAAAGGAAATTGGGCCATCTTCAGGAATAGAAGAAGAACTAATTGAGAAAACTCCGGAACCTAACAATATTGTTGAAAATGTTGAATTAAATCAGGAGGAGATCCCTAATGAGAAATCAACAGAAAACCTTCTTCTTGATAACGAGCAAGACTTGAAATCTGACAAAGAAGAAACGAGAAATTACTCAGATGTTAACGATCTTAAAAAGACTGAAATCGATGAAGACGCGATTTCTGTGAATGAAGTTATGGAGCTCGTCGTTGAAGTCGTCACTAGCCAAGAACCCGAAGACGAATTTAGAGAAACGGTTGAGCTCGTAGAATCTCAAACGCTTCATGAGGTTTCACAAGAAACTTCTGAAGTTCCTGTCGACGAAGCGGAAACAAATATTGAAGTTTCCGAGGAACCCACTCTAGAAAGCTCAAAGATCTCTCCAATCGAAAACCAAATGGAAAAATCGAATGTTATAATTCAAATCAACGATGAATTGCAAGGGTTACCCAATCTGGTGGAATTGCAAAACGACGGACACCCTTTCAACAGCGATGCGTCATTACCGGAACCGGGTACAATTGATAACGATGATACGGAACAATTTGACAGGTCGCCAGACCAAGTTGGAGTCTGGAAGGATGTAGATCTCATATCGTTAAAGTCATTGAAATCACTTGTTGCTGAAGTTGGATGTTCAGTCGAAGAAGAAAAGTCTCCAGAATTGACACAAGAATCGGAGGATTACGTCGAAAATCTTGTGGAAAAGGTGATCGATGAGGCAACTCAAGAAGTCGCCGCTGTTCGCGAACTTCCACAGAATCTAATCAAGACGGTCATTGTGACATCAGAGCTCAAGGTTCCCACCGAAGATACTGTGCTCACAGAATCGGAAATCGGGGAAATGAAAGGTTCGACACCGGAAGAAAACATATCTCGAGCAACCGATGCTCTAGACGAGCTCGTCTCAACTACTACTAATATCGTAATAGCCAATGAAGTTTTGGAAAACGCCTTAAAACCGCTGAAGTTAGATATCGTCGAAGAGCCAGACGACGATATTAAAACCGTTCAAAACTCTCCAGAAGCTCCACAGGATCCTGTAATCGAGACTAAAGAGCTTTCAAAAGCTGATGATGAAAAAAGCGAATGTTTGGATTCAATTGGTGATCTCAGTGAGCGCACAATTCAACGTTTTAATTCATCATGTGAGCAAGAGTGGTGTAAGACTCGTGTTTTGTTAACATTGAATAGTGTTGTGAAGTGAGCAATGATTAATATTATATAGCTTGTTTCTGAAGAAAAAATGACTAGAGAGCTATTTGTCTCAAGGCCAAGCTTCTATCTTCAATTACCGCATTCAGAAATGAAACAACTTAAAAATTTTTAGTCGCAATTTATCAGAAAGCGACTTTAGTAAGTATCCAACGCCCCGAAAACGCGGTGATTAAAGGAACATCGCTCGAGTTTATTCTTGGGTCTTGAAGCGATTTTTTTCGAATTTCGTTTTCTTAAGCACTCAACTAATTCTAGTTCGCTTTTTTTTGTCTAACATTTTCGCTCCTTTATTTTCACGTTACCTCTTTCATTTCTTCCACGTCTTGTTATTCCTCATCCATTTTCCAGTTGACGATCCAACCCTTGCTCGTCACGACTCGTTTTCCTCAATTTCCTCATTTGGTGAGCGCCAGAAATTTCGAACCGCTATTGAAAACATTCGTCAAGACCTCTTACCATTCCAATCTTCTGTGGGTCCCACTCTCAATCCTCTCAATTTTATTTATTTCATTACAGGTTTCTGAATATTTCGAATCCGATAGCAATCAGCTAGTCAGCAATATTTCAATGGACTCACCATCGGACTTATCGCCAAACGCTCCACTACAGGGATTCGAGAATCCGGCTAACTATTTCGCCAATGTTCAAGTGAGCCTATAAATAAAAAATGAATAATTTATGCGTGGACAAATTGGGTAAATTGATATATTTCTGAAAAATAGTTTGATTAATTGCCAAACGCGAATTTCCGAGAAAGACAAACTTGTTTCGTTATTTTTTCCTGTCACTGTTTTAGTAGCAAAACGTTTTACACACTTACTGTGCCAAGCGAAGTTAAAATTTAAAAACTACGCTTTCTCAGCAAATGTGCTCCATCGACAACCCGCGTAGTTCAAAAATTTAAGTTAAATTTCAGTCAAATTTAATGTTATATTTTTTCTCAGCAATCCGCTCCCGCTCAACCGGCGTCCAATGATGGCTCGATTGACTCAAGCGGCTATGAAAAAGTGGATGCGGAAAGCTTAGAAGAATTGCGCGGAAACGTCCAGGACCCAATGCAGCAATCCGTATTTGGTTCGCTCTCCAACGAGGTATTTATCATTATTTGCCTTATTCCTTTTCGTCATTCACGCATGGTATTATGATTTTCTGTGTGAGATACAAAAAACGGTCATCAAAAGTTTACGATTCGAATTTATTGGTTCCTTGGAACCGTCTATCGCATCGTATATTCTCAATTCGTTTTTTATTTTGCGCATCACTCGTAAACTTTTCTGCCTTAAAAGGCACGAGCGCATCGGGTGGTTATTATTTGAAATTCGATTCGAGTTTTCCATTCATCGACCCATGAATTTTGCGTTCTCAAATTTCGCGCCCGCTGCCAATTATCGGACCGCGCGCTCGGGGGAAACTTGCCATCCGGATGGAAAATGCGCGCATTTACATACATTCCCTCTTTTGTTCAATTCGCGTCATGAATGATTTTCGGATCTGCAAGCGTTACACCGACTAAAACCCGCAAAAAGGTATACAACAATTTGTATGTTTCCAATTTCACCTATTACGTGCCACCCAGCAAACCCATTAGGTTCAATCAAACTTTCATGACCTTCATGAAAACCCAAAATATTCTAGTCTTGCAAAAATTTTGGTGTAATGTGTGCAATATTGCGTCGAGTGATGCGCTGAATATGACGGCAATATGTCGGTTTTTTTTGTCATTTATTCGAATTGTACAACTTTTGATGACCAATAATAAAGTGCTCGCCGATTTTATATTGTGTTGTGAATTTAGCAATCAGGAACAGCAACGCCAGTTCTACGAAAATTTGACGACGGTTTCGAGTTGATCGATTTCGAGCGGCAATCAACAAAACAAAAGGCATGCAATCGTGGTATTTGTCAAAAAAAAAAGAAGATTGTCCGTTGTTTACATTCCTGTTCATGTGACCATTTACAGCAAATATGATAACTCTTTCCCTCTTACTAATCTATTATGGGAAACCTCGCACTATACATGATAATTTTGGTAGAAATTGCGCAGTGTTTTCCAATTTTCGAGGAGCGCTTTTTAACTGGGACGCGCGCGCGCCTCGAGGGCTATCCAAAATGGCAACAATTCACCATAGCATTTTCTCGCGCCAACCCTCCGCGATTCGCCGCTTCTTTCACTTTGCCATAGCGCCTTTCCTCCCCGTCCGTTCTCATTGGCTCAGCCGAAACGTTATTTTTGCGTTTGTCCGTCCCGTCCGTCTCTCCCAGCCCGGAAAACAAGAATTGAATAATATTTGACTGTGAACGTGTGTTCTGTGCCTTTTTTCCCCCTTCATCACATTCATACAGAAAAAAAGTCGCTCTAGAATCGGCCGTGAAGGCCTCGCGATATCTTCGAGTAGTTTTTATTCTTCTTTTGAAATATGCCGCTTTAGAATCGATTTTCCGTCTTTCAAATATGGAAAAATGGAAAGAAACTGCAATACTTTGTTTTTAAAATTGAGAATTCTTTACTTTTTGGAAATTGTGGTAATTCGAAATGACGTTTTGTTGTTTGAAGATTTTTCTCGTATTTTTACAATTTTTTTTCTTAATAGAAATTTCAAAACCAGTTTTTTGCTAGTAGAAACTTCTATCGGCACTGAATAAATATACAAATAATCTTCATAGTTACATATATACTTTCTGTTTATTCTCCCTGGCCGCCACTTTAATAAATACATGCTGATGAAATTTCAAAATTCCTCCTTTCGTTCTTCTTTTTATTGGGTTCCGTTGACAGCTGTCGATTGAAGTTCGAGCAGATATCATCCCAAGTGTCCCACACAAGTGGTGTTTAGCAAAAAAACAAAGTATCAGCAAAGAAAAATCACTTGAAATGCACATTTTACAGCCTGTTTTATTTTGGCCAATTTTATTTGTGTGACTCACCGTTTCCGTGTTTGCACTCGTCTTTTTTTGTTTTGCAATCAAATTTACGGTTTTCGAAACCAATTTTATTATTAATTCTTTTCAGATGTCTCACGACGACGTTATGGAGAAAGACTATTTCGGTCATGATTCGACGACCGCCAAGATTCTCGAATCGCCGATTGCTGAAGAAGCTCGTAAACTTGTCCAAGATGCAGTGGAATCGGCATCCGGTAATTTATTAATTTTTATGTCATATTTAACTTTTTTTCAGACTATGCCAAAGGGCATACGGATACCAAAGATGATATTGCTAAGGAACTTGACAACGTTGTCGAGGTAAACAATTTTTTGATCGATTCAAAAAATAGTCATTTTCTAAAGTAATTTTTATTAATTTCAGTCCGCTGATGATCTGAAAGACGAAGGTGTCGATCTTCTCGGCGACTTCAAGGACAATGTTCAAGACACTCTTCAGAAAACTACGGACGGACTCTCGGACTTTGTTTCAAATGCTGCTGAAAAGACGCAAGAGGCTGTTCATGATTTTGTTCAAGATCATCAAGTCTCGACGCCGGAACCGGCTAAGAACGTTGCTGGTAGCATGATTCCTGATATTCTATTAATTCAAATTTGTTTGTTTAGACAATCTCGTTGATTTTGGGCACGAGGTCTCTCAAGCTGCTCATGATGGTGTTGAGACTATCAAGCAGGACGTCGAGAATGTCCATAACGAGGTCGATGATTACTTGAGAGATGTTCACCGTCAACCATCGCCTCCACAAGAATCCGAGGAGGATCACATTGGTGGAAGATCCGACGATGTTCCACACTTTGGACAGCAAACCCCAGAAGAAGAAGAAGACACCTTCAATCGTAAGGGCCCATTGACGATTCCGGAGCTTCCGGAGAAGTATGACGAGTTCTCCGACTTTGATACAGTTGCTGCTACTGGACAGGCTCTTGGAGCTCAGGTTGGAGCTGCTTTCAACGAGTTTGAAGATGAAGAGTAAGATTAAAAATGGAAAACAATAATATTTAAATGCAATTCTTTATAGAAAGTTCGAGGCTGTTCCACGACCGCCAACTCCACCAAAGGATATTAGCGATGAGCCGGTTCAACCATCGGTTGTCGATCTTGGACCTCCAAGAAAACATTGTAAGATATTTTGACGTTCAAATAAATGGCAATAGAAATATTGGGCCAGAATTTGGTTAAACCAGGTTACAAATAATTGTTGTGCAATTTGAGTTTGAACTATTTGTGCCGAAAATGAGCGTGATATTTATCTTTTGAAATCCTCCGAAAATCGAAATTTAAAAAAAGCAACACGGAAAAGATAGTTCTCTCCAAACAAAAAATGAATAATCACATGATTTTTATTTTTTGCTAAATTGTATTCAAAGTCGCGTTATTGAATAATATATCTGTTTGTTTGCACTCTTGCGATTTTTTATTATCGTTAACAAATTTGTGAAATTCTCATAAAAGAAACAATTTTCAGCTCATGCTCATTCGTCAACTCCTCATCACTCAATTCTGAAGAATTCGCCGAGCTCAACGCCATGGGTTGATTTCAAGTCGGTGGACCCGCGCGGTTAGTTTCCATTTCATATTTACTAAAGTCACAAATATGCGGAATGGGTAGCCGTTTCGGGGTCGACAGGATGCGTTTAATTTGGTGCCGTCGTTGTCGATTCGAAATACAGCGAAGAAGGAGATGAGAGTTAGAGGGAGTTATATCGAATTGCGAAATTTGCGGCATGCCCCATAATAGGCAATGGGTTAGACTAGGCGGGAGGTCCGAAACTGGCCGCACACTTTAGTCCTCAGAATATTTTGCGTTAGTCGCTCTCTGCTCAGAAGGCGGACAACAACAACAACAACAATGCAACGAAAGCGAATAATTGTGGTGGGCATCGGGTAGACATGCCTTACTTGGCACAGCTCCAAGCGTGTGTGGTGGCTCGCTGGAATAGCGAGACTAGGGAAAGGGGTGGAGACGCCAGATGGGTGCTGCTGGTCACATGGTGCAGTGCGCCAATCGCGCGCACGCGCGAGATACTGCCATTTCATTTTGCTACCCCCGTTTTTGGTGTTACAATCTTTGGTTTTCTCGATTAATTTACCACCTCATGCATTTTTTTCTATTTTGTTAATCTATTCAGCGTTGGGAATCTCATCTTGAATATTTTATACTTTTAAGCTGCCTTCAATTTTTTGAATAGAAAATATTGCTCTAGGAAGCACTAAAATCCTCGGCATTGAAAGTAAATTTCTGTTTTGTTTACTTCTAATTTTTGATATATGAAGCTCGATTAGACTAGCGTCTTACGAAAAGCAAAAGAACATCATTCATCTTATGGGATTGTTGAAAAGAATTCCGAAGAATTGCGCACTTTTGCCACAATTGAATCATTCTTGAAAAGACAACGAAAAACCTTTCCACTACTTACTTGGCATGCAATCAACCCTCCAAGATAAATATATTTTCCTATTTTCCTGATTGTGAATGCTCGCGGCGCTTAATCCGGCTCATCTGGTAGTGCCGTGCGCCGTCTGCCCCATATATGGGTGGCAAGTAATTAGGCTGAATGTTTACCGCATGCACGAGGTCGACAATTTGAGGTAATGAAGCACTGAATAGGTAACTGGTCACTTGCATTTCGAATTTCGCGTTTGGCATTCGCCACTTTTAGAAAGTTTGTTGCGAATTATTCAAAAACGTCGGCGACTTCTGGCGTGCTGCTTCGGCTGATGCTATTAGTCATTCAAACAAACGCGCGCCCTCTGACACAGAGGCAGGCAGACACTCACAAAAAAAATGAGCAATTTGTCATTCGTCTTACCCGCCATTGTTCAGCGCATATTGAGTGTGAAAATGGACAAAAGGATGAAAAGATAGTTAACATTTTGGAGCCGCACACGCGGCGCAATTTTAATTGAATTTTACGGACCACGATGCTAATATTATGGAGAAATGCTTCATTTTGCCAAAAGGCCAAACATTTGTCGAAACGAATTTTTGGGAAAATAGCGGCACTTCTAATAGATTGACAAATATTTCAAAATTTAGTGAAACTACAGTAATAAATAACTTGGGTCTCGGTGTGCTGTTGATTCTTTTTTAGGACGAATACTAAAAGATATCCAAATAGGAAATCAACGATTTTAATTAATATGATCAAATAAATTATGTTTGATCTATTTATTTGATCGGAAATTTCTTGTTTTTTTTTTACTCAAAACTTTGAAACATTGAAAGAGTTTTGCGGCCATGTGCGCAAAGTTTATGTAAAATGTTTTTTATAAATTTGCCTCAACGTCAATTTTCATCAGTTTTTACTCACAAATTGCATCAGAAATATACGATTCACCTTCTTTTCTTTTTTTGTTTACATAAATCGATAAGCTGGGAAGGAAAAAAACCTTTTTGAAATTCTTCCATTATAATATTTGTGCCAATAACCTTCTATAGGTTTTGTGTACTATTTATTAAATAATTATATTTATATAACCCATCTAGTTATTCACGTGTTTTTTTCGATTATTATGCAATTTCGACTCCGCACACACTCTCAGTGAAGGTCGTTTTCGCAACTTTATGTTTAGATACGTATATTTTGCATAGTTTGGCGCAGTTTCTCGTCCGTTGGGAGTTGTCATCTTGAATGTTTCACTATTCTTCATGCTTCTTTACAATCGTTATTTTTATTTTCGTCTCGCTCGTCAACTATACTTCTTCACTTTGGATTTCAACACGTTTTGCAGACGATGAGCAAAACTGGCGCCGTCGGTCGCGGATTGTACGCGCTTGTCGCGTTTTTTGTAAACTGGACGCTTCGCATCGGGATGAATGTGTCATTGGCGGTGTCGGTTGTGATGACCGTCTACGCGGTGACACAGTTCTCGAAAGAAGCGCTTAAAGAGAGAAAAGAGGGTTGGTTTCGACGTTTCTTTTTTTCCGAAAATCAGATGGTTCTGTATGTTGGACGTCTTTGAAGAATCGTCTTGATCAGAGTTGGCTGGATTTTCGCCAAAGATTCGTGAATTCCGGGGATAAATGTTACTTCAAGCTTAAAATTTTATTATTTTTCATAGAAATTCTTCAAAATTGAGGCGAAACCTTAAAATTATTATTTCTCAGTGTGAACAAATCGATTAGGCCCAACTTTTTTTCGCTGATTTTTCGGGAAGCTATTCGTATTCCGCATTTTGTCATTTCTTTCTATTCTGCAAAACATTTGAATTGAGTACTGTTTTTTTTTAACAAATCACCGATCATTGTGCGACAAAAAGAGCAAGCATGATTTTAAAAATTTTAATTTCTTTTTTTTGGAAAAGCGGCAATGCATCAAATTGACCGACCTACGGAACTTGTGTAATATAGTCGAGTGAACATATACATAATCTAGCTGCCGCTATAAATTGACCCGCTAATGCGGAATAGATAAGAATCGGCCGCAAGTTTTTTGCGTGGTGCTGTTCGACACCCGGAACGAATTGGAATAAGATTATCGTTATTAATAAGTGAGACGGACTTTTTTGTTGCAATCCCATTATAAATGTAGCGAGAGTGCCGTTTCTGCTGTATTGCTGTTTTTTTTTTTTTTTGAGTTGTGTATTATGAGTTGCGGGGGTCCCGTCCGAACCACCGTCTCCGCTATCGTCAAGGGTCAATGTCGGTCTCGTTTTTCGGAAAGTCATTGTCGAACTGCAAGCGATGGTGAATAGCACACGTCGGACGCAAACGTAGACCGTCGCACACGGTAGATAGTTTTTGGCGCGCGGAGGGCGTTCGACTGTCACAGATCACAATGTATGGTGTCTGCATTGTGTGCCCGTCCTCCCGGGGGCTGGAGGTGGAGACAAATATATCATTCGGAGTCGTCGGGTTTGCGATCAGTCCGTTTTGGTGAACAACAACGAGAATGGCACAACCGAAATATTCGTCGCGAAAAATCCAAAAGGTCGCTTATGTGCCGAGAACCGATTTCGTCGGTAGAGGTTAGTTTTGTTGTTGTTTTTGTTGTTTTTGTTGTTTTCTTGCTGCTGCCCCTTCTTCTCTTTTGCCTTCCTTCCTTCCTCCGAGCGATATTTGCCACTTGGCAACAGGTGCTCTTGGTTGTTTCTGCCGATTCGTGATATTCTGCTTTCTAGCTTTTTGTTGATATGACACCAGCGAAAAACACATAATAAATGGTTTGTTTATTTCACCAGAAATTTAAAGTTTCTCTCCATTGACTAGTTTTCCTATTTGGGGTAGAAATAATTGCCTAATAACCGGGATTTTTTGCTAGGCTGTCGTTTTTTGCACTGGATTTTTGAAGGTTTTCTAGGAATTTTGGATTTAATTGTGCCAGTGAAATATGCAATTTTGACCCCCCCCCATAAATTGTGGTTGATGTGGAATTGCGAAGAAATTTTGGGTTAATCGATATCATGCGAATTTCGGAGGTGATTGGACCAATTTTGGCGGCCCGTCGTCCTTGAGATCAGCTAGATTAGTTTTATGTATGGTTGAATGTCCTCGATAATTTTTTTTCCTCTTCTGAGATTTTTGATCTTGCAATAAAGCATTCGCGCGCGGCATATCGTAGAGTTGGATTCGATTGACAGCAGTGTGAACGACATACATTCAAATCGAACCTTATCTATGAGAATGTAGATGGGTTGAGTGTGGGAGGGGACAAAGTATAAGGACGAACAAACTCAATTTAATAGCAATTCAATAATTTAATAAAACAATTGGAATTCTTCAGTTCTCGACATCATCTACTGGCGCGATCCAAAGAAATCAGCTGTTGCCCTCTCGCTCGCCTTGATAGCCTTGTTTGTTCTTGGCAAGTACCCAATCCTCTCTGTGCTTGCCTACACCGGACTCGGCGTTCTTGCCGCCACTCTTGGATTCAGGTATTTGATTTGATCTCTCTATATTGATTTTTTTTATTTATTGTGTATTGTATTCAGAATCTTCAAGACGATCGAGGCTCAGATTAAAAAGACTGGTGGTGAGAATCCGTTCCAGGAGATTCTTGCCGAAGAAATCGCCCTTCCACAAGAGAAAGTTCACGCTCAGGCTGATGTGCTCGTTGAGCATGGAACGTATTTGGCGAATAAGCTCAAGAAGATTGTGTTTGTTGAAAGCATCCTCGAGTCGGCGAAATTCGGACTTATCCTCTGGTCGTTGACCTACATCGCCTCGTGGTTCTCTGGATTCACCTTGGCTCTTCTCGGTAAGATTTTGGTTCTTGAAAATGATTTCGAAATTCAAACGTCACTAAATCCCCTTCAAACTGGGTTGTGTTATTCTTGATGCGTAAAAGTATACAATGACGACATTTCTGAACCTTTTCAAAGAAGATAGAATCGTTTTCAGGAGTTATTGGAGTGTTCTCGATTCCAAAGATTTACGAGACCAACCAGGAAGTCATCGATGCTAACCTTGCGCTCGTCTCCGGACACCTTCAGAATGTTCAGAACATGTAAGAATCATTTCATACAATATTCTGATTGCTTATTAATTTGTTGCAGGCTCGAGGAGAAACTTCCATTCCTTCGTCGTCCAGTTGCCGCCGAAGAAAAGAAGGATCAATAAGAGACAATGTACTGACCAATTTCCGCACTTTGACGCCATTTTCCAGTTTTACCTAATTTCGAAATTCGCACAATTCTAATACTTTTTGTATGACTGCATTTTAGCTTTTGTCGCAGCTTGACCCAACCCACAAAACACCGTTTCCTGTCCATGTTTCATAAATATCAGGCTTCTTATGCGTGTCTTGTTCTACAATTTGCACCATTTGACCGAACCAGCACAACTTCTCCCAAACAAATTGTTCATGATGTAGAAATGGCCTAGTATCCATTAGCTTTCCGCAAACGCAAAAAAACGCACACTAACGATTTTCCCTATATTATTTAAGCATCTTTCATTATTTTGTTATGTATATCTTGTCAATTTTAAGATAAATAAGTTATAAACTGGATATTTTTTTTCCGTTTTCCTAAATATTTGTTTCTGAATAGGCATTTGATGGTGAGTTTGGTCTCAGAAAAATTTATTTGAACGCTACAAAGTCAAATATCGTACAAAATATATGCATAATTTGTTACAAATTATTATTTCCAAATGATTAGTATGGAAGACGTTCCAAGCAGTTTTTGAGGGTGTGTCTGAAATTGGAATATTTTTTGATTCTTCTTATGCTCCTTTAAAGATCATACTGGATTGGGTATGGATTTGAAGCCGCTTGCCATGATTCCTTCTCATCGAATTGCCAATAACCTTGCTTGACATCTGGAAGCGGTTCTCTGGCAACGTTCTCGAATAATCTGAGCTCGGCCTCATGTGATTCTGGATCGGTGTATTGGGTGGTGGTGGTCGTTGTAGTCGTTTTCCTGGAATAAAAATAGCTTTACGCTGCAATCCGAAATGGCTAACTTGATTGGAATCTGGCCGCGATCATCGAGAAGATGAGCGGCGTAGCCGCAATGGAATAGAAGAAGACCGACGATGAGGAGGATGAGCGCGAGTGGGATGAGAGCGGACGCGCTGGAATTAATAGGAATCGTTGGAAACATCTTGGACAACCTACACTCCTGCACATTCGACTGCGATACAAGTGAGAAGCATCGCCAGAAGGATAATGACACCAAAGAAGAAGAGCAAGGTTCCAAGAATCAAAACGCATTTTCTGAAAAAGAAAATGATTGAAATATTATTTCAAAAATTAAAGTTTTGGTTAACCATTTAAAAATTGTTTCGAGTGATGGAGAAAAAATAAAAAATGAAAATTTTTTTCGGCATTGGCCCATGCAGAAAAGCAAAACAAAAATAAAGGAAAAAGCAGTGTGATTGGGATGATTGAAAAATTGAATTGTACTTTTGTTTGGCTTTAGCTTTTGAGATTTTCTTCTTTTTTTATTACTAACAGGGATTGAATGATATCGGAAATATAGAATAACTTATTAATTGGTACCATATTGTGTGATAAAATGAGAATTGTTCTATTCTGCCATTGCTGTAATAAAATTTACAAACCCTACCATCGATATTGTATTGCAATGAACATAAAACTAACATTCCCATTCCTCTTATAAAGGAAAGAGGTCACTTTTCCTTCAGACCCATAAATCACATTCGATTCTAATAAGGTATTTTAATATTAGGTCTCGATGATTTTTGAAACCCTACGGCATAATTATAGGTTTTTTGAGAGACACCACCATAGATCGCAGTGTATGTCAGATTTTCTAAGAAACGAGGGGGGGGGGTTGGTATGATTATAACAAATGTCGAGAAAACTGATAAAAAAATGATGATGAGAGGAAAATGCGCTTACCTTGCTGGCCAGATGCCCATATACGCCGGTAGGCATGGGAAGCAGAAAACCGGCGGTGCTCGTCGCGAGTACCACGGCACATACTCGCCCTCGGTCACCAATTTCACCATGTTCCTGCAACAGGAAAAAAAAAAACAATCTCAATCAAGTGCGAGTTCGCCCGGGGTGCACATGTTTTTGACATTACACTAAGACGTTGATTCTCGGGAAGAAAAGAAGAGGAGGAAGGCGACTATTCAATAAAAATGAACGAAGAAAAACAGAGAATCTGAGAATTTGTTTTAAGAAAAATGAATGAAAAGAACGCCTGTGAAGAAATTGTGACGATTAGTCATGAATCATAATATATTTTTAATGAAAAATAACAATGTTTCTGTTTTTCTAGGTGTAACCATTGTGTTGTATGCTGTGTCGAGTCAAAATACATAGAATTTTAAAGTCTTAACAAAAGTTAGCAAAGAAAAATGATAATCAATTTTTTTTTTTGGCAAAAAGGGAATTTTCAAAAACAGAGAACTATAATTTTATTAGAATGAATATAACATTTTTAAATTTAAACAATACTGAGAATCAAATGATACCGGATGCCTCTACGTTTAGGTTCAAGAAGGAAATATGTGAAAATGAACTAAATCGGGACAATTGCGATCATCAGAAAGCCAACAAAAATCGATGAGCAGCTTGCTATCAGTGGAGGCGAAGGAGAAGCACAGATCCGCTGTGCTCGATGCTTCTTGGTTTACAGCAGAAGCCATGCGATTGCTCGCCTATCACACACTCACGCAAACCAATATCTCATCTCCTCTATCTGTCGAACTTCTCGAAGTATTTTACAGATGTTGGATCGGCGAGAAATTCTTGTGGGAGGATGTCGAAAGAAACGCACGCACAGAAATATTGAAAAACCTCGGAAATAACTCAATTATTTTATTGGCGAGTATTACTGACTCGTATTATAAGGGAAACGCCGAATTTGACAAATATTGACACGATTTGTTCGAGGGTGAACAATTGTTTTGAATAAAATCTGAAAACCGTTAAGTAAAGGGTGAGAAAATTAATTGATACATTATTATGCACTATTTGTGAGCTAAAAATTCGGATATTGATAATAATATCACGATTGCAACGACATATGCGCGGTAATGTGTAATATTCTCGAGATGCCGATCGAGAATTAATCCGAGAATTCGCTAAATTTCAATATAAATTATTTTCCTTTGACATATTCGAAGTTCTTAAACGTTTGCTTGCAAAATTTATTCAGATTTCCAATTGAAAATTGAATTATTCAAATTCGTGTCGCCCTTAAAAAAAAATTCACACTTTTGTAGCTGGCATGCGCCGTGCAAAATTGCGTTATGTGTTTGCAGATTCTCAAAAATTCAAAAAAAAACTTTTTCACAACTTTGTCTTTTTATTTTCTACTAAAATATGCGGTCTAATATTCGAATGAGTATTTTATAATGAAAATTATGTTCTGCTAGAATAATAGGTTAGTTAAATTTAACAGCAAGAAATTATAATTTAAGGGTAAGTTCGAAGCAAACACATTTTTCATCGAATTCATTGACGCATTTATTTTTGCTTCGAAAATATAATAATTTTATTTAATAGATCTTAATTTCCAAATATATTTTTGTTTATTCTCTGTTTGCCCATCATTTTTGGTTTACACACAACCGTATTGGGTCACAAAACCACAAAACAAACCTGCATATTCTGTTTGCGGTAATGCTTCGTTCTACTGTTTGCATCCAAAGAAGCTTCTTTTTGTGTCGGCAGTTTGTGTTGATACGCAGTACTCTTCTTTCTCGCATAAAATATACCATTGACCTTTTATGTACTCTGCTTTTTGAAGTTCTTTCGTATTAAATGCTCCAGCAGAATTTTGGTTGTAAATCAATAATAGTTTGAACTTGAACCTCATATGAGATGGATCAATTAAGAACCAGTCAGTTCCAGTATTGAAATCATCTCGCTTATGGATTATCGCGATGCGACTCGAATTGTTTGCACTTGTGAACGCTTGAAGGAGCCGCTTTGTGGCGTGGCGCTAATTGAACATATTGCGCGGGAGCCGGCTGGCCGCGCATCGCGCACTTTCTCGGCTTATCAACAATGAACTTGCTTCAACTTTGATTACGCATTAGAATTTACGCTGCTGACTTGCCCGTTAAATAGTTATTGGCGTCCCTTCGTTGTAATGTTTTGTGCATTGTCACCTCTGCGCACAATTGTTGCTTCGAACGTTCGACGTGGGAACATTATTTATCATTTCCACTCTCTATTTCTTTTTCATCTGTCACCAAGTTCAATTACGAAAAAGATAATTCCACCATTTACCAAAGGTTTTCAAAAATAAACATTTCTCGCAAATTCTCATTTCAGAAAATTTGTAATTGAAACCAACTGTAAAGCAAGTTTTTACATGTTTCAAATTTAACTTCCGTAATTCGTCACACGATTTCCAGAAGAGGGCATGATTTTCTTTAAAAACGATTCTGACAAATGCTCGAAAATGTCGTCTGCCGTTTCGTGTATCGATCATAATATGACTTGTTGCTGTTCGCGGCCTTGTTCTCCTCCAACTTTGATGTTTTTTTTTATTATCGTTCGCCACTGACCACATGTACATATTTGGCGCGGTTTTGTCGACTTCTCATTATAATTTGGCTCATCGTGCACCTTTTAATGTTAAGTTTTCTCTATTCTCAATTTTCTTTTTTTATAGCACTCGATTCTACCAAAAACTGGTGTCGTAGTTTTCAAACGTAAACACCTTACCCGCTTATTCAAACTCCTTATAGAATTTGAGTATTCATGCGAGCGAAATGACCCTAATTTTTGCATCATATCCTACCATCCCCTTTTTGGTCATTTTTTGTCGAAACCATTTTGTTGTTTGCATAAGGAATGCACGCAATGCGATGCGTTCTCTCCTGCCAGGAAATCTCATCGCAATCCCGCGAAATTCATTCATTTTCTTTTGAAAAAAAGTTAATTCTCTTTTTTTGGGGGTCGTTTTTCGGAGTAGCCTTGCCGCCAAAGAACATTGAATTCCTGTGCAATATCACATTTTTCTAGCTGATACGTTTCGCCGTTCAATCTTATAAAAAAATGCAATGGTTTTTTTTATTGGGAACAACATAAAATGTACTTCAAGTTTCGAAATGTTTTCATTTATTTTCGAAAATGGTCAAATTTGAAATTGCCCACAGAAAACTAATTTTTCGGTTCTTATATGAAAACTCATACAATTAGGAAAATTCTTCACCTTGTCTAAGTAAGATATTGCAAAATAACTTAATTTTTAAATCAAAATTTGAAAAACATCTGAAAACTGGTTTAGATTAGTTTTCTTCGCAAAAGTTTGCAAAATGATTTGCAAAATCTTAGTATGTAGAACCGTTATATTTCATGGAAGTAATTAAAAGACGTGACGCGAAAGTCACCATTTTCAAAATCGTTCACTACAATTAAATGAAACAACCACCGCGCGCGCGCCTTTGTTGTTTATTTGTTATCTATGCTTTACCGAAAGTGCGAAGATCGAAATTTTGGGTCTATTAGAAACCACACCTACTTTTTAACCCCCACCCCTGCTATTCCACCCCGACTTTTTAACCCCGACTTTTATTTATGATACCACCCCCACTTTTTCACCCCCAATTTTTAGGTTTCACCCCTACTTTTTCACTGCACTTCAAAATTTGAAGTTTCTAACAGTAATGTTTAACAGTAAAATTTTTTAATATTTTCGATAATTCAAGTTATCAAGAGGAGATTCGCAGGACTGATGTCTAGATTTTTCAGAAACTATGTAGCGTTCTTATGAAAGGTTGACGTTTTGACAAAAGACGAAATTTTTCTGAACCGGGTTTTCCGAAAATAGTTAATTTCTTGTTAAAATTGTCAACCTTTCATAAGAACACTACATGTTGTCGGCGTCAAACGACTGAAGGGAGGCGGAGCCTTTAAATTCGCGAAATTAATGTAGATTTAAACTAATCGTTGACTGAATATTTAATGCGCGTAGGCTATAATGCAATGGACGCAATCTCGCTGCCTCGAGACGCATTGGCACATAGCCAATTATTTTTTTTTAATTTCTTCAAGTCGTTTGACTTCGACAATAGTTTCTGAAAAATCTAATTTAGACATCAGTCCTGCGAATCTCCTCTTGATAACTTAAATTATTGAAATTATTAAAAAATTTTACTGTTAAACATTACTGTTAGAAACTTCAAATTTTGAAGCGCAGTGAAAAAGTAGGGGTGAAACCTAAAAATTGGGGGTGAAAAAGTGGGGGTGGTATCATAAATAAAAGTCGGGGTTAAAAAGTCGGGGTGGAATAGCAGGGGTGGGGGTTAAAAAGTAGGGGTGGTTTCTAATAGACCGAAATTTTGTCACCTATCTGTCTTCGAAAATGTATTTTTTGGAAGAATTCGTCAAGTTAACAAAAAAACCATAATGCGGATAATTAAATGGAGTGAAAACGTACAATCAACCTCGCATTATCCCGTTTTCGAAAACTGACAACTGTTCCATTCATTAGCAGCAGCATCACCGAAGTTCCATTAGGCGGCTTTCAAAATACGTCAGCCGATTTTGCTGCTGATGCGGGAGACGGTGTGGATGCAAAGTGTTCGTTCGTCGCACATTATTTCGTCAATTCGTTCGCTCATCAGTGGTGTTCGCTTCGTATTTTTTTTTCGACTGCTTGGGGACACAAAGAGTGTCGTTGATTTGACAGCTATTCGATACTTGGCCGACGACGGGACGACGGCCCTCCGATTTTTTTGTGTCTGTGGCGCCCGCCTTGCGCTGCTATTATGTGACCGCATCGACTTTCGACGGCAATTCGATTTGTCAATAGACGTCGACTTATTCTCTATCAAACTACTATAACCAAGTCGAATAATACGAATAATCTCGAGAAGCTTCTGCCGGTGTTGCCGGCGAATTTCGCAAAACCCAAACGAGCGACCGCCTCGTGTTCCGTATGAGTCATCGTCGCCCTCTGCTACCTCCAATTTGTTCTTCCGTTTCAATGCGACCAGTGGTTGTGATTCTCACGCGCCGCTGCTGCTTCCTGTGGTGATATGGTGACGACGGCGCCCGTGCCAAAACCACGCACCCAATGTTCGTCAAAGAAAGCGCCGGTGCCATTGCCGCGTCGGAACACGTTGCGAAATGTCGAAGTTCGACTCCGACAAAATGCCATTCAGAGAGCCTATCCGAAGCCGATCGTCCTAGAACGACAGTTATTGAATGCTATTCTAGAAGGAAGGCCTAAATCGATTCCATCGGTAAGCTGGGTTTTCTTGATAAAGACCATTATTCGTTTAATTATTTTGAAAAATTTGATTCACAAAATAGTTTTTGTACCCATGGTGTCGAACGATTGCTTGAGTTAAGCTTGCCACTTCGTTCCTTCATTCATGCTAATGTTCGGGCATTTGTATTCTGTGGATTAACACTATTCACGGTATTTCGATAATTTTTAAATGCATTATCCCACAGAGATGCCTTACAATAAATCAATAAACTCTCTGTGTTTTTATTGATCGTCCGTAGCTCGCTGATATATTGTGGGAATCGAACGTTGTTCCTTTTCTTTTTTCATAGTTTTATTCATTTTTCATCGACGCATCTATATATTTTTTTTAAGGTTTTTTTTTCTTTTTTGGTTTTAATTCCTGATACGCGTTCGCACTTCTTATCGCCGTCGTTGATAAATTTGTTTTGACAAGCCCCGCACAACCGCTAAAAGAAAATTAATCATGTGAATCGAGGCATAAAAACGAGAAACGAAAGATTTATAGTTTTATTTCGGAAATTTACTTTTTAAAAGCAGGGGGAATAAAATATTATAAGAATTTAGAAATAACCCTCATTACGAATAATTAAAAAAATTTGTTTAAGCCTATTTTTTTATCAAGCTTTATCAAAAAGTCCAATTTAACAAATCTGAGTTTTCTTTGTTGGAAATGAATGTTTCAAGATTTTGAGTAATATTGATGCTGGAATTTGTGTCTTACAAAAGATTCCCAGATTTTCTCCATATTCTTTGAGTATAAATTTAGTTCTAATATCAATCACGTTATTTTCAGTGTTCGCCGATTCCAGCTTCCAATCAGCACTCAAAAATGTCAGCACGTGCGATCGCCGCGCGATCTCGTTGCGACGGTCGCCCGTTGTCGGCATACGACGAGTCGCCGGAATCGAAACTGAATCGGCGTCGAGCCAGTGTTGCGGTGATGCCACTTATTGAGTTGGAGCAGCGCGATCGAGCCGTTGAGTCGATGGCGATGCTCAGCAATAATCGAACGTAAGTTATACATAAAGCAGTAAGTTTGTATTTTTTGAATGGATGCCGCTGTTGAGGCACACAAATGCGTCATACTTTCGTACATTTGAATGACCCGCCAAAATGTGTAACTATGCGTTCTCTTTGTGTTCCTTTTACGTTCAATTTGGTTTTTATTAGAACTGGTTCGAATAAAATGGAATTCCGATGAAGCTCGTTCTGCAATATTTCCTAATATAACCACCGAAACCGGAAATGTATAGAGCAGCAGAACCCGACGCAATTTTTCGCAGATAATCTCATGTGCTTTTCTTTCAGCTTGAGCCCCGAGTTTGGTGCGATACGCGTTCAAGTTGAAGACATCACTGCGGGACCAAGCGAAATGGAAGATGAGCGAGTCGAGCAGAATCGAGGCGAATCATTCGGTAGGTCAATTTTGATTCTCGATTTCTCATGGCCTCGATATCTACTGTAATTACGAGTATATAGCTGCTGTCATCAACGTTTTAATTATACGTTCGGAAATCTATGAGCGATTGTTTTCGTGTTTTTCATCCTCATTCGCATACCAGTGCATTTCATTGGGGGAGCTGCATATATCATAGCTATCTTTTTTTAACTCCTTGAAATTTAAATTTTTATTCCAAAACGATCTCCTACGTGGTGACATGCAGATTTTCAGGAGAAACATTTTTTAAACACATTCTGCAGTGGTTTTCATAGTTTTTAACCTGTTTCTTTGAGTTTTTTTTTGCAAAATCTGCATGGTTCCAAAGTAAAATGTGCATCTTTCGTGCTCTTAGAGCTCCACACTCATAAAAAAAAACTTATTTTTGTTTTGAATGCCCATTGTTTGGAATTGTTCTCCTCACTTTTTTTCACACTCGTTTTCTGCTAGTACGATTATTTTGAGATTTTTTTCGCGTCCATAATTGTTTATATTCATTTGCACGCGGGTTGTGTTTCGTTTTTCGTTGAACATCACAAATGTTTGAAATTGACCGCATATGCACCTATAAGGTACCATTAGCGACAATCGCGCCTCAATTGGACATAAAAACGCGAATCGGGAAGGTTAACAAGCGTGTGAAATAGAGCGAACCGATGGAACATGAACCCCTTCTCCAGTCATCCAGTCAGTATGCCCACCCGACGCTCTAAAAACATTCCCCAACATATTCCCGCACATTGTGGTGTGACTTTTCGGCTAATCATGCCGCGATGCTCGCTGAAGCGTTGAGTGTTGCTTATTGTTTCAAAGTATCCGGGCGCTGAATTCAATTTTCAGGCGTAATGAATCCTGTATACGAATTGCGTCAATATATCGCGTTTTTCGAGAAAATTTGCCATAAAAATTGAGTTTTTAATGGATCCCGTTGAAATTGCTTGAAAAATTTTCAAACATTTTTCTATTAGGTTAGCTAACATGCATAATATAGGCTATTTTTCTGCATAGTCCAATTCAATATATTTTTGCGGATTTTTTAAATGATAATATCACATATTATGTTTGATATTGAGCGAAGCTTTTCTTTTATATTTGCTCTTGATCGCCGCAATTCACTGACGTTCCACCTATCAGAAATCAAATTTTTGTTTGTTTTCTATGATACTACATGCATACAGATAGACTGGCGGTAAAAAAAATCTGCTCACATCTACTTTTTTGCAGATTCTGAGGAATTTGGCGAAACTTCAAGTGAGACTATTTGTGAGCTGAATCACACCGGCATTGAATTAAGCCGTTTGCGCTCTGACGGCATCGGCGGCGACGGTAGTAGCAAAATGACCTCCGCTGACGGAAAGAGCGGCACGAGAGTCAACGATTTAGCGATTCGGTGCGAATACGCGTCCAGTTCGATTGCTCAAGAACTGTCGGCAACTACGATTGAGGAGGTTTGCGCTTGCTACTTTTCGCTTTGCATATAATCCTATTCATTTGAATTTTTGATTTTGGAATCGTTTCTAAAGTTCTATTTTAAAATGTTAATAGTCGGATGTTCAAATATACAATAAAATATTGCAACATTCGTCGTTTTGAATTTTTTTAGTGAATTTCAAAAATATAATACTTCATTTAAAATGTTCAGAGGCCGCGACCGCCGATTCCAGCGATCTACATGAATACCACGAGCTCATGCTCTCATCGATCGGAAAACGACACCGGCGAAGGCAATTATTCCGATTTCGTATTGCGCCGAAATTCGTCGAATTCGTCACCGATGGGCAAAACTGTCACATTACTTGAGCAAATTATACGAACTCGAAAAATTTGGTAGGTTTTGAAACGAGTTCAAAATTGAGAAAGTGGTTCAACTAGGGGTTTATAGGTTTCTTCCACACTTGGGACGTCCTGAAGTTCTTCACATGCTTCGGAAAATGGATGCAGGGGTAAATTCTAAAAAAAAAATTTAGTTTGTAAATTGCGTTTTTTAGAATTTCATTGTTCGTGCGTCGACTCGCGAGAATTGTATGGCACTGTCGGTGCGACTTCCGGCGAACGCTCAAATCGAAACCGACCACTACATAATCGAGCAGATATTGCTTCCGCTTCCACCGCCCTCAACAGCATCAATAAATGTGGTCAGTTTTATGATCTATAGTCGTTGAGCTCGACGATCAGCATACTTTAATACAAGTTGGATGCGGCGTCGACGAGTCTTTTGATTAATGATTTACTTTTATTGCAGGTTCGCCTCGAAGGCAGTCCCTTAACATTCCGCTCATTGCCATTGCTCATTGAGCATTATTGTGTTAACGGGTCAGTTTTTTTCGGTCTAGATTCTATAAAAACGCGGTTAGTTCAAAGTCAATTGTTTTTGCAATAAATCAAGCCATTAAATCTGTCGAAATCGGCAAACATCGTAAAAATTACAATTCTAGAGAGGAGCTCGAAGTCCGACTCCAACTACCCGCAGCGATCCAGGCTTGCACGACAACGAAACAGTTGCAAAGCATAGCATTGATGGAGCAAGGTGCGTTTCTTTTTTTCTTCTGGATCTTCTTCCAATTGTCCACATTAAATTGATTCATACACACATCTTGTGGGGTTTTGATGACTTTCCGACATCGAATCGCATAAAGTAGTGCCAGATGTGTGTCGGAGTTTTTGGCTCGACCCGTTAGCCCACTTGAAAACGCTTTTCGTTTTTCATTCGTCTAGTTTTGTGTTTCGTTTCATTTCGCTAATATCAATCTGTTGCTTGCCATCTCGGCTAATCAGCTGATAATCATCGACGGTTGTCATTTTTAATTTGGCGAGAAACGCATTTGAAATACGCCGAAGAGGCGGGCGGAGGGGGGGGTTGGGGGGTGATTCGAAAAAGAATTGAACCAGAAGATAATGGGGGCATCGTTATGATTTATAGCAATTTGCGCGAAACGTGGTGGTATTCACCCTTCGATCATCCCGTCCTTGTCCTCCTCATCCGCCCATCAGTTTTATATTTCCTTTTCGCGTTGCCGACGGCAAAATCGATCTTGATTTGGAATTTCAAAATTTATCCCGGTCGAGAATTTGATAGTTATCGTATTTTTATTGTCTCACCTTCAATATGTCCAGCTTTCGCTTCTTTGTTTTTGTTCATCAGGTGTGAAATTCAAACTGCTTCATTTTCGTATTAATATATTTGTTTCTCATATATTCACCGATGTCTCATTTCTCATGTGAATTCGTCATTATGTCAACTTTGTGAATTGTTAGGCGCATGAGAACAATAAGAGATGAACGTTACGTATAGAATGGCGCATACTACACTGAAATTTGATCGTTTAGCAAAAAAGGTATTAATGGCTTTCTTTGCCAATAAATTTTCCAGAATGCCATACTTCTTTTCTCTGTTTCTTAATGGTATCAGTGAAATGCGAATAGTACTCTCTAATTCTGTGTTTTAAAAAATCTTCATTTATTTCATTTTGACCTATGTACAATTTTAATGTTTTTTTTTTCGAGTGAAGAAATTTTGTTTTTCAAACTAATTCATATTATTGATATCCGAAATTGTAACTGTTCTTTATTAATTTTTTGTTAAACTTATCGATGATACATACAATACTCTATTATAATAGTAATCTAAAATCAAAATCTCGTGGTCTATGTGGCTCTTCAAACAACTGATAAATTACCAATTAATTTTCAAGTAGTAGATAATCAAATCTAGGAGTATCTTGCTATAAGAAAAGAATAGTTTTTCACTCTTTTGTATGGGTGATCAATGATTGTCATTATCTACCTGTTGTTCTCATGGATTATCGATTTAGCGGATCGGGATTAGCATTCAGGCTAACGTCCGGCGGAAGTTGCTAGCGGTCATTGTAAGTCCTTGGCATTAACCGCGTTCGAATTGCGCGCAATCTGTTTGTTGTCGAATGGACACTCAATGATCGACCTTGACGTGTTCATAATATTCGCTTTATATATATATATATATATTTGTGGGTATCATCTGACCTTCCGAATCACTCAGATCTCATATAATATCATAATTAGAACTATTATCAGTTTCGTTTTCGCTTCAATTGCTTCTTCGTGTCGATACTTTTCGTGACATTTTGTTGAATCGGGATTTGATTTTTGGCGAGCAAGACTTTTGGGTATCAAATGTCTCGAAAACATATCCAATGACCAGCGGCCCCAAAAAATTGTCAAACATCGTTGTTGTGACATGTGTTTTTTTTTTCGCGTTTTTGACAAATTCTTGCTATGAATTTTTGATTGAAATTCTCATATTTGAGCCGCGTCAAGATAAGTGCACAATTCGTTTTGCAAAATGGCCGGTTGTAAATAAAGAAATGAAGTTTTCGTCAAGATAACACATTGCCGTTGTGATAATGCGCTAGTACGTTCGAAATCAGACTGAACGCGAGGGTTTGATGATGATTGAGGCTCGTGATGATGTGCTTTATTGATTTTTAAGAATGTTTCGAATTATTTCGCTACAAACAGTTTTTTTTTTCTATAAATTTCGAGCGTAAAAGAAATAATCGAATTGTTAAATGTCTCGATCTCTTAGAAACAAAACAAAAATTGATGAATCTGAAATTTCTTCCTATTATTTTGTTGCCAAAAAAATTTGCGACTTTAGTTTTTTTTTGTTTTATGAACATTTAGTTGACTAGGAGTTCTCAATAATTCATTAATTGATTTATCTTTGCAATTTGGTTTGGATTTATATAATTCACGTATTTTTGTTTTAAATTACACGCATTTTTTCCATTTATATTTTGCTCAACCCATTCAGTGACACCACTCATGCTCGATCGAATTAGAGAAAATCAGCTTCAAATTGAAATTACCCATTTCATTCGCCTTACTATTCATTCATAATGGTCCGTTAGTGCCGGCACTTGTCGGTTACGTCATATCCCCGAGCGCTCACACTCGTAAAATGGTGTTAACATGGTTGCGCGCGCTTATATTCCTTTCATGTTAGCAACACTATGAATGTTTCTTCATACCCTTCCTCTCTATACCCATTCATTCTTCATTCTTGATGTCCCATTAGTTTTATGCGATTTATTCGTCTTTTTCAGAATTTTGGACGAGTGAAATGTCGTTGTCGCGAAAGCCGACGCGATTATCAGTGGCATCGTCGGTACGGACCACTCATACATTGCCGAGATGTAATGGTATGGGAGAAATCGGCTTATATGTAGATGTCATTGGGTTTTTTCTAGAGCCTACAGTGTCTGGAAATGTCGAAGAAACATCGACGTGGTTCATGGAAAACGAAAAATCGACGGGTGAGGAGATCGGCGATGAATCGGCCGGAAAGCCGTCGCCGTCTGGTTATTATGCCGTGCATGACACGCTTGCGGCAGTTTCCGATAACAATAATAAGACACGGTTATTAACGATTGACAGGATGGACGACTCGAAAACTTCTGTAACTTTTTTTGAATTTGTTCTTCTCATTTTCAATCTTGTCTGGTTCAGTCGAAGAAGCGACGATCCACTTCTCGTGCTTCATCGTCGTCGTCGAGATTTGCGACGGTTTGCGGTGGAGATATTGGATTTCAGAAGAATCGACCGATGGATGATGAGACGGATAGTGGACTCAGCTCGCATTCACCGCCAAGCAAGCATGATCGCATTGATGATGGTAGGTGGCTCTCACAGATTTTTTTCCGCAATAAAACACCGACTTATTACAACTTTCAAAACTAAATGACATTCGTTAGAATGCAATATTGGGTTTTCATTGTAATTTTTAACGTCATTAAAAAAAATGAAAACGTGTGTTAAATGGTATAAAATCAGTATTTAATTCCCTTTCTATCTAAAAACTTGCAAAAATGGAGAAATCGTAATGTTTTTGGGTAACTAAAATTTGGCATGTTTGACGTAAAATTTCGAACAAGTACGGTATTTGAAAATTTTCGAATTTATGCCAACCTTTTTTTCCGAAAATGAATTGCGTTTTTGTATTTTTGTTCCGGCAATCAAAAAAAAGACCAAAAATCCTTTTGTGGGCGGAGTCATGCATTTTAAATCCCTGTGCGCTCTGTCTTTCTCGCTCGCGCATTCTACAAAATTTTTGAGAAAAGTAGATTTTGGTACCTAATCCTTTCGCCCTCTCCAAATTTCTTTTTTTTTTTGAACGTTGCCAAAACCATTTGGCCTACCATAATTGCTCGCAATCTTTCGTCTTTTATTTTCTGTGTTCTGATGATTCTAACATCTCAAAATATGAATAATAAGCGATGATTATGGTGGCCGAAACGGTCAGCTGTTGGACGGATCATCCCTGCCTTCGTCTCCGATTCATTGTTTGGGTGGCGGAGCGTCGGACCGGATTTATTACTTTCGACTGTTTCTTGTCGGCCGAAAAAAAAAACCAAGAATATTTTTTTGACATAAATGGCCATGTCAGGGCCTAATTGCCGCATGACGGTGTGTTCTTCGTCGTATTTCTGTCATAATAATAATAATAATTTGTCCTTGTCCAATTATTTCCAAAAGAGAAATTGTCGAGAATCGAAAAATAATGGATAATTGCAGAAAAAATTTCGAGAAGTGAACGCAGATCGCAGTCGGTTCGATCGCATAAAAATTGTAAGTCGTTCTTTTCTTTATGTTTCATTATCATCAATTGAAAAGTAAACTGGTTTTTGGGGTCGAAAAAAGATTGTTGAGAAGTTTTATGCTGGAATTATGTAGTTAACATTTTTGAATTCCATTCGGATGAACTGCGCTCAACAACATAATAATCTACATTTGTATATATTCTGTTGCTATAAAATAACTCTTACCGAAATTGCTCGATGTGAGACTCAACACTAAAAACTGCGTGCGCCTTTTCTTACCTATTAAAAAAAAGATTTTCGAAGTTCGAAAATTCCTCAAATTGTCTTAAAAAACACTGATTTCGTGCCCTTTGTATAAAATTTTCAATTATTTCAAAATAAGTCTGGTCATTTTTGAAGCCGCTATTTTTTATCAGATTATAATTTTGATAATCGTCATGGAGATCACGCCTAGGCGAATATTTTTTTACGCGTTTTTCCAAGATGAGCACTTAGAGGAATTCTGTTTTGATGATTGATCCTGCATTTATAGAAATACATAGATTATAGCCAATTACAAATTTTCAAGCAGCTTAATCTTTAGAAAATCTTAAGTTTTTTCTAGGAATATGCTTTTAAAAATTCTAAATTACTGAATTTTAAAATTTCGTTAACTGTTTTCTATTTTACCTTGAATGACGCTAAAAATAGCCTTTCGTTCTTATTCGCTTCCTTATTTGTTGCCTAGAAAATTGATTTGCTTTCTTAATCGAATTAGCATACAGTGCGTTGCCATTGCAGAACAGCTGAGAGTATTAAACAGATGTAATAAATAAAAAATTAGGGCCATTTATGTGCAGTAGTGGGCAACCAGCCAGCCCGGGAAAGAAGCAGCCAGCAGTTGGTCATCGGACGACGCGATTTTGATTAGTGGTTGCGCGTACATGCGTTGAATGTACGTGTGCGTTACACCTCATTATTGTTGTTGAAATTTCGCTCCAATTTTCATTCGCTCATAATTGCAGTGAACATCGCCGCTGGCGCCCCACCCTCATCTTCATCATCATCATCATCGTCGTCTTCGACGAAACCATTGTCGAGTCAAACGATCGCACGCTCTTCAAGACCGAGATCGTTTCTCAGATCGCTTCTTTCGTTTGGCACCGCCAAAGAACAACAAGAGAAGAGGAAGAGTAAAGCAGAAGGTTTATTTTAATATTTTAATTTCTGATATAATTGGAAGTGATACAGAAATCGGTGAACCGAATAAATTGGCTTCTTGTGATTATTTCACACCGTGGGATCGATCAAAACCGACTTTGGTCAAAGTGTAAGTGTTTGGTCTTATCAAATTACCGCATGCGATTTTTTTTGAATCGTGGCAAGACCAGAGACAAAACATTGCAAATCAGGGTAAATTGATCTAGATATGACTAGTAATAAACGAATCTAGCACGCGTTTAAATCAACCCGAGTGTCAATAATCGTAAAACTAGTTATTTCTCAAAATTGACGATATTTGCATAAGCGAATATTTTTGTGGAAGCAATCCTTTTGTGGATCTTGTATGGATAAATCCGGATTTTTTTCTTTGTCTTCATAGGACTTCCAGTATTTATTATGAAATAAAAAATCATTAGTTCATAGAATTCAGAAATCGAATATTTTGCTCAATACGGAAAAATTTTTTATTTTTTAAAATTCTCCGTGCCAATATTTTTTATTTCCAATCTCTATACCAAAAGTGATACTAGTTCAATGAAATCACACCGACTGATTTTTATGTTGACTCATTTATTTGTCGTATTCGCTTGATTGCCGACCAACCAGCTAGTCGGAACAATGATAAAGATGAACAGATGAGGGATGTTGAGACTGATGATATGAAACGAGCAAAGCAAGGCAATTAATTAACTCGCTGCCGGTTGGTGTCGTGTCATATCAGATGCTCTTTTTTCGCTTTTCGCCGTCGCACCGATTGCAACTTTCCTTCTTTCTCGATGCGAAGTTCTTACGACCCAGCGGCGGCTAAGCGAGATAAAAATTAATCGTTTTGATTATTTTTATTTCGGCGAAAACTCTAGCGCGTTGTTGGCGATTTATGTGAAGTGCCGCCGCGTGATTTGTGGCGGCTCGTTAGATCATTTAGAAGCTCACACGAACCGAATGGCAAACGTCTTTTTTTTTATTAGCTTTCGATCGGTTTTCATTAATTGATTGAGTAGCCAATTATCATGGCGTCGGTGTTGATTTCGTGGTGCTGGTAAGGTTGTTTTGGATTCGATTCTTTTTTTCATCGATGATTGTTTAATAAACTCAAGTTATTTTCAGCTCGCGATCAGCGTTTGATATTGCGAATCCGCCGGCTAGAGGATTTTTCGCCGGGTCGGGAAAGAAGCGCAACGGGAGTGATTCACACGGTGGACACACGTTCCGAAGCAACGTTGATATTTTTGACGACGACAATTATACTAAAGGCTGGAAGGTAGTTATTTTTTCCAAAAAATAACATGTACGTATAGAGTAGCTGAGAATTTTATTATTTCGGAAGATTGTCTTTAAAAATAAAACTGTTTGGGTGAGTTTCGATCCAGAGTAACTCGTTGCCGACATTTTTAATAATTGATTTTGAAAAGCTCTGAAGTTCGTTTTTGACGAGATTCGCTCAAAATTACTTATCACATAAGACATGTGTATCCTTGTTTGAACACAACCTTTCAATCACTTCCTAATTAGTTCATTATCGCAAAAAAAGCACCAACATATGACATAATTGACAGTTTAGACGTTTATTTAATAAAATAACACGACGAGATGGTTTTTTAAGAAAAATTCGTTTAAAAATTGGAAATTTTCCAGGAAATTGCCAAAAAAGAAATGACGACGGCGAACGCATCTCCTGGAGGCAAATCAACGCGCTCAGAATCAATGAAGACGTTCAAACCATCGTCAGTATCTTCCTCGTCATCAACGCACGACGAAGGTGATTTTTGAGAATTAGTAGTAGTAAATGATATCTAGCGAGGTGTCATTCTTCGCTCGTTCCGTTTCCATGTGTAATTGATGATTAATGCATATCGAACCGCATCACATTTCTCTTTTCGATGTTTTTTTGTGTCGTCGTTTTCGGCCCGCCGTGTTCTTATTCGCCTTTTTTGTTTCGCATTATTGTGTTGCAGTTGTCTCATCGCGATCCAGGCCGTTGGCGATGCGGCGTGAGCGCAGCGATTTGTGCGCGACGTCGTTCGCACCCATCAAAAGCAATGTTCAAAGGCTCGCCTACCATAATGAGAGCAGTCCCGGACCGGCGACGCATGCGACATCAGGTAAATAGCAGCATTGGCTGCTCAGTCCCCCTCATTTACCATTAATTAGTATTTATAGGACGCAAACCTATGACACCGCCGATAAATGCAAATGATCCGCAGATTGTGAAAAGTTGCGTGGACGAGTTGCGAAGAAAACGGTGAGAATTTCAATTTAAAAAATCACTATGTTCCTTTCACATTTAATGTTGTCTTAGGCAGACCATTTCTGAAATCTGAAATAAACCTACAGTAACCATAATTCGATTTTTCCCGAATAATTTCGATTTTCATTCAACAAAATGTGAAAACGATCTTAGTTTATTTTTTCGAGTGGCTATTTTTATTGACAAAACTACTTCAGTCTAATTCTCTTAAAGTGCAAAATTTTGGTTTATTTTTGTTGGAAGTTCATTTGACTCACAAAATCAGGTTTTTTAAGGGATCTCAATAGGGAACTCTATCAAATTTATTATATTCAATTGACTGTGCCCCAACCGTCAAAAAATAGATAATAAAACTGGAGATACTTTGTCGTTTGACGATTCGCATATTTATTGATGATACACATTCAAAACTGTTCGTGCCTGTATTCGTTTCGTTTGTGTAGTCATCTTCTTTCTGTCTTTTGACGGTATTTGGGGGCTGTTTGTATAGGTTGTTGCGCAATTCGAGACTTGCGGGTTTTCAATGAATTCGGTTCGCGTATTTCATTCAAGTGTTATGCAAATTTTGACTCGGTGTCACTATTGTGATGCTTGCCTCCACGCTCATTTCACTTTTGCCCCATCGGACCCCATCACTGACTCACCTTTTGCCCGGATTTTGTGAAATTCATCCTAAAATTTTTTCCGACCTCTACTATTTCTGATATACATGTTATAACCCAAAACTCCATTTTTGGTCTTTAATTTATCCAATTCTTCTAGATTACAATCTACAAATGAAATGTTGATGAATCGTGAAGAAGCTGGAGGAACGCCGAAAACTGATAAAGAAATACACAGTGCTCACGCGAGCCCGCAAATTGCAATGAGGTAATTATTTTTTGCTCTGGTTAACCATCAAAAAATGCATTGGTCCCTATTATTTGCTTTTTGCATTTATTAGAAGTTTGAAAGTCTTGACTAATTCTTTTACTAAATCGTTGCATATGAATAGTGAGTGAGACACTGTGTAAAGCATTGACAAATATTTGAAAAACAGATTTCTGACGCATCAGATTTTGGCTTAAGTATGTTCGCACTGCTGTATGAAAAGCAAATGAAACAAATTTTGCGGAAATGTAATATTATAAAACGATTTTATTGAGATGCCTAACATTTTTTTAGAATCATATTTTTCGTACGGCACTATGATTTTTACGAAAAACAGTGTGTAACTCTAAAGTTTTGTCGCCTACTTACTTTATTGTTATTTAATACGTTTTGAAATATTTTGGGCTTCGTAATTTTATTCCACCTATTAAAGTAAAATTTGGATTATCGCCTCAAAAAATGCGATGCTTTAAAATTATTCAATTTTTATGATAGCAATAATATTTAGAGATAAAGGATTTTAAGTGCTTGTTTTCTACAGTCTTTAAATCAATTTAATATTTTCACAAATTCAAAGTTATTCCAAAATTCAGGCGGAAGAATGGATTCCCTTCCCCTTCCTCAACAAACTTCAGCCGGTCTGGATTCGCTGGAATCGATCGAACTCGCGGAGCCGAGCATCGTCTCTCTGTTCCGAATTTGGTCATGGCTGCTGATCCAATGGTCCCTGGAAGTGTTGGGCATTCGGCGAAGGCTCTTCGAGAGCGAATGGCTCGAAATAACGATGGTGAGCTGATGGTGATCAATGAAGGTCTCATCACGCCGGTGGTTCGTCGAAAGAATTTCGAGCTCGACAAAAAACAGGAGACGAAAGTCGCCGAAGTCGAAGGTGTCTCGGTGGCAGCTGGCGAAGTGGCGAAGCGGCGAGAAGTGAGTGCTTTAATGGAATACTCGACAACGAATTATCGCGCATTGTTTTGTAGGCACTCGAATCGCTAATCGAAAAACGAAAACAACGCCAACAATCGGACGCGATGTCGAGCGGATCGTCGGATCAATCATCGCTTGGAAGGAAGTATGTGTGAATGGTTTTATTGGTAAATTCGCGCAATATCTGTGAGAAAAAATCAGAGCTCGTAAAAATCGAATTTGGCGGTAGATGAGATTGCCAGAATGAAGAAAACGAATGAAGGGGGATAGCTTTTTTTGTTACATATAGTTGAGAATCGAAAAAGACTTTTTGAGACCAGTGTCGGTTTGTAACGTTGCGGTTTTTCAATTAGTTTTCAATTGTTTTTTTTTCGTTATTGACATTTCTCAATAGAAAAAGTTAATATTTCAAATACAACAGTTAGAAAAGTTTGGACGTTTCCAAAAAAACATTGTGGAGAAAAAGAATTTATTTAAAATTTCATTGATATTTTTTACATAGAAGTTACTACATAGAATATACATAATTATTTTCAATTTGGTTTTTTCCTGTTCATTACGATCTGCATTCAAATTTTTCGATGGTCCCACCGCATCTCATGTCATTTAGACGCAATGAAATTGATTTGATCTACATCATCTCATTTAAATAATGCTTTTTGAAGGAAGACAATACACCGATGTTTGCAATATATAATTTTGCTTTTGTGATTTATTTATTGTTTGCGCTCGCCTTGGTTCAGCTTCTTCTTATTCTTCTTCCCACATCATGTCGTTGTTTGACGCTCGTGCTCATTGTATTAGTCGAACATGACCATATTAGGCAATAATTTATCAAACGCAGATGGCTGCTCATTTCGGAATTTGTCCATTTATGCGCATTTCGCTCGTTTGTCAATGAGCGAACACTTTTGTGGCGTGCTTTTACATATACATATTTGTGTTTATTCGCACCATAATCGAAACCAATCTGGTTTTTTTTTCCATTCTCTTCATCCACGAATCGGTCCACTTAATCTTCACGCGGCGCATGCGTTTTGGCCGAACTTTTCAATGCGTATTTGCTTCTTCGTTGCCTCTTCATGCTGGTCGCTAACCATCAAGGCTGACTGTAAATTTGATGTGTGTGTTTTTTTCGTTTTCACGTGACGATGCGTCGACCGGCTCACCGGAATGGTCGGCCACAGTCGGCAGCCGTTCTGTTTGCTTGTTCTCAACTTTCGCTCTCATTCTCTTTTTCCTACGTTCCGGCACGGTGTAGATAGCACATGCAGCAGCTCATTTTTGAAGTGATCGCAGATTCCTGCCGATCAGTGATTTTTCATTTTATTCTTGAATTTTCTTACTTTTTCTCCGATTGTCTGATCGCCTTAATCTCTGAAGCTTCTAGCTGTCAAACAAATGCCAAACATAATCCTTGAATTTTCAAAACATTATTTTTAATTATATAGACAAATTTAAACGAATAGAATTTTGTATTGAATTGGGGCATTGAGATTAAAAGAATGTTCAAATTTTCTCTATAGAAATGTTTTTCGATAAAATCGAGTTTTCGCTATTGATCAATATGTCCGTAATCAGATGGGTATTAAATAATTGATTGGGCTCGAGTCAGGCGATCAATTTCACACCTTCTGTCGTTCGTCGTCCAATGAGAAGGGCTCACAGCCCTCTTAATTGGTGGCTGTCAGCGCGACAAATATGGGTTGTGTTCATTTTCTTGACAAATGAGCCTGGGTTTGGTTTGGTTTCTCGTTGGGATGTGTGTAGAGTTTCAAGGTCGCCGCGCATGGTCAAATCTCGCGAAATTGGCATTTCACGTATTGTTGTTTGTCGGGGACCCCTTCTCCCCATCTTCTTCTTGTTTTTTGCCTTTTGATGAAATTGATAGTTTTTGAGGTTTTGGGTTTCTCAGGCCGATTATCTCTCATTTCTCCATTGAATTGTAATAATCGGCGGTTTTGCAACACTGTCTAATTTACACTAGGACTCGCCTTCTCCATTAGTTTCTTTTTTTTTTCAAAACCTCATTAAATTTATGACCAATATTAATGTGATTTTCTCGAAACTTTGGCTCGTAAAAATGTATTTTCTCGCCCAAATAATCGGTGATTTGTTCAACGATCTACTTCAATTTTCGCATTCTCGACATGTGTTGAACCATCAAAGACCCATGATGATCTCGCGAGTTTAGTATCCGATTTTGCTTCTTCTGCTCGAGCAAAAATTTGTAATAATCTCGTATTAGTCGCCTTTTGTTCCGGAAACCAACAGATTTTCGTTCTTGAATTAGTCATGGTTCGTGCGCGATGCATACATATTTCAGTACGATTCGCCCGGCAGGTGGACATGAGTGAGCACCACACCTGCTCTCAATCTCGAAAATCAAGAAAGTCGGTGTTGAATCGATTCGATTCGTTTCGCCCTCAAGTTGTACTACATTTCCATTGTTGTTGTTTGCCGTTCGCAATTCGGTGTTCGCTCATTCGTTCTTCTCCTTCTCCACCACCCGCGGTGAATCCGCCACCGCCGACAGCCTCAAGGCGGCCTTTGAGAAATCCGGGCCCATTCATACGCCGCATTCGTTCGTATGTATACCAATGTGTATTCCCTATAATTACCAGTAGCCACGTGTTGTTGCCATTTTGATGTTATGCGTACATGTTTTATAATATAGGATAATGCTAATTAGAGTTGTAATTGTGGCGATGTTTAAAAACGTACGCATTGAAATTGTGTCTCAAATATGTTTATTTTAATAGTGGCTCAGTATATCTCGATGTTATCTCATTCCCATTATTGCGCCTACATTGACAGGTTATGAGCCGCCTTTACCATACACGGCGGACACGCCTGTCGGCCGACCGTCCGGTAGCCGATATTCCCACATTGACACTAATTATGACATTTTTCGCCGAAACCGTATAAATAGTAACAAATCGCGCACTTTGCACATTGCGCGGTCGCAAATCCCGCCCATTATCACCAATTTTGGGCATGCGCATCATTCGTAGTCCATGATTCAATTGGTTGCTGTTTTCTTTGTGATCTCCTGCTTTTTGCCAGATGTTCTTCAACACAAAACACTAGTTGCGAACATTGTAGCCGAAGAGCACATGTGTTCGAATCGGCCGCTAATGTTGTGTTGAAATTTGAGATTTTGCTCTCATCCTTCATATCCCTTGAAATTATATGTATATATGATGCTAGGCATCATCTGTCTTCACACATGGCTCAAGCAAATCTCATTGGGCTTGGGTTTCTATAAAAGGATTTATGATGTGAGCACCTTATGGCTCATTTTTGTTGGGAGAGAGAGAGGGGGAGAAATTTCAGTTTTCCTCCCATCAATGTTTGATCTACCCTGCAAATTTCGTGTTTTCTGTGTCTTCCCTTCTCGATTGTTTGCGTTTCGGCGAGTTAATTGATTTTGACGGTGGATGGTGCTCGCTAGCAGCGCAATTAAGAGATGCGCACACGCAAGGCAATTTATGTCCAGCCGTTTCCGTTCGTTTTGTTTGGAAAAAAAACGCGTACCATCTGACCTTTTTTGGTGAGGAAGAGTCGCGATGTTTTCCAACAAATCAACTCATCTCGTTCGCGAAATGTCAGTTTTTCGACTAGTTGGCCCCGATTTCTAGATTGCCGACCGCAATTTGACGTTCTCTTTTTTCGTGAACAACATTTCAAATAATAACGCATAATGTAGACTGCGAATTCCGTGAGAGTTAATGAATGAGAAGCCTCTCGCGACTCCCGCCGCTGCCGCCGAGTATTATTATTATTATGTGCTTGCTTTTCCGCTTTGCGTTTTCTTCCGCGGCCCACTTGACATGAATGATTCATTGATTCTTTTTTTGAAAACAGAATTGTATGATTTTAACCTCAAATTTACTATTTTTTCTCCGGTTGTTTAAATCCTTTAATTGTTGGGAAGGGGCGCCTTTGAGACTTTTTTATTGTTGACAGCTAATTTCTTACATTGATTGGTGACCCGGTTGAAACATCGTCATTTGGGTCAATTATAGGTCAAATTGTTCAGCATTTTGAAATGATTTGCTCATTTGATGAATAATTTGTAGAAACTCGACTGGCGAAAGTGAGTTGATTTGGCGGAGAGTCAAACAACAACAACAACAACAACAACAACAAGGAAAACCGGCTGCGACACCATCTTGGGCGGCCATCAATTACGAGCTCAAGAATCGGCAGCAGAAAATTGCTAAGGTCGGTTATTCTTTGATTGTTTTCATTTTTCTTTCACTTACAAATTTTTTAGATTGAATTTCTTGTACAGTTTTTTGCTGAATTTTCAGGCTGTTTTGTTTCAGGTGAGACCGACCCCTCATCATCGCACAATGACTGTCGGCGGTCCAATGATCGACGTTTCGTCGTCGAGAAGATCCAGCGATTACGCGCAACTCTGTGAATTCGCCTCAGGCTCCACCGACTCCCCACGCGGATTGCATCTTGATGTTCATTCGAGTATGTTTACGACATTGCTTTGCCATTTTTACTTCAACGAATTCAATGATATTCAGAGAATGACGACGACGCTGTGAGCGTTGCTGGTACTGTGTTCAATGAGCCATGGGACTCAAATGTTTGGGAGAATTTGTTGGATTTGGCGCATCATGGAGACGAGAACCCGCATGGATTAAGTAAGACAATTGCAAATGAATCGTTTTTTTAATGTTTTCTTTATTCAGAAGTTACCGACACGATACAAGAAGAGGATTCCGATTCAGATCGAACTGCCGGTGGAGGATCGACATCGCAAATGGATTCTGATGAAGATGATGATGACGAAGAAGAAGAGGAATTGAGGTGGCCGACAGAACAGAAGCTGCGAAGAACTCTTCCAAGTGATCGGGTTCTCATAAAGGGCTGGGAGCAGGATGATGCTAGTAGTGCCAAGTACAGCACATTGGATAGTCGAGGGAATATTGGAGGCACACATAAGCGAAATCCAGAAGGATCGTTTTCGATGAGATCCCTTCCGAGAGCAGTTTCGAGATTTTCGCAAGCCATGGGTCTCACAGCGATTGGCTCTTTTGGATCGATTGACGATCTTCCCACCACGTTGCCATCGATGTCACCGCTTCTTGGGGGCCGCACGTCAAGAGGAACAAACCCGTCGACGGATAGCAATGAGAAGATTGGACGGGCGGTGCAAAACTATGTCGAGCAGCTCGCGCAGGTTAGAGAAGGCGCCAACTCGTGTTTCGGGCTCACGCTACGACAATTTGTGGCGTGCACCAAAGAAACGAAAGAAACTGATCCGTCTGTAGTGGTGCGAAATGTTCGACAATTTATAAATGGGATGAAGAATTACTTGGTGAAGCACGGAGAAGGTAATATTCCTTATTAAATTTGATGATATGATGAAAAGTATGTGTTTAGGCGATCTTCATCGCATAATTGATGAGGAAAGCGCGCGGTTGAATAGCAATCAAATTCTGAACATTGACGCTGTTCTGGAAGCTGTTCTTCACAAGCTTCTCCTTCGAGAAGTCAAACCACTTTTGTACCATGTGATGGTCCGCGAGCACTCGAAATCCGGCACTCTTCAGCTTATCTCGTCCAACATTGGAATTGTGCGAAAAATGAGCCTTCAGCAGCTTGGCTTCAACAACGCGGACAAACTAGTGATCCCAAACCAACAGACGATGGAAAACGTTAAGCTGATGATGCGAAAAATGCAGAGTCATTATTCGCCGCTCAAAAAACTCGAGAATTTGATGAAGTCGGTGTCGATGGTCGTCGGATGTCAAGACAAATCGGCGGCGCTGGTTAATGAAGAGAATGCCGATCCGGCAATGCAGAAGGGCATCCCGGCAGCCGATGATCTCGTCAGGTGGCTTGTCTATATTCTGGCGAGGACCTCGACAGTTGGATGCGAAGTTGAAGCGTGGTATATGTGGGAACTTCTACCACAACCAATTCTGATGCAGGTAATTATTTGAATTTTCGGGATCATTTATTACGAATCATGTTTTAGAGTGACGCTTCATATTATCTCACAGCTCTTTTCTCGGCTGTGCATGTGCTGAAGAGCGCCGAAGCAATCAGAAGACTCGGCGAACATGACGATAAAGTCATATCGCATATTGTAAGCTTTTTGTTCATAATGCGACGTCGATGTTTCTATTGAGTCGATTCCAGGATCTCTCGAGACAATGCTGCTCATCTCCGATGCTCTCGACGGCGACGTTAACTCGCGGTCATTCCCCAAAGATTTCGACGATGACGACAGCGACGTGCGACGCGTTTGTGCGAATCGCTGTTCCCGATGAAACTGTAGGATGTGTCCGATACGCGACGTTTCCCGGAGTTCCGGTGCTCACAACATCCAAGCTCAGCCGATTGGTTGCTCATCAGCAAGGAATCACAAATCCAGAGGAGCATGGATTGTAAGAAATTTATTGGTTTCTGAATCTAATGGAATCATTCGAATATTTCAGATATTTAATATCCGATGGCTTCGAGTCATGCCTTCAGCCAGCCGATTGTCCCGTGATGATCCACGAGCAACTCAAAAAGGAGAACAAACCGCATATTTTCGCTTATAAGCGACATGAGGCGAAAATCGTTTGGCCGCGAGCTGTGATCTCCTCGTGCTAAACCCCATATATAGTCACTGTAGCTTCCATTTTTATGTCAACTAGCGCAGCTTTAAATCGATAGCCTAGCCCCTTCTAGATTTGCCTGATAAAAACAGAAACGCCTCAACGTATGGGTATCCTGCTCACATATTGTTCCCGTTTTATAAGTAAACTTCCTGTTTGTTACTACTTCTTATTTGTATATGTTTGATTCTTTTTGCTCTCCTTTTTCAAACCTCTTTCATTCTATTCTTTTTAATGTTTTTCACCTTATTGATCCCCGTATATTTCCGTATTTGATATTATATGATATAAATGAATTGTGTATTAGATTGTTGTTGTTGTTGTTATATAATCTATTTTCTCTATTGCTTCTACTCTTTTTTCCCGTTTGTTTCATCATCCTTCTTGCTATCTTTGTCCTTTTTCGTATCATCCTTGTCCTTTTTGGTACCATCGTCTTTCTTCTCATCCTTCTTCTCGTCTTTTTCCTCGACTGTTGGATACTCGTCGGTTTCGGGAGTCACAATTGGATCGGTTATCAAGTTTTGCTGTAATTTTTGATATTCAACTCGAGTTTTTAACCAGCAAAAATAGGTTTAAACGTACTTTTGCGTCTGGTGGAGGAGCATGGGGTTGTGGTTTCGAAGGCTCCTGCTTCTCCTTACTTTCCGCGTTCTTGTCAGTCTTCGCTTCCTTCTTCTCATCATTCTTCGGTTCAGATTTCTTATCCTTGCTATTATCCTTCTTCTCTTCAGACTTGGGCTTCTAAAATTAAAATTTTGTAACGAAATGCGCAAAATCTGGAAATAGCACGTCAGTCTTCTTCGACTTCTGCTCCGATTCCGGTTTCTTCTCATCCTTCTTCGACTTCTCACCGGATTTCTCCTTTTTCTCCCCGTCCTCTCCTTTTTTCTCGTCTTTATTGGCATTCGGATCAACAGGGGGAGCTGGAGCAGGTGTGACTACCTGAAAAATGAATTCATCTCACATTATTTTTCCAAATTTCTACCGTTGGCCCTTTCATCATCGATTTTTTCTCATTTTTCTTGCCTCCGCAAGCGTTTAGTACTGTCTTAAAGTGATATTCAATTTTAAGAAAAAGAAAACAGCTTAAAAATACCACAAGTGCTGCGAACAGAGCGGCGAAAGAAAACAACAATTCCAAATTCGATCCCATTTTTGACCAATCTTACGTCTCTTGGTTATAGTAAATTCCGAAATAGTGACAAACGAGCTCGAAACGTGAAACATAACATTTTATCAAAATCAACAATTAATTAACGCGTGCCGACTAAAAAAAATTAAGAAAGATTATGTTTGGAATACAAATATCAGTTAACAACAGCCTTTGGCAATTCAATCATTTCACTATGTACTTTTTGACAGCGAACACATCTTCGAAAACTTCGGTGTCGCTTCCAGCAAAATCGATGCACTCCACAGCCGTATCAACCTAAAAAAAATCCAAAAGATTTTATTCTATATGATTTATTTTGATTCAAGTACCGTCTCCAACCAATCTTTGACATTGAAGCTCAGATTCAAGTACTCCGTGGACAATTCGATTTCTGGATGATGAATGAGAATCGTTCCCTTCTTCATGTGTTTGTGCATAAACTCCCAGCAATCTTCCTAAAAAAGGAAAGATTTGAGAAATTCAAAAAATGAGTGAAATTTTACCTGTTCCGAATCGGTCATGAAAAACGAGAACACATTGTGCATGATAATGAATTGGGCCGATTCGACGACTTGTGGAACCTGTCGAATGTCATTGTCGACAATTTCGATGTTCTGAATGTTGGACAGTTATTTTGTCATAAATTCAAGAATTTTCTTATCGAAAATTTCTGACTGGAAACGATCAGAATTCAGTTTAAATTATGATACAGGTTAAATTTAGGGTCAAAATTCAGTTTTTCTCTTAATATTCGTAAAATCTAAAAGGAAAAGATTAACAATTAAATTTATACCTTTAATCTGAACTTCTTGGAAAAGATATAAAATGAAATTTTTACCTTTAATTTGAACTGTTTGATGGTGTCCATAGTGACTTTGACAAGTTCCGAGTCCCTTTCAACTCCGACAACTTTGATATTTCCGTCCCTAAAAAAATTATCGTAATATTTTAAAATCGAAGCTGTAGGGTTACGTGAAAATCGATGCTCCATAAACGACAGCTCCTAATCGACTTCCGACGTCCAAAATGAGATCTGCACCCTCCTCGGGAAGCAGTTTCTCAAATACGAATTGAATCTGAGAAAGAATTCATAAATGTTGATGAAGAAAAGATGACGAACCTGTTTTTTGGCAAAACTGTGGCTAATGAAATTCAAGGGTTCGAGATCTTTGGACCCGCATTTTTTGCAATAGTGTCGAGAAATTACTCGCTCGTCGACAAGCACGTCAATATCATCCTCATCGTAAAGAAAGTTATCGATTTCTAGCTGAAATTTTAACAGAAGAATAGAATTTTCGATAGTTTTAATACCGTATTTGTCTCATTACAATCGCTTGCATGCCCATTCTTTGGATAATTGGCAACTCGATCGTAGGATGGCTTCATTACACCCTAAAAATAATGTGATTTCGATGTTTTACTAATAAAAAAATAAATGACATACTCGATCTTTCAAAAATGACCCGATCACAGCCAATTGATGTTCCTTTCTTTTCCTTTCTTCTCGTTCCAATCGAGCTGTGCATCCAATAATCTCTGGAGGTGATTGAAGATATTCTTGGGCCCATTTAACCAAATCCTTCGATTCATCTAGCTCCAATGACGCAAATATCTGGCGCATCGTGTCTTTGGCGCTCTCGAAATCAATTTCTTCGTCTTTCATTCTAAAATTTGACATAAATCTTAGCTGTTAAGACAAATCCTAGGCAAAATAAATTTGAAAAAAATAAAGCGGAGAAAAGACTAGAAGGAAAAGAGAGCGTTCGGCAAGCAAAGAGTGTCTATAGAGCGACGTTCAAACAGCCAATGGCGGAAAATTTAAATTTCTCGACCGAGAAGAAATAATAACCGTAGCGAAATCAAGAATGATTTCAGAAGCCTTTCAAGAAAAAAGATGTACGGAAACAAAAATAAAAACAAACCCATTTAAAGGCGCGCACAAGATATTTTAAGCTGGTCGTAGCGTGAAAACCAACCTACTGTAATATTTTAAATTTGCGAATAATGGGTATTTGCGGGACTCGCCGCAACTCATGTGTGGCCTTGAAAAATTGGCTGACACTCTCAAAAAACAAAAATGCATGTGCGCCACAATAGCACAGGTAAATTTTTAAAATTTTGTGTAATGCGTAAACGCGGTTTTCTTTCATTTCAACGAAGTTGTGACTTTTATTTTGATATCTGGTTTTTGAAATCGTAAAACCAGAATAAATAGATATTCATTCAGTCCTATTAAATTCAATTATAATTTTTTAAACTAATTTTTTAAAAATCATGAAGTGTGGCCGTGGCTGAACCTAATTTTTAGGGCAATTTTTCTAGGCTGCATCTCTATTGTGCTTTTGCGTAAATCTTTATTAATAAATTAGTCGATAAATCAAGTCGCAATATGTGTAAAAAGAATGGAATTTGACTGAACAGTACGGCGAAAATTAAGATCATCCATAGTAATAAAATTTTAATTTTATTGTATACGCTTAGCGATAGCCCACGGATAATTTTGGGACAAACAAAAGGAAAAAATTCAGTTAGTCGAAACAAAAGTCGCCTAATCGTACTAATACCAAGAAATCCAATGCAAAAAATACAAATAAAAATAGGAACGCATTAAATAAATTATTTTAAGAAAAAAAAAGCAAATTGGGGAGATATACATATTTTTGAAATTTTCAACGGAAATTGATAGTGCGTCTCGAGATCGAATAAAATAAAACCAAAATAAAATCGCAAGAAAAATTCGTATTTTAATTGATATATTTTGCAACATCTCTCATTAACTGAGCGGAAAAGCGAGGAATTTGGTTGAATACGCTATTGATATCAATGCTGCGATTCGCCTGAAAAATTGAAATTTTAAATGCAGAATGTTTCAATAAATTAAACCTTGAATTGATCCATTGTCGTATTAATCAAAGCTAACGCATTTTCGCGGCCGATTTTGAACATTTCAATCTCTTCCATCACAATAATTTTCTTTGGATCACAATAATTTTCTTTGAATAACGTTTTCAAATTGATTGATTTAAACTTTGCAATCGGTAATAGGATTACCAACTTACGGTAAAGCAAATCAAAAGAAAAAAAAGCGAAATGAATTGACTAAATAATCATCGACTGGATTCAATTGACTATTGTCGTTTTGGCTCTTCGGGAGGTTCTGAAACGAGCGGATTCTTGATTGCTTCGGTAGTTTCCACAGCGGTATTCATTCGAATCGAACAGCATACGCACAATCAGAAATATTTTCTCAGTTTCGTTTGAAAATTCTTGTGGATTTTGAATTTCGGAAAAAAAAATCGGCATTGTTTTCGGTAGATAAGCTCAAATAATGGAAGATGAGGATTTTTGAAGCCATTCAACTTGAATGAATATAAATGTTCTGAATTTTATTATGAAAAGCTTCTAATGGAAGAGAATGAGCCCATTTGTTTTAACGACTTCAATTTGAAAACGTTATTCAAACTTATCCATCTAAAATAATGGAAATAAGAGAAAAATATGGTAAATTGATTATATTGAATCGCTTTTTGAATTAAAAATTGTAAAATATCTAAATATGTCGTAAAATCAACAATATTTTAAAATTTCAATAAAAATAGTGCTCTGAAACATACCTTTGTACATGGAGAGGAATGAGAATACCAGCTGCAATTTTGGATTATATGAGAATGATTAGTGAACAAATTCATTCAATTGCTTATCTTATTTGCTATAAGCAATTAAACGAATTTTTGATTTATCTATATATGTATGACTATAGTTGGCATCCGATGACTGCTGTGTACGGGTAGATTTACAGGAGTGTATCTTTCTTTTGGTCTCGCGTGGACTATTTTTTATTTTGCATTTTATGGGTTGATTTGATGATTTTTAAATCGAATTAAAAATTGGAAATTCAAAGAAATCCCAAACTCATTAAGAAAAAATAAACGGTTCGCGCGAAAACGCAAAATAAGTGTTCACGCGTGGCGAGACCCGCTTACCGAAGTCGCCGGAAGCCGACTATACTTGTACAATAAAAAAAATCTCTCAAGTTAAGATAGAAAAGAATAAATAAAAGCGCACCCCAGTTGATTTATCTTCGTTCATCGAATTTTGAACCATTCCTTGATCGTGAAGGATTTTCTGGAAATAATGCAATACGTGAAGAGAGAAGAATAACTCACCGTGTTCGGAAAATTGCAAATCGTCGCGTTCTGGTTGTTCGTTTCTTCAACGGACCTCAAGAGGTCTTCGGGTCGATAAACCTTCTAAAACAGATTATTTTTTTTCGAATCACGCCCAAATTGATACCTGAGGTCCAAACGAAACTGGAGGTTGGAAGCCATGCGCCTAAACAATAGGAATTATGAAGAACAGAAACAAATAGAAACAACCATCAAATTTGGATAGGGTTGAATCGGAGGGCGATATGGCGTCATAGGCACATGCGGCATATGAGGAACAGCCTAAAACAATCTCTTTAAATATTGCGGCAAAAGTAGAAACGAACGGGATTGAGGGATTGAAATCCAGCGGCTGAAGTTGAAGGAACTTGCTGGAAAAACAGCTGAAATAATAAATGAAATGATGTTTCTTTTCTTTGTTTTCGAAATTACCGGAAGCTGCATTGGCGCATTCGGAATGATATTCCGAATAGGCTGAAACAATTGCTTCTGATGCCATTGAGCCGAATAACTCTAAATCGAAATGTCAATTTCAAATTCTCTTAAAACTCAAACCAATGTATTCCCTCCAATTCCCAACATCTTCAATTTATTCGAGACACGCTGAATCGATGGCGAGGAAGGCTGAAAATCACGATGATTAGAAATTCGACATCTTTTCTTCTAAATACCTCTAGCTCAACATTTTTGTTTTCTTCAAACTCTTCAATGGATTCCGTACCATTTTCTGATAGCTCATCCTTCAAACCAATTGTTAATCATTTAAAAAAATATGTAGTTTCAAAAAATTACAAAAATTTCATGTGGCCCCACTAATCCATTTTCAGTCTGAATCTTATCAATTTCTTCCGACGCCTCTTCGTCTATCTCATCTTCCGATATATCCTCGATCCCTTCCGGCATATCAGTGAAGAATTCTGGCAATCCACTTTCTGGTAGATCATCAATCTCTTCGGTCACATAGTCATCATCATCCGGAAGTTGAATTTTCTGAAATTCCGAATTTGTTGATTTTAATTGTTGGATGTCTAATTTCGTTCACCTGAAACCAATAGTTGCCATCGGACATCGTCAATTCGAGAACATCTTTCCATGCTTGACGGGCCATTTCGAAATATTCCATTGGATGGCACAGAACCTACAAAACGATGTACTTTTTTTGATCAACTGACCGATACTGTATACCTTGTTGAGAAGCCACATTTCGTCCTCTTGGAAAATATTTGCTTCATTGACATCCTCCAAAATCTCGATGAAGGTGTTGGCATCGAATTTTTCGTCGGGAAATTTCGAATCGAAAAATCTGAAAAATTACCGATTTTTTTATACATATATTAAAACGATGACGACGCTTACTGGAATGTATCTCCGAACAACTTGACAACTTCTTCAATTTGCCTATCAATTATTTGTTTGCTCAAACTGAATTAAAATTTAATTAAAAAAAAGATAATTTTGTATTTGAGTTTAATTGGTGCTTACCAAGGTGTTGATGAAGGAGATTCTGAATTATCAATCGGATATTCTAAAAAATAAAAAAGTGATTTCATTTGAAGTCGACGAAACATACCCGGATCATCGTCTTCTTTCTCTTCTTCTGAATTTTCTTCGTCGCCGTCTTCTCCAATTTTATCATTTTCTTCGCCATCTCGATTCTGCTCTTCCGGGTTCGGCTCTTCCGGATAATCTTCTGGATGATCCTCATCTGGATTTTTCTCCAGAGTATCCTCTTCTGGAGTCCGTTCTTCCGAATTCGGCTCCTCTGGATGATCATCCGGAGTGTGTTCTTCTAGGTTTTTCTTCTCCAAATGCTCTTCTGAATTCTGCTGCTCCGTCCCCTCCGGATTCGGATCCTCTGGATGCTTCTCGTCTTCATTATCAATATACTGCTCGCGATGTTCCGAATCTTTTCCAATTCCACCCGATTCGATTTTCTTCGTCTTGTTCTTGTCACGATCTGAAGAAGACGATGTTGAGCTTCGGTTCGACCGTTTATTCCGCGACGCATTTTTTCCACGCTTCGATTTTTTCGATTTTTCAGCATAGGTTTTAACTGGAATTTTTTGTTGTTGGTGAAAAATCCTGCAAAATTCTCTCACCATCACTTTCGTCTTTCATTATTCGCGGAATTGGCACATTCTCATTTTTGAACGATGTACCTTTAAAAGAAAATCGTTTAAATCTTTTCGAAAATCAATACTTACAAATTTCCAATCCTTCATAATCGGCCGGATTATTCAAGAATCTAAGGACACAAAATTTTCGTTGAACACAATATCGCTGTAAATGAAGTACACGAACAAGCTGAAAAAGATTTTCGAATTTCAGGACGTCACATTTTGAAAAAAACACCAACCTTTGGGAATTCCGATATGAAACAATCAGTTACGTTCCGAATAAAATTATCCGGTCCAAAAAGCGAAACAATTTTCCAATAATTCCGGTATAATGTCAGATTCTCCGCTTCCGGATCATTTGGATAAGGGAAAAGTCCGGGATCGTAAGGTCTCGGTGGTATTTTCGATTCGTCGGTGACATCTTTGAACTCCTCATCATAAATGGCTAGAAGATGGCGATCGAGATTCTTATTCGCTAGCTGCAACATTGTGATTAGTGTTAATCGGAATCAAGCCCGAAAAAAAAACATACGTCATCGTTGAAAATTTGAGTGAAAACGAACTCGTTTTTGCGATTATATATCGGTGTCATATCAACGAAATAAATATAGTCTTTGGTTTCCGGGAAAAACTTGTAGAGCGATTCGACCCAACGCCTAAGAATTCGCATATACGATGAAAGAATTTTGCGATGGGCTTCGTGCTCTTGAATCAGAAAGCAGAAAATCTCAAGGATCGCGTTGACTGCCGGAAGTGTCAACTTCATGTCTGACGTGATAATCGGACGGTATCGGAAGTTCCAATCGAGAATTTCATATCGAATAGGCTGGAATTTCAAAATTGCTTTAAAAATGTCGAAAATATTTACATCGATATGCGTTTGTCCGAATCCATAAGTTTTTTGAATACTTTCCAATTTTGAAATGGGCATCATTGCATAAACTCCGCTGGCGGATCCATCCTCGTACACTTCAAATTGAAAACAAATCAAAATAAATCGAAAAATTGAAAATCAAAAATCAAACTTGAGAATTCAACTTTCTTCTTTTTCGACATTCTCTGCAATATGCGATTGACATCATGGACATACACCAAATCACCATTGTCGGTGACGGCACATCGGATTGCAATTACATCCTTCTCAACCTTCAATTCGCTTTTTGATTTGAATTATACGAATGGCTCGAATACCGTAAATTTGAACGTGAATTCTCCATCAACATTCGACTCGATGAATTGATCCATATAAGCTTTTACGGCAAACGCATTCATATAGAGATGAATCAGAATATGACGATATTGCATGTCAAGGTACAACTAGAAAAACTCGTCAGCTTTCAAGAATTGTTGACTCCTCGTTACTTACTATCGCTAAATAAATCAATCGAGTTCCCATCGTCTCCTTATTTAGCTTGTCTTTAATAAGACCCAAAAGAGCATGCGCGATATAATCATTGCTTTGCTCCGAGATCATGATTCCCGCTTTTTCAGCTTCCGCCTGAGTGAGTTATAATTAAAATGTTGCTGATCGCCTAATTACGTCAATTTTATCCTTCCAGTGGTTGTCGAATTGGGTTATATCGAGAAGATGGTAATTATTGTATTTGATCTGACTCGCATAATGGCCAATATAATCACGCAGTATCCAGAATATGCATTCGTGCATACAGACAACTACCTGAAATCAACAAGACTTGATTAGAAATAGGAATTGAAAAAAAACCACACACACACAACCAAAATTGGTATTTCTAGTTAATCAAAGTATTGGCAAAATTTGCGAATTCTGTGTTAATGGCAATAATTTCAAATTTTCGGTAGAAATTTTCTAATATTAATTTCTGGAATTTATTTTCAGATTTGTGATTTTCTATTAAACCCGCTAAAATCTTTAAATTGATTTTAAAAGAATTCTATAAAATTCCTGCAAAATTCTTTTTTCGACAATTTTCCATCAGTTTCCCTTCACTCACTTTTGATGGTATTTTTTCAGGAGTTTGCTCCATCAACTTGTAGTAGAACCAACTGAACATATTCATCGTTGTTAAATATTTACCCTTCTCGCGTTTATCCTTGAACTTGCACTGAAAATCTCATAATAATCATGTTTGCAATTATCAAAATGAGCAGCTCACGTGAAGATTGAGCAATGATGGCTCCATCAGCGATTTGGCGAGACCATCGTAATTGATCGCTGCATTCATGAATTTGTCAAAGTCGATAATACGACCATCTCGAGCATCTGAAAAATCGAAAATCACTCGCATCTTTCATCAATTCCCTACTGATATTGGAAGCTTGTAGTCGCGATATCATTTTTGTCACAAAAGAGTCGTCAAGAACCTCAGTTATATCATGCTGTCTAATCGCAATAATCTTTGCCCAATCCTGAAAATTTCGAAAAAATTTCAAAAAACCAAAAAAAATTTGTTCAATCACTTTTCGACTGGTGATCGCTCGAACTGCAAGCGTCAAATGATAGTCATTGTATAAATTGTCTTTGAAATTTCGAATAAACGGCGCCGGCTCTTGGAATACTTCATCAAAGCTAAAAATTGTTTCCATGCTGCTGAAAAGAGAAAATTGAGCAGCGAGAATGATTTGAAACTCAAATTACACTGGCTCTCTTTTCGATTCATCAAATCTATAGCCTCGACATTTGCAATTGCAAATTGGACGTTCACCTAAATTTCATTATTATTTCTATAATTTTCCACTTCATTACCACAATTGTTTCGAAAATTCGATTGGCAATTGTTATCATGAGAAGACGACGGGGACTCATCTAAACAAAAAGAATTGTTCAATTTGCGCTTTTCCTTCATACTGTAAAAATCTGCCACAAATAGGGCTGCTATTAGCTTCAACAATCTTGAGGTTTAGCAATACATAGGTAGATCAAAAATGATTTTTTTAAGATTCAAAAACGATCAAATTTGGCTTCCAAAAATTAGAGTAAATTTCCGAATGTTGTCGTTTCCGTCCGAAAAATTCCACATGAATTGTTTCGCACAGTTTTTCGCATTTCGTTTTTCTCAGAGATTGTGCTCCTTGAAAATGCACTCACTTTGACCGTATACAACGGTGACAATCGGTTTAAGCGAACTCTCAAATGATTTCTGAGCATCGGAAACGCTTCTCGGACTCTTCGGATCCTCGCAGACGGTCAGCCCATTTCGATCATCTTCGCTGATTTTCGACAGCAAACAGTATTTTTTGACATGACAGTATCCGTGAGAGTGTAGAATTCGATTCAACTAAATGAATTTTGTACTGGAATGCGTATTTTGACAGATTAGGATTTACCTTCGGAAATGCAGTGTCGAGGAATGTGCTGAAGCTATCTTCGGCAATTTCCGGATCCGTCGTGACATTCTCCTTCTCATCGTTTGACATCGTTTCATAGAATCTGTCCATTTGTGAAGTAATTGATCTCATATCAACACAGTAGATATCCTATAATGATTCCTATGAATGTATTTTCTCGATTCAATTTCAATATACATATAATGGGTTTTTCACAAGAGACAAATTAATTGACAAACTTTTAAAGATGCGGATCTTTGGATAAAATTAGACATTTGAACTAACCTATATCAAAGCTAATGTTAAAATTGTTAGAACAATTTGAAAGTCTTCCTTTAATTGCGCTGACCGCCAATTAGGTACCAAAAAGAAACAAAATGGGTTAATACTACTTCATTTTTCGCGTTTAATAAAAAACCACAGATATTGTGGAAGTCGCACGGCTGCGCATCTACTGTCGAGTTTGGTCTCGCAACTACATAAGTGTCGATTTACGAGGGGGAATTTCACGAAACACTGTTAAATGGCGCATTGACCGTTTGAAGTGCACAAAGCGCATCTCGTTGTCTCGAGACCATCCCTGGGGTTTTGCCAATTTGTCACAGCCGGCCTATTCGACAATAATTATAATTCATAAAAACTATGCTTTTTCATATTCTTATAGTTAAAATGGGTGACTGTAAGCGTGTTTCCATGTGAGACCCAAAGCGACAATTCAAACCCAAAATTCGTCAGTCTCCAACTATTACTATGTGAAAAATGATCCGCCAGGATCCCTTTGAATATCACCAATATTACCTTATCCTCTAGGAAGAAACTCGTAATTCTTTGAACAAAGAAGCGCATTTCGCCCATCAACGCGACGGTGGGAATCGTAAATTGGCGAAGAGTTTCAGCCAAAAAATCGTAAATCGTTTGAATCGCCAACGTCGATGGCAGACATGTCGTGTAAACCGGCGAAATGTACGGCAGATATTTGAAGCTGACGCGTTTCTCTTTGTCTTCAATAAACTGAAAACAGACAATTCGTGTCTGGAAATCCGATCGAACACTCACGTCAATGTGAATTCTGCCAAAATTGTGATGTTTGTCGAGTTTCGCAAACTTCTCGCAATTAATCAGCCGATAGATGCCGCCTTCGCCGATGTCCAATTTTTGAACATTTGCTGAAAATGTCAGCCTAATTCTCTGATCGCTCATTTTATTTCATACTCGAGTTCGAATTCGACTTTTTCTTTTTCTTGATCGACGTCACTGTGTCGATGATTCTATTGACGTCAGCGGCGAAAAAATAGATGTGACCGTCGATTTTGATGAACCGAATCGCCATTTTCTCGTACATACTTTTCTAGAAAAAAAATCGTTTGGCAAATAATGGCTAATAAAAATACTTTTTAAATGGTCCTTTAAAACAGTTTTAATTTTTTTTCATTATTTTCGTCATTCAAAACTTTTTACAATGCCTCATAATACAATGGAAATTCAATAAGAATTACAACTATTAAAATGGCTTTGAAGAATATTTCCCCACGAGACCCTTCTTAATAAGGAGAAGGAAAAGGAATAAAATGATTTTAGAAAGATTAAAAGGTAAAAAGGGTCATTTGAGGAGGAGTGAAGAGATTCCCCCTTCAAGCTATAATATTAGATATATTTTTTTTTTGGTGAAATTAATTTTCTGGGGAATCCTGACAAGGTAAGTCCTTTTGCAGACTGTCTTAATTTTTTTTAATTTAAAAAATGCAAAAAATGAAAATAAGTTTAAGGCGGACTGCAAAAAGACCTCACTTATTAGAACAGGAAAATTGTAGGCAAACTCGATTTTTTTTTACAAAAGACCCAACCCCTTTTAATAACCCTTGCATCAATATTAGATTCATTATGAGTTTTCTGTAAAAATCCAATTAAAAGAAAATAAAAGAAGAAAAATAACATAGAAAATTTAAAATTTATCTCGTTTTTATTTAAATATTTTCCCTGCATTTATCTCTAACACGAACGTACTGTGCAAAAAAATTCGAGTCGTTTGTCATGAACACCGGTGATCGTGTTGTCGAACATTTTTCGCACACCCAACGCATTCTCGTACTCGGTTTGGAAATTGCCCAAGTCGCCCTGAAATCGAAACGACACACAATTCAATTGATTGCAGGGAAACTCGATCACCGGATTCCACACTCTATACAGATTCTCTTTGCTCACGTCGCTGTCCGGCGCATCCAGCAATGAGCCCAACAAACCAAGAGCTTTTTCCGGTTCTGAGGTGATAAACTGCTGGGACGCCGACAGAACACTCTCAAATTATTTGGGTTTCTTGAGTTTCGCCGACGCTTTTGTACCTCAAGCTCAGCCAAACTCAGATCATACACGTGATTGTGGAGCATCTCCTCGTCCAATGGAAGAAGCTCGAAAATTTTGCCGGTGGCGTAGTGTCGAACACGATCTTGCAGATATTTGCACATTCCCCATTTTGAGAGTTCATTCTGCAAATATTCATTATTGCAATAAAGCTTCTTGGGGGCGTACCATTTCCGATATAATATTCATGTATAGAAGTCGAATAAGATCTCGATTGCTTATATACGTGTTGGTTCCTTGCCGATATAGTTGAACCCTTTTCTGAAATTCGATTTTTACGCATTCATCATTTTTTTTTAAGTTCTCAAATGTTTTTCTAGTGTTTAAAGGAAAAAACAAACACTTTGTTGACTTTTAAAAAATATTAATTTTTTATTTCAATGCTTTGTCCTTTTTTGGTGTTTCGAGCTTTTTATGTTTCTTTTTTGTCAAAATCGAGGTAGTCTAAAAACCATTGTTTTTTTTTTAATTTATGTGAAAAGTCTACAAATTAACAATTATGTATAACAAAAAATCAATGTTAATGTTTCTTTATTTTTTGTGATAAAATATTAGAGCTCGTTTTCTGTTCATTCACTTTCGGAATTTCTGACTAAAACAATTAAATTGAGCCCTTTAAGCAATTTCCAAGCAACGTTAGACCAATTCTGTTGATGATTTGCCCGAGTTTAATAGATTTCTCTAACTAATATGTACGAATAGTTGGTTTTTCTTTTTTTTTCTCATTAACCCTACACCAAATCTCTTTGTAGCTCTGACAATAACCGGTGTAATTTATCATGCCGGTGTTGATTTTTCTCGTGAACTCATCCCCCCATTATCTCGACCTCGGTGTTCTATTTCCCTCTCGCACTTTTTCGCCGCCTCGCCTTCATTGGGTCGCGACGAAGCCGATGAACAACCCGATGAGTTTACGAGATATTTGGCCCGCGCGATGGCCTCCGCGCCATTTTTTTGTCCAATTTTACCTCTCCGTGTGACGACGCAATAGTCGAATTTCATGTGCCAAAAAACAAAAAGAGAGAAATCGAAATTTACCCAAAAATCGAACAAACTCCAATCGCCAATTAGTTGACTGAGCAACTCGTAATCGATTGTCGAGTGAACGGCTTTCGTGTATGTTGGAACATCGCGAGCAAATTCTAAAAATGAGAATGTGAAAAATAAGAGCATCAATTGAAAAAAAAATATAATACCATTATTTCTATTTTCGAGTTGTTCTATGATTTTGTTGATCTGACTCGTTTCGTAGAGCTCATCCGAATATTGATTGAAAGGGAAATTCTCGCGTACCTTCAACAACAAAAAATATTGAGCCCAATTATTTGACGGGTTCTGTTCTTACATTTCGTGGCGTCAAAAATAGAATAGCATCGATCACTCGAAAAGCTGGCCAATAACTGCTGTGTTTATCACATCGTCCTACATTCATCTAAAAATGCACCACATTTTGTTTAAAACAACCAAAATGAGATGAGGGATAAATTGTGAAGAGGCGGCGGCGATTCGACGAGATTTTTATCACATTTTCGACACCTTTCATCGTTTTTTTATTGTTTGCACTTTAATGAGAGGACCTGAGTATATTGGGCGTGAGCACAAAAAAAAGGAGGTGGCGGATGGTGGGTAATGAGCGACGACAACTCACACCTGGAAGAAATGGAAGACAGGTGGAAGCGAGGATTCGATTTACGCTTATATGACGAGCAGCACAATTAGATCCGACCATAATCACGAGAGACTCGATGTCTGAGTCTCCTATTCGTCCACTTTTGTCTTTGTTGTTTTCGGCGGGCCAATGCGGTTGGAATAAACAAAATCGATCAATTTATTGGAATAGGTGACGTCGATAAAAAAAAAGACAAAGAGAGAGAGAGAGAGAGAGAGAGAGGAAGAATGATATCGAATTTTCTGATGAATACAAAGCGCATTTTGGTGGAAATTTTCGTGGGAAATTTAAGCTTTCGTAATCTAGATGTGAAATTTATACACTTGTGCAGATATCACAATCCATCAATTAAAAAAACGTGGGGTTCAGTGGAAGAAAAAAAAAACGAAACGACATAGGAGACGCAGACATCAATGATAAACCCTTTTCTCTTTTTCTTTATTTCAAACAGGCAGCATGAGTAGGCATATAACGCATGCAACGACGGTGAAAACCGAATATTGTCGGAAGCGTTTGTTTGTTTTCTTTTTTTTTTTAAAGAATAATTGTAAATCGGCGACGACGACGAGGTGGGCAAACCAAAAAAAAAAAATAAGGCGCGACGCGATTGCACTGAAGAAGCGGTGTTGAGTTCGCTTCTCGTTGTTGCGTTCGCCTGACGCAACGCATGAGAGACGAAGGTGAGCAGAGGACGCCGCGAGATTCGAAATTATTCTTTTCGTCGGCGATCCGAGTGATGCGAAACAAAAAAATGGATGAGAAATGCATAATTTTAGGGGGTCGGTTTCGACTGCCACCCGAAATTAGAAGATGTTAATTGGAATTGATCGCTAGCCCCACAATACATAAGAAGGCTATGGTTGTATGATATCATGGTAGGTATCAACAATGTAGACAAATGCTAGTTAGCCGATCGGATACAGTTTTCGTTTTTCCGGTCGGCTTGAAAAAAGCAAACTATTGCACTTTGAAAATCTTATTTTTGTCGGGTTTTCCCAAAAATAAGAAAATAGATTTTAGAAAGAATCGGTCGCATTTTTTACATTTCTGTTGTTAATATTTTTTTTTTGATTGCCGAAGACTTCATTGACCAGATATTGAGTACAATTAGTGAGAAATTTTACTAGCCCAAATAATGATACTTCGAAATTTTTAATGAGCCGCTTGGATCGGCAGTAGTCTGGTCTGATTCGTATTTTTTTTTTTGCAGAATTCAGGATCTCAATTTTGTCGATTTTTTTAAGTATGGTATAGTCGGCGTCCGGCGACTACTGTACGCGGGTAGATTTACGCGCATGCGCCTTGAAAAGGTCTCGCAACGCGTGAATTCTTATTTTGCTGTGTTCACGTGAACTGCTACATTCCCGTAAATGTACCCGCGTACAGCAGTCGCCGGACGCCGACTATTTTGTGTTTAAAATACTCAAATAGGTTTCGATTTTATTATATTTTGTTTTGCAATGATATAATAATTTTTGGATTACTCGAGACACCAAAAGCGATAGGAAAATTTTGATAATTTACGGAAAAAAATGACAATTAATATGTTGGATTATGCGAATTTGTGGATTTCAGACAGGTGAAAAAACTATTAAAAAATTACAAATGTCAAAAGCAAATAGTTTATCTACCCTAAGGCTAAGCTTATGTTTACCCTAATTAACAGCCGTTTTGTTCTTCCGAATGGCGGAAACAAAAAATGGAAAGCTTTTATATAGTTGTTTATATAAAAAATGAATAGAATTCAATGCAAATCACATTATTGCCATTGACATTCTCATTGAAAAAAAATTGAGATTTGTTTCATCGAGGCAACCCGGCCATTAAAAGCATTACAGCGTCGGCCCCGCCGGGGGTTCTGCTTATATAAATAGAAAAGCCAATTTCAGGAGAGTTTGATTCGAAGGATGACAAAAAAATTTTGAAATTAAGAAGTGCGTGAAAATCTCTTTTGATGTGTCATTTTACGGAAAAAATCAAATCCAAAATGGAAATGTAATTAGCCGTTTCAACACAAATAAATATTAGCCGGTGATGACTAAAAAAGAGATTCATAATTTTTACACATTCGCTATTTTTAATGGAGAAAAAAGGACTTTCAATTAAAAAAAATATATTGAAAAATGCAAGACGTCTCAAACGAAAAGTGGAGAATAAAGTAGAAAAATATGAATAATCGAACGCACAACATTGTTCACATTTTTTCTGTTTCGCGAGAAAAATCGATAGACGAATGAGACGCGAAAAAAAAAAACCTCTCGCGTTTCTTTCGGCTTTGTTCTCTTCATTTCGAGGCGAAATTGATTAGTGTGACGTTTTGTGAATAATGTGATCGAGAAAGGAGCAGAGACGAGAGCTGGAGTCCAATGAAAACATCGAGACAACAAATGAGTCAGATTGTCGATGCATGTAATAAGGTACAATTTTGTTCATATATTATTGCGTAAATTGAGAGAAGCAGGAAAAAGATGACATATGGGGGGAAATTGATGGAAAAGAGTAACACTAGTTATAGATTATTGAACGTTTCTTTTTTTTGATTTTTTGTATTGTCGGCGTCAAACGACTAATTGGATTCTGGGGCCTTCAAATTTGCGAAATCATTGTAGATTAAAATTTTTCGTTGACTGAAAATGAAAGGCGCGTACGCTATAATGCAATGTACGCAATCTCGGTGCCTCGAGACGCATTGGCGCATAGCCAACAATTTTTTTTTAAATTTCGTCAAGTCGTTTGACTTCGACAATACAATAATATCAAATTTAATACAATGATAGGAACTCTTCGAGGTTTTTCAGTCGACCCTCTAACGAGTCAATCTTTTTCTGCATTTCGGCGTTGTCTCGCTCTAAACTGGCCACCTTCTCGCTCAGATCCTCTCGATTAATCTCGTTGACACGCAGCTCGACGACTTCTTCGAATGCTGCGTTCACGATCGACTCGATTGCCTTCAATCGAATTTCTTCATTGTAAGTGTTCTTTCGAATGTTTCCCGATGCGAACTGCACCATTCTGTTCGTCACTTCCATCTTTTGATCGGACCTCTGCAACTGCTCCTCGAGACTTTCAACTTTCGTTTTTAAGCGCCGATTTGAGTCTTCTAATGCGGCGATCTGTGCTTCGTATTTTGCAATTCGAGCTTTCCTTCTGAAATAATGGCAAATCAGATTTGAATTCAAAATTCCAAAAGCGACTTACCGCTGCTCGAGTCTAGCGACAATCTTGTCCACTTTCAGCAAGACCCTCGGATCGTTTGGGCCGTTTCTCACCGATTCGACGTCTGATTCGGTCTCGTCCACGTTCTCTTTTCCATTATTGCTGCTCCCATCCATCGCTATTTGGTTGCAGAGCCTTTTGAACTGCTCCTCGAATTGCTCCGACGTCGAGCACAAGTTTCCAAGCTCTTCCAGTCGAATGTGCCAGTTCTCGTTGTCGATGCAGAAACCATTGACTTCCCGACACAAAACTGTCGAGCTATCCGTTCCGGCAAATTCTGCAAAAAATTTTGAGTGGAAAAAGCCCAACGAAATCGAAAAATATTTTTTACCATCGTCCATGCTGAGGTGCTCGAATGATGAGCTTTTGCACGAATCAGAGCTCGACATTTTCGTTTTTCTAGAAATCGCGATAATTAATTTTTTTTAAGTGACTAAAAAACGAGGCGAAACACAATAGACCACCATTCGCCAAATGCGTTACGGACCACAATTTAGAATGGCGGGTGCAGCTGACCTGATCGATATGACCTGATGGCGTGCCGACGCGATCTTGTCTAGCGTGTGCTCTCTCGCCGAATACGCTGTAAACTTGACTAGCAAATAGCGCGACGGGACTGCGCGGCAACCTTGTGTCTTTTTGAGATAGCGAGATTATGTGATTGAAAACGATTCACAAATTGCGCAATTCACTCGAAAAAATTTTTTTGTGGAATTTTATCAACTTTGGAAAATTGGCTAAAAGCCAAAAATATTCAGAAGAGGTGCGCCTTTAACCTATCCTTATACATTGGCCCGTAAATCTACACTTTAGTTTTGTGCCAAGACCATTGCCATTCCTTTTTCGGCAAATTGCCACGTCGGCAATACTTTTGACAGAAAACCTACGTAATTTTGTAGAAAATATAATGAAGCTCAAAAAACTAAAAAAAAAGAAACAATGAAAATTATTTTTAAATAAGTTTTTTTTAGTTCTTCGAGTTTTCTTCCAAAAATCTGAACATCATGGTATTATTTTCTCAAATTGTGTGTCAGAGCGAGGCTTATTGATTTGAAGCTGAGGTAGGATGAATAAAAAAACGAATTTTGATAAAATAATTTTCTTGAAGCTGATTGTTTTTTATATGGAAATGATTTAATATTAGATAATATGTGATAGTTTCAGTTAATTGAATATCCAAAAAATTAGAGGCAAATTGAAACTATTTGAATTCGGCGTGAAATTAAAAATTCTTGTGTGCGAAAATTAATCTTGTCAACAACAAACCCGGAAAATCAGGAAATTTCGGGAAAACTGTTTCCATCTGAAAATGAATATTAAATGTTTTTAAAGTTTCTTACATGCGCATTTAAATATCTGTCGAAATACATATTTTTTTTTTGAAAAATAAACACACTTCCGTCAATTTTCACTGAATATCGAATGAGTATATTATTTTAAGTTTGATTCGTAGTACACTAGACGAAATTCCACTGTTCAAATATAAATTTGAATTACCGCTCCAAAAAAAATGAACGCTGGTCCACAAATACTCAGGGTTCTCATTT